ACACCCTAACACCCTAACACCCTAACACCCTAACACCCTAACACCCTAACACCCTAACACCCTAACACCCTAACACCAGATTCAATAGCACAAAAGCATATCATATGCCAGTTTCTTAGATAGCCTAAATATAATTTCAATACAAATATATTCTAAATTGGAAAGGAGTAGTCATAAGATAAAAACTAGTCAAAAATAGTTTAAGAGCACAAGTCATATGTAGCTCAGTTGATTTTTAAAATAATCCATTTTGTTCAGGAATACGAATTTTGCGAAAATAATTGACAAGCTAAGAAGTACATTCAAAATTATTTGAAGGGTTGGAAAAAATCTATTGTACTCTCAAAAGGTAGCGATCATGTTATTGTAGTAATACGCATACTCGTATATTCTCTCCTAGTATATTGAATCGGTACAATTTGAGACCAGCCTGTGTGAATTATACACTGAATGAATTCGCACGCCATGAAATGGAAACTTCATTTAATAATTGAGAGGTGAATTTTTCAATTGCAGATGGAACAAACTAGTGAAAATAATTATAAGAGGTTTAATTGAAATTCGGATTAATACTTTTTTAACGCAAAGGAGAAGTTCTGTGAAATAATCGAGAGATAAATATGGTGAGAGGGATGTTCTTTTGGAATTTTTTCTGTTAATAAAGGAAGAGTAAAAAGCGATGACGTTTCTAAAGTGAAAAATTATTCATCAATGATGTTGGATAAGCAATAGTTACGACAGAATATACGGACTGAGGGGAAGAATAGGTTCTGTTTGATACAACAGTCAATGATTTCTACACGAATAAAAGTAATAGTAATACATGGTTTACTAAATAAATAAATTAATTCCGTTGGTAACCTAACTACCTCTAACATGCTCCGCTACCATGTTTGGATATCCCCAACACGAATAGCCCAATGTTCTTGCTGAATAACATAAACCCTCTGTTTCTATCCCATCATAACCTTCGAATCTATTCCAAGTCGTACCAATCAAATAAAAAGTTGGAAAAACAATTCCCTGTCTAAAGATGACCGATTTCAGGAAAAGTATGGCCCCTCCAACTGAATCTAAAGGCACCAGGTATTTCAAATCATTTGTTTCAGGATCGTCGAGTAATAAACTATGTGATAAGTGGTACATTTTATCACCAATATTATTAGGAACATAATGGAAGTTATCCCAATCATTCTTGTCCATTTTTTCTAGTTGCTCTTCATTGGGAACGGTTCTCTCACCTCTCCATGAATTTTTATCATAGTCGTTATTCCAGTCCATGATAACCCTTGGAACAATAATGTCCTTTCCAGATTCAATAAAAATATTGATCATATCTTTTTGCTTGATATCAATAATATCACTATCAAGAAATAATGTATAGCGTTCATCTCTAAGTGAGTTCATTAAGATAAAATTTCTTGATCTGGCAATTGTCCTACGACGCTGTCGTTGTACACTGTCCTCATGTCTGTCTCCTCTTTCTATTTCAAAACCTCTTTCAATGAATGGAGCAGTAATGAGGGTAACTTTATTTACAAATTTTTTAATGATTTTCTTATGAACGTCGTTTGAAGTAGATAAATCATTTAATAGACTAAAGTATTTTTGGAAGTATTCGTCTACAATTTTGAATTCCTTTTCCAGCCCTATGAGAATTCCTAAAGACACTACATTCCTTGCGTAGTTGAAGGAAAATATGTTGTTGAAAAAATCATCAAAGGTTCTATGTTCGCCATAAGCCGTATCATCGACAATGGACGACAATATTAATAAGGTTTTCTGCTCTTGTTCAGAGTCTATTACTGTCTTTTGGTTTGTAAATGATATTTTAGTGTAATCGTCATCAGGATTATGATAATATTGTCTTGTAAATGAGATTTGATCACTGTGCAGTTTAAGTGATTCTTCCTCAGAAGCTACTGTTACCTTGTTGGAGCTTGTATTCTCTAGAGGTGCGTAATCACCATAACTCTGACTTTTGACAGTCAGGTATACATCAGATGGGATAAATAAAGTTACCCAAAATAAGACAAATACTACTAATGCAGCTCCTAAAGATGCTATCGGAGATTTCTTTAATGGCATGTGCTTACAAAATCTACTTCAAGTAGTGGCTCCAGCTGTGTACCTATGCACAATTTGAATGAAGAGAACCGGCTCTATTTGATTATTTTTTCTCTAGATGAATACCAGCGCGAAAGAATTTATGGAACAGCCTGCTCTTATATAACCACAAATAAAAAGAAGGTTTGGCCATATAATTAAAAGATAAACAAAAGTATTTATAGTCGTCCCTGAAATGTGGGACTTTGGGCCCTTGAGGGAAAAATTGACAACGTGCGATAAAACATTCGCTCCTCGCGCATTGTTCTTTTAACTTTAAAAATTCTATTTTCCACAAATTTCCAAACCCTTTTTCTCAAAAATAAAAGCTACTGCCTCTTTTTAGCCAGTACTGTTTCGGGTAATCCAATTCCATTCTTGTATTAGAGACATATCCAAGAAAAAAAAAAAAGAAAATAGTAAGCTTCTCCTTATTTTGCGACTACTTTCCTTCTCAATACATTAGAGGACAAGTGGTGAGATAATGTGGCATTTAGCCTTATGTGAATTATTTTAGTTGGACCTGGAAGAAGGAAACGAATTATTGCGAGAACAAGAAAATTTAGAAGAACCCTTTGAAGAACATTTTTTCATTCTGAGTTGTTATGGGAACCAAATACTTCATGAGTGAAGTATCTCACGAGTGTTAATTTGCCCGTCCGAACCAATATTATTTAGAGGAAATATGCAAATGATGTAAAAAATATTAGCATCGAAGGACTGATTCTTCCGTGATAATTTTTTGAACGAATAAAAATTCTTCTCGTAAATATGAGGATAATCCATTATTCACTTTCTCTGAAAATAATTTTCTAGCTTTATTAAATTTCAAACCTTAAAACGTGCTGGACCCTTGACCTCGCCAAAGGGTTACATTTACGAAAAATGCACAAGTAATTTCTATTGGTTAGTAACCTTGCAACGTGACTCGAGCAAAATATCACTGTTACAAAAATATGGCACAGTCTCTGCATCGTTCAAGAGCTGTTACCTTAGAGGTTCTGGTCATATACGAGACGCTTCAGCTATAAGTAGCTCCAAGCTTGCGTCAGGAGAATAAATTCACACCTTCCAATTGATAGAATAGTGAAAAGCTGAAGGTAATAGGAAAGAAACTATATCCATTTAATGCGAGTTCTAGCCTAGCCTGTGCCCCATATCTAGAAATATTGCGAAGTACCTAAATAATTTTATCAGAATACATTGGAAAATTTTCATAGAGATAAGATGAAGTTGTTACACTGCGCAACCCAGAGCTATCGACATAGATAATCTTATGATCAGAGATGGAAAGTAGCAACGCTATATCCAATTACCTTCCTCAGCAAGTAAGCTGAGGCTATACTAAATTAGCCTTCGAACGCTCCAAAAGAGAAATTGCAACCATTTCCAATCTCTATAGAAGATTAGCCTTTTAGTAGCCTTACTTTAACCGCAATGCATGCAAATTTCCGACGAAACTTGATCGATACGCACTAAGCCACATTGTTATCTTAAATATTTTTGTCTAACGAGTTGACTTTGTATAACTTTGTAGTGCCACTAGTGATATACTGGGCACAAGAAATGTCCGAGAGTGCTTTTAATCGTTTTATTTTAAGCGTGACGCTTATTCAGTTGAAATTATACTCGTGGAAGAGAAGTACTCATTAAGACAGTAGGTTTCTTTATCTAGGCAAGAATGTCACCCAACCAAGTTAGAGCTATGTACTTCCATCTTCTTCCAATTTTGACTTATTTCTTTTATTTACGCTATGCTTAAATTCACCAACTGAATTTTTCGAAGAAAAGTAGAAAAAGAATTCAATTTGATATTGATTGTAGAATGCAATTACAATGAATAACTTTTTCAAGAGGACAAAATTCTAGCTAAAGTAGAAAGTGCGCCGCATAATGATATTCTTAAAATGGGGTCTTTTGGGCCTACCGGACATTAACGGTCTATTCATAGTTTGCTCCGAGATGAAACATGTGGTTATAAGAAGCAAATAATAGAATGGGTCTTGTGACTTCATTAAGATATTGGCGAAGATTTGATGCGAGAGCTGACTTCAGAAAAATGCACTATGCTATAGTTACTAAGGCGTCACGTTGTATTAGCTCGCGCAATTTTCTCGTAAAGTTTATTTTTGCGTCGGGCCAATTTTTATATCTGCGGGACTAACGGGAAGGTGATCCATGATTTTGCATGAAGTTTTACTTCTAAAAAATAATGTGTAGAATAAATAGTTGATTCGCTCAAGCTTTCTACAAAATACTAAGTATTTCATATGACGTCTTAGAGCCTTTCTATTGGTTGGTTATTAGCGTTGTCACTAGCACAGTTTATATGGACTTCACTAACTATAGCAGTAGATAGCTAAAAAAGTCAATCACCACTCAATATCACGGAAACAAAACCGAGAACAGCAGATATTTAGCCCAGTGTATAAGATATTACTAGTGCAATTAGACTTGCCTGTCTCCTCACGGAATCCAATGGCTACACTATACCTTAGAGTTATTGATGAAATTAAATTCTACAGTGAGTATTACTACATAACTATGTGGAGTGGCGCCTTTTGCTTGCATGGAATGGTGGTGAAATTTGTTTAACTTTAATGGCTGTTTTTTACAATGATGCACTTGAAGCCCCAGTTGGTGACAACTACAAACCATATTCTAAACTAGTTAAATATTTACTTCAAAAAGCTTCGTGTGACGCAAGAAAACATACCAGGTTTACATTTCGCTTTAGATGCAGTATATTTCACATTCTTTTCGTACGTACACTTAACCACTAATATCAAAGCTCATGTTAAATTGAGATCCTCACTTGAAAGTACTAAAAAGCAGCCATTCTCTACACCAATCACAATATTTAGTGGGACATCTCTGTCGCTTGCAACTACACTTTCAAGCCAATTTTAAATAACGGCGCTATCTTTTTCTCCTATTGAGTAAATCCTAAAGTGTATTTTTCTGACGCCTATATCTCTATGAAATTTGTTTCGGAATATGCTAGAGGTGGGGAAACAACGGTTACATGTAAATAAAATAGCATTAAACGTATATGTCAAAACTCAAAATGCCGCTCTAGAGTAAATCCGAATTAACTGTATCTTCTGCTCCATGTGGAAATCAACCAAAGTAGTGTCAAAAACGAGGTCAACTTCCTTTCTAATCTATTTCTTACTTGAGCAAGAATTCTTTTGACAGATTTTTATTGATGTTATAACGATTCTTTTTTTTTGTATCTATTTCAGGGAATCAAAAACGAAAAAGTTTAAACATCTCTATCAATTACTTTTTTGATGGGCTGGAAAATTAGGATCTCGACGGAAAAGAAACTATTCGGGTTTATAAAATCCACATTGTTAATGAATCAGGAAATTAATTCCCTCCTTAATGCAGACAGTGATAACTTACCTCAAGCGCTATTTTTCAGCTTTCTGAAGAAATTAATATCTGTGCAAACAATCTCTGAAACTGAAGAAGCTGGATGATAAATTTATTACAAAATCCCTGAGAAAACAGAGCTGTCTCAAGTTATGTTGCTACACTATCAGAAAGCTGGCAACATGTTGTTTCAATAGTTGTGACACAAATGATACCTATTGTGCAAAAAGTGCAAAAGCTTTTTCCATCCATAGTAGTGTGTGCTGAACTTGTTTCATGCAATCTGGTTTAATTGCAGCCACATATGGTTAGGTGTAATGTATTTGTGACTGGGAACCGTTTTTGATTCTGATTCGGGAAAAGTTTCCTTTATGCGTAAGGTTATAGGAAAATAATGTACTGCCAAGAATTTAGAACACCGACTTGAACCATCAAGACACTAGAAAATAATCTAGGGTAAGTATCAGTTCCTGCCAAGTGTGTCAAGGAAGAAGGTCTTAGGTCAAGAAAAATATCTGTCAAACTGTAAACTAACTTGACTCGCCCTTCAATCTAGCCCTATACTAATATGATGAGCTCCGAGATGTGCGATCTACACCTCAACAAGAAAGTGTTCTGTGTGAATAGGTGGATAAATAAGTGTGCAGATCAGAAAAATTTGGTGCCCCATTACGTAAGTCACCAATGATCGGAGGAGACTTACCGTTCGATGAATCAACCCAATGAAAGTTTTTCTTCAACAATAGATGTAATCTACGAACTCAAACTGGAAAAAGTTGCTGCATGCTTGGGGGGCTCAGATAAATTTAAAAAAGTGGGGGTTATATTCCACACCGTTACCGCCGGATTCTATTGTTCACCTACAATTTCTTTTGATTTTAGCGATCCCATACGGCTCAAAGTGGAATATTTGAGTGGCTTTATTTTCTCGATGGTTGCATTTTAAGGGACATGCTGAGCCCTGCAAGGAGATTGATCAGATAACTTCCGAGGAAAAATAAGAATTATCTAAAAGATCAGTGCCCTTTTAAAGTTTGGTGTAGTAGACAAAAAATTGCACATTTGGGTTGGTATTGCGTAGATGAATGATTGGCAGCGACTAATATATAATGCGAAAAGAAGTGGAGTCTCCTAAGGATAGAAATAGAGCTCACGCCAAAATATCAGCCAACCAACAAAAAGCTCGTAAATCCATTAATTTAGAGATGGAGGCTTAGGATTTCTGTAGTTTGAACGAAGTCAGAGTTTATATTGAATGAAAATTATTGCTACATGAAATTCGTAAACTCACACCCATGGTTATGAGAGATGTCTTTGTAAATTAACCAAAGTATATGGAACAGCCAGTATTTGTATTATAACTTGGAATTCGAAGACAGTGTAGCGACTTGATCTTACAGTTAACTAACAACATGATATTTATTAACGATAGATATATAATAACACTAGTAAAATAGTTCACACGAATTTTAATTTGTAGTAAAAAGAGTAAGTCATGAAATAGTAGACTAAGTCATGAAATAGTAGACTAAGCCCAGATTTGCAATTGCTCAAAGAAGTCAATTCTTTTGCCCTTTGAATCGTATAATGCGTGAGCACAACAGTAACGTACTTCATCAACCATCAATGGATGTCCACATGTGACGAACGCAACAGACCCGTTAGATTCTTCTACTTCCGCTTTGACAAGGTTTTCAATAGAAGGTCTTCCTTCCAAGAATGTAACATGACTCAATCCCTTCTTTATATCGCTCACGACACCAGCATTTACTTCCTTGGTTTCACTAAAATCAATTGACCCACTCTTTTTCTCGTCATTTTCATCGGAACTAGATTGCTCAGGTAATACATCACCAAAGGTTTCTTCCTGCTCAGAATCAGCACACAAAGTTGGCCTAGTTACATGGATTGTGCAGTCAATTTTAGAGTTCTTAAGTGCCAAAATTTCATCATAGAACCAAAATATTGAATGATAATCTTTAATAACCCAATGTAACTTCAATGCCTTACTGGTGTCTTGGGCTGCTTTCGTGGCTAAGTCCAAAACTTCTGAATAAATACCTGGAATACCACTACCACCAGCAATGAAGACTGCTGAATCGTACACTCTAGCAGGTGTAGGTTCTCCGTATGGTCCTTCAAGAGAAACTCTAATCTGAGCTGTCTTACCTGGGTGGGTGGTCAAATATTGGTAGAGACCATGTGTAACACCACCTTTCACTTTACAGTACATAACGATATTCTCATTTGAATCTGGTGAGACTGTAAATGTGAATGGATGGGATTGCCAGAAGCATGAAGGTCTCATAAAATGAAGAAAAGCATGTCCACCTGGAGTTGCTGACCAAAACTTTGGCCTACGAACTGTAACCTTCAAAGTTTCATTTGCCAAAAGAGTTACTGAAGCTTTTGGGCAACCAAAATGAATAAGCCTACCAATTCTAACTGCTCTATCAAAACTCCAAACTGCAATACTAGCATAGAGGAACTCTAAGTAACCCATGTCAATAACATGATACCACGCACCAACGATAAAGAGGACAGCCAATATAATGTGGCCTAATAAGAAGATTTCATACCAATTTCTTCTGAGATATAATACACTTTGAACCCAGATTATACCGCCAGCTACTGTGGCAAGAGCACCGAATATCATAAATTTCTCATGATATTCGGAAGTTAAGTATCCTTCATTTGAATAGTTCACAGTATAACATGCGGCATGAATGACTACCAAAGTGAACATCACCCTAGCTACCCATTTATGGTAGGTGATAAATGTAGCAAAATTGATACCGGTGATCCATTGTAGGAAATTATTTCTACCAGCCAAAAGAATAACTAATGGTACCATAATAGTAGCGGTGATACCTGATCTGTCGGCAGAATATCTCATTAGGGCCTCAGATCTGGATGTGAAAATAGGATCTCCTTCAAAATAGTTTATGGCATGGGAGTTACCAAATATTGTAACAGCACAAAAGCCAATTATAATAATAGTTTCAACTCTGGATGGAACTAAGATATTGATGACTTTCCAGATTCTAACGTTGTTTGTTTTATCTTTCTTACCAAGAGCTGCAAGGGTAACATTCTTTCTCCAAAAGTTAGTGATAGGTCCTGTACACTTTTTCATAAGATTTGGACACAAGAACTTAGCCCAATGAGAGATACCAGAAAGCAAAAACACAAGAGCCCAGTAGCCTAATATTCCACTACCATAATATAAAGAATTATTATAGTTTCCAAGGAAATTGACGTATGCTTTTCTGTAGTTTGAGATTAACGTTGGGTCAAGTATGACAGGAACATCAATAATTTCAGTCATGTTGAAATTTTCAATGTCAGTAGTTTTAACGGCATACTTAGTGTAGTTCTGATAAGCTTCCATATATATTGCTTCTGTGATATTGGCCTCATAATATTCGTTACAATAATGAAAGTAATCTTTTTCCAGTCCATCGGGTGCCTTCCCATAATTTACACAACCAGCAACACTAGCAATCGCTGCTGGGTTGTGACAGGTACAGCCATAATCTTCTGCGTCACAGAATGTAGCAGTCGCTTGGATTGCTAAATTACATGAGTAGAAGCTCAATATTCCAGGGCCGTAAGTCTCATACTTACTGTAGGACAACACGGCTCTCACTAAAAATAAGAACGAGAATATATATCTGTACAACATTTCGAATCTAGCTAGTAAAAATCAAATATTCTTGATGATCCAGACAACATCATTGGAGAGCACCTGCCCGTCTTTTATAGGTGCCACCAAAATTAAATTACTTCAATTGGACCAGCCAATTGCTGCAAATTCATATGGAACAGGTTATTTTATGACTGGAGAAACTTTATTTTTATCCAACAAGAAAATATTTCCAAACATACGAATAAAGTAAATCGTGCCAAGAGTTTAGTTTATTGGCCCATATTCCGCACGAGGTGGTACGCATATAACAATCAAGAAATTTGTAGGCTTAAGAGATGGCTGCCAATTATGTCAAGAAAGAGGCTCTTTTTGAGACAGTACGTCAAATCCTAGTTTAGGTCAAGTTTCAGAAACTTTAGTGTCGATACCAAGCAAAACACTTCGTTTGATAATAGATTTCATTGCAATTAAAGTAAAACAAGTGATAGTTGTAGCTACATCTTAAAGAAATAAGCCCAATAAAGAAGGTTCCGAATATCGGCACCCTCAAAATCTTTTTGAGGAACATATCCAATGAAAAAATTTCTCAACAATAGATGAAATTGATTAAATTAGACTTGCATGAAAAGCTGCATATTTTGAGAGGTGGGGCTCAAATTCATGCGTAAAAAGGAGTGGCTTACATTCTGCTGCTTTTTGTCTTTACTACCGAATTCTATTATCAAACTGAAAGCCTATTGATCTCAGTTGCGTTACCGAATAATGAATCTCGAACCATTCAGGGCCATTGGTAAACGGCACCTAGACTACAAATGCATCTCTAATTACTTCCTTTTATGGCACACTTGTTAAATTTCTTTTAACAATTGGGGCGCAAATTTTTTTATGTGGTTTGATGTTAAATGAGAATGAGGTGCGTGCACTCTTGCTGCATAGATCCGATCAGATAATTCCTTCAGCGTAGATAATTGCCTTAAAAATAAGCTGCAAAACGGAAAGGCGAGCAGTGAAACTCAACGAATTGAAAGCTGCCCACCTTTCAACACCTCTGACATCGGATGGTTGTTCCACGGTTAAAAAATTTTGGGAGTAATGTTTTGCTTCAAAAGAAAGCATGTGGAGGAAAGGAAATCATTGGGTCCAATAAAGAGGAAAGAGTCTTGAAGCAGTCCAATTTCTAACATACTGGCCAAGTGGTTTTGATTTTTTTTTTTTGTTTATCAGTTACTTCAATGACTCTTCTTAAAGAAGATGTTGAATGAGGCTACACCACCATGATATGGGTTAATACAATAATTCACTACATTATTATTACACATGTCTACAGAGAAATATAGGAAGAGCAGCACTTTTAAGCCCAAATTTGTAATTGTTCAAAAAAGTCAACTCTCTTGCCCTTTGAGTCGTATAATGCGTGAGCACAGCAGTAACGTACTTCATCAACCATCAATGGGTGTCCACATGTGACGAACGCAACGGACCCGTAAGATTCTTCTATTTCAGCTTTAACAATGTTTTCAATAGAAGGTCTACTTTCCAAGAAGGACACATGACGCAAATCTTTTTTAAACATGCTAATTGTATTAGCATTAACTTCATCAGTCGAATTGAAGTTAGGCGATTGACTCTTCTTTTCATTTGGTATACTATCATCAGAACTAGTGTGCATATCTATGTTTCTTTCAGATATGCGATCATCGTCGAAGTGATTTTTTTCTCTAGTAATATGGATGGTACATTGAACTTTGGTGTTGCTTAGTGCTAAAATTTCATCATAGAACCAGAATATTGAATTGTAATCCTTAACAATCCAGTGTAATTTCAAAGCTTTTTTGGAAGAAACAGTTGCTCTCATTGCTAAATCCAAGACCTCTGAGTATACACCAGGAATACCATTTCCACCAGCAATGAATACTGCTGAATCATAGGCCCTAGCAGGAGTTGGCTCGCCATATGGTCCTTCAAGAGAAACTCTAATTTGAGTTGTCTTACCGGGATATGTATTTAAATATTGGTAGAGACCATGCGTAACACCACCTTTCACTTTACAGTACATAACAATATTCTCATCTGAATCTGGTGAGACTGTAAATGTGAATGGATGGGATTGCCAAAAGCATGAGGGCCTCATGAAGTGAACGAACGCATGTCCACCAGGAATTGCTGGCCAAAATTTTGGTCTACGTACAATCACTTTCAATGTTTCATTAGCCAAGAGAGATACTTCAGCCTTTGGGCAACCAAAATGAATTAATCTGGCAACTCTGACCAATCTGTCAAACGCCCAAACTGCAACGCTAGCGTAGAGAAACTCTAGGTAACCCAAGTCAATAACATGGTACCAGGTACCTACCACGAAGAAGACAGCCAAAATAATATGAACAAGTAAAAAAATTTCGTACCAGTTTCTTCTGAGGTATAAAATACTAAGAATCCAACTTAAACCACCTGCTACGGTTGCAACAGCACCCCAAACCATTAAATTCAATGCATAGTATTCAGACATTTCATTATCCAACTTGAAGATTTTAGTCCAAACTGCTGCATGAATCACAACCTCTATGAATGTTACCCTAGCTACCCATTTATGGTAAGTGATAAAGGTTGCAAAATTGATACCTGTAATCCACTGCAAAAAGTTATTTCTTCCAGCAAGAAGAATAAGCAATGGTACCAAGATAGTAGCAATGATTCCTGTTCTATCGGAACAATACTTTAACATGGCATGTTCTCTATCGGCATAAAGGACATCTTCATCAAAGTAATGTAGTCCGTAGGCACTGCAGAAGGTTGTAACAAGACAGAAGCCAAATATAATTATGGATTCAATTCTTGAAGGAGCTAAAAAGTTAAAAACTTTGTAGCACAGTATGTCTTTGGCTTTATCTTTCTTAAAAAGAGCTGGAAGAGTGACATTTTTCCTCCAACAGTTTGAAATGGGACCAACGAATTTTTTCACAAAGGCTGGGAATAAGACCTTCGTCCAATGAACGATTCCAGAAAGAAGAAATACAAGAGCCCAATAGCCTAACATCCCACTTCCGTAGTACAATGAATCTCTGAGATTTCCATAGTCGTTGTAGTAGGATTGCTTATAATATTTAATTAGGGTAGAGTTTAGTTTAAGAGGAACTTCATATGGTACTGACATGTTATAATCTTCTATTTCATAAGGGTATACAGCATACTTGGTGTAGTTCTCGTAAGCTGCCCAATACATTTCCTCAGTGATTGTTCCATAATTATACTTTTCACAGTACGCAAAGTAAGCTTTTTCCAGTCCGTCTGGTGCTTTTCCATCATTCAAACAACCTGCAATGGTAGCAATGGCGTATGAATTGTGACAAGTGCAACCGGCAAATTTTTCACCGCAGAACAGAGCGGTTTCTCTGACTAGATAATTGCAGCCATAATAGCTTATGGCTGCGTCACTGTGATATGAGTATTTCGGGTGAGAAACTACTACCTGCGACAAAAGTAGGAAAGAGAGTAAGTACTTAAACAACATGCCAGGTTAGAGGTTCATTAATAAGAATACTTCTCATGTTGAATAACTTTTACTCGACAGACACCGGGACTTTATAGCATTTCGGAAAGTACTCGGGTATATTTCTGGAAGAAACTCAAGAGATGAAGGTGTTCGATCCGATTCATTCGTAAGTTTATGGCACAATATTCGTAATTTGGGTGCAAAAATAATTGCCAAGACTTTTGAAAACAATTACATTTCGGGGATAGCTACCTAAGAGAAGAGCTCGATTACAAACAGAAAGAGCTTGAGACTGGATCGAATATAAATACCACGACTTTCCTTTCATATATATATATAGAGGAGTATTAACAGCATTTACTTGCACATATTGGGTCCCTTTGATGCTGAAATTCGAGGAAACTCAAAATACGAGGAGGTACGCACCACATAATGATGAAAATTTTTCTGCGGGTAGATTGAATTGATAAACTTGGACCCACATGAAAGCTGCATATTGAACGGCATGATGCATAACTGATAATTCAAGCCTCAAATTCCATACTAACACAGGAAGGCTTCAGGGAGGCTTTATTGTATAGGAAATTGCCAGTGGTTACAGTCATTCAGGGAATACTGGACTGTAAAAGTATTCTAAGCCCAGTGGCATTTTTAAAATCGCCTGCTTTCGCTTAGTTTTCTTTGAGGGGTAATGTGGGACCTACTTTTTTGCTAATAATTATTTTTTAGGAGCTTTTATTTTGGGCCTGATTGTAATAGTATCTCGCATGTTACATGCACTAGAGAAAATGGGGGACTAATCAATGCTTAGGCATATGAATATAGACTTTCCTGTGGGGTGCTAATGGCCATGAAGATTTAAGTCCGATTGGCTGCATGGCAACTATTGGAACAAAATTTACAAACATAAGAAAGTAGTACCGTGTCTCTCTTCAGACTTTCGAAGTTTGAAACAATTTTTTCCTTCCATAAATTTCATTCTTTGCTATTATCATAAGTAATTTTGTATGAGAAACTTTGTTCTAAAGTTTAGAATAATTCTGTGCATGTGAAAGTTTAGCTCCTAGCAAGAAGGTAAGCGGGATCAAGATCTTTTTGTGTGGTATATTATCCCGCCAATGAAGTATTATCTAAAAGATCAGCGCTTTATCTTTATTCGCTGATTTATGGGAAGAAAAAAATATTATTTACACTTTAAGTACTCTAAAGTTTAATTGGTGAGAAATCTTTCCGAGCTCTGTTTGAAGACTTAATAGATATCCAGAGTCATTATGAGAGTTGCACAAAGTGGTAAAGTGGAGTTTCGGCCGGGAGCTTCGAACAAGAGCTTCAGCTAAGAACAAACTATATACGGAAGAAAATTCAAGCTATGGAAATAGGGCAATTGCAAAATGCAATGTTCACTTAGATAACTAAAAGTCAATTTGGTATAACCAACTAAATTAAGTAATAATGCAATACATACTAATTAGAAATATACCATTAATGTATTGTATTGATTACATCTTGCTGTGTCCCTTATCAGCGTTGCAGAATTTGAAGAGCCATTTAATTCACTACCGAGCTCTTGAGAGTTAGATTACTAGACAGACTTCATATAAATAACAAAATAACTCAGATGTCAGCTATTTTCAGAAGGTTAGTTGAATAAAGAAATGAGTTCTTGCTTGTATAAATCAATGGAAATGGAAAAAAAAATACTCAAGGTTTTGGGTGCAAATTTTTGTTGTCTCTTCTTAATTGGAAAAGGAGATCTCAGCAAATGATAAGCTAAGGGTCATGGTCAAATAGGTTTTCTATTATTCTCAGAAACGTTCACAATACACTCTTACAGCTTCTATTTTACTGCAAAGCAAGTGTTCATTTTATAGAGAGATCGATTCCTTTCTCGAAAAAAAGCTCATTTTTTTCTAAACCTAAAATTCTTTTTTTAGTTCCAGCTACGCATGACCCACAGTCTTGCAGCTGATGAAAAAGATAATTTCTTTTTGACTCGTGACTGGAAATTTTATGCACTATTGCTATTAAAGAATCAATTCCTTTCCCTTGATTGTGAAGTATGGGAGAGTAATACGTAATATACACGTATTGTTTGTAGAATACTCGGTAGTGGGAATATGCTGCATAAATTTTTTGGTTTAATTTTTGCGTTCAGTATGCCCCTATCTTTAAAAAAGAAAGTTTTATGTCAAACTAATGCGAATGAAAACGATTCAAAATTCAAGTCTTGATCACTGATCCTTTACTTCATATATGAGCTTGCTATTTTTGAGAACGTAAGCATTTGGAGAAAAAGATGAAATGGAGAAAGTATCTATGTTGCTGTTGTGGCCAAAGACTAGAGAAATAAAAAATATGGCGACAACTGCAGGACTCGAACCTGCGCGGGCAAAGCCCAAAAGATTTCAAGTCTTTCTCCTTAACCGCTCGGACAAGTTGCCATTTTCTGAGAAAAATAATTTTTAAAAAGCCAAATTGAGCGATGTGGATAAAAAAGCTTCATAATTTCCTAAAGCGGAATTTCCTTTTATATACATCCAAACACCAATGTATCCTATTGAGCTATGGTATTCGTTTCTAATTGGGTCATTTGTAGTATATATGATCATTTTCTACTAGCTTTTAATGCATTTTAGTATCATCGTGATAAGATTATTACAATATAAGGGAAAAATATAGCTTTTTTTCTAAATGTTTAAAATTTTTGAATAAAACTGTGCAATGGGTATAAAATATATTTTTCTTCATCATAGATAGTTCAACTTTTCGAATATTGATGAAATGTCGTTTTGAAGGGGTTCGTAAAAGTTGTTATTCTGAGCCAGAATGCTAAAAACTCTTGCGATTTTAAAATCAATACATATCGATGCCTCAAGCTAGGTGATTTACCCACGTTACTGATGTGCTTCGTGTACTATGCATATCTCGGTAAATATACGAACGATGAGTTGCCTAATTGGTTCAGAGGTAATAAACGAGAACCAACGGTGCGGCTCGAATGGAAAATTTCTACATTCAATGGAAATAAAAATACATTAGCGAATATACTCTAAAATTCCTTTGTCCTCCTTATTACTTACATATATACAACGCATCTAATATAATTCGTCCCATTCAGGTATTTTTGTATTTTGACTTCATCGAAAATAATATCTGAATTCTCGACATGTGAACTTAGATTATATTATATTGTATCAAATCGGGTAACCAAATATTTACATTCAACCTTCAATTTGATCAAATGAGCTGCTATCCATGAAACATCAATATTTACCAATGATTTCATACTTGCACTCTTGCTATGAGAAAGGTTGTCACATGAGATACAAAAGCATTTCAAGTGGTCACTGCAAAATAGAATAAATACAAGCTAAAAAATAATTATTCCAATTGCTGACCACTAATTCCGCGCACTGCATACAAAAAAAACGTACATTTGGAGTGGCTGATTTGGTTGCTTGCGGAGAAAGCCTCTTCGATAATCTAAGAGTACGCTTAGTACGCTTGGCGCTGTCAAATCCAAGCCCATTTGACTGTAGGCTTAGTTGCTTGGTATTCTACAGTATGTTTAATTCTTTGTAATTTTTATTTCATAATATACACATTGCTGATAAATAAGTAGTAAAGTGAGAAATACCCAAACCGAAAGTTATCTTAAGTAAGATTATAATGAAAAAGTATTAATAAATAAAATATGAAGAAGGTAAATTGAAAATGTTTGACCGAAAAAAAGACCGAAGTAACTGTACTTCAAAAAAATGTTGAAACCGAAATAGTAAATGAGTCCACCAGTGAAAAGTTGTTGGTGTTCGTTAGTTGAAAGTATGAATTATTTTGAATAAAAGCCATAAACTGAATTAGGCACGAATGAATTGTTTCTATGTGAATGTAAAAATTGTAAACTTTGTAGTTTGTTTGAAATGCAAGAATTTTAATTTTTTGAAAAATTGTAAGATTATTGGGTATTTGAACCGAAAGTAAGTCGTTGTCACGTTTAGGATCATTATTTAAAAGGCAACAAAGGCACTTAAATCGAAAGTTTGTTGCTTCTGTAACATACTGTTATCGTAACTTGAGAATTCGATTGCCTTTCCTAACTTAGTGTTCTGAAAGTCTTCGACTTCAGAATCATCAGTGATAGGGGAGTACTGGTTGTTGACGTTCATGTCAAATGCGTCAGCAGCAGCAGCAACTGTTCTTGGAACAGTTGTGTGAGTAAACTCGGGTATTATTTCCTTGTGGTTGTTGTAAGGAATTGGCATTTGATCATTAAACATCATGAATGCTTCCAAGCCTTGGGTATTTGGAGTAATCTCAGTTATGGTGTGTCTGTGATTTAAGGTAGGCTTCTTTGGAGATGGAGTTTTGTACTCAAAAGAAGTAGAGGCGGCTCTTCTTCTTTCAGGAGTAGCCATCACTGGAGCAGTAGACATGTAAGGTGTCTTAATGGAGTCTTGCTGTTGTGCTTGTTGTGGGTATGGGTAAGCATTGAACTGTGAATTGAAAGAAGACATATCGAATTGAAAGTCATCCATAGAAAGGCCAAGACCAGCTTCAGGCATTGTGAAAAGAGGCATAGTGCTAGTATTAATAGTCACAGGCTGTTGTTGATTAATAAAGTTATTGAAATCATTATTGGCGTTGTTCATGCTAGAATCATATAATGAAAACATGGACTCTTCATCTGAAGAGATCGAAAAGGTATCATTTGAAGCTTCTGAAATTGGAGATACATTAGCTGGGTAGCTCTTAGCAGTAACTGAAGAGGTAGAAGTAGAAACTTTCTGCTTCTTGCTAGCAACTTCTTCGTCAGATCTAACTGGAGAAAGATCAACGAAAACAAAGTCTTTTGGCTTTCCTGGTTGGTTCTTTGGTCTTCTCAAAGGTGGTCTCTTAGTCAGATAAGCCTTGCCTGCAGCGACAATCTTAAGTGAGTTTTCAAGACATTCTCTGGAAGAATTGTGAACAGGGTTGGAAGTGCTCAATGGCTTCCTTGGAACTCTCCAAAGTTTTCTTCCATTAGCTGGTGGTTGTGGAATCATTGTGAAGTATTAATAAGGAGTGTAATATATAGCGACAGTATCTGTAAGAGTAATTGTAGTAAGTAACAATAGTTGTGGTACTTCTAGTTCAAAGTAATTTATGTGGGTATAAAATGATCAAGTGATCTTAGAATTACTAGAACTGTTAGAGGAGTTTGATATTAGAATAGAGAAAGGGAAAATTAAAACGAATGTCAAATAAGGGGGATAAGAGGGTAATTTATAGTTGAAATTGCAAAATGCAAAATAAAAAATTCAAACCATAGGATGGAAAAGTGACACAGGCAAATTCCGTTGCTCACATTTAAAAATTGCAGCCTAATGCACAATTTGGACTTAGAATTATAACCACGAAAACTATCGATTTTTGATTCGTTTCTTTCGACGTTTCGATATAGACTGATATGTACATCACTTTAGTATTGATATATTCAACAATAATTGAGTAAACTACACTTTTTACCGCTTCAATTGATGTTCTAATCCATCAATTACCTGTAGAGGTTAGTTTGATTTGGTTGTAGACTGTTCGCAGAAGTTGTCCTGTACATAATCTTTTGATCTATGCAATTTCCCAATCAGGTATCATTGGGTGCATAAACATCTACCTCATTAGGAGGGGCTCACTCCTCATTTTACCGTATTCGGTTATGTAAATATAGCACATGCGTGAGGGGACAAATTTTATAAAAAATAAAATTTAAACGATATCTGGGGTAATGTAATTGCTATTAAATGTGTGAAAATAAAACGGAATAGCAAACTATTTTTTGAAGGGATGCTGCTAATATTATCCATCACTGGATATTTTGAACAAGCCCTAGGCTTAGATGCGAGGAATGTTAGTAGTCACGGTGTTCTCTCTTCAAGTGGATCCTCTACTTTCCGGTTTAATGGTTTGTACCATCAATGAATGCCGTCTGTCCCTTCGTCCAATGATTTAAATTTCATTGTATGAATTTGGTCAGCTAAACGTCCAATTTCCCGATTAGTCGATGCACCTAATAAACTAATTAGGAAGGACGGGAGAGAAATTGGCGAGGGGTCAAGGGGAACAATGCGAGGGAATGTTAACGTGCGGCTCAATACAGATTGCTCAAAACCTTTAATGTACTAATTAAACAAATGGGGTAATCCTGAAATTGGCAGATGATTGCCATGAGATTTCCGAGCGGACTTAATTAGCGGGACTTGAAGGTGGAGGGGCTCAACGGAGGGACATGTGAGAGGATAAAATAGAAGTGTTGAAGACCTTCTAGCGGCTCTTTTCAGCCCCTTGATATGGCTTATTTTAATGAGCGTGTACTACAACTAATATTTACGAAGTTACAGAAAATTTATAGCTAAGCTAGATTCATATATATGTAATATATATCTCTAATTATCTGGAAATATGAAAAAGCTCCTTGTGAGGGCCATCCGTAGCCTAATTGTGAATATGAAATTTACCTTCATATGATGTCATTGTCTCCATGTAAGTGAAAAAAAATACGACAATGTGGAAATGAAAATGGGGAATTTTCATTTGGTACCCCACTTGCCCCTCCCTCCGCTCAAGCTAGCCTTTTCCGTACCTTGCATTTCCTTCTCCAGTGGAAGGGGCTACCCTTTTCATAATTGCACATTTGCTACAATGTCTAATTAACTGATCCCTCATCTCTTAGAAGTCTATTCATTTTTGTAAAGTAAAGAAACGTTGTTTATCGTAAGGATGACATATAGTCTATAGAGGGACAAGTCACTACTGAAGAGAATTATTATATGAGAGATTTACGACCCTAATAACTGAGTTGCAGCGTTAGTTCCATATTCTGTCACTTTTTGGAAGCGACAAAGTACATATTATTTCATGTAGAAGGTGTGTGAATTTGGACGTTCATCAACGGAATTAGCTGCATGAAATTAACGCACGAAAAATTGAAAAGAGTAATTTTTACCCCGATGCCCTTTTTGGCATTATAAGATATTAATGTAGAATTAGGCCCTAACGGACGTTTATCAAGTAGCAATGACGAAATATCTACAACTATTGCTTTACATGCTACTTGAGTAAAGAAATTGTTCTAAAAGAGAAAGGCACTTCTCTGGGGTCTTACGCAGAGTTGTTTCATCTTTGAAAAGATTTTCGAAGGAGTTGAAAAATTTCAAATACATGGCACATGCAGAGTCAGAATTATCCTATTGTCTTTTCACCTATTTCCTAAAGAGTTAGTCCCCATAAAAAATAAACCATTATTCGAGGAAAAAGGAAAGTGATTACTATTGTTCTGGTTCAATTTACCTTGACTCATTGATAGCACTATCTCGTGGAGTTTCGGAGTTGAACTTAAAGGATGCTATATTAGGAGCAACCTCACTTTTACTCCACTTTTTGTCTTAATTCTATCTTAATTGGAAAGGATCATTACTTTTTCCTCTCTATTGCTCTATCTTGCGAGGGGTGATTTAGCCCTCTCAGCGAATATTTCTTTCTTTCCGCTGCATGATTTAGCTTTTTCAATTGGAAGGTTATTTCACTGTCGACGAAATATGACTGAAGGTTGCGCGGGCACAATAGCAAATTAGATTGTCCTATTTCCGCATTACCCCACATTTTTTTTTTTTTTCATTTCATTAGCATCCACATCGAAGCCTCAGATACTCCATGTGAAACGGTTTTTGGTTGCATTTCAAATTGCCCGGACAACCATACGGAAGGTAAGTAATTCTTCATGCAAAATCCTCTACTTGCATTTGTATTGTTTAAGGGATTCAGTATGTAGCATATTGACCCCACTATTCACATCCGAGTGAAAAATGAAAAATGCTTTATTGTTCGAATGGAAGGGAAGGGATTATTAGAATCAGAAGTGCAAATAGTGAACTATCATGTTCAATGATATCACACAAAAAAATAAAATGAAAATGTGACTTCCGAAATGTGTGACTCGAAAAAGGATTAACGAGAGGAAGCAATCACCACAAAGGTTCTGAAAATTTGGCAATGACTATTTCAATTTGTTTGTTTACTTTCATTGTATTACTTCGAAGGGTCACTTGTCTGAAACACCTAGAATCAAAAAATGTCCAACATTTTTTGTTGATGATTATGAAATGCTGCCGCTAGGTCAGGGTCATTGTTCGAAAAATAGAAGCTTTAGGATTCTTGTTGAAACTCTACACCCACAGTATTAATATCAGAATAAGCTTTACAAGCGAAGAAAATTAAAAAATGGAAGAATCTAAAAAAAAAGAGTATACCTTCTTATTTGAATTTAGCCCGCTAGTCCCTAAAGGGGTTTTAAAATTCTTCAAAACAGGTCCATTATCCTTTTAAAAGGACTTACAAATGTACTAATAAATTATCCTATTTTATACTACAGCTTTACATCAATACCTTGATTCTCATAGACTGCGTAAGCCACCGTGATCTACTAAACGCGGGAGACTTTGGAAGGACTCCGCAACTTTCGTACCATTGACTAAATTGCTAAGCGAAAGATGGTCGCAGCACCGACTCCAAGCGAGTAAAGAAATGGGCAAAATACTTCACCCTAAGAGTAGAACTAGCGTAGGAAGGTTCAGTCGTGTACAGAGTTTAATTGCCTACCTCATTATCGATTCTTCATGACTAGAAACTGAAGTAAAGCGATCAAAAGTGCCAACTTCGGTTTTAAGTTACTACTGTAGGACTGACTAATATTATTGTTACGAAACCTTGTCTACTTCTAAAAAAATTATCGCATTCTCTTCTAAAGTAGACGAAATATTTGTCTGAATATCGTTATGATTCTTAATGTACTAGATATGAGAAATGTAACATACCTATTACAACATAATTTGTTAGGTTTAAGGGTCCTCTTCTCCAACACAAAGCACCATTATGCAGGAACTACAAGCGATGGGTGTACAATGCATTTCACATACAGGAATAATTTTGATCTCTTCTAAAAATTTTAAAAATTTCATAAATGTTTCTATATACAGGGCAAACAACAACTTTCCTCCCATACAAATGTGCAGTGTCAAGAATCTCCAGCACAGTGTCAAATCAAAACCGTTATTTGTCCGCTTGAGCCTTCAACTTTTCCTCTTCAGCTACCTTCCTTAACCTTTCTTTTGCTTCCGGGGTATAATCCAAAGTCCTAGTATCAAGGTGCGTTATTTTTAAGCCTTTCTTTTCCTGTTGTCTCTTGAGCACTTCTTCCTCTGAAAAGGGAGTGTATTTGACCAATTCAAAATCTTTCAGAGCATCCCAAGCAGCGTATACACCTACAGCAACAGCTACTGTTCCAACTATAAGCTTATGTAAGAAAGGAGGTCCACCAGTGACGTTCCTACTCATTATACCTTCTGGACTAACTGTAGTAGTATTCCTCTTAGGATGGTAGCTTCAGATATTGCACTTTAGTTGGGGAGCACACAATAGCACACTGCATGCCATAAAAAAAAAACCACGAACCGTCCTGCATATCACCATCCATACCTGCACACGACTTCATGATGAAGCAATTAATACGCCCCTAAAATCGAAAACACTCCACCAGTTAAGCAACACACTGACACAGGCAAGAATAGACTAATAGCTGAAAATAGAGGTCGTTCTTAGCATTTTTGTTAGATTATTTTATTACATTTACCTACAATCTGTATTTATTTTGTTTAGAGCTAACCCAAAATGGCTGCATTACCGAAAAGAATTATTAAGGAGACTGAGAGATTGGTATCTGATCCAGTACCTGGTATAACCGCAATCCCGTCAGAAGAAAATCTTCGTTATTTTGAGGTCACCATCGAGGGTCCATCATCATCTCCTTACGCAGAGGGAGAATTTAAATTAGAATTATATTTACCTGATGATTATCCTATGTGTGCTCCCAAGGTAAGATTTCTCACGAGAATATATCATCCAAATATCGATAAGTTGGGTAGAATCTGTTTAGATGTGTTGAAAGATAATTGGAGTCCTGCATTACAAATTAGAACTGTTTTATTGTCGATCCAAGCCTTATTGGGCGCGCCAAACCCTGACGATCCGTTGGCGAATGATGTAGCTGAGGATTGGAAAAAAGATGAAAAGAGAGCTATTGAAGTCGCTAGAGAGTGGACTGCGAAGTATGCTGTAAAGCTGTAAACATCAGAGGTATAAAAGAGGTATATCGATAAATATCTCTACGGAGAGTGGTGTGTGCATGTAATTTACTTGAGAAGATGTTCGCATAGTATCTGATGCTTTGGCCGTGTCTATTGTAAAGGGAAAGTTTGTTTTCTCTAAGCTGCAGAACTTTCGGGATATGGGCTAGACTTTGATGATAATGATACTACTCAATCTACATCAAATTAACTTTTTGGGCTAGAACTTGTATAGTTAATGGATTAATTGTTTAATCTTCGTTGTTTATGTTACAGGATTGTAGTTTAATAGAACAGATTTATGGAACCTAAATGAGACGTGTACGGTGAATGAGCTGCATAGTTTTTCTTTACAGTAGTCCCAGTATATTCTAGTGTATACTTGGAATGGTGCATCAAATATCCATGGCGGAGTAGATATTGGTAGACCCAGCTAGCTAAGTCTTTTTCAGCTTTCAGCTATATACAAGACACCATAGATAAGCAAGTGCTGAACTAGAACTGGGCTATAGTTAGCTGAGCACGCTTCCGTCCTCATTCTTTTCGCTGCATGCGCCTCGACCGATCATCGTGCTTCCTACAACTCTGATCAGTCACCACATTTAGAGTAGCACCCCCGATGTGATAGCGTGCTTATATGCAAGAGAATATAACACACCTGTAGGCACTACTAATCTACTTCAAAGTAATTTATTTCCTAGTGATAGAGAGTCAGAGAAGCATCACCAATGGCTCAGCTTCATTGAGTTCGTCACTATCTGACCGTACTTATCCCCAAGCAGTATTGTTCTTCACATATAGACATCATATAGTGCAGGCTCAGCCAGTCTAAGACTCTTAGCTCCTATGTCCCATATGCAAGAGGAGATTTCTATTTCTTTTTTTTTTTTTTTTTATTTTATGCCGATCGGTGCTATTGCGCGGAAAAAGGTGCCGGAATGCTTCCGTTCCATCGATCTCTTATATCCTTTAGGCTTCAACAGAATAAACTCTTTAATCGATTCAAGGAATATAGGAACATGGTATACACTCTTCTAGTCCACAAGGAACTCAGCTCTAGACAACGATTTACCTCAAATCTCCGAGACCACGCAGTATCGATACCGCTCTCACAGGGGGGAAGGGGTCACATTGCAGTAGGCTGGCTACGGTTCATATTTTTTTGTAGTGCCTACTCTTCACTCATTCTCCGTATTTTCCAACTTTAACTATCAAGTTCCTCTAGTGGGTGCTAAAAAATAATTGGAAATCTATTGGCGCGAGGAGATAAAAATAATTCACAGTGTTCGAAACTCGGCTGCTACGCTAAAAGCTAAAGTGCTGCACTTGCACTGTATCAAGTGATCTCAACATCAAGGACCATAGCCTATTTGAAAACCATTGTAACATCCGAAACTTCTCTACATTAAGGCACTCCGAGTGTGTTGGTATATCCTACCTCCATAGCCAATCGCTTTTACCTCCTGCATCTCTTAATCTTAGAATGTTTATAACATTCTCTACTTGGGTAATTTCGGATATAACGAAAATGTTTAAATTGTCAAAATTACTAAGGCAAAAGAAAAAGAAAAAGAAAAAGAAAAAAAAAATCTTTGTATCTGCGCGCGTCGTGCAAGGCTTGAGGTGCTCTTTCAGATTTGCGGTAATTCCTGAATTTTTCGTTTTTTGCAGGCACTATACTTCTTACTATTGTTATATAGAAGAGAGATATTCAGTAGGATAGCCAGAGTCTAGCTAGTGTGGAAATTAGAGAAAATTCGTTGTTGTTTTCGATCATTTTGCCCTCTCAATTAAGTTGAAGAAAATTGCGTGAATTTGCTTGCACTGAAATTTTTTGTTACGTGAAATCTACCAAACGTGTTAGTAATACAAAGGAGGCAGTTCCAACTTGAAAAGTCTAAGGAAAACTTAAGCCCAAAAGGAAGCACAAGTTTCTCACAACCGCATTAAACACACATTGTACTTGAATTGGGCGCCAACTTCAGAATGTCTCATGATAAGTCACCGTTCCTGGATCAGAACCATTTTTCCGTTAGTGAAATAGCGGATCAAACTACTTCCACTGCCGATGACTCCACACAATACTACCAAAACAACCACTCGGTGGAGGACCACCACCCAAGCACGAGTCAGGGTTCTAGGCAACCAGCCTCCCCCGCAGATCAGTCGTTTAATTCTTACACAGAGGCTTCGGATAATGAGTCCTTTGCCAGTGCATTGCCTACTCCCAACTTAAACGTGGATAGTAAGCGGTTTGATTTCAAACCCGTAGGAAACGGACATAAGCCAAATGCTTTAAGATTTCAAATGCCTGAAGCAAATAATGGACACAATGATAGCCAGCCAATAACTTCTAATTCCTCGAGTACCAGAATAAGTCTGAGTGGGCTGATCACCAAGAGTAAGATAAGCTCGCCTTTTATGGACAGCAATACCATAGTGGAAGATCAAGAATATGGCTTTTCCAAGCCTCAATCGCCGTTTATAGAGATGGAGGAAGATCAACAACAGCAAGTTAGATTTGGGGGAATCCAGGATGATCTTGACGAAAGCATCATTGGAGAAGACGAAGAGACAATGCAGAGACATAGATGGGGGACTACAAGAAACAAGAAAGGTAGGCCCAAAAAGGAGAATATTAATAGATCAAAAACATTGAAGGGTTTGTTACATAGCGGAGGTTCGAAAAGGAAGGGCACTGCTTCTTCTTCAGCCAATGCATCAAGAAACAATTCTATAAGGAAACCGAAGACAAACACATCCTCAGACGATGATGACGACGACGAAGAAGAAAAGATAGAAGAAGAAATCCGCGAGGCAAACGACAAAAGACACGAAAAGAGAGTAGTGGTACTTAATAGAACGTTGCCGGAAGAATTCCTTAATCCGGAGACAGGTTTGCCCGCAACTGTGTATGCAAGGAATAAAATCAGAACTACCAAGTACACACCATTGTCGTTCTTACCCAAGAATATATTCAACCAATTCTACCACAATATTGCTAATATTTATTTCTTGGCTATGATTATACTTGGATTTTTTTCAATCTTCGGGGTCCCAAGTCCTGTTTTATCGGCAGTTCCCCTTATCTGTATTGTCATCATTACTGCCATCAAGGATGCCATTGAAGATTCTAGAAGAACGATTTCTGATATGGAAGTTAATAACCAATATACTCATATCTTGGTGAACAACAATGAGTATGTTGAAGATGGAAATGGAGATGGTATAAATACTAGGTCAGTGGGAAGATATGAAAATAACAATGTGTATGACGAAAAAATCTCTCTCTGGAGAAAGTTTAAAAAGTGGAATACAAAACTATTATTCAAATTCATTGAATCTGTCAAAAGAAATCTTACTAAAGAAGGCAGAGCAAAAAAATTAAGAGAGAGTAACAATGCTCATATCGATAACGCTGTTAACAGAAACAGTTTCGACAGTACTATTGAGAGGACAACTACGAGAAACAGTCAAAATCCTTTTGATAACCGTAAGTCTATGCAATCTAGAAGATCATTGAATTTGAGAAAGTCTATCGGAGGTAAGAAGGAATTGAAATTTGCCAGAAAGTTTTGGAAAGATGTCTCTGTAGGTGATGTCGTAAGATTATACAACAACGACGAAATTCCTGCTGATGTCGTCATTTTGTCTACAAGTGATGACGATAATTGTTGTTATGTAGAAACCAAAAATTTGGATGGTGAAACAAACTTGAAGGTTAGACAAGCACTAAAATATGGATCGAACATCAAAAGAGCTGACGATATTTTAAATCACGACTTTGAAATTAACAGTGAAGGCCCACATGCTAATTTGTACTCGTACCAGGCTAACTTAAGTTATAAAGAAGAACAGAAACCTGGAGCTGACAGTAGCAGCGATGAAGATTCCTCCAACTCACAAGAACCAATTACCATTAACAATATTTTGTTAAGAGGATGCTTTCTAAGAAATACAAAGTGGGTCATAGGAATTGTCGTATTCACTGGTGATGATACCAAGATTATGATTAATGCTGGGGTCACACCCACAAAGCAATCAAGAATCTCAAGAGAATTGAATCATTACGTTTTCCTCAATTTCATTTTAGTATTCATTATTTGCTTTATATCTGGGCTTGTGAATGGTATATATTACACAAAAAATCCTAGCTCAAGGGACTATTTTGAATTTGGTACCATCGCCGGAGCCCCATGGAAAAATGGTTTACTTGGTTTCTTCGTTGCCCTTATTTTATATCAATCATTGATCCCTATTTCATTGTATATTACTATTGAAATCATTAAAACTGCTCAAGCATTTTTCATTTTCAGTGACGTTGGGATGTACTATGAGCGATTGGATTTCCCTTGTACTCCGAAGTCTTGGAGTATTTCTGATGATTTGGGCCAAATTGAATATATTTTTAGTGACAAAACTGGTACTTTAACTCAAAATGTCATGGAGTTCAAGAAATGTACTATTAATGGAATTTCATATGGTAAGGCCTACACGGAAGCATTAGCAGGATTAAGAAAAAGACAAGGTATAGATGTTGAAGCTGAATCTGTGAGAGAAAGAGCATTAATTGTCAAGGACCAAGCCGAAATGATTGAGAAATTAAATAACATCCACAACAATACATTATATGATGATGAATTAACATTCGTGTCTTCCGAATTTGTGGATCACTTAACTGGGTCTGCTGGCCTTGAGCAAAAGGATAGCAACGAACATTTCATGTTATGCCTAGCGTTATGCCATTCTGTGGTAACTGAGGTTGATCCGAAAAATGATGCTAAATTACAATTGAAAGCACAATCCCCCGATGAAGCTGCCTTGGTGGGAACCGCAAGAGCTGTTGGATTTGAATTTAGTGGATCAACTAAAAAAGGATTGATATTAAATATTCAAGGTGAGCAAAGGGAATATCAAGTTTTGAATACCTTGGAATTTAATTCTACCAGGAAGAGAATGAGTTCGATTATCAAAATTCCTGCCCGTGAAGGTAGCGGTGACGAACCAACAGCCTTGTTAATTTGTAAGGGTGCTGATTCTATCATCTATGACAGATTATCCAAGACCAAAAATGATAAGACCTTGTTGGAAGTCACGGCCAAACATTTAGAAGAGTATGCAACTGAAGGGTTAAGAACTCTTTGTATAGCACAAAGAGAATTGAAATGGTCACAGTATGTTGAATGGAATCGTCGTCATCAAGAAGCTGCTGCCTCTTTGGATAACAGAGAAGAGAAGATGGAAGCTGTAGCCGACTCTGTTGAAAGAGAATTAATCTTACTTGGTGGAACAGCTATTGAAGATAGATTACAAGACGGTGTTCCAGATTGTATTGCCTTGCTAGCCCAGGCTGGTATTAAGCTTTGGGTTTTAACAGGTGATAAAGTAGAAACAGCCATCAATATTGGGTTCTCTTGTAATTTATTAGGAAATGATATGGAGTTGTTAATTTTGAAAACCTCTTTAGAGGAGAATGAAAGACAAAAATATGGATTACCGAATAGTAAACTCTCAGAAGGTGAAACGGTTGATCTACTAATTACTAAATATTTGTCGTTGTACTTTAAGATGGAAGGGTCTCTCGAAGAAATAGATGCTGCTATCAAGGATCACTCCCCTCCAGAGGATGGGTTTGGTTTAGTCATTGATGGTGACGCCTTGAAAGTAGCACTTTTAGACCCAGACACTAAGAGGAAATTCTTATTATTATGCAAACAATGCAAAGCTGTACTTTGTTGTCGTGTCTCACCAGCTCAAAAGGCCGCTGTTGTGAAATTAGTTAAGGATACATTGGACGTTATGACTTTAGCCATCGGTGATGGTTCCAATGATGTAGCAATGATCCAAGCAGCTGATGTCGGAGTTGGTATTGCTGGTGAAGAAGGTAGACAAGCTGTTATGTCTTCAGATTTTGCAATTGGTCAATTTAGATTTTTAGCTAAGTTACTATTGGCACATGGTCGTTGGTCCTACAAAAGATTTAGTGAAATGATTCCTTGTTTCTTTTACAAGAATGTGATTTTCCCACTTGCATTATTCTGGTATGGTGTTTACTGTGACTGTGATGGAACATATATGTTTGAGTTCACCTATTTAACGTTCTATAACTTGGCTTTCACGTCCTTGCCAGTTATTGTCTTAGGTATTTTGGATCAAGATGTGGATGGAGTTGTATCGTTATTGGTACCTCAGTTGTATCGTTCTGGGATTTTAAGATCCGAATGGACGGATACTAAGTTTTGGATTTACTCGGCTGATGGGTTGTATCAGTCAGTTATTTCCTTCTTTTTCCCATATTTAATGTACAGGAGCGGATTTACTGGTATGAATGGTTTACCTATAGATCATAGATTTTGGATGGGTGTGATAGTGGTCTGCATATCCTGTATATCCTGTAACTTGTACATATTGTTTCACCAACTCAGGTGGGATTGGTTCTCAAGTTTGATTACTGCGATTTCCATTTTGATTATTTACTTTTGGACTATTGTGTGGTCCTCAGTGCTTACCAGTGCAGAAGAGTTTTATAATTGTGGTGTACAATTATTCCAAAATGGACCATTTTGGGCTTGTACTGCTATTGGGATTATCGCTTGTTTATTTCCAAGATTCATGTTTGATTTTATTCAAAAAATGTATTGGCCAAAGGACGTTGATATCGTTAGAGAATGTGTGGCCAGAGGAGATTTTGATGTCTACCCTAGACTTTACGATCCAACAGACCCAAATCGTGCTAAGATTTCTAAGTACTCGAGTGATACAGTTGCTAGAATGAGTTCAAGTAAGGAATACAAAAAGTCAGTGACTAACCTGATGGACAGCATGACACTAAGATCCAATGCTCAATCACCAATACCACAAGGACAAAGCTCCGCAATCAATGAACCAAGAAGGCAAAGTACTGTAGGGTTTAGTTCAGAAGCGGTGATTGGTGGCCCTGAATTTCAAAATGATTTACCAAACGAAACCATTATTAATCGCAAACACCATCATGGACACACTACTGGTAAGAAAAGTGTCAGTTCAACCAAGAGAAAATCAGTTTTAGACATATTTAAAAGACAATCCAATGTCAAGTCATACTATGACAATGGATCGCTCATCGACGGTTACAACTTTTCAAATGAGACCCAAGATGATTTATCAAAAGTACAGACGGAAGAAATTCCACTAGATGAGTTTGATTTTGCTCATAATCAACAAAGAATGTCAAGGATTTCAAATGAAAATAAAAGGATTTCTTATGACGGACAATTGCAAAGGATAAGAACATCATTGGAACTTCCAGAGATGGTGACCACGGAATCGCTTGTTTCCAGAGTTACGGAAGCTCCTAGTGAAAAGGATGAGGGAAAATAAAAGATTCAGATTCAGTCCAGGGTTAAAAAGAACAGAAGAAAAATGCAGTTTCTTTGAACTTATGCCATATTAAAAGAAATTATATATATTTATCTGTATTCATGTATTATTAATAGAAAGTTTTATATAGAAGAGGTTGTAGAAAGTGTAGGAAGTTGATCTTAGGGGAGTGGTGGAGGAACTAATAGAATTATTTCAACATTTGGCCAAAATTAGTATCTTACTTTGGAATGTGTTTCAATTGGGCGTCCCAGTATATCTACTCTATTTCCATACCCTGCCAACTATTCCAACTGTAACTCTACTCTCCTTCTACACTCTGCCAACTCCCCCTAGCTGGGACCAACTCTGACGAAACAATTTGCAACCATACGCGATTTTATTGATATATGCGCGGCTCAGAAAATTTCAAGGCCGATCTGCACTCGAATGAAAGAAGGATAGAGGGTGCCCATGGCTAGCAAAAGGTAGTGTGACAATACGAAGGTGAGCAAATTATTGCACACGCTTGAGTAGCAAAGAGATCAAGGAGAGCAAGAGCAAGAGCAAGAGAAAGAGCAAGAACAAGAACAAGTGTAGAAGCGATCAGCCACAGAGCCAAGCAGTACGAAGAGCATAAGGCACGGAATCACAACTGCCAACGGTTGGAGCCCATCGTCAGAAACGTGATTCCCGAGTCCCGACATTACTACCAAAATTTTTTTTCTTTCTTTTTTTTTTTCTTTTTGGCTACGTTCCATCAGCCTTAGAATTTCGCGCAAATGTAAATAAGTCTCTGCTTAAATCAAGATGCAGTAACGAACCCGAATCCTCCCGGCTACGTATGGCTGCACGAGCTGAAGAACAACTGAGAGAAAGAGAGATATACATGACACTAAAAGAGCCCAAAAAGCTCACAAATTAACCCCAATTCGCGCACTGCACATCCCGCTGTATCCAGTATATCCGACAACCGAGCGAGAAAGCGGTTAGTTGAGCTCGCTTACCCAGTGATCACCCTATAATTGACCCTCTTTCTGTTCTCCAATTCACTGTTTTCGAATTTTCAGTTTCTTTTTTTTTTTTTTTTTTTTTCTTATTTTTCTGGCTCTCAATTTTCACTCTTACCGCCTTTATTCCAACATTTACCCGGACTTTATTTCCTGTTTCCCCGACCAATCACACGCTCGCATCTTTCGACGATATGTTGTCCCCAAAATTATATATAGACCTGCCCCTTGTCCCAATTAAAAAACCAATCTTGTGAAAATTTTCCCTTTTCTTCTTTTTTTTGTTTCCTTGTTCCAATTACCTATATCTATTCATATATAAACTAATTTAAAATGGGTTCTGACAGTTCTTTCCTCATCGATTTCATGATGGGTGGTGTTTCCGCCGCCGTTTCAAAGACCGCTGCTGCTCCAATTGAGAGAGTTAAGCTTTTGATTCAAAATCAAGATGAAATGATCAAGCAAGGTCGTCTTGCTAGAAAGTACGACGGTATTGCTGAATGTTTCAGAAGAACTGCTGCTGAAGAAGGTGTCGGTTCTTTCTGGAGAGGTAACACTGCTAACGTTATCAGATACTTCCCAACCCAAGCTTTAAACTTCGCCTTCAAGGATAAGTTCAAGGCCTTATTCGGTTTCAAGAAGGATGACAACTACTGGAAGTGGTTCGCTGGTAACTTAGCTTCTGGTGGTTTAGCTGGTGCCACTTCTTTAGCTTTCGTCTACTCTTTGGATTACGCCAGAACTAGATTAGCTAACGATGCCAAGTCCTCCAAGGGTGACGGTAAGAGAGAATTCAACGGTTTATTCGATGTTTACAAGAAGACTTTAGCTTCTGACGGTATTGCTGGTTTATACAGAGGTTTCGGTCCATCTGTTATCGGAATTGTTGTCTACAGAGGTTTATACTTCGGTTTATACGATTCCCTTAAGCCTGTTGTCTTAGTTGGTCCATTAGAAGGTTCTTTCTTAGCTTCTTTCTTATTAGGTTGGGCTGTTACCACTGGTGCTTCTACCGCTTCTTACCCATTAGATACCGTTAGAAGAAGAATGATGATGACTTCTGGTCAAGCCGTTAAGTACAAGGGTGCTTTCGATTGTTTCCAAAAGGTTGTTGCCGCTGAAGGTATCAAGTCCTTGTTCAAGGGTTGTGGTGCTAACATCTTGAGAGGTGTTGCCGGTGCCGGTGTTATCTCCATGTACGATCAATTGCAAGTTATTATTTTCGGTAAGAAGTTCAAATAAGCTAATTAGCTGAAAAAATAATGATGACTCGTTTTTTGTACATATTGTTAAGTTGAATATACATAATATTTATTCATATACATATTGTATAAATTAAAGAAAGTGAATGTAGATACTAAGACAAATTTGTATTAACTTTAGCACGATGTACTTTTGTATTTCTTTTTATATTTTAGTGAAAGTTTATGAATGTCTCACGATCGCCTGTTGGTCACAAGATCAATTAATTTAGTCTTGTGAGTGTAACGATGTCCTTGCTACGGGAATTTCAGTTGTGATGGGGCATGGATCATTGAGAATTTTTTTACTTCGATTCTGGGAAATTTTTCAGAAATACGAATATGTACTGCATACAAGGAGTTACATAATAGTATATGTGCTTGTATAAGAAGTCAAAGAGGCAGTAGTATCTACTAGTGGTCAAAGATAATTTCCATTGATATATATTATACATTTATATATATATACGTTATATAACCAAACAGAATAAGGGATTAAAACCAATGTACTCATATGTCTAAATATAAAGGGGAGTTGGAAAAGAGAAACGACATCTTGTTTTGTAGTGCAGTCTTCTTTTACCATCTCATTTATCTGACAGTATGGCATCCCCCAGTGATTCTAATCTCAAACTCAATTCTGCTTGGCAAAATTCAAATAGAGTAATTTGTAGTCATTCTTTAAGTCATACAACACCCTCTCTTGCTTTTCGTAGTTGAAAGACTCTTTCAACAAGCTCGAACAATTGGATAATTTGTGATAGTTAGCTAATACTTCTTCGTCTTCAGCTCCACCATCCGTGATCAAAGTTGCCGAGAACTTACCAGGTTGGAAAATCTCTAATACTCTGACCAAAACATCGGTGATGGTGACAGTGTCCGATTTGTGAAACGGATAATTAGTCTCAAACGATGCGTACGACCAACCTGCCTCTGGTGTAATATGTAATGTGTAATAGCAATTACCAGAACTTGAGATCGAGTTGGATGAATACCCACATGGCGTGAATGAAAAAGCATCATGGATGAAGTCAAACTTATCCCTTTGAGCAACAGCATCTGATACCTTATCTTCGTCATATTCAAGGTTATCAGACAATGAAGGAGAGGGCAAGTACGATCCACCGGCATGGAAAACTTCATGTTCCAGGAAGAGACTATCTAATTTAGTCCTAGCCATGGTTTCTAACCCCATATCGTGACCCAAGTCGTGGTCTTCCTGTTCATTTTCATGAACCAATGAGGTTCCACCAGGTCTTCTTGTGGTGACAAAGTTTTTGGCCCTTTCATGGTCTAATTCTGTCATTAAGATTTCGAAGGTTTGATCTGATGGAGTGGAGCTAAGATTACTCTTTCCACCCATGTACAAATACCAATGATCGTCACTAGTGAAATCTCCGACAACGTACAGTTTTCCATTTTCGAAAAACTTACTTAACAAGTTAACCTCATTCTTCCAGTCTCTATGAACATGTTTTTGCTTCAATGGGAACATAAAGGATCTCCTCGAGTAGAAAATTCTAGCCACGTCGGAACTCTTGTACCCTTTTTGAACATTCTGATCGACCAATTCGAATAACTTATCAAGACACGATAACGTAGTGGTGGTACCACAGGTCTTCAAGATGATCTTGTGAGAAAAGACAAATAAGGAAGATTCGCTCAACAAATACGCATCCACTTCATTGGATGACTTCATTGATAAAACTTTACAATTGACCAAGTCCAACACATCAACCCAACTTTCCAAGGGGATTGCGCGCAATCCTTCACCTTGCAATGGCTCAGACTCGTAAAACCACACTTCAAGTAGTTTTTCTGGCCCTTCAAATGCGAAGGTTGAGTCTAAATTTGCAGATAAAGTAGTATCAACATATGTTTCATTGTAATAAGCAGGAGCAACCATGATAAGATTAAATTGGTTTTTTTATAGGTTTTTTTCCGTTTTTATGTAAATATTCACTGTTTCAGAATATTTAAGTATACTTTGTACTTTTTTTTAACTTTTTTTTGGGATTTTTTTTTGGATTTTTAGAAACTTACTCTAATATAGATGTATGTAAATTAACGACCAAGAAACGATGAGAGAAGTAGCAAGAAACGCTTCAAATGGATTTATTAATTTACTTTGATTTTTTTACACTGGTGGAAGGGGGAGGACTACCAAGTGTAATTATGTCAGCAAAGTGTGTAGGAAGGAATGTTGAATTTCTTTAATAAAGGAAGAAATAGATGTTGAAGTAGATATTTCGGTTTTTGAGTGCTTTTTTTTTTCTATTTTGATGTAGTCTGTTCTGTACTTGGTGGTGTTATCCTGGTTTAATTTTTTTATTTAAGGTCAAACGTCGTGGTTCTTTCTTTAACATAAAATTAAACTAAAACGGAATAAGTCAGCTTTGCGGAGGTTTTAGATGCAAGTTTAGTATAGGAATTGGAGTGGCCTATACTGTTCAAGAAACTTGCTCTACGTATATGAAAACCTATTTGACAAATAGTTTTCAATAAATTTAGATAAAAGTGGTGCTTTTTATTGTTTTTCTGTCAACTAGTGTTCTTTTCAAGAAGATACTGTCAACTGGGATCAATTTAAGATAATTTAAGCTCGAAGTTAGGCTAATTGAAGAGGACCAAGTTGTCTTTATATCTAACTTCCATTTTGAAAAATTTTTATGTGACTGATGCGCAAAGTTGAACAAAAAATAAAACGAGCCTAGGAAAAAATGGAGAAAATAAACTTAGTTAAGCAGAGAAACATATTGAATTTAGGGCTGTAGGGCCTTAATATTTTTGTTCTTCTTTTGTTTTTTTCAGCTTCTACGTATATAATGAAGGTGGATAAACTCATATATTTGAACAGGATATACAGAAAAGCTCCAGACTATTAGTGTCTGTTATGGGTTCTGCCAGTAATCATACTCTGATTTCCAAATTAATTACTTCATGCAGGAAGCTAAGATTATGCATGTTGGCAACTTCTTGGAACAATTCGGAATTGGCTTTCAATCAGTAAAGTTGATGTAATACGTAGGTATTTTTCGAAAATTCTACTTTTTTTTGAAGTAAAGAGCATTTGACCATACTTAGAACCATGCGGCACCCATAATTCTCTCAATTTACAGGCCCAATACCAAATATCCTATCCATTATCTGTCTGCTTATTTTCTGGGGGATCTCGTGAACTGTGCATGAGGCTCATGACCTGAATCATACTGACGTTAATAATTTTTTGGAGTCAAATGCATGGACTACATGCAGTCCTCATAGGAGCTTCTATGCACCATATCGATTAGATATGGACGACGACTACGCCTATGGCTACAAGGTCTTTAGATGTCCATTCTTTCCAAGGGGTGAGGCATCTTCTGGTCACTTTTAATGGACCTTCAATCACTACACAGAAACTCATCGGTATAAAACAATATATATATATATTAATAATACTTTCTATCTCTCTACACACTGGAAACGATTTCACTTGCATTTCTCAATACTTCAACCATCTTTAAGCATTCCTTTCTCTTTTGAACGGTAAGTTCATTTTCCTTAACCAAACTGGCCAAGTCTGGAGAATTATACAATTTCTCCAACAATTCCTTTTGAATATTTTCCTTGGACCTTACAATTAACTTTAACATGATAGCCTTTGGAACTATATCTGACACAGATCTCTTAACAATGTTGTAGTAGGAAGAGATGAGAAGCTTAATAACTTCAGTTTCCATGGTTTCTCTTTCTGACATTTGTCCTGTTGCTCTGAGAACTGGAGGTGGTGCTTCCATCGATTGAAGTCTCTTCTTATTCTTAGACAGGAAGAATCCCCCGAAAAAACCGTTTGCTCCATCAGTTCCGTCCATTCCAGCAGGTTTAGCTTGTTGTTGAGGTTGTTGACTTGGTGGTAATGGTTTACCAGTCTTTGGGTCAACTGCCAATTGAGGCTTAGGGTGGAACTTTTCTTCAACGATGGACATTGCTTCAGAACCCTTTAGTAAGTCTGGATGTGCGGTGTTAACATAAGTTTCCTCTGCTTGAATTATATCGGAGACAAATGTATTAGTAGGAATTAACTCATCCCTCAAGAATTGAATGAAGCACTGACTCAATTGTTCCTTTAAGCCAGGATAACGAGCGTATTGTGGTTGGCTAATGATTTGCGATAAGATACGGACTAACTCATCAAAAACAAGGTTAATACAACGGATGGAAGGGTCTTCCATTCTATGGATTTGTTGCTTAACAAGAACTTCAAAGGCTTGTGTGCCCACGAAAAGTGATGGTGCTGAACCGCTGGTGTTATGCATGATAGTTCTGATGTCAGCGTCCTTAATTTGATCAAAAGGATCTAAAGTCTGAATCCCGTTCTTGAAGATTTCATGGAAGACATAAGAGATTCTGGCACCTCCACTCAATTCTTGCAGAGAAAGTTCCTTCAGTTCTCCGCTAAGGATTCCATTATAATCCTTGGTGAAGTTAGTGATCATATTAAGGGCAATTGATGTAGGACTCTCGCTCATTTCAGGACCCAACATCAGTAACTCATTTTGGTACTTCTTTAAAGAGTGTTCGATTCTCATCTTGATATCTGGTAATGTCCCCTTAATGTGATGAAGCAAGATACCATTAAGTTTCTTAGCTAAGTAAGGAGTACCACAGTAGTGTGCCTTAGCCTTGTATGAAGGGTGTCCCTCAAAGAAATTCAGTTCGTCCTTTAATGCATCTCTGATAGTCTTTTTACTTTCAATATCCTTCTGACCTCTGTTGATAACTGGAACGTAACCAAATCTGAGTGGAATAACTCTACCAGCAAGAATGTCAATAACATCAGTACCTTGATCCATAAGATCAACCTTGGTCAAGACACCAATAGTTCTGGAACCTTCTGGGTCTACTTCTCTGGCCAATTTCAAACCATCAGAGTTGGCCAAATCGGTGTTTGCAGCATTAACAGAGAGAATGATGGCGTTTGGCTTGGAGATGAACTTCATGATCATTTCTCTAATTTGCTTTTCAATATCCTTTGGCTGGTCACCAACTGGAACCTTGGTCAAACCAGGTAAATCAACCAAGGTCAATGTTAAGACATGAGGAGAGTAGATTCTCAAGTTAATTGGAACAGGAGAGATCCCCAAATTTTTACCAGTCTTGGCGTCAGTTTCACGGACAATTTCAGTTCTGATATCTTCGAAGTTGAAGAACTTCTTGTTTGGCAAATGAAGGAATTCACCCCACTCTTCGGCGTTATTCTCTGACTTCTCTCCGTTTGCGTTGGTAGTCGATAAGTTGAGGAGATCCTCCGTGTCGTTGACACCAGGTTTACCGCTTTGGTGTCTTTTGTTAATCAATTGAAGCACAAGCGGTCTTCTGGTCACAATACCGGTACCTCTAGGTAAAAAATCACGCCCAACGATGTTTTCCAATACCGATGATTTCCCAGAAGATTGCGAACCGACTACGGTAATTTGTGGTAAGTCAACTGGCGACGAAGATCCTCCTCCAAGTGGAGCCAAGGCATCCTGAAGCTTGTTAATAGTGGAGATTAATGTTTCATCCATGGCCATTTTGTATCGAAATTATTCAATTTGCTTTGCCTATACTGAATAGATGACGGGAACTTCCTTTTATACTGACGCTGAAGGCGAACGTGTTTTTTTTTTGGCTGTGCGATAAAAAATCGCAGATAAACGAAAGAAGGTTAATATTGGTAAGGACACGAAATTGGGGACCTTTTTTTTTGTATTGCCCCTAACGTTCCGGCGATGGCTGCAATGCCTCACTGAGGCAAGCTGAGGCTGCAGAAGAGCTGGGCATACTTAAAATATGCTCCAGGAGAGTATGCTCTACGGAGTATGGTATTAGGAATGTGCACTTATAATGTGGGACTGTGTGTATGTGCGTAAGTATTTTATGGTCTATTTAAATATTATGTAGCATGTTAGTGTGTTGTCGTGTTCCCTGAAGTATGCTGTTCTGTTGAGCATGTATGTGTACGTATATTAATATATACTATAACTGGTGCTCCAGAATTTTTATAGTAAGTCTTCTTTTTTTAACATACTTTTGAGTTACTGTGGAAAAATAAACACGAACAACTACTCCGCCTTCTATCAATCAGAATATATGTAATATATACCTTGCATTCGCTCTTCTCAGTGTTGTTCTTCTCAATTGCCACCATTGACGTAATTCAATTGAGGTACCTCAGGATATAGCTTTCCGATGCAGTATACGAGAACCCTTTGAAGTCATTCACCCCAATTTCTAATCCTTGCTCATCGTTAATACTCAATTTCATTTCAGTAAATTCTTCCAGAAAATTTTCTGCCAAAATTGGGTCTGTTATCACTGGTACCAATGGCGGGTCACAACTCTGTTGTTCCAACTCTTTCCAGTCAATTTTCCTGAAAAACCTATGGTTTTGAAAGGATGACCACTGATCGTCCACAGCAATTCTCTTCTCAGGGTTCTTATTCAATAGCTTATTGAGTAAATCCTTTGCATCCATGGAAAAATAGTACGGTAATTTCAACTTATTCTTAATAATCTTGTCTTGTATAACCTTGTGGGAATTCCCGGTGAAGGGTGGTTTTCCAGACATCATGTCATATATGACACAGCCAAGCGACCACCAGTCAACTTTGAAGTTATACTGTTCGCCTTTCAACACTTCAGGTGCCATGTACTCGGGAGTCCCAATTATCGATGTACACTCTTTATTTTCATCGTCATCTAAATTCTTAGAGAGCCCAAAATCCGTAAGAACTAGATGGCCCGATGAATTTAATAGACAATTTTCTGGTTTAAGATCTCTATAAACGATCCCCAACCCATGCAAATGTTTGATGGCAAGCGCCATCTGTGCGGCATAAAATGCAACATGATCTTCTTTGAAAACATTGCCCAAGGCATTTTTTGAAGAAGTGAGATGATGGAAGAGTTCTCCGCCTGGGATATACTCTAATATTAAATAAAATTTATCGTGATCTTGTAATGCGTAGAATAGCTTCACAATATTGTTATGGTGAGTAATATTAGTCAAGATCTCTCTCTCAGAAATCGTCCTTGTAACATGATTCAAATGAGCTTTTGAGATGTCACTTTCATGTTCTGGCTCCGATATTATGCTGATAGCAGGCTTTCTCAACTGCTTCTGGGCAAATAATTTGCCTGTTATTTGATCTTGAACCAAATACACTTTGCCGTATGCTCCTTGTCCCAAAACACGAAGTGGTTTAAAGTCGGATAGCTTTCTGTTCGATTGATGTACAGAATTATCGTAATCCTTTGGAATTAAAAGCTCATTCGTCTTAGCATAGCTATGACTAATGGAAAGTCTATGATACGCCGAAGATTTACGTCTATGTATTAGTATCGGCAGCGTTCCGCTGCTTGCTCCATTACTTGAATCTCCTTTATAATATGTTTGAGGCTCGTAGTCCTCTTGCTCTGCAAGTGGATCACTCACAGTGTTGTTTATTGTAATGTGCTGTACACCATTACTGAAAGATTCCTCATCAAAGCTGAATAATGACATCTACCTAAATGTCTATGGCGTTTATCTTACACAAGAGTAGAAGAAGTGTTGCAATATTTCGATGCGATCAATCTAAAATTTTCTAGCTTGAGTTCTCTTTTGATAACACAGCGCATGGGCTCACTTCATTAACATGAGGGCTGATAAAATATATTATTTTTAATTGTAACCTTCTGCGTGCATAATGGGATGTGGCTACTACAGAGCGTGTTATAAATATAATCTTGTATATTAGGTTCTTCCTTCAGACTATATATTATTTAAATTTCATACACGGTAATTTCTGTTTCGTTTGCATATTTTTCTAGTACTTCTTCAGTTTGATCCCATGGAACTGCAAACAAGCCTGCATTGATTTTAGGCATACTGATATTCAAGTTGTTAGTTTCACTTTCTTTTCCATTTCCAGCTTCAGCTAAGCTTTTATCTCCACTTCCATTTTCATTTTCCAAGTGTAATTGCCTAATTAAATCTTTCATAGCCAAATCTGTATAGTGAACAATTTCGTTAGGTGGTAGTTTCTTAGCGCCAGTCAAATTGCTTGTGAATAAACAGGCAACTCTTTGCCCATTTTCAGGTTCAATTAACAATGTGGTTCCTAGTAACTCGGCGGCCTTGGTTTTCTTACAATGTTCGTTATAGATTTTATAAGACCGGGGAAATTTCTTACGGAAGATCACCGCAATACCACCACCCCATGACCCATAACAGTTACAAGCGTGACATAGAATCGACGATTTGGAACTGAAAAGGTCTCCCTTGATGTAATTAATCATTTGTTATGTACATGTATTGAATTTGACCTATATATCCATTAGAGAACTATTCTTGTTTGCTCCCCTGCAGAAACATGCTGAACTCCATTCAACTTATATCCGGATTCTGAACCTGCACTCAAAACACCTTCAAAAATCTCCATTGCTTTGATGTCTTCGTCGGAGTCATAGGTTGTTTGTTCATAACTGCATTCTAATTTAGCTACTATGGAACCGTTAGAAAGGTTTTTGTGCTCTTCTACTTCTTGTTCTACTTTTTCATCCTTTTTTTCCCTTTCTTTAATAATGTTTCCCTTGTTAAATCTATCAGTAGGTGTTAACATATAGAATTCTAATCTATCACCTTCTGCAAAGGTTGCAGTCGGCGAGATGACAATTGTACTAGCTTTGGCTCCCCATCCCCCGCCTCCTGCTATTACTTCAAATCTCTCAGCAAATGAACTGTTACTCTTTTGAAATAATTTGACATACACTTGGGTGTCCTTCGAACCAATGCTCATCAACTTTTCATTATCTTGAAGATACGATGAAGCCGATTTACCATTGATTTCTTTTACCAAGTTTCCTATACTTTTGGTGATGATCAATGGATCCAGCGTAGCAGAATATTCATACAATGGTGTCCAATTATCTTTAGTTTCTACCAACCTACTACTACTACCGCTCTCCTTGACTGTTTTCACACCAATAGACAAATTCTGCAATGCTTCTCCAGAATATTCCTTGCCTTCATCGAGAACGAACAATGTTGACATATACCCAGTGGAGAACAATGTATTTGCTAGGCTAATGCTTATTTCAATATCTTCATCCACTGAGATTTGCAACTGGGACTCAGATAGTTTCCAATTTTCCTTCGCCAGTACAATATTAATTCCATCGCTTTCCCTTGGCTCTGTTTTCTTGCTTCCAGATTGCAATAATTTAGCTTCTCTTACATCTATAGAGTTATTTAACCAAAGTTCAGATACCCCATTTCGTCTTGAATCCAATAACGAGTCCACTCCTGCAACTATCAACTGGATCCCTGGGTTTCCTTTGTGGAATTCCAGACACTTCCCAATGATAGTCGGTAAGAGCGATGGAGTTACGAAGAGTATACCTGCTCTCACGTCAGATTGCTGCACAAGAAGTTTATAGGATTCTGGGTTTAATGTAGTTTTAGCATAGTTACTACAAACAAGAGAAGTAGCTAGGCCCCTCCTGCCCAATCTGAACATCGTTAAGGTGAAGCAAAGGTAGAGAAGAATGGTGTACTTAAAAAATTCACTAGGTGCGATCTTTCATATCTTGTGAAATACTCCATCAGTACAAGGGCCTTTAGTAAGATATTTCCTTTAGAAGTGATATACAAAGCTTTGCTGGTTTGTTCATCATTCTGTTGACCTCCATTCTTCGCTCGTATTGCAAAGGTAGCCATTCCTATATTTTTACAAGATAATCTTAGTTATTATGGTGTGATATTATAGACTTATTCTACATCTTCTATACTTCTTTTCAGCGGAACTGCGGTCGCTACGGCTTCTCCTTCTTCCTGGCCCTTTTTATCGTCTTCCGCAGTTTCCTCCTTTCCTTCAGCTTCCTTTTCAAAAAGGGGTCCTAGCTTCTCAGTGAAATTCCTAAACTCTTCTTCTAAATTGACACTATCTCCATCTTTAAATACTTTCATTAATATAGGGCCCCAAATCCTTGGATCTCTTTCAGTAAAGTCTTCCATTTTGAACACATTCTTACCCAATTCCCAATTGGATTGCTTCACTCTAATAAGCTCCACCATATAAGCTGAAGATCCAAGGGCTCTGCCAAAATCACTTACCAATGATCTGATATAGGTCCCAGACGAAACATCTGCAGTTAAATGAAGTAAGGGTAATATTGGAGGAAGTGGATCTGCTGAATCTTCGGAGCTGAATATGTGAGTATCAATTTTTGGGACTTCCTCTTGGGATAAACCGATCTTTTCAAGATACTGGCTACTGAAAAACAATGGAGAATCATTTAAAGTAGGATTGTTCGCCAACTGATGTTCCTTTGGCTTGCCATTATCGTCTAGCTGACTTACTAATTTCTCAAATCCATGTTCCAATGAAAGGGAATCTTCCAGGAACACCTTTATATCATAAACTTTGACATCCCTAGCCTTTATAGCCCTTGGTAATGGTTTACCTTCTCTAGCATAATCATACAATGGTTTTCCATTCATTTTCAAGGCAGAAAAGATCGGAGGTGTTTGCTTTATGTCACCTACAAATTTTTCAACTGTCTCTTCGATTTGATCTTTGGTAATATGATCTACAGAATTTTTAGTTAATATTTCACCTTCCGAATCTCCAGTCGTTGTCGAAATACCCAAAAGTGCTTTGGTTTCGTAAGTCTTATTGCAACCAGTAAGATAGTGTTGCAATTTTTTAGTTCCAGATCCGATTCCTACAATTAATATCCCAGAAGCTAAAGGGTCCAATGTACCACCATGCCCCATTTTGATTTTCAAATTTTTAACCCTTGTATCTATTTTCTGTTGACTCCATTTCGTATCTGTCATTAATTGCTTCTTTTTAAGATCTTTCATTGCTTTTAAATCATTCTCAAACACTTCCAGAAATGTTAACACGTTCTGGAGCTTGTCTAAAAACTTCGTTGATGCGATGCCTGAAGGCTTTTCAATTGCCAATATTCCGTTCATATTTCTAGGTGTGAATCGATATCTAAGCATACGAATCCTGCAATATAGAATAACCTAGACTTGACTGATCGCTTATCCAGATGGTGAATAGCTTTCACTTTTTTTGACGTCGTAGATTTGGCACCACCATGCGAGTCTGGAATTTTTCGGCGATGATCATCTCGAGAAAAAGGTCAGCTATGGTACTGAAGCAGGGTTGGAGAAGGCACATCAGCTAAGAGGAAACTACTAGTCATTACATTCATACTATGGGAGATGTATTTGTTGTATATAAGTACATCAGAGATGTCAGCTTCTTTGCAGTAGGCATCACCAGTATGCCCCTGTTGTAAAATAAAATCTACTCTAGCTAGTATTTTCAAGGTTTCAGCAGATCGTATCTTCTCCACATATAGCAGATCGTATTTCCTTCATATACAGCAGATCATACTATTACTTCCAAGCTGTATAATATGCAATATGATTCTTCATAGAGTACTCGAAGAGTACTTCAACAGCTTTCTACCCAGTTACCTAGGATCGATGTTTAATGGCCTCGGTATTTCGATATCCAAACTCAAGTAAGCCGATCTTCTAAGAGATATAATTTTAAAGCCTTTCCCCTCTATATTACTATACTTTTTGTTCAATTCCTCTATATACAATTCCAATTGTGCCAATTTCCTCTTGCAATGAGTTTCAAAGATAAACGTATTTACTATCTTTGAATAAAACGTACCTGTTATCAATTCTAAGATATTATCCAACGCATTCCAGACACTATATGGATCAAAGGCTTCATATAATTCACGATTTATCCTTGTGACAATTAAAATTAATTCATCAGAAGTTATCAAATCAGGAACTAGAGGGGTCAATGATGTCTGACCAAAAAAATTTACATCGTATTCACCTTCAATCTTGTAGGTTTTAAGCGTACCGCTTGCACTATTTTCAATGATTGCATTTGGCTCTTCACCAAGTGGAAATATTGAAAATTGTGGAATTATATCAGACATATCTATAGTGCTATATATTCTAGGGATCCTAACTATTCTAGTATCTCGGTACGTCGATGAATCTAGACCCGAATGGTTGTTTGGAAAATGATTAATCACTAGTTGTGGTCCTACGGTGTTTGGATCTGTAGCAACAAATTCATGATAGTTAAAAAACAATACGGGAACCTCGTTTTCATCTTTGTTCTCTTCTTCCATTACGCCCAGCGACTTCCGCTGCGAAAGATCACCATCAATGTCATCACCCATGATCTACGATGCAAAGACTTGTACTCTATCCTACTTTGATGGGTGTCTTAAAAGTAAATTAAGAATGTACAGGTAGTGGATCAAAAAAAAAAAATGATTTCGCCCAGGATCGAACTGGGGACGTTCTGCGTGTTAAGCAGATGCCATAACCAACTAGACCACGAAACCATCTACAAGATTTGAATTTTTCCGAAAACCTTATATGTACAATACTAGATCATAAGAGGAAACTGCATTAATACATCATGACATACATCCTGCAAACTTATACAATGGAAGCTTTTTTGAAATGTATTAATCCGTTCAGAGGGCGCATTTAAAATAGTGCAGCAAATATAGCAAGCAAGTATAGTCTACTATTTATATGATAGGACAGAGAGCCACCTAAACGTCTCTCCGGTTCTGTAGATGCAGTAGGTAATTTGATCTTTTTAGGATTGACTACCACTTGACCTTCGGTAGAATTAGATGGAACTAGTTCGGCCATAAGCGTAAATGGGGCAGAAGTAGAAGTCCATTCTTTTATCACTCCCTGAAAAATAGCACAGTTAGTTGAGGAATATTGGATGGGATCTTTGATGTGCTTTTGACAATGAAATTCGTAGCCATCTATGTAAACATCTAGGTCTTGTTGTAATATGGTGTACTCAGTCTCATGCCCAATCTTGCCAACTATGAGACCATCTTCAACCACAATGCTAAAATTCAGCCCTTCGAAGGTAACATTGCAGAGAGATAAACCGTCATCGCAAGTCAAAATTGTAGCATTCGCTTTAGTGCCTAGAAAGAAGTAAAGAGTGTCCTTTTCTTCAACAACTGCTTGTACGTACTTATGGTCGACATCAGTTGTTCCATAATCCCCCAGAGGAACACTATAGAAGTAGTAATTGTCAATTTGTCCAGCCACCAAGCAGAATAATGAGAGTAGAAGAATTGGGATGGAAGCCATAATAATCAAGAAAGTCCCCAGAATTAGATAGTAAAACGCTGAGAGAAATTAGTACCGGTTCTTCACATCTCACCTTATATGTAACAATAAGATTAAGATATGATTTTTACATAATTAAAGCTTTTGACTTTAAAGTAATACCAAGTAATACCAAGAAATAAATTTCAACCATGAAACTTAAAATTAAACCTTAATTCTTTCTGAAAATAGTTGAGTTGAGCATTATCAATATTCACACAACACAGACTTCCCTCAATGCTCAAAATGTACGAGTGACATCAATGATGTTTTTAAGCAGATAGTAAACTGACATATTTATCGTTCAACCTCTGCTTGTTGCAAGTAGTAGTTCATTAGCAAGAATCGTCTAAACTGTATTATTGCAGTCATTTCAAGTTTGTCCTAGCTGACTAGATATTAAATTGTAGGATAGGATGACCCAAGAGTTGCTTAAATGATTTATCTATTTTATTAAACATTTGCAAATGATATGGAACAAGTATCATTCACTTTCCAAGTAGACAGTATGTAAGTCGTAAGTCATCAAGGCGTATATGGTGGGAGAGAATCTTTATCTTCTTCGAGTAGCTTATCCTTGCGTTTATTCAAAACACTTCGAATGCTGAACGCAACAACCACACAAAGAACCCAGAATCCAAGTACCCCTATAATTATTCCAATTTTTGTGCTCTTACTAATTCCTGAGCCGGAATTTGAACTAGACCTGCTAGTACTATAGCTGTATCCAGTATAAGTATAAGAGTATGCCGCTGATGTCCTTTTAGCAGAAGCAAAAGAATATCCAGAAGTTCTGGTAGCTCTTGAGTTCGTAGCGGACTGGGTCAAATATGCACTTACCCGACTCGCACTTGATATAGTTTGATTGTGTAATGGAATAGCTTCTGGGTTATTAAAAATTTGGTAATCTGTTGCATACAGAGAAACCTTTTGCAGCTGAAGTCTGAAATTGTAAAGTTGGGTATCTGACGTAAAATTTCCCAGGAGGAGAACTGGACGTTGCTTTGAAAAGAGTAATGGGTCTTCCACTGTATTGCTTGCATGGAAATCATACCCATCGATGTAGATAGATTGTAAACTCGATCCAACGTCTATAGTAGCATTGGAGTCATTCTTAAGCTCTTCTTTCCTGGCAACTATAAAGTATTTATCATCCACACCAAGATAAAACAATTCACCTTCGATATCAACGTAACAGCGGCGACCAAAGTGATCACAAGAAAAGGTAATTGCTTGACTTCTTTGGCCTAGGAAGAAATAGAGCGTATCCTCACTTTCGAGCGTTGCTTGTAGATACAAAGTTTCAACAGGCGAGCCTCCCTCTTCTGTATATGAGTAGAAGAAATAATTGATAGAGCTATGATAATCTTCTTTAACAGCCCCAACTTCACCAGACATTGTGATATTAGTTGGATTGAAAACTCTTTGTGCATCTATGACATCCAGCGTTGCCTGCTCCAATAAGAGACGAAGTTCGTATGCAAATGTTGAGTCCGTGTCAACACTATTAACAATAACGAAATGATCATCTGAGTACAGAATTGGATCATCAGCATTTTGAAGTGCATAAAAGTAGGTCCCATAGACATCCAAATACCCCAAAGATGAATTAACATAAACACGAGCATAGTCCTGGTACCCTCCCCTTTTAGAAGCAACGATAAAATCGTTGTCGTTTTGCCCGAGAGTGAAGTATTGATCATTATAAAGCACGTAACAAGTATATCCTGAAGCATCACAGGATATAGTTACTGCATCTGATTTAGGGCCGAGGAAGAAGTAGAGTGTATCGTCACTTTCCAAAGCAGCTTGTAAGTATAAATCGTCTATAAGTGCATTTTCTTCCACAGCATGTGCAGAGAAAGTGTAATTGTAAAGCCTAGCAGCAACATTTAACGAAAAGGTTGTTAAGAGAATTAATTGGAAATTCTTCATTGGAGAAATGATGAATAAAGAAGAGTAAGTAGTAAGATTCAATTGATAGGGCAGGATATATATATATATATATATATCCGTCCATTCATTTGACTGTAGTTACATATTTAATGAACCCAATATTGATGGCCACATGTTTTGGGCCCCAACCTGTCTGACAACAAAATCATTTCGGGTCGAAGCGCCAATATCCGTAGACACAACCAAATTTATTCTTATCAAACCTTGAAATATCATCCATTGAGCCGTTTTTAGAAATGACTACCTCACCCAAGCTGAGACTTCAATATGATGATGGAGATAATCGGTCCTAATTTCTTTAAACCCTGACCTTTTTGCTATGATATTTCGTACCGATTCTCATGCCGATGTCCCAATCAGGAACAATGATGATGTCAAGTATAAAAATATTTACGAGAAAAATATTCTAATAGACTAAGAAGTTCTTGGCTCATCTAATTAAAGCCCATACCTGCAGTATTCTCTACAGACTCTTTTAGTCCGGTAGTCAGAGCCCAGAAAATTTCGGGTAATTTGAGCTCGTGGGAAGAAGGTAAATATTTCGAGCTATTGGAAACACGGGTTTTTTGGTCATGCCCGTGTATAGCCTATAGAGTTACAAGCAAAATGAGATGGTCTTAGCAACTGATGAATTGCTACAGTTGTTAGTCAGACCTTAATGTACGGATAAGCTGTGGTCATTTCTTTTAACATCGTTTACTACTATTTTCTTATGGACCATAAATTGTGGACCGTGCTAGATCAGAACAATTGCGGTGTGCTCTCAGCATCCATCAAACTTAAAAGTTAGTTTAGATTAGTAAGAAACGGTTTCGAAAACGAATCGAAAACAAATTGAAAACGAAATGTTATTTATTTTCAGCTGGATGAATGCTGAGCACGTAATGTTGAGAAATTTGTGTTCGACGAAGTGATGTAAAGCCTGGGTGGGAGGAATGTACTACTAGAGACCCGTAACATGAGAGATAAACTAATAGGCGTATAGGTTTGAGTGGGAAGCATGTATTTCGAAAGAGATCACTCGTACTGGACATAAGCATTTGCAAACCTAGCAGGACGCACTAACAGGTGTTTTTCCAGACCATTCCAGTCCAGCCTATGTTTGAAATCAATCATAAGCAGCCCTTCTAGACCAGCTTAGAAGTACAGTGATATTAGTTGGTTAGCATAGGGCTCTGTTTTGCAACAATTACCGTACCATCAGTCCTGCAGGTACATCTACACCCTTTTCAAACTAACCCTAATATGTGCGACGATTTGCGCACGACTATTTTTTTTTCTTCGTTCGTCTCATCAGAGCGGAGGAAGACAACGCTAAATTTTTCAGTTGTATATGTTTCTTCTTCTTCGTTAGTATTTTTCTTATTAGTTTTCTCTTTTTATTCATACCACCTTATCTAGTAGGTATTGGTGGATTTTCCAATTCGCTAAAGTATGTAAAACCCAATTTTTCAAACCAAACTGAAGAATGTTTTCGATTACCTGATGAGATGAGCCGCAAGCGCTCTATATTAAACCCAGCTCAATTGACAAATCTGTTCATGATAAGAAACACAAGATATCTGATTAAATCGAAAACACTGACTTTAGGGGGACCAATTAGACAGAGAGAATGGTGTACTAACCGAATTTAGACTCCGCTATGATGGAAATAATAACGAATATATGAATTGATACCAAATTTGATTGACCTTGTAGATTAATTGTAGATGGGTTGAGCTAAAATCGCAGCTCGCTGAGTGACGATTCGTTCGGTCTAGACTGACCAACCAAAGCCAACTTGCACTCCATCTCAGGTGCCCTGAATAATAATGTGGGGGTACTGGATTCCAGTACTCCTTTTCAGCTACAGGCATGACTCTCTTGGCCTTACCTTCAAGATCCTGCCTCTCTTGACCTTACCTCCAAGATCCTGCCTCTCTTGGCCTTACCTCCAAGATCCTGCCTCTCTTGACCTGTCTCTCTTGGCTCTGCAATGTCAATATGTTGATAATAATCCTACATATAAGCACTGGAGAAGCACCACACTTTACCCTTACCTGAACAATACCTTTCAGCCTACGCAAGCGAAAATAGCCAACCAAAGCATTCTGGACATGATATATAGCCCCTCGGTTCCTTTTCGTCTGCGCCGGGTACCCAAACTACTCGAATTGGATCAACATAACCCTCTCAAAGCTCTTTGCAAGTCTCACGCTGTGTGCAGGACTCTCGAAATTTTCCACTTTTAAATTTTTCACCATTTCTCGAAAGAGCACCGAGAGAAGGTGTTCTTCTTCCGTAGAAACAGCCCCTTAAGTTCGTCCTGATATGCTTAGACAAGTTATTGGTCGTCACCTTGTGAGACAGAGCACTGTCAAACCATTTGCACAAGGATTGGTTTGGGCCAGGGCTCAGTCCCAGGCGGCACCTGTCCAGGGCCAAACACAAACCCAACCTCCAACTATCCAAGCAGGAGATGCTGCTGCAAAGAAACCAGAAGAATTTAAAGGACAGAAGAAGACGGTGGGAAAGCCAAGGGACTCAAAAGCCAGAGCCAGACGTAACTACAACCAAAAAGTCTCGGAAATCACACAGCAGATAAGAAGGGCCGCAGACTCAGCTTCTGCTGACTTGACTGAACCGATCCAGATCTTGGAAGAAGGCTTGTCATATCTTAGAGAAATTCAAAAGGCTGAAGGTATCAGTGAAGAAGAGCTATACAGGTCTTTCCAGGTGGTGATATTGACAATTTTCCGTAAGGCACAAGCTGACGGAGCCAACTTAGGTGGTAAGAGTGTTGAAGACATATTTGACATGTTAGTCCAGTACCAGGTGGCCCATGGGTACCATTTTGCTACCATGATGGCCAGAAAGTTGCAGTCTGACTCTGCAGACTATGACGGTGTATTGACCCTTTGGGTCAGGTACTTGGAGTACTCCAAGTTGCAACCAAACCAGTTCCAATTCTTCAAGTGCTATCACAGTAAGTTGAACGGCATTCCTGGTGTGTCGTACTACCAGAACGATCTCCCTAACGTGGTGTTCTTCGCCTACATGCAACTGTTGATCCAGCAGGAGATCAAGTTTGACGCCGAGATTGCTTCTAAGGTTTTGCAACAAGAAGAATTGCCAAGTCTATTCCAAGTTGGTTCCACAGTCGTTAGATTGGGTATATTGTCTAGTCAAGAGGAGTTTGGTAAAAGCTTTGGAGATGCCATTGACCAGTTCAACGTTGAAAGTACTGATCCTAATGGACCAATTGTTCTCAAGAGAATCAACCAGTACGTCGAGAGAAGATACACCATGGGTGTGAAGAAGACCTATGATCAAATTATAGAGGCAGCACTGAGAAAGGGTGGAATAAAAATCCAGGAGATTACTTTAATCAGATTCATGGCTGCATATATCCAACTTGGAGAATATGATTTGTGTTTGGATGTCTTTCTGAATATGGTATCTCACGGGGTGCAACAGCCAAGTGCTCATTCGTGGGAAATGATGTTGTTTGCGCTTTGTAACCCACAGAGGGTTAAACTGATGGAGAAGAACGGAAGAAAGTTGGACATGTTGGCACGTAAATTAGAGCAATGTATTGCTACCATGGAGGCAAATAAGTTGCAATTTAATGCAAAGATGTTGTCTGTAGTGATTGGGTGCTATGCCAACTTGAACTTAATGGACAAAGTCGATCAGTTAATGCAAGGAGAGAGATTATTGGGTGGAAAGAAATTACCCATTATTCAGAAGGGTAAGAACAACTACATTTTAGGACTCATAGCCAATGGATCGGTAGCAAACGCAGAGAACAAACTCCAACAATTCCAAGCTGAAGATGTGAGTTACATTCCACTGATAAACGTGCTCAACTCCTTCCTCAAAAAATATGTCGATGGAAAGAATTTCGAATCAGCAGAGAAGGTTTTGAAATATGCTAAAGACAACCACGTTGAGTACGATTTAGCTACATACACCATTCTCATTGATATGCACTTCAAAATCAATAGAGAGATGGGACAATCGGCCAAGATTGAGACTATTTTCCAGCTTTTAAGCGAGGCAACAACAAACAAAGATGGAACTCCTTCTTCAATCAAATTAAACGAGATTACTCTTGGGTCAATTATTGACGGGTTATGTAAAGATGGCTCAAACATAGACGCAGCTAGAACCTTGTATAAGTATGTTTCCAAAAATATGAAACCTACCAGGGAATCTACAACTGCTATGCTTTCCACTGAGCTTGAATTCGGATCGTTGGATGAAGCTAAGAAATTGTTCCAGATGTATACCCTGAACATCACCAATAGCTCGAGAATCTGGAATATGATGATCAAAGGGTTATTGAAGAGAGATGAAGAGATGGCATTGGAATTTTTCCACGATTTCAAGAAGAAATCCAATGCTCAATGTAAGCCAAATTTCTTTACTTACTACTTCCTTTTGGAATACTTTTTAAGAAAGGATAGAAGAGAGATCGTCCAAGCCTTGGTTGATGATATTAATGGAGGTGCATTGACTGATTTAGGTGACACTCTCCCTAAAGTATTGAACAGTATTAAAGGACAATACGAAGTTAGACATGATTTAGTTAATTGAGGAGCGAAGCCAGGTACATACACTAAAGATTAAAAGCGGTATCCTTACAAACCATGTATATAGAGACTTGTACAAAGCTACTTTTAAATAAATGACAATATAAAATTAGAATGTGTATGTACATGAAATAAATAGAAGATGAAGCCGGGTCTGCAGTAATAATTAATAGTCCACAATCTATTATCCATCTATTCCTCCAGCTCACCCATAGCCTTTTTCCATAATGGAACAGACCAATGAGTGAACCTATCAGAAATGTTTTCTATCGAGTCCAATGCGGGCCTGGTATCCAACACGAAAGCAGGCATACCCGTATCCTCGTCATCAGGGGCTTCATAGTAATCAATTATATATCTCACTTGCTTCCATTCAGTTCTATTAGTACCTTCACCTATATTTCTCAACACAGTCCAATCATGTCTATCGAAAGGAGGTTGACTACTGAAGGTCTCAGGGAACACTTTCAGCAAAGCCAAATACATTTTAGCACGAGGAGATAACTCGTGAGGCTTTCCAATGAATTTGAGTAATCTTGGTTCTGACTTGGATTCCATGGTGTATTTGTATTCCCACTCTAAGATCTGTTGCCAGGCGCCTTCATTAAGGAAATTGTGAACGTCAACCATCAGTTCCACAGCATCCTCCGGAATATCCTGAGCCTTTCCCTTTCTAAGCATAGCATTAAGCATTTGCTGGGGAGATGGGTATTCCCATACCCCTTCACCTTCGGACTCTCCCTTAGGAATAGTTGACATGGTTCTTGTCTTGGAGAGAGTGATCTTCTGGCCTGGTGCCATTTCCGAAGAGAGGTCATCCGGCATGTTGTTCAAGGGGTTGAGCACCTCATCCGATGCGCGCCCTTGCTTTTGTGAAAATTTTGTGTGGTCTATGGGACAGCCAGACGAACCAGATGCTGATGCCATTTTCTTGTGATCAACAGGACATTTTCCACCTGAAGAAGTTGGAACTGCCAGGACCAGAGTTCTTGAATCAGCCCAAAACCAACCCATTTTAATTTCTATATTTGATAAACGTTACTCAGCTATAACACACGTCGACAAAGGAGATGTCTGTTATATTACTTTTATATGTTTTTTTTTTTTTGCTTGAAGTGTTGGCTATCTAAAATTTTCTGGGAATGGTCTTTCCTTTTTCTGTGATGATAATTTTTACGTAATCAGAATTGGGATCACTGTTAGGTTACTAGCTGCGCACAGTTGAGATGGGTGGTCAGCAATCTTCAAAGTGAGGTTTGGTGCTGAGGAGTGTGTATAGGAGTGTGTGGAGTGTGTAGAGGAGTGCATAGGAAACTGTTCTATATGCAGACAGGGCCAGAAGCCGGTTTGTGATCTGGAAAAACTTCAAAGATTTTTCAATTTTCACCTTGTTCAGTTTCCCCACCGATTACATAAGCGGTATACGACTCTCTCATATCCGGACGTTATTCTAAATATGTATGTTCGGTACGTCATCAAATTACCCCGTAAAAAGTGCACTTCTTGTGGAAAAAAAAGAAACTAACACAGATCACGTGAATATCTTGAATTTTAAAAATAATCCACTTTATTTTTTTTCATAGTAAACAATTCCGAAAATTGCCTAATTAGCACTGAGGTGTTTTTTCCGAAATCGTCGAGATTGAAAAAATTAAGGTTAGGAGAAATTAATGTGTGTGAATGAGATAGCGGAGGTGTGAAAAATATTCAACTTTGTCTATTACGAAGGTGGGCGAGATGATTCACCGTGGGGGATGGAAGATACACCTAATGAAAATAAAAAAAACAGCTGACACTTATTAGAGTTACTAATCTACTGGTTTGTGAAATAGCTATGAAAAAAATACATTTCACGGGCGGGTTATTGATACTTGCATAAAGGATCCTTTCGAGATCTCATTGACTTTCCCCTAAAAGATCGTTTCTGATGTACGACAATTACACTGCAGAGATAATGCGTTGATTACATGCGCCATCCCCAAATTTCTATTGTGTTACTTTCGTCGTGGTAATAATATTTATTGTCTCCTATCTATTAAGAATTAAATTGTGTCTACGGCGCTTTCTGCACTAGACGCACGTTAGCCTCTTAGACTTTTGTAGTACTCTCCCAGTCCATAACAGTGTTTGTCATATGCAATGTTCAATAGTCGGACGAGATAGACTTTATTCTCTTAAACTATTGTAATGCTCTCCTAGCCCATAGCAGTGTTTGTAGTATGCAATGTTCAATGGCGGATGGGATGCAAATGAGTCGTTTCCTATGACTAGTGAAGTGACTTTGTTTCCTTTCACATCGTAGCTCAATACGTCGACGTTACGTTTGAAAATTTCCAGAAAAGCAAGAATTTCCTTATCACTTCCCCACATAGAGGTGGTGGTGAGTTGATGACAGTACTCTTCAATATCTTCCAATTCATCTGTCTGTTCATTGTACATGAAAGGCACGAATGTATCTTTATTTTTTAGCATGTACTCAGCAGCAAGACGGCGGAGGTCATTGATCAGAAGTCCAGTCCCTATGATCTTTGTAATTTCATCCGCATTATTCTCATCTCCCTCTATGTCTATATTATTTAATTGGTCCAAGAATGACGAAAACAAACAATTCCCATCAGGTTGAATCTCATGCAAGGTCAACCCCTTTTCTTCAATTGCAGCTGCCATAGCTTCCAGTTCTAATTTCTTATAGTCAGGAACTATTAATGCCTCGAGTCTTGCTTCCTCTGTCAACCTATCGATTTCTGCTTGACGCTTTGCCAATCTCTCCTTTTGTCTATTCCTTTTTTTGGGACCCGCAGGAGCATTTTCTTGAACCTTTTCTACAGGGCTTTTTGATATGCTATTATTCATAGTTTCTTCACTTACATTTTTACCCACATTTGCCAAATTTGTGGTATTATCACTATTTTCTGACAACTGCATCGAAGCAAGTAATTTTTCGGGTGTGATTTCATCGTATTCGTTTTCTCCCACACCAGACCCACTCCCACTTTTCAAGTCGGATAGCTCCGAGGCCTGCTTTTCTTTCAACTCTGCTTCCATTCGACTACAATTGCTTAGCACATTTTTCCTAGTTTTCTTCGTGGCTTGCTTTTTGAGACTTGTTATAGTGGCTGTTAAATCACGAAGCTCCTTCCTATGCTTAACTAGAAGAGCCTCAACTGGGTCAGAATCTGATGACATGCCGAAGTGAGAAGATTTAAACACACAAGAAATTAATAAATAGTTAAAAAAATGAGATAAATACACAAAGTCCCAAATGATCTGAATTGATATAACCAAACAATACTAAAGCACTTGTAGATACACAGACTTATATATGTATTGTCCCAGTACATTGCTGAGTTCATTGAAGTGCAACAAAAATTTTTCTAGGGTTACATGCAGTACACGACCCACGCTAGACATTTCGAATCTTACATATCTAAACGGCTACACAAGTGAAACTGAGTAGTTAGTTTGAACTCTATCTTGCAGACCAAGATATTTCCGTTCTTGACTCAGTTGTCGAAAAGAGGAGGAAAACTTATATCAAGAGTAAACTATTATGTCCCCGCTACCAGTAGGGCCGTCAAATATTTTTTGTAGTATATGCGTTTTATCAATTTATGCAAGGTTCGTATAATTTAACAGGTTTTCCGATTACTGAGCATGAAACGGTACAGACAGGTTCATCAGCTCCCCAATCATGGATCTTATGCCTCCTTTTCATCAACAAATATGGCTCATTTTACCTCATCGTACCCCAAAGAGACTCCTTATCGGAGTTTTCACAATGCCGCCATGAGTCCTGCATAACCCCTCTGCAGAAAGTAAGGCGCCAAGTATATTGAATGAGGAACTTTGGACGGTTTATCCCGAACCTGGACTCTTTTGAAGTATTACAAGTTGCTCTACGCTACTCTCTTTGGATTGCTACTTTTGTAGGAACTACACTTTTATATACAGCATTCATTTTTAATCTTGTAGCAAGTAGCATTAGATCTTCAAAAACTGAACGGTCGTAGAAAACATATACTTGAAATTACCAAACCTACACAATTTGGAAATCCAAAGATAAGTATATGGAAAATGCAACAAACCACTACCGCATTGCTCACAAATAAACTCCGTATTGATTTTATGTCTTGTTGGTTAAGTGGAAGGGCAGACTGTAATGTGGTGTGGGTTTTATTATCAACCAGGTCCACACCCCTGCACACTGATACTTTCATGCAATTGATCGCATAAAATAACCTTTTTATATGAAATTTTGAGTGTATTTACCTTCCAAGCGCTGCCAGCCAGGACTTGTATGCCAGACTGATTCATTAAGCTTTACGAAGGCTATTTCTGTATTGTGCCTGTTAATTGACGAGCTTCCTGTTTCAATTCTATTTAATCTGCCTACCAACTTATTCTGTTAAAACTCTATGCTATATCTAGTAACTTTAAATTTGGTCACTGGGTTTATCATTTCTCCTGGAAGCTGAAACATCTTTTAGTCGGTTTAAGCTTTTGTAAGTTACGGAAGCTTAATCATCCAATTCGAAATCTGTTGAGAGGCGCACAAGAAATAAAAAAAAACTTGAGTGGATACATCCTGCAGACACTACGGGCCCATCAAAGGGTCTTATGGTTGAACGCTTTAATATCCGAGAACGATCAACGGAAGTCCTTCTAAAGTGAAATATTTAAAAATATTACTGCAAAAAAAAAAAAAATCGAATTAGATTTAAAGGAGGTGGAAATTGAATAGGAGAGTAAGCAAAAATGTATTCGAAAGTGGTCAATGCAATATTGGTTTCCCTCTAAAAGTAGTCTTCTAAAAAGTTACTACAATTGAGTCGAAGAATAGCGATTCATTGACTTTTTGCGCCTAAATTCTTCATTAATTTCCAGTTCTTCTTTGTTTGCTAACCATCTCATCACCTCTGCCTTCATTCCGAATCGTCTCCCCATTCTACTACTTCAAGATAAATAATGTCTCAAATTTCTCGAACTTCCTTGACGCAAGGTGCAACTTGCATGAGCAGCCTTGCTAACCAGGATTTCAGTAATCAAAAATTATCTAGTCAAATCAACAGAACGGCAAGCACACGACCTACTCCAAATCAAGGTAATAAAGGTTATGTTGCTTTGACAGGCGTAGGCTCAAGGAGTTGGCAAAATGAAAGAAAAAAATAAAATGCGAACGTCGTTGAGAAATGATCGATTCATAAAAAAATGTCATTTCCTGTTAACTCAGGCCAAGACGAACACTTTCCTAATATAGTGATTGAGTTGAAGAATGTTTTGGACGGTTATGACTTAAAGCAATGGATTAGCTTAATTTCGATTAGATTTCAGGATTAGGAGCTCCTGCGACTTTCTACGTTATATTTAAAATTTCCATAGTGGTTCCGTAATCTATTGTACGTCTAGATAAAGATAGTTCCTGTTAAAAAGGTCTTTCTCACTTTTTTTTTATTTTTCAAGTTCTTCCTCTCAGATAATTTTTTTTTTGTGTACACCAAATTACCCAGGAGATAACTAGCAAGAGAGGCATTGTGTGGGATTAGTGGTTATGTCCTGTTTCTGAGAGGACGTAGACCGAAACTTTTTTTTTTTTGGTTGGCCCACAGAAATCAAACGAATAACGGTGAAATGAAATTGGGGCATTTCATACTTCAGAGTTTTTCACTTACCAGTCGAGTACACTAAGTTCCACCTAGTTCCACCAAGGTCCACTCAGTACCATTTTGGTTGACAATACTTAGGTCACTAGTCAATTAGTCAACCATGCCAATTGCAATTTACTCCTCTCCTGCTATCGTCGTCTATTCATCCTCTCGCCCTGTACTCCTTTATTTTTTTGTTCTAATCCCGTAATCCCGCACCACCAGGTTTTTGCAAAATTCAACTTTCTTTCTTTTTTTTTCCTAACCTTTATTTTTTCACCAATGCACAGAAACAAAAATTGGTACGTTGCTTGGCTATAGCATGGTCCGGTTACTGAAGGTCCTCCTACCACCTCCCTTGCAGGATTTAGTTAATCTTAAAATGTTCCCTTTTAGGTCTAATTTTCTTATGCTCCAGTAACCGCATACTCGCCGCCTCTCCTCCTATACATACACAGTTAAAATTTTCGTCCATTGTGCTTTTAGGGTTGTAAAGGTTCATATTTAATACTTTTAGTATCTCCTCCTTTTCTTTTACCAGAATTCTAGTACTTTTTTTTTCCTTCTTCTGTTTTGGTTTGAAAAATTTTCCTTTTCTTTAATTTTTCACAGTTGTTCTTGTTTCTCTTTTCCATATAGCTTTGTTCATTCAAAACTTGTTTCGTTTTCCAGGAAAGACAGAAAGAAAGGAACTTAGGGCCGCCGATCAAATCACCTCCACCGTGCACATATACAACATATACATAGCAAAAAACGTACCTTTACCCACTTTTTTTGATAGTATACATACTCACCTTCACTTACCATTACATTGATTCGACTTAATACAACTTCGTCAATTAAAAAGGAAAGAATATAAAGGAATTAGTTCATTGATTTGTCCCCATATTCCCGTTTCATTCATTTTTACATTTATTTACTTAAATCATTCATTCAACTTCATTTCGTAAGGCCATTCAATTGTTACCTTCACTATCATTCTTTTAAAATACATAACTTTACACTCGCATAGTCAATTGATACCATTGACACTAGAAAACAAAGAAGAAGGAGAAAGAAAACTGCCCAAGAAGCTGCTGTCGACTACTACAAATATATGCTAACTAATTTCGACAAACTTCTCTCTGCTCCAAATCTATTCAACCTTCTATTAACATGAACAACTCCCCGGATTCCTTCTATTCAATCCGCTATCAAAATGCTTCTGTAAAAGCATCTGCTGCTCCCTTACAGTCTATGGAGTTCCGTGCACACAACACGTCGATTAACGAATATTCCAATGACATCTTGTCACATCTATTCCTTATCCAACAGAAAACAAAGCCAAACCTTGCATTAATACAACAACAGCCAGAAATCAACTTAAAGATGAGACCTTTACTTTTAGATTTCTTGATGGATGTGATCAATAAGTTGCAACTTTCCAAATCTACGTTCCCACTTTGTGTGAATTTGATTGACCGTTACTGTTCTACAAGAATTGTCAAGAAACAGCACTATCAGTTACTTGGTTTAACCCTGTTGTGGATACTGTGCAAGAACTCAGATTCCAAAATCAAAATTCCAAACTTAAACGACTTGTGCAAAATGTGTTGCAACTGTTATGACAAGAAATTATTCTTGGAGATGGAAAATCATTTACTCAAGTCATTGAACTGGATGATCAGTTTTCCTACTTTCGATTCATTTGTTGACATTTGCTGCAAGGAGTACGCTCAAGATGAAATGTTTAATGGACTGCAATTCAGCTTGAAGCAAGTTAAGTACATGGCAATTTACATTTGTGAATTGATTCAATTCTACCCAAACCTTTATTTCAACTATTCACTGTCAGAAATCTCTGTCAGTGCATTCATTTTAAGTTTGATGATCTTAAATTTCAAGGGAGTGCAGCCAATGACGGAATTGAGCAAGCTCAACAGTAAATTTATTGACTCAGTGGAAGGTGGCATGTTGGAAGATCGTACGTTCAATACAATCCTTCAGCTGTTGGTTAAGGTCTTAAAATGTCCACCACCATCCCTTAAGTTGAAATATTTCAGCAAGCTGAACAGGCAACTCAATTTGATGCAATTGTTGATCAAATTCTGTAACTTGAACTTGACCCCAGTATCACTGAACCCAATCACGCCAAAGAATTCAATTCATAAATTGAACCAGTTGCCACCTACTCCGCTTTCGTCTAACATATCACCAAATGGCAGCAACCATTCGCATCCAAATGCACCGGGAGTTTCTAGCGTGGAATCTGGATTCTTACCAAGCCCTAGACTCTCTCCGCATAACAACAACAGCCAGTATTTCAATACATCGCCGCCATTTACTCCCTTGGACATTAGAGCTAGTACTTCAAGCAAGGTGAGGTCGGAATACATAACGTCTAGTTCGTCTACGATCCTTCCACCACCACCCCCAGCACCTCACCACCACAACTATCATCCACACCTTCATACTACTCCAATGCCTCAAGTTGCTACATTTGCTGCGACCGTACCAGCTGGCTCACTCTCAGCTTCTGTCATACAAAACTCTACGTTCCCTTCGAGATCATCATCGGCCACCTCAATCACCCTGTCATCTTCTGTAGCTTCACTTCGCAAGAGATCTTTCCAGATTCTCAGCATTGACACAGATCACACTATGGGTACTGACGTAGACGATGAAAACTTGAAGAGGTCAAAATCTCAAAAACCAATCTTCTACATTAACTAAGAAGAGAAATGAAAGAGATAAGATTTAATGTCCCCCACCCCTTTGCATAATTACTTCCTGTGAGAAAGCGATACATATAATTACTCTGTATCGATTAGAATAGACCGAAAGAAAACAAAAAAATACAAATAAACGAATACCAACATATTATTATTAAACAGACTTTGTAGCTGATAGAACCCTAGAACTCTAGAATTTTAAAACCTAGTAGGGAGTATCATAGTTAATGATGATTACAAATTTTGGTAAAACCGAGGGTAACTTTATGCATAGTCTTTTCTTTTTTTTTGTCTTCCACAGTCCGCAGCAGCTATTTTGAGGTCCACCTCTTTAACCGCAGGGCATTGACTATTAGTTACAGCGCTATGCTTTGACTTACAAATTGGGTGCCAGTACGATGGCGCCTATATGGCATGATATAGTAGTTGGCGCAGCATGACACTTTTTTGCATCCGAGCTTATGTGAATACTGGCCCACCCTCATTCCCAGCTAACCTTACACCATATGAGTATTATGCAACATGAACATGGACAATACTGCACAAATACGAATCTGGCCAAGAGTTTGGAACCACAGCTATTACTGATGCTAATTGAACAGTAGAGGAAGTCTATTTACAGTGTACCATGACAATAGCACTAGCAAGGGCGTGCATGGCCATTTAGGCGCTACAATAAAGAAAAAACGTCATTGGAGATTGCTCGCTGGACATACATATTAATGCGTTGAAGTACAATAAGCCAAAACGAACTTTGTTTGAAACGATGCTTGCTCGTGCAGCTGAGGCAATTCAATATACTCAACCACATGAGCCTGTGTTGAGAAAGTCACAGCAATTACTCGTTTGTTTATTTGCACCCAAGCTTCCAGGTGTTATTGAAGTTAAAAATAGACAGAATATGTAGAATAATCCCGTTACCAAAGAATTGAGGGCTGTAGCATGGTAGAGTATAGTCTAAGTAGTCATCGCATTCTTGAAAAGTATTGATGCAAATAGGAAAAATTCTTGAGGGGTAGATTGACAAAAAGAAATGCATGAATATATGAAAAGAGTAAAAGGTATTCAGCAATCTAAGCCTGTGAAAGATGTCAACAAAGGAACAAAGAAACGACGATGGAAACTATAACATATCACAATGTCTTTGTTTCCAAACTTAGACGGAAGCTTTAATGTGATGCACATTCAGTTCCAGACCGTACAATAAAACGTACTCTCCAAATCCCGTTAGCAGAGGGACTTCACACCTTTGTATACGGAAATTCTGAGATGGTGCGACAAAAGATAAATTGGAAATGAAACGAAAATGTTTTCAAACTTGGATGGTTCACTAGTGATTGAAGAGGTTGATTAAAAGGATTCAGGAGTATCCCCTAATTACAGCCCAGAGAAGAGCATGCAGCAGCTGAAAAGGATAAAGACAAATGCAGCAGTCGTCAATGACTATTGCGGGTACGTTCCTGAGACGAATGGTCAGGTTGAAGAAGTACCGATGGGGAAATTATTGGGCAAGGTGAACCAGACAAACTTTTTTGAAAATTTCGTACTTCGCCGTAAACCTTTGAAAATAATAGAGGGTCCTGTTAACGGAGTGGCGTTAGATAAATTTAGTAGTGATTCTATAGTAGACTATTTAGGATATGATGGGAAATTGCAAGTAGAGCGTAAGCATGAATCAGGTTATGGATTAGGTTACGAGAGGGAGAAGATGAGTTTAGAAGAATTATTGGCGAAATTCAACAGTGGTGATTTGGATTATTATTTGACGACCCAATACAAGGACGAAGAAGAAGAAAAAGTAGAAGAAGATGAGTGGGAAGATGAAGGCGAAGAAAATTCTGAAAATGGGGGCATTGAAAATGACCCAGATCAGGATTCAAGTGAGGAAGAAGAACAAGAAATTAAAAATGTGGACTTTCCTGATTCCGATTTAGACTCAATTGACCTTAACAATTTGCAAGATGACTATGTGGACCTGGATGAGGAAAGTTATGTAAGCTCAAAGAAGATATCTGATTTGCTTCAGCCTCCTCTCACGAACCTCTTCAAAAACCAAAAGCATAAGTCTAATTCTAACCCTAATTTTCCATTGATTCCTGATATTTTGTCCTTCCTAATTCCTCAACAAATTAACCTTTGGATAGGTGCAAATGGAAAAAAGAAAAACTTGCTTCAAGCGGAAGGTGATGCAGTCCCTCGTTATCCGGACTTAATGCCTGGAAAGCCTGATTTTGGTTTAGGTAGATTTGTGCCTCAAAACGGCCTTTCGTCAGGTTTGCATCACGACCATTCCGACAATTTGTACATTCTACTTCAGGGATGGAAAAGGTTTACTTTAATTGCCCCATCTGAGGCCCAGCTGTTACGTACCGTGGGTGAGATATACAGAATTTATAAAACTGGAATAATAGATTATAATCATCCTGGTTGGAGTCATGTGGCAGACGATGGCTCAGTTATAGAGAAGACGACAACTGATGAGGAAGAAGCAAAAAAACCTATAGGAAACCATACGCCGCCTAGTTTCTCTCAAATCCCCCCAGTATTCTTGCATTTGGATGAAATTGACGATGACGAGATGAGAGAAAATTTAACTGCAATTGCACAAGATAGATTTCCCGAGATTTTAAATCTTCCGAAGTTAGAGGTTTGGCTAAGCCCGGGAGAAATGCTTTACTTACCAGCGGGGTGGTTTCATGAAGTAACTTCATATGGATTTGACCCTAGAGGTACAACTGAAAGTACGTCAAGTGAAGTACATATTGCATTAAATTACTGGTTCGCCCCTCCTAATGGTGAAACAATTGATAAGCCTTACCGGGATGACTACTGGAAGGAAGACTTTGAAGAGTTATTAGAATTAATTTAAGAACCAAAAATTAGTTGTTCGTATGAAAAATATTTTTTAAGCTACTTTAATGAATTAGGAAGTTTATTTTTATGCACGTAATCAATGTCATGCATCGTCATGCAGGTACATAAGACCCTTTATAAGGTTAAATTATCAAAGTGTTGCATATAGGCAAAAATTGTAATAATTACTATAAGATTCATCGTCAAATTGATACGCTTCTGCTTTACGAATTATTGGATTCAAATGTGACCTTCCTGAAATGAAGGAGAGAAAAATATCTTGTATAGAAAATATCTTGAAGAGAAAGATTTATCCTTGCAGTTTCTCGTCGTACAGGATTTGCTAGATTGGAATTGATAGAGATTGCCGACATATCAGCATGCGCCCTGTCAATGAATATTGATATGACAACTTAGTAAATATTAACGATTCAATAGATTAAACGAGCAGACCTCTTGAATTCTCCACTTATTCTAGTTCACTTGCCCTAACCCTGAGTTTCATCAAAATTCCTCTTTTTAGCTATAAGGAACATTTTAGTGGGAATTTAAATTTCCCTCAGATTCAATCTAAAACACAATGCCAATCTAATGGGCATTGACTTATCTTTAATAATAATGGCATAGGAATGTTAAAGGCGTTTTCACTTACCGAAAGTGTTTCAACAATTCCTGAGAAGCCAAAAGGAAGAATAATTGCGAAAGAAATAAAAAAAATTCTGATTGAGAGGGTATGAACCGGGAATGGCGTTACCTCGCTTAGGGAATGTAGCAGACTAACCACCCTATATTACGAGGTTTGGAAAATGTGCAATTAAGCGATTTCTCAAACCTAAATAGGGATTTTCTGCTCCTATTCGGGTCGTGCGCACATCAGCTAGGTCTTGAACCCTCGAGGGTTGTCACCTTTGTTGGCACGGCTATAAGCACGTGACGGTGACTGTTACCGGTTTCGGAGAGAAAATTTCCTGGTGACTGATCTGGAAAGTTCGATCTCAGTGAGGTAAGGTGCAACCTCAATCGGGGAATAGTTACACATTAAAGCTTAAATATCACCTCTTCATGTGTAAGTGAATATTAACCTGTCAACCATGGTGATGTATCAGTTTACCACTGTAGATAAATATGAGTCGTAGAATAGCCATACATTATCACATATTGCTTGACCTGGCAGCTCCAGCGGTACCTTTCTTTGTTTTGATTTGCTTCTCCATATTATGCACAATTCGCAACCAATTTAATTTTCTCTTATCGGCACCTTCCTTCGCGCATATGTTGCAGCTCATGGCAGATCAGCCAACTCATCGCTGAGCTACAGCAGTGTTTGACTCTAAGACGAAGACAAGAACGAAGGCATTGAATAGCAAAATTAGTGTCGCTAGAGAACGATTGCACGGAAGGCAAATACTGTAGCTTCCAACCACACAACAGTAGGCCCCCGACGTAGGATCGTTCTGCACGAAGATCAAATAGATATGCACCACTGTAGGCAGTAGTAGAAAAACAATTCAGGACTACCTAAAACGAAAATAGCCCCTATTTGGGCATACAGTTTTTCTGTTCTAGCACAACAAACTTCCACATATCCTATCCACTTGTACCTCCTCACCTCTCCTTGCACTATAGATCAGCCAATTCTTACAATGAACCTCTGGTGGACTTTGTTATCTTGATCCGTATCATGCAGAGAATGCCTTTACCCCATCGCATCCTCTGGTTGGCCATTGCCAAACCTTATCTTAATTTTGTGCGATGTCGCAACTTTTTGGTTTTTCTTTTTCTCTTGAAAAAATAGAGTAAAAAAAAAAAAGCAAAAAAAAGTTGCAAAGAGTCTTCTTCTCTTCACTTCTTCCTTCTACATTAGAGAACGAAAAGAAAACGGTATGCAGACATATTTGAAGTGACGATCACGGAGAGAACAGAGGAAGCGAATGAGTGATTTTTATGAACATTTGAGGAGTTTTCACAAAACCTGGTGCCTGATTACACATGGACCCTTGCCAGCTCCGGATTAAATACGCTTAAACTGCAAGTGAAAAATCCATACAAACAACACACTGAAAAATATAAAATAGATAGGGCATATTGAAGAATTTTGCAAAACACTTTAGGGGAACATGAATAGATATGACAAGCGACTCGCAGTTAAGCTGCACCTCATCCTACTCGCCTGTGTCTTTCCACACCCTCCTGGTCTCTCTTGATCCCTCCTCCCCACTTTCTCTCTTCACAACTAACATTTAACAGAACTAAAGGACACTCTCTTAACCAGCTGTTGTTCCTTTACTGCAACCTTTTTTTTTCTCCAAAAGAATTATTACTATTATCTTCTCTTTCTATTTTCGTTGAAAGCAGGGAAAGAAGAACAAAGAGAACTACATTTCAGTTATACAGTTCCATTAGTTTCTGACCTTGTCATCAAGTGAAATTTCGCTTCCACAACCTGCAACATTTAGTTATCTTGCAGTCTTAAAGAAGAGAATAAGAAAGAAAAGACAATAAAGCAACCTGTTGTCTATTTTTTTTAATTAAAAAGTAGACTTTCTCCATTATTGTAAAATACTGTTCCACTTAATTTGAAATCATGGCAATGGCTGATAGAAGACCGCTCGGAAATGGTTTCCCAGTCACATCATCCACGCCTGCTTCGCCCTCGTTCAACCCGAAGGGCTTAAGTCTGGGAGTCTTATCTTCCAGCAACTCGCTGGTGAGTTCTCCTTCAGTTCTGATGAACTCTCCAGTTACCACGTCCACCGATGCTAGTGCTGTCACAAGCAACGTTGACTTGGACATGGCCCCCAACAACTACCCATTCAAATCGAAAGTAAATGACCTCAAGTCAAGATATTCTGATTCGGATGGGAAACCTTTGACTCCTGAGAAGAGTTTAAGTCCTGTTGAATTGTCTCCCACCCTGAGAAGCATCTCTCCAGATTCTTTGATGAATGAGAGGCAACCACAACAACAACAGCAACAGCAGCAACAAATGAGTTCTTCTGGATATATTAAAAAGCCAAAGAACTCTTCTCGTGCTCCAATTGCTACTGGGATTTCGACAACCATCCCAGTCACTGGTGAAAAGCCTAAGCCAGAACAGAAGAATGACGCCTCGTTGCAGGACGACGTCTTGTACGCTATCTTCTTAATCTTGTACGAAAAGGACGCTGAAGGCCTAGGCATGACTGTCAAGCAAATCTGTGACACTTTAGTAGAACGTCACCCAGAAATGGCCAATCTTTCCACGAAGACTTCCAACTTGGTTAGTGCCAAGTTGAACGCCTACGTGAAAAGGGTGGAAAAGGGTGACTCGAACTTGAAGTATGCTTTATCGAGAGATTGGGCAGACGCTTCTCCAAAGAGAATGGTCTACGTTTATCGTGGGTTGTTGACTGAGGATTTCCATTTGCATGTGAAGAATGTAATGAAGCAACAACAGCAACAGCAAATTCAACATGGACAACTCCAAGGAAATCAACAAGGACAACCTCAGCAAGGACAATATCAGCAAGAAAACTCAATAAGCCAAGCTGGCAACCAAAACATTAGTAACGACATCAAAAAATTCAACTCTATGGTTTCTGCTGCAGGCAACTCTGGTAGCTCTAGTATCAAGGCTCGTAGACAAACAATGTTTGATTTGGGTGTGACTAAAAACACATTCTTGGACACTCCAATTGATAAATCAAACTTGTTTGTCCCTTATTCCTCAGCTCCAGTTACTGCTAGTTTATCTGGTGAAGCATCCAAGAATAATACTGACTACGATTCTGAATATTCTTCTTCTTCCAGTGGTATTAGAAATGGGTTAAATGATGTTCACATTAGCTCTACTGACAACAACAATGTTGTAGTCAGTGGTGGTGATGTTACTGATGCTGACGCTGATAATGGTTCTGATATTGATTTTGAAGATTTTGAAGTGTTTGACGACGATGACGATGATTTAATCGATATCGAATCGTTCAAGACCTTTAACAAGGCCAAACGTTCCAAATCTTTATCATACTTGACCATGGGGAAGAAATCGAAGATTCTTACAGCTGCTGCTGCAGCCCCAAGAGCCTCCAGATCTCCAAGCTCACATAGTCCTAATGCAGCAGCAGCTGCTGCAGCACTTCACGCAGCTGCTATTAAGGCTATGCTACCATTATCATTCAGCCAAAGCACTGATTTGGGAATGAAATCTGGCTCCATCCACAATAAGAAGTGGTTAAATGTCGTGAGAAGCGGATTTATGACTCAAGATATTGGGACCCCAGAGGATATTAGTTTATCAGATTTAGATAAATTCTTCACCTAATGTAACCGTGCCTTTCAGTATTTACTTGAAGTATCCGATGGAAGCTGATTCTAGGAAAGGAAAAGCTTAAATATATTGCTAGTGGTCCGTAGATCGCTGGCAGAAATGGGAAATTTGAATATAGTAATTATCCAATGTGTATATTAAAATAAATTACGGGTTATGATAAAAGTTGTAGAAGTTAATACCAACAAGCGAATTGATCTGTGTTCCGTGCTAGGTCAAGCATTTCTAATACCGGTCTATTTAATCGAAAACCATTTCTACATCAACAAATTTACTATACATTTCATTACTTTGTCTATAGTTTTATAAGTACGTTCTATGTCATGTAGTATTTTGGACCATCACCACCCTCTGGCACGGTCCATGTGATGTCTTGGGTTGGAACTTTGATGTCACAGGTCTTACAATGTATACAGTTCTGACTGTTGATTTGGAATCTTACTCCTAAAGGTTCAGACTCATCTTCCACGTATTCATATACTCCAGCGGGACAGAACTTTTGCTCGATTCCCTTGTACTTTGGATAAGAAATTTCCGTGTGTTCACGATAATCTTGATTGGGGATTCTTAAATGGCATTTTTCATCTTCATCGTGGTAGGTACCAGTCCTTGAAACAGATGTAAGTAAATCGAATGTTAATTTACCATCAGGTTTAGGGTACTCTATTGGTTTGAATTTGGAAGCTGGTTGAGTAGCTGCAGCGTCAGTATGTGGGTGTGAAAAGGTCCATGGTTCAGCTCCCTTCGTTACAAACGTTGAGAGTCCAGAATGTGCCAATCCGAATAAGAATCCATTGTTGAAAGATGGACGCACATTTCTTACCTGGTTCAACTCATCATGGGCCCAAGACTTATTAAATGCTTCTTCGTAAGATCTTAAAGTAATTGCATCGCTCGATCCTTCTTCTTCAACCAGCTCTTCGCTGTATGGTTCTAATTCTTTAATTTCTTCGAAAATTGATTCTGCTGCTATTATACCAGACTTAATGGCTGTATGGGTACCCTTGATCTTGGGAACGTTCATAAACCCAGCGGAACAGCCTACTATTACACCTCCTGGGAAGTAAAGTTGCGGAATAGATTGAAGTCCACCTTCATTCAATGCTCTGGCTGCATAGGAAACGCACTTACCACCTTCCAAGTAGTTTTTGTAGTACGGATGAGTTTTCATCTTTTGGAATTCTTGGTATGGAGATACGTATGGATTAGCATAATCTAAACCAACCACAATTCCAACCGCAACTAAACCATCTCCAAAGTGGTACATGAAGCCACCTCCGTATACATCAGAGCTCAATGGGAACCCCATACTATGACCCACATATCCCTTTTCGAAGTTCTCTGGCAAAACTTCCCATACTTCTTTAATACCAATTCCATACGTTTGTGGGTCTCTACCTTCACGTAAATTGTACTTGGCAATGACTTGTTTCGTTAAAGATCCATGACATCCTTCTCCGAGGACAGTCATTCTTGCCTGGAACTCCATACCTCTTTCAAAAGAGCCCTTTGGCTTCCCAAATTTGTCTACCCCCATGTCCTTTGTAAACACACCGGTTATAGATTCTCCAGATTCATCATATTTCACACCATCCACAGAGATTCCGGGGTAGAGCTCCACGCCTAGTTCCTCTGCTTGCTCCGAAAGGTACTTCACAACATTATTAAGACTGACAATAAAATTCTTACCAGCATTCTTCATTTGCGGAGGTTCAGGCAATGGGAAGGCATAGCTCTCTGTCAAGTAGCTCATGTGATCCTCAGTGACTTTGGTTACCAAATCTGATGGTAAAGAGATTCCATCTTCGTTTATATCGTCCGGGAACAACTCATTTAATGCCCTGGGTTCTAGCACAGCACCACTGACAATGTGCGATCCGAAGTCACTTGCCTTCTCTAAAACCACCACTCTCAACTCTCCAGATCCGCTTTCATTGTCGAGCTGTTTCAACTTAATAGCTGTGGCCAAACCTGCTGGTCCTGCCCCTACAATACAGACGTCTACGTAGTCTACAGCACGCTCCTCATTTAAGATTTCTTTATCTTCTTCTGTTATTATGCTCGAGGATGAGTTGAATCTCTTGGAAGATCTTGTAAGTATAGTAAACGGCTGATTTCTCATTCCATGAGACACATTCATCGTTCTACTGAAAGTACTAGCGGCAGCTACCGCTACAGTGCGCCCTGGTCTTATGCAAAAGGGCCTAGAGATTCGACTGAAATTCCTCAACATTACTTACCTATGATAACGAAGTGGGTAGAAGCTTGAACGTCTGGTCAAGTTGACTTAAAGTTCTTGAATGGACTTGTAGTCCATCAGATGTGCATCACGTGATATTTTCAATTTTTATGACTCGAACTTTGGGTGCAGTTTTTTTTTTTCAGTTTACGAGGCCGAGAACTGGCGAATGAGAGCGGTTTAAAACGTCAGCTCACAGCCATGCTACTATGAGATACGGTCAGGAGAGAAGTGAAAAGCTCTGAATTCAAGAGGGTAGGCTACGATAACGGAGCAAATGATGCGAAAATCAGAAATATAGGAGCACTCTCGCTAATTGGGAAAGTTGAAGTGGTTGCACCCCATCATGCAAATTTCACTCTCGGTAAAAAAAAAAAAAAAAAAGCTGCAATATTTTGCACCCAATCTACAACAGTCAGTACACTTAGCTTTTATCGTGCTTTCTGTTTCTTTTCTTGATGTTTTATATTTCTTAATATCTCATTATACGTATGTCAATCTTAGACAACCATGCGCCTAAAATTCTAATCCGAGCAAAGTACCGCCTTTGCTTTCGCTTAACTAACCCATATGGTCAACGATCTATCATCTCTCGAATTCAATTCATCCAACATGTCTATAGCCAAAACCCAATCGTCGTTGGAATCCATTACCACAAAATCGCCATCTTCATCCTTGTACTTCAACTTATTGATCATAATGTCTTCGCTTGTTTGAGAGCTAATTTTAATTGAGATTTTCAGCCTCAACTCTGGGAATTGCACATTTGAGGGCACGAGGAACTCGTTGATTTCCATGTGGTTATATATGAGCTTAATTGTTATTGAGGTAGATGACATCGAATTGCTTGAAGTTGACAGAAATGAATTATCATTCAATGTAGTTGCCGAGAACTTATCAGAGATAGTGTTTACTGTACTAGAAGAGGAAGACTGTCTAGAAGCTTCGGATGTATTCTTCGGATTTTTACTGAATCTCATCATACTGAATGTTGAAGATGATGAATGATGACGTTGGTCTGTTGAGTACGATTGTCTACTAGAGCCAGTAGTATTGGCTGAAGTAGCTGTAGTAGTGTCATTATAATCATATTCCGTGGAGTTGTTCCCACTGGTATTATTGCTGAGACTATTGTTTGCTGTAATATTATTGTTGTGATTGCTTGCAGATCCTTGGCTATCCTTAAGCTTTCTATGGATTTGGTTATTCATTTCAATAGCTTTCAAATTTCTTAAGCAATTCTCCCATTGGTTTCTATTTTCTTCAGTTCTGTAGCGTAACAGAAATGATCCACTTTCCTTTTTACCGGACCAGGAAATCACCAAAGTGTATCCCTGCTGGTTGAGCGTGGATATATTGTAAATTTCCAGTATATAAACTCTACCCTTTAACTCTAACGGAGCCTTATCCTTGGCATGATTAAGTGAATCAAGTAAGTTTGCAGTGGACGAGGATACTCCTCCAAGTGAACCAGCACCTCCAATCCCTTCTATACTATTGAAACTATCACTTGCATTACTTTGAGATTTCTTCCGCGTTTGCAATAGGTTCTTCTTCTCTTTTTTAGTCATGTTAGCCGTATTATTGACTTCCACGAAGAAGAATATGATTTTTTCGAATAAATACGCAACGTACTCCTTTTCCACGTCCAGATCCTTCACACTTACCACACCGTGGTGCAACAATTCTCCTTGGTCCTTCAAGTTAAAACCTCTCCAGTTACTTACACGATCTATAAGGCTGTGTAAATAACCAACATTTTCTGCTCTTCTCTGGGCTTCATTCACTTGATTGGCGACTTCTTTCATAGATGTTTGAGCCATAGATAACTCATTAAGCAGGCCATTACCATTACTGTTGTCTCCTCCATCCGAATTACTTAATTTAATTATCTCTTTCAACAAGAGTGGATATTTACATAATCTCTGGATGGGTTTAATGATGTAAGATTGTAACTCAAATCCTGGGTCCAATAATGTTGAAGACTTTTTCAAATTAGAAGCTTCCTTGTTAATGAGGTCTATAGCAGCCAACTGCCCTATAGTCCAGGGTTCGTAGGCTTTGAAGGGTCCGCTAGCTGCGTGTATGAATATAGATCCGATTCTTTGATACTTATTGGGTACCTTATTGTTACATTCTAAACCAATCAAGAATCTCCTCTGGAAATCAACGATCTCGTTTAAATTTGGGAACAACACATGGATCTGATCGTTGGACATCAATTCTGCGTTAGATAATTCGTCTTTATATTTCAACAAGAGTTCTAAATCTTGCACATACTTCCTTTCAGTCTCAATCAACTCCTTCAAAACCTTAGATCTGTCGTCTGTGATAAGAACTTCACCTATTCCTTGTTCGTCTACCTCGATGGCTGCCAAAACTCGATTTATAACCTTGACGATTTTAATGAGATCGTGCGTAGAGTCCAGAAATACATTCAGAATGGTGAACATGCTTTCATCGTCAAATTTCAAATACGTTTTCACTGCAATAAGGAAATCATAAACTGATTTTTTACAGATTCTTAAATCATCAGAAGGTATTACTTGAAGGTGGCACTCTTTCTGCTTGTACACGGTGTTGAATACTAAGCAAAGCGGAGCTCCCTGTTGGAACAATTTCCAGATTTGCGTGACAGGGTCAGCGCTCAGCGTGGCCGGGAGCACACCTGCTGTGAAAGTGAAAACGTTATTATTCGAGGAAGGTGATGCTGAGGGTGACGGAAATAGGTTTGTAGAGCTGTCTGAGTGAATTGAGAAATTTTGGGACGTGACTGAACCTCTATCTCCTACAATCCCACCAGTTCCATTTAGTGCTTTCGATGAGTTGACGGTGTTGTTAGCGGTGGAACTGGATCCTATTCCGTTGCTTGTGCTCCCATTATTCGATGATTTACGAATTCCACCATTGGTACCGGTAGCTGCGTCGTATTGCAACTGCTGGGCCAAAGCTAGCGCCTGCTGCTCAGCACACAGCTCGGCCTGATTGAAACTTGTCGACAAGAAGGGGGCCATGCCTGGCACCTTGGCCAACTTGAGCTTCAAGATCTCACACTGGTAGTACAAATGCTCTTGAGCACTGCCTTGTCTGTTCATGGACATACTCATCGCGTTGAGTGGGCCAGACGAAATCCTCGTAATACTGGAGGTGGATGGTAGCGATGAATGAAGAGATGTCGACGACAGAGCAGAGAATGATCTGAAGGGAGCATGGGGCCCGTTATGTTCAGTTTTACTCATCACGTAATAGAGTACGTATCAATGTCTTAATGAATGTGGGTTTGAGAGTGGTTCACCTTGTTTTTGGTGGTGTTATAAATTCTTTCTTTATCGTGTATCTTCCCTCTCCCAAATTCCCTGTATGGTGTAATTTTTATTATTTTTTTTTGTTTGTTGATTTGTTCAGGCTCTGCCTCAGCTTCTGTTACCTCAAGAGAAACTGGCTAAATAAAAAAGAGTGAATGGTACCTGAATAAAGTCACGTGGTTCCGCTCCGAAAAACTGTAATAATAAATAAAGTATTCCCACCTACTACGTGTAATAATTGGCGTGTGTTCCTTTGGAAGTGCTAAGGTGTACCCTTTGAAATTTCAAAATTCGTTATATTTTTAACCGCACAAAATTTGTTGTGCTGTGTACAAAAAAAAGAAAACTGAATGCTTAGGCGAGTTTGGTTAGGTAGCAGTCGACAAACGGTCGTGTGCGGCGAATTACTACTTAGGCGCGAGGAATCGGGGATGTGAGGCAGAGCAAAACGTTATGGCACGGTGCAGAGGTGTGTGAAATAACAATCCAAAACGGTTATGGCAGCATAGGGAGGGAGAAGAGAGGCATTCCAACTTTAAATTGAGGATCCAGAGGAATTGGGAACAATGTTAAATTTTATTTTGAATACGTCTGTTGGAAGTTTAATTGAGGTTTGAGGGTGTGGGAATGAGAATGCAATGAGCATGGTTTACATAATTTTTCACTTTAATTCACTAGTTCTATTTTAGCTTCATTTCAAGTTCATCTGCATTTCGATATTTACGTTACTTTCATTATTTTCATCATTTTCATTTATTGTCAATTCTATTTCTCTTTCTGTTTCCGCCTTCTGTATTGTATTTTTGATCCTTCATTTTATCCCCATTTTGGTGATGTCAGTCGGTGACAGCCTTACCGTTGATACACATCAGCCATGCACAAGTCGGATTTTCATGCTGAAGCCTTTTTTCGCAGATATGACGCGGGGAACCACAGGGCAGCTGGGACTTGGGCAGCGGGTACGCTATATGCTAGTGTTATCCTAGGCACTGTTGCTATTACTTATGCTGGTAAAGAGCAGCAATGAGAAATAGCTGGAAGAAAACAAGGTCGAAGTAGGTCGAAGAAGGTCGAAGAAGGGGAAGGTAAAGAGAACAAGGTATCAATTAGTCTACTTGAAAATTCATGCGGCTCTTGCTATAGGCTATATTGTATTATTGAACCCAAACTAGCTTGCTAGAAACAGCTTTCCCTCTCTTCTTTTTATAGGTGTGTTGCGCGAGGACAAAAGTGGGCCCCCATCTTCCGTAACACAAGCTCAACGCTTAAAATCTATTTCTTCAGGTAGCCCATTACCTTCCCGTCTTCTGTAGCAAACACAAACCCTGTCTTGTTTGGAAACCACTTAAAGGTACTCAATACCAAATTCCCACTGGAACTGTTCTCCACTTCGTATATCTCCTCTATAGACAGACTTTCAAATATTCTTGCATTGGATCCACTGTCGAATGTAATAGCAATGTAGGTTCCATCTCTGCTGATATCGATACTGGCCACAGACTCGTCTATTGACGTGATAGCGTTTACATTGAGCATTGAAGAAGTGCTCCAGATAGATGCCACACCTTCATTGGACCCGATCACAAAGTACTTCCCTCTGGGGTCAACGGCAATGGCTGTGATGGAAGATCGGTGCCCACGGATGGTGTGTAACAAGTCCACCACTAAAGTTTCATCTTTTCCAGCACTACGGTCTACCACCTTATAGACTGGTGCAGTCCCGTCATGCAATCCTAAGACGAAGTAGTCATGGTCTTTGTTGAACCATTCGAGTGCGTACACATGCTCATTGACCTGGAACTCGTGTACCTTGGTGTAGCTAGATGTGGAGTAGACAGAAACAGTGGAGTCCCTGTCCACAACAGCCAACAATTCTCCATCATTAGAGTACCGCACTATCTGGCAGATACTATCCTTTTCCTCGTTACCCTGTTTCACCACTTTAATTTCTCTTTCGAGCAAGCACGAGTTCCCAGAGATCTTCCACACCTTGAAGAGATCGTCTCTACCTACAGTGACAAAGGTAAACTCATGCTTGGGGTGCCACGACACGCTCTCCACTGCCTTGGCATGGGGCTGCTCCACTATGATAGGATCGGCCAATTTGTCTGGGAAACATTTCCATATTCTTATCGACTTGTCTGTTCTAGAGTTGATCAACCGAGTCCCGGTCAAGTTTATCGAGAGTAAGATAATCTCAGATGACCCAGAAGACGAACGAAGGGGAGCATCTTTGAACGGCAAGGACTTAAAATTGTTAAAAAATGCTCGATTATTTGACATGACTACCAATTCAGTGTAACCGCTTCAACAAATCAGAATTCTCTACACTCTGGTCCACTATCTTATACCCTTTCCTACCAATTGCAACTCCTTCACCGTCCGCTGAGAATCTCGAAATTTTTCAAAACCGCACAAAAAATTTCACCACGCCAAAAGCAAAATAAGAAAAGCGAAAAGGAACACGTCTCACTAGATAGAGGAAAGACGGACCCGTAGAACGCTCAGAGAGTATGACATCCAGACCTAAATTGCTCTCTATTGATGCCTTTTCCAAAACCATAGAGGACGCCAAGATCAAAACGGCGTCTGGTGGAATCATCACGCTTCTCTGTTGTGTGATCGTGTTGTACTTAATCCGCAATGAATACAATGACTACAAGTCGATCATAAACTTGCCAACATTGGTGGTTGATAAGGAAATCAACAAGCCCTTGGACATCAACTTGGACATCACATTCCCAAACATGCCCTGTGAGGTGATTACCTTGGATATCTTGGATGTCTCTGGAGATGCCAAGGTTGATATCTTGAAGTCCGGGTTCCAGAAGTTTAGAATCACCAATCCTGCTGACCCAACCAACCTGGAGATCTTGGACGACGAGCTGATCTTGTCTAACGACATCTCTCTTCTTGAGATGGCTACCAGGGGAGAAGATGCCAACGGATGTGGGTCCTGTTACGGTGCCCTTCCTCAGGACGAAGGCTTTGAACCTAAGTACTGCTGTAACGACTGCCGTACCGTCAAGTTGGCGTACGCAGAAAAGCTCTGGGCCTTCTACGATGGTACCGATATCGATCAGTGTGAGCGTGAGGGCTATGTTTCCAAGATTACCGAAAGAATTCAGGCCAACGAGGGCTGTAGAGTCAAGGGTACTACGCAGATCAACAGAATCTCCGGAAACTTGCATTTTGCTCCTGGTGCTAGTGACACTAACCCAGGCAGGCACGTTCACGACTTGTCTCTTTATGACAAGTATGATGACAAGTTCAACTTTGACCATATAGTCAACCATCTTCTGTTTGGCCCAAGTGAGCACCTCAAGAAGGGAAACCTCATCTCGGCTTCTTCTCAGGACGGGGAATCTGAGGATTCGACTACGCCGTTAGACGGATACAGGGCTGAACTCCACAAGAAAAATCACATGTACTCATACTATCTTAAGGTTGTTGCTACTAGATTTGAATTCTTGGACAAGCCTACCGTGGAAACCAACCAGTTTTCGGTTATTACCCATGATAGACCGCTTGTAGGAGGAAGAGATGAAGACCACCAGCACACCCTTCATGCTAGAGGAGGAATCCCAGGGGTGTTCTTGTTTTTTGAAATCTCGCCCATGAAAATAATCAACAAGGAACAATTCGCCAAGACCTGGTCTGGGTTCGTATTGGGGGTCATCAGTTCCGTCGCCGGTGTCTTGATGGTAGGTGCCCTTTTAGATAGGTCAGTGTGGGCCGCAGAGAAGGCCATTAGACAGAAGAAGGACCTTTAGAGTGAACGAGGTTTAATCAAAAAGTATAAATCGGAGAGAGGGTATAAAATTTTACACAATGACTTCCTACAGAAACGAAATCTCGAGCCTGAAGGGCTGTAAAAAGTAATTTATTGAATAATGGGTAGCCTTTAAGCCTGGTTATATAAGTGCTGGACGAACCTGCTGCTTGATTTGAATTCCCCAGGACAGCCAGTCTAGCATACTGGAACGGTTATCAAAAGTCTTTTATAATAAAAATGTATACATCACCACTATGTAGGTTTTCGGGTTTCTTTTCAATCTTCCTCGATGTGTTTATGTAATGATGTATATATTATATATCTATCTATTTATCTATGTACAGTTATTAAAAATCCCCAGTTAGATGTCACTAAGTAGATGTTCTATTTCCTTATAATAATCCTTTTCTAAGTACTCTCCGAGTTCTTCCTTGGTCAACCACAAGAACTTGATACTCTCAGACTGTGGTACGAATCTACCAGAGAGAATGTGAGATTTTATGAAATACTCTCTAGTAGATTCAGATTTATGAACATGACATGGAGTATTGGAAACGTTGAAATAGTTTATAGAGTTCCCACCAATTTTATACAAGCCCTGTTCGGCTAATGTGTGCAATGGAGTGACCGATGAGTCTTTGGTATCATCACCTTGGGCCACTTGTTCTTCCTTAAATGTTGGTAAAGTCCACTTGGAGTTTTCCTGTATGATCAAGTACAACGTACGGGACAATTGTCTTTCCAAGCTGGCCAAGTCTTTGGACTCGTCAGCCTTTGTGATTCTCGAGTTTGGAACAATTTGACGGGACAAATTATCCTCCTTGGCGCCCTCTTCTTCTGCAGCCGTTTCGCCTCCTTCTTTCTTTTCCTGAGAGACCTCCTTATATGTCTTTGGTAACTTGAGTTCCTGCTTGAACCTTCTATCTCTTTGATGGACAACGACCGGTCTTCCTCTGGGGAACTCAATGTTAGGGTTATTGAAAACAGGACCAGGATTCAATTCTCTAAATGCTTGTTCGGAAATCGTTCCCTTTCTGTAGTAAAACCAACTAGGAAACGTCCACATCAAACGCTTCCATAATTCATTCTGGTACTTATAGTATTGTGCTTCGAATTTACTTACGTCCGCAGTTATGACTGGGTTCCTAGTAAGAAGTAAAGTTGATGAGATGGAGGTCGAATTACCAGCACTAGCAGTAGATGACGCTGCTGCCGAATACTTTCTTAACCCGCTTTTCCACATATTATTTATGGGCTAACGAATCACTGCTAACTGAACCGATCTAATCTCGGATTCGTTTTTAGGAATTTTTCACTTCTGATTTTTTTTTGGTGATAATTTTTCATACCGCGTAATTTTCAGAACGGTAAGCGTAAAAAATATGTTGATGAGTTTAGAAGAGTAGTAGTAGCCAGTTAACATAAGCAGGTTCCAGCTAGAACAGAGGGAGTTGTGGCATATAGGAACTTTGTGATATGAAATTTGGTCCTGTTGAATTCCGTCTCGCTATATAGTTCCCTTGGTTGCTGTTTTGTATGTTCTGTTTCGCTGTACCACTCCTGCTGAAGCGAGAGATTTACCTAAGGCTTCACTTGAACTGATTCCATTCGCTGGGGCATGCCACTGCAACGCCTACAGCCTAGTATAAGGCACCACTTTTCCAAAATTCAACATAGAATCACAAATTTACAGATCACAGTCCTATGCGATATACTATATTTAACTTTTAGCAAACTAGTGAGTCTACCACTGTGACATCACTCCGTTTGTTGTACCGGAGCTCACGTTTGCAGCCAGTAACTTGGCGTGCCCTCCTCACGCAGCTGAAGTGTTTCGTGGATTTGGATCACACACGACTCTGCTTGTTTTGCTAGTGCATGCTATGGAGCTAGTTCCCATTAGCAACTCCCATAGCATCTATCTCAGCGATTGCCCTAGCTACCAATTCCGAACCTCGAGCTGGTAATATACATTTCTGGCAAAACCTTGGAACAACATGGTGCTTCTATACTCTTACTACAAATCCAACCGTAGAGCGCACACCCACACACCCAAATCCTATATACAACCAATGTACAGGTCATTCGAATTCTTTGCGCACTATAAAAGGCGGCAGAATTCCCATAAAAATTTGTTGAACGACTTTTTTTACTACCAGAACGGCAAAAAGGGATAAGAGAACTTGAAGCAATAAAAGAATATTCACCAATAATCATTTTATTCATCCTCTTTTATTTTTATTTAAGTAGTCTTTGAAGTCGAACCAAAGAAGAAGTAAGGAAGGCAATATAAGTCCCTTTACAACCTATTCTGACATAATTTTCTCGTAACAAAAGCACCAATAAATTCCGACGAGAATTTTTCTAATATAAAAAGGGAGAAGTAAAATAGTAGCAAACAGTAGCAACTTAACAGTAATTTGTAATTATAAATCATGTCCGTTTTAGAAGAATTTGAATCCGTTTTAAAGGAATTACCTACTTTAAAAGCACCAGGTGTTTCTGGATCTCGTATTAAGAAATTAACTGATCTCGCCGTTGAAAACGTATCTGTATGTATATTTTTCGTATTGTAAATGGGTAGGAAAAGTAGTCAAATACTATGTGGAAAGAACCAACTTTGTGATAAAACAGAGCAGCTCATTATGACGCAAGTGTCGAACCCGCACAATCACTCTAACCATCTACACTCAAATGCTTCATTCAAACATTGAGTGAAATGCAATCTTTTTTTTTTTCGTTTATCTTACTAACCCTCTATTCTAGCAAGAGTCACAATTGATCCAAATCTTATATGCTAACTGTAAAGCCACTCCTTCAACTCATAAGTTGGGAGTCTTGTATGTTGTAGATTCTATCGTAAGAGTTTATATCGAAGAAGCTAAGAAAATTAACCAAGAAATCACTTCAAATGCACCAGATGGTACATTTGCAGCTGGTATTAACAAAATTAGCGAATTGATCGAATCTATAATCGATAATGCTATGGAATTGCTTATCAACAAAACTCAACAAGTAAAAATAGGTAAATTAGTAGATATTTGGGAAAGAGCTGAGACTTTTAGTCCTCGTACTATCTCAAACATCAGAACAAAGTACTTTAAATCAACAACACCTCCAGGTTCTCCTAGGGATAAGCCTGCTGGTGTTGGTGCTCCTTCTGACAGCAACTCTGGAAATAACGGTAGTATCTTGCTGGCTTTAGCCTCTTTAGCGAAGACAGGTGCTGATTCAGCTCCACCTTCTGAAGCCGCTCCTGCTGCAAACAACGCTACTAATATTTTATCTCAATTAACTGCAATGGCAGGAAATAACAATCCTGTTCCAAACAGCTCTGTTCCTCCTCAAACTAACATAAACCAACCTAATGGTGCTAATCCTCCTAATGAACAATATATTTTTAATATGTTACAACAAATGCAGAATGGAAATGGAAATGGGAACGGTAACGCTGGCCCACCTCCTCAACAATCCTCTGTTCCTCAAAGACCACCACAAATTGATTATGGTACCGGAAGACGTGGTAGAGATGACAATAATGCTGGAGGCATGACTAATTATTCCAGAAGAAATAGATCCAGATCTCCTCCAAGATTCGGAGGTCCTCAAAGAGAAAGATCCCCAAGACAACAATTTCAACAGCCGTATGACCAGCAGCAGCAACAACAAAATCAGTATGGTAATGGCCGTGGCCCTCAATTTGGTGGAGCTCCTCCTCCTCCTCCAGGAGCTGGTGGATTCCAAGCCTTTGGTGTTCTGCAACCTCAAGAAATGAATATCCAAGGTACCGATCATTACCGTCCGAGAAATGTTGGTTTTGATCAAACATTACCTCAAGGTTCTTTCAAAGTTTTGTCAAGAACTTTATTCATGGGAGGTGTCCCACGTTCTATGGGTGAAAGGGAATTGGCATCTGTTCTTAGACCTTATGCTGAAGTTCAATCTATTATTTTGAATAGTGAGAGAAAGCATGCTTTTGTTAAAGTTTACTCAAGAAGAGAAGCTGAACAAGTTATCACTTCATTCAACAAAGATAATTCATTGCCTTTGAGAACCAGATGGGGGGTAGGCTTTGGACCAAGAGATTGTTGTAATTATCAACATGGTGTATCAATCATTCCAATCCAAAGATTAACGGATGCCGATAGGACTTGGGTTGTCCAAGCACAATGGGGTGGTACCGGTGGTCAACCATTGCTGAGTGGTATGGTAATTGATGAACCAGATATTGAAATTGGAACTGGTATTTCTTCGAAGGCCATGTCTAAGAAGATGCCTACTAATTCAGCCAGAAATGGACCAAAGTCCAATAGACCTGGTGAACCAGATGAAGATTATGTTAAGACCACTTTGATCCCTCAACAAACAGCTTCCTCTATGTCCCATGGTACTACCCCAGACTTTGCAACCATGACCCAATCTTCAATCAATCCATTAGCTGGATTATTTGCAAGTCAAGGTGGTGTACAAGCTGCTCCAGGATTCCCAGGAGCTGGTCAGCAGCAACCTGACTTCCATGGAAATGGTGGAAATGGTGGCGGAAACCAAAATCCAAACTTAAGTAATCAAATGGCTTCATTCTTCCAAAGACAATAGCCTAATGAAAAAAAAAATATTAAAGGTAGTATAAAAGTATCACAGATAGTGAATAGTATCGTAATTTTTAATAAATAAGTACATTTGTATAAAAGTTTCAGTATAAAGATATATATATGCATATAAATTTATTGATATATAGATGTCAATGTGGTGCGTAAAGAAACTACGTAATTCAGAAGTAATATCAATGAATAATAAACATAAATAGTAAAAAATTTCTGTAATAAATAAGTGTATAAAACGTTCAAGTGTGAAGATATATGAGCATGGTGCTCTCGTATTTTAATATGGTTGCATAATTTGGAGCGTTCCGCAGTTTTCCTATTGATGCGTTTTTCTTAGAACATCGTGTGAACCACTGATGTTATCCATTTGAATTGAAGGTACACTGCACTAGATCCTCAGAAAATGTATCGGAGTTTAAATAAGTCCATCAAAAGTTCTCCAGACAGCAAAAAACTACCGGTGGCAGATGAATATGATAGAAGAAACGAGCCACCTTCTCTCCATGACAGACATGATCGCGTGAATAACTTGCAAGAGAAGGGCACAACAAAGAGGAAACGCATACGAGGAAAAATTGGACTAAAAGTTATGAATAACTTGGTCAGTGACAGTAGGAATAACCGAGAGATTGATACCAAGAACAAAAGAACTAAATTGGGGGGCATTTCAAGTGGAGAGAGAACTCCGTTCACTTCTCTGAGCCCTCAGAAGAGCGTAGCTTCCTCACCCATTCGAGATGTCTCATCGTTGTTAGATCTGTTCGAAAAGAGCGGCAACATGAAACTCAATAAGAGTAATGAGACTGCTAGTGAGAGTGAAAGTGACATAGATGGTAGCTTAATAGAAGTAGGAAAGTTCTCAAGTAGTCCATTGAAAAGACGTGACAGTGCATGGGACAAAATGGATAAAATGATAGAGCCGCTGCCCAATAGCACAAGAAGAGGTATAGAGGGAAAGGTAAACTATTACACCGGTGACGGAAAGGACCTAGCATCATTGGTCGCCAATGGAGATTTCCTATCTACAATTGAGAAGAAGCATAAGCTCTCAAAAGATGAAATAGCATTAAAGTATGGTTCCAAATCGTATCCGGATCCAATTATCTCGAAGAAGTTACTATCCCAAAAATGCCTAGAACACATTAATATAGTTCCATTGATTTTGAAAGGCAAATTACACACATGCTACCTCTACCCTTTGGCTAAAAGTAAATTAATGGCATCTCAACATGAAACAATGACTCAAGCGGAAAAATTTGACATCAACTGGTCCAAATTCTTTGGAGGCTATTATGGTTTCCAGAGACAGTCTTTCATAGCGTCTGTAATTATGAATAAGTATGACCTGGAGCTCCAGCAGGCAAACAGAACTAATAAAGTGGTAACATATTGGACAATAAATGGGTTTGCAACCTTTATACTTGCCAATGAGATTATATTGCGTATGATAATGAAAGATTTTGGGAATTGTAGCTTGGAAAGAGCAGAAGAGATTATGAGAGATAGTACTGATTATGGAATAGAAGTTGCAGATGAGATTGACATGATAGATGACTTGGAGAAAGATGATCCGTTAAACAGTGAATCGGCAAATTTCATGAAGGGATTATCTAACGGAGGTGAAAATAGGGGAGAAATCACTAATGAGCCAAAACAGCCAAAACACCTCATAAATGATAACGTACTAGACCAGATTACAAAGACAGAAAGTGAGTCTGACAGTGAACCAGAGCCTATTCTTGACACCGTAGGTGAATCTAGGAGCATTGGAGAAAACCCAAAATCTATCGATATTTTGGATAAGATTGTTGATAGTGGTACTGACAGCGATAGCGACTAGTAAACAGCCTATCAAAATTTATATATAGTGATTTGCGAAATGGGTGCAAAGTACTCAATAGAGAAATGCGTCATTTCGTTCCAGCTTGTTTTCACTTTTATATATTTCCCGGTTGCATGAATCTTCGAGTCAGCTGCCGTATAATTATTCATTACTAGGAAAGGTATAGATACCAATGGTATTTATCAGATTGCAGCTAGCTAACTTGATCCAATACTGAAAATGTATTGAGCTTATACTCTTTGTTGTTCCTGCATATACACTGATATCAATGATGGATATAAAAAAAGCCTACAGTAGTTCGTGATAGTCATCGCTTCCCTTTTCACAGATTCTGGGGCTATTTGTGAGAGTATATATATATATATATATATATATATATGTTATAATATTTAACTAAACCCTTGAACTTTGTAGTATAATTTGTCCAAATTGCATTTAATAAAGAGGTTTAAGTCGGTTTTAACTCCGGCTGCTTTCATTCTACCACGACCATTCCATACCTCATCAGCAATGTTCAAAGATTCCGTATTCATTAACAATTTGGCTGCCACCGCTATCACGGGGAAGGACGCTTGGAACAGACCAACTCCGCAACCATTGACCATTTCTGTAGACCTTAAAACTGATTTTCATAATGCATCTCTTACTGATAACTTGAAGTATTCATTAAATTACGCTGTGATCTCGAGAAGCATCTCGGAGTACATGAAGCAGAATGAGCATAGAAACTTTAAATCATTGGCAAACATTGGCGAATCGATTAGCGAGGTACTAGGGAAAACAAATTCCAACAATGAGATTAACTATGATGCTACAATTAGTGTTAAGAGCGAAAAGTCAGAGATTAGGGCTGATTCTGTAGAATTTGTATTGAATCGTAAGAGAGATGGGGAACCAATTGTGGGGATCTCTGATCAATACAAAGTAAATAAGCTTAGATTACTTACCATTATTGGGGTATTCACATTCGAAAGATTACAACGCCAAATTGTAGATGTGGATTTGACCATTGACCTTGCAAAGTCCGGTGGATCTGATATCATTTATATTCATCAAGTAATTGATGATATTGTTCAGTATGTGGAGAGCTCTAATTTCAAAACTGTCGAGACTTTGGTTATGAAAATTGGACAGTTAGCTCTTCAAGGAAGGAGTGATCAAATAAGGAATGTTTCAGTGAAAGTGACCAAGCCAAATGCTATCACTTACACTGATGGAGTAGGTGTTACATCTGATATGACTCCAAGTAGTTTCCAAAATGTGGAGCCAATTTCAGCTACTTTGAAGGCACCAGGACAGCATAATTCTTCTGCATTCAATTTGTTTACTACTGAAGTGGATTCTCATGTTGATAAGTCGAAAGAGCATATCGCATACGTCGCTTTTGGTTCAAATGTTGGAGATCAAGTAGGAAACATCAACAAAGCAATTGATTTGCTTAAGTCTAACGGTGTATCGGTTGTTTCCACTTCTTCTATGTACATCTCCAAGCCGATGTACGTGAAGAATCAGGCTGATTTTTACAATGGGGTTTTAAAGATTTCATTCAGAAATTTGTCACCACATGAATTGTTAGAATTATTGAAAAAAATTGAATATGACGAGATGGCAAGAACTAAAGAATTTGATAATGGACCTAGATCTATCGACTTAGATATATTGTTATACGATGATATTGTTCTCACCTCGGTAGATTTGAACATTCCACATATTTCAATGCTTGAAAGAACCTTTGTTTTGCAACCTTTGTGTGAATTGATTGTGCCTGATTTCTTACACCCGGTCAGTGCCGAACCTATTCATAATCACCTCGCCCAACTCCTCAACAGCGGTGCAAATGATGAACTGGTTCAAGAATCTGACAAATTGCTACAAATAATTCCAATTCCAAACAGAAATGATGTACTTAAATTTGATCAGTTGAATTTTCAATCTAAAACTATTATTATGGGAATTTTAAACATAACTCCTGATTCTTTTAGTGATGCTGGACAAAATTATGACATCCCAGAAGAGGAAGTGTGTAAGAGAGCATTGAAGATGGTTGAAGATGGAGCTACAATTCTTGATATCGGTGGTGTATCTACCAGACCAGGTTCCATGGAACCAACCGAAGAAGAAGAGATTGACAGGGTATTACCAGTTGTGAAAGCTATCAGAAGCCATGTAGACCCAGATTTATCTGGAGCTATAATTTCTATAGACACTTACAGATCTGCTGTATCTGAGCAATGTTTACTAGCTGGTGCAGATATCATTAATGACATTTCTATGGGAACTCTTGATAGTAAGATGTTTCAAGTTGTTGCAAAATACGGGTGTCCATATATCATGAACCACACTAGAGGCACCCCAAAAACCATGTCTAAGTTGACAGCTTATCACTCTAACACCAATGAGGATATTATAGAGTACTGTATCGACCCCAGGAGAGGCCAAATTGAAGATGAAGCGCATTTAAACACTGAAAGCAAAAATCTTACCAATGGAGTTTCAAGAGAATTGGCTTTGCAGATGCAGAAGGCATTCGAGACTGGCGTTAAAAAGTGGCAGATTATTTTAGATCCAGGCCTTGGTTTTGCTAAAACGCTTCCTCAAAACTTGATGATCATTAAGCATGCATCATTCTTTAAAAGATACAGTGTTTTAATCAATGAAAGGGGAGAAACACCGGATCTTATTAAGCATTCGTACCTTAGTTTCAACGGTCTTTCAACTCTTTTAGGACCATCCAGAAAGAAGTTTTTGGGTACAATTTGCAATGAGGAAAATGCTAGCGATCGAGTAATTAGTACCGGAGCATCCATCATGGCATGCATAGAACAAAATACGGACATTGTTAGAGTCCATGATGTTAAAGAGATGAAAAAGGTTTGTTTGACCGGAGATGCAATTTATAGAGATATATATTAGGTAGTACAGCTAGTGATATATTAAGTAATTATATAGAAGTTATGTATTTGTCCAGTGAAGCTAGTGAGTAGTGAAATATTAAGAAAAATGAGTAGATTGAGCTAGTAGATATTGAATAAGACATACGTTGAATATCCAGCTAGAACTGAATCTTGGTGAAATATTCAAGCAACTACAATTCTGTAGTGAGCATGTGTATTGGCTCAGACAGTGAAATGTTAATTGAAAAGTAATAGATAGTAGATAGTAGATAGTACAGTAGATCATTGAGTACTCAGTGAGCACGAGCTAGCACAGACTCTTTGTGCAGCCTTCAAGAATTGCAATTCTATTATAGAAATGCATATTGACTCAGTACATCCAATGAAAGATTAATTTTCAATAAGTGGATGGTAGCTAGTAGAAAATAGATACAATAGATCACTTAGTACTCAGCTAGCACCAGCTAGCACCAGCTAGTGCAACCTTCAAGAATTGCAACAATTCGGTTCCCTCCTGCATGAACAGATTCAAAAATAATTTTAGAAATTTTAAAAAAAAAAAAAAAAGAAAAAGAAACGCTCATCTTCCGTCCGGGTTACCTTCCCGATTTTTGACCTCATTGGCCATTTCACAACGCTGAAAAGTATGGAAAATTTTCAAAATTAACATTTGATTTTTAATGTGCAGGATATTTACCATAGTAAAATCATATATTTGAGTCTATATGCAGGGTATACCAGCGATAGTGGCCAAATATGAAAAAAAAAAATTATTACTGAAATAAAAAAAAAAAAAAAAAAGAAAAGTATTAGACACCCTCTTTATATTATAAAGTAGTCTATACATCTATATCTCTATATAACTAATTATAAAATGGCTGCTGTCTATCCAAGAACCTGTTACAAGTGCGGTGAAGTCGGTCACTTAGCTGACAACTGTCAACAAACCGAAAGATTATGTTACAACTGTAGAAAGGCTGGACACGAATCTTCAGACTGTCCAGAACCAAAGCAAGCTACTCAAAAGCAATGCTACTCCTGTGGTGACTTAGGACACGTTCAATCTGAATGTCCAACTCAATCCCAAGGTGCTAAGTGTTACAACTGTGGTCAATTTGGACACATCTCCAAGAACTGCTCCCAAGCTTCCACTGGTGCTGCTCCAGTTCACCATCACGCTGCTCCAGCTAGAAAGCCAATCTCTGCCAAGGGTACCACCTGTTACAAGTGTGGTGGTCCAAACCATTTCGCTAGAGACTGTCAAGCTGGTTTAGTCAAGTGTTATGCTTGTGGTAAGACTGGTCACATCTCCAAGGACTGTTCTTCAGCTTCTGGTGGTGACCACTCTGCTGTTGCCAAGGTTTGCTACAACTGTGGTGAATCTGGTCACATTTCCAAGGAATGTGACAAGGACAACAACTAAGTTCAGTTCCCAGAGTGTGACAAGGATGAAAAATTGTGGAGAATGATGGTGGTTGGTGTTTCAATTTAAATTTTGATTGTGTTGTTGATGGGGTGTACCGTTGCTTTGTGTTTGTGCAAAATGTTAAAAGAGCCGGGATTCTTTTTTATACAATTTTATTAATGATCTCTACTATTCATGATTAATATCCTTAAGTAATAAATATTACGGATGAAAAATAGGAAAGGCGGAATGCTGGATGTAGTTGACATGCAATTAAATGGAGGTGCAAAGGTGGATGTAGCTAAGCACCTCTGTTTGATCTTGTAGGTGTAGACTTATTGTACTCATGATAGTCTGGTAGTCGGAGTTGGAGATGTAGTTTTGCGCTTCAAGCTGATTTTGGTAGTTTGGGCGTTGTTAGTCGTATCAATTTCACCATAAGCAAATTCTTAACTTGAATTCAAATGAGTTGGGTCCAGAGTGAGCTGGCGATGTATTTGGATTGTGTTTGAACTGTGTTTGTAAGGTTTCTCCCTCCCTCAAGCTGTCTTTGTCTTTACAGATTGTGAAAAATCAATGTAAACCTCCCTCCCATCTATAACACAGCCTCGCGATAGTTTTTCATATGCCAGTTCGGCCTGGTGCTGGCTTTCAAACTCTATGAATCCGTAGCATAAACTCTTATTGTTCTGCTTTGGGTCCAAGATGACATTGCAGTTCTCCACCTTCCCAAATCTGCTGAAGATAATAGTCAACGATTCGCTGTTGGTGATAGGGTTAAGTCTTGCCACAAACAACGTGCGGGGCGATGGTTTGATTTGATAATGAGGCAAGTCGCCAACCAACTCCAATGCAATCGAGTTAAACTGAGACTCGGTTTCTGTAGACGACTCTGCTTCTAGCTTCAATTGCGGGAGTCTCATTGTTGCTAGCTGGTAATCGCTGGGTACCAACGACGACGATGGTACGATCTTCAAGTCAGCTGGATCTTCAAAGGGATCATGCAAAATGTGTATGTACGTTATCCTCACATCTTTCAAGAGCCTCTTTGATGTAATTCCTTCCACCGGGATCTGGTTTATTCTGTCCAATGTCTGGAATCCCTCCACCACATGGCCAAATGTTACTTGGTTCTTGATGGTGGACAATTGTTCTCTATTTGAGGTCAAAGTGATGGTAAACAGTGATCCTATGAGATTGTTAGGGGATGATATAAATGATAGAGTACCGATTGATGTGGGACTGGCAACAGCACCAGCAGCACCAACTTTCAAAAAGGAACCCTCATGTTCGAACCTCGAATCGGCATGTTCCGTAAAATTGGTAATTGAAGTGCCAGTCTCCCTAGGATACTCTGGGTCTCCACCAGAAACGATGAAGTCTTTTTCCAAACTATGGAACGGGGAAAAGAAGTAGTACCCTATTTTGCAAAGCTTGATAAAATTGTACGATGCCATTGGCAGAGCCTCATAGTGGAGGTCTACTGTTAGATTTCCCTCTGTTGTTTCTATTAGAACACTCATATTCCAACAGATGCTGATGGTAATCAAAAAAAGATACCCGAAAGAAGGTTGTTGCTGCTTCCTAGCCTTACTAATAATATTCCTGTGGTTTCAGCACACTGCGACAAAAACTAAAATTGAAGCACATCAATGTTTCCTGGAGAAGAAAAGGGCAAGCTGGAGCTCCAGCTATCTCACACAAGAACGGCTTAACTGAGACTTCCGGCACATTTCAGACTAAGCTCAGATCAAGCTGAACCAATTCCTAATAGCAAAAGAAAGTTAAAGTGTAGTTTAGCTTACAAACATGCCCAGCCATCACAACGTAACCTCCACAGTCGATTCCACAGTTTGAAATGGTTCCAAACCAAGACACAGAAGAACAAAAAATAACGAAAATTGCGACTTGTGTGGATCGAACACACGACCTTCAGATTAACTGTGACTGATGTTTACTTCAGTCTGACGCTCTCCCAACTGAGCTAAAGTCGCAGATTTCTTAATTAGAGTTGAAAACTGGACATGTGACCAACTCACACACACTGAAAAGACGTTTTTTCTTTTTTACGAGCGAGCGAACGAACGCACACCACCTTGAGCGGTTAGAACTACCATTTTCTTTTTTTAAACCGATGTTCCCTGCCTGCTCTCTTCCAAAACACTTGTCAATGCCGTACGCTTTTTAGCTAAAATATAATAATTCTTTGTCAGATTCATCTTGCAGGACCGGGGAATCCGGGGACATTGTACACCTTGGCCCCCTAAAGCTTCGCATCTCACAGTGCATGGACATCATGTACATCCTAACACCCACAAAATACCTACGAGAAAAATCTGCGAATATACGGCGGAAGAGCAGGGAGAATGTTTCAGGGCCGGCCGCTTCCCTTTCTTCTATCTAATTAATCAGATTTCCCGCGGGTGTGTTTCATATACTTGATTACCTAGGGTGCTATCCGTAAAGTGTTTGGATATTTATACCTCTGAAAGTCTACTCGTTTCTAGCTAGCTTAGGAAGATTATCCAGCTATTGAAAAGGGAAAAAAGCGTCACGTGCAGGTCCTGTCTATATTATTACTAAGCCCTTGGAATATTTTGAACAATATTCATCTACATCAGTCAGCCAACCATGTCCTTTGATCAACCAATGCAAGAAATATACTGGAACGCTGAGAATTCAGCCAACGGCTTGTACGATGAAAACGCAGGCAATTCCGTCTTCTACCAAGATCTCAAACAGGAAAACATTGACATGTTAAATCAGGCTAGTAACGGGTTTGGTTACGCAGAACCGCAGTTTCAACCAAACGAATTCCAGCAGCAGCTGCATCAGCAGCACAATCAGAGTCAGCTCCAGGGACTGGCCGATACTAACGTCAACTTTGCACAGTTACCACAGTTTGGCACATCTGAGTACTTGAACCAGTCTATTTCTTCCCACTCCTCGCCATCCATGAATGGATTCGAGAACGGGCCAATTAAATACAGTGCCATTTCTCCTGAAAGCATTGATGACAAGTCACAAAATCAACAACAACAACAACAACAACAGCAGCAGCAAAGTGGCTCCAAGAAGGCCACGCAGAGCAAGAGACATTTGTTGGATGAACAAGATGCTATCTTATTGGCCAGAGAAGATTCTGAGTTGAATGAGGAGGAGCTTTTAGCTAAAAAGAAGGCACAGAACCGTGCAGCACAAAGGGCGTTCAGGGAGCGTAAAGAGTCCAGGTTTAAGGATTTAGAGGCCAAATTAAATAAATCTGAGGTTGAGAAGCAGAAGTTGTTGGACCAATTGACTTACTTTAGAACTCAGAATGAGTACCAGAAGCAGCAAGAGCAAAAGAGAATGAACACAGCCGCCATCACTCCCGATGGTCCAGATTGTGACAGGGTCATCCATGCCCAATTCACGTTCCCCCAAAACCAAGAGTTGTTTATCAATGAAATGACTGATGGACATCCTTTATCGGAAACGTCTGACATCGCTAAGGTGTACGATGCTCCCGATTACCCCAATACCAAGTTATTAGCAGTGGGTGCCGTGTGGGACTATTTACATATGAGGGCTGAAGAACTCGAGAGAGATGACCAGTACTTCGATGTTGTTGAGATTATGGCTAAATTAAAGGGTAACGAGAAATGCCACGGGTACGGGCCTGCTTATCCGCTAGATGTAGTCAACAGGGCAATCGAAGAGTCTCTCCGCCAATAATCATGACGAAGGAAAGAGACCATGTTCTAATTGGTCACGGTTAGTATACAATAGGAGTGCCGAAAAGACCCTTTTCAGGGTGCTATCCCTCTACAGCAAGCTCAGGCTGAACTCCAGTGTGTTAAAGTGCAAAGCTGAATTCAAGCATGACATACCGTCTAAGATGTCTGCTATTCACATTTGTTTGGTGTTATTTGATTTCCGTTCATTTATAAGTAATAATTGACAATGAGTTTTGAATTCTTTCAAATTTTTATATTAGTTAGTTACTTTGGTTTAATTTTACTTTTTGGTATTACGTTTGAATTTACTTTATAGTTATAAATTTTTTTTTTTTCATGTAATTTACCCTTTTTCTGTCCTATTTACTTCAAGCACCCGTCATCAAGTCAATGATGTATCCAATATACAGGGAATCGCAGTTCTGTCGTCGTAATGGGTGTGTAAAGGGGCATGTTTCAACACATTTGAGCTCATGTTGCACTCTTCCCGTACCTGCAGTCCAAATGAAGAATGTTCTGGAAAATCGTTGAATCGATTTTTTTCTCACACCACTGGAATACAAAAGAGAACCCATATCCTGGTGAACAGCTATAGTAACAGCAAATAGCGTACTTAATATTCCACTTGATAATACTAACATGTCCGCAGACGAATTTAAAGCTCAAGGTAACCAGTACTTTGCCGCTAAGGATTTCACCAAGGCCATTGAGTACTTTACCAAGGCTATCGAAGCCTCCCCAACCCCAAACCATGTCTTATACTCCAATCGTTCCGGGTCTCACGCCTCCTTGAAGAACTTTGGTAAGGCATTAGAAGATGCTGAAGAGTGTGTTAAAATCAACAGTTCGTGGGCCAAGGGTTACAACCGTGTGGGTGCTGCTCAGTACGGATTAGGTAACTATGAGGATGCCAAGAAGGCTTACACTACCGCCTTGGAGTTAGACTCAAACAACGCAATGGCTAAGGAAGGACTCAAGGCCGTTGACGGGGCCCAGAATTCAAGAAGACAACAACCTGATATGGGATTAGGTGCCATCTTCAATGACCCTAACTTGATCACCAAATTAAAGAGTAACCCAAAGACTGCTGAGATGATGAAAGATCCAGCATTGGTTCAAAAAGTTTTGGACATTCAACAGAACCCGCAAGCCAACGCTACCCTGTTTTTGTCGGATCAAAGAATGATGACTATCATGGCCACTTTGATGGGAATTGATTTAGATATGCCCGATCTTCCAAAGGAAAAGGAACCAGAGGCAGAAGTCAAAAAGCAAAAGGTTGAAGAACCAGTTGTAGCAGAATCAGAGCCAGAAAAGGAGACTAAGCCAGAGCCAGTGCCTTCCAGTGAGCCAACCGCAGATGATGATCCAGAAGATTCTAATGAACTCTCTAAGATTGATGCTGACGCATATAAGGCAGCTGGAAATACTCTTTACAAGCAAAGAAAGTTTGATGAAGCCATTGCTCAGTACAATAAAGCTTGGGAAGCTTTCAAAGATATTACCTACCTCAATAATCGTGCCGCTGCAGAATATGAGAAAGGTGACTACGATGCAGCCATAGAAACTTGTCAAAAGGCAATTGATGAAGGTAGAGAAGTCAGGGCTGACTACAAAGTCATCGCCAAATCATTTGCCAGAATTGGTAACTCTTACTTAAAAAAAAATGACTTGAATAATGCAGTTAAGTACTTTGATAAATCATTAACTGAACACAGAACCCCAGATGTATTGAATAAATTAAGAGCTACTCAAAAGGAGATCAAGGTTCAAGAAGCATTGAGCTACATAGACCCAGAAAAAGCTGAAGAAGCTAGATTGGAAGGTAAAGATTACTTTACAAAGAGTGACTGGCCAAATGCTGTGAAAGCTTATAGTGAAATGATCAAAAGAGCACCTGAAGATGCAAGAGGATACTCTAACAGAGCTGCTGCATTAGCCAAATTAATGTCGTTCCCAGATGCTGTACAAGATTGCAACAAGGCCATCGAAAAGGATCCTTCTTTCATTAGAGCGTATATCAGAAAGGCAAATGCCCAATTGGCTATGAGAGAATATTCCCAAGTTATGGAAACTTTAAATGCTGCCAGAGAAAAGGATACTGAATTAGGAGGTAAGAACGTCGGAGAAATCGATCAATTATATAATAAGGCTGCTTCGCAAAGATTCTCTGGTATTGAAGGTGAAACTCCTGAACAAACTATGGAAAGAGTTTCAAGAGATCCAGAAATTGTAAGCATTTTACAAGATCCAGTAATGCAAGGTATTTTAGGTCAAGCTAGGGAAAATCCTGCAGCTTTACAGGATCATATGAGAAACCCTGAGGTTAGTAAAAAGATTAATATGTTGATCGCAGCTGGTGTTATTCGTACAAGGTAAATATAAAATATTCTTTACTTAAGACTATGAAAATAGGTTCAGTAATTTAAATTGTGTATTAGAACAAAAACTAAAGAAAAAGATACAAAACCGTGTAAGTACAATAATTAATGTATTACAAATAAATATAGTAGCCGAAAGATTCAAAAGCTATCGTGTGTCTGAGAATCAATTTCCCAAGTTGTTATCATAAAAAAAATTGGGCATCTTATTCATCATTGTAGTGAAGGTTTCATCAATGTCATATCCCAAACTGAACGGGTCAAACACCGAAGAGAAGTTGTTTGTATGCTGCAATGGGGTGGATCCAGTCATAGATGAAGCTATTGTGGGGTTCATTATATTTGAGAGTGATGGAGAATTTCTTGCACTACCCAGTGAAAGTAGTGGTGGGTTATAAGGGGTATGGGGCAAATTTGGAGTATGATGCTCAAATTGACTTTCATGCAGTAGAGGATAAATGCTGTGTCCAACGAACTCAGTTTTTGGACTAGGTTGCCCCTGATAAAATCGGGTATCCATTACGTGTTGATTCTTTATGGAATGTGGAGAATCTCCTGTAGAGCTCTGACCCACGCTACTACTTTCCAGAACAGAATTAGAATACTTAATCTCATCAAACATATACAGCAAACCTTGGACTTTTCCCTTGTACAAGTCTGGAAATACTTCTTCTGGTCTTCTAAGATGCTCTCTCAACCCTGGTGTGCTTTCTTGAATCTTTAAATTAGAATTCAGCTCCACTACTTGAATTAAGATCTTGAGTAAAACTCTGATACATAAATCGTGAATAACATCTCTTTGGTAGTTAATGGTTAGTGGCGTATTAAGATCGTATCTAGAAAACAACATTGAAATTCTAATCAAAAGATTGATATCGAACATATCGTCCTCCGAGTAACCTCGGTCCTTGTGATTCACCAAATTGCCAAATAAAACCAAATATGCAGTGAATGGACAAAATGCAGACCAATGTAGGAAAGATAAAGGAGATGATTTATGGCTGATCCTTATGCATATACATATAATGGTTCTTGCACAATCCAAAGCTGAATTTCTGTACAGTAGTAGTTCGCTAGTAATATTGTCACTCTCGGTTTCAAGAAGAAATGGAATACGATTGACTGACATTATCTGTAAGAAGTAAGTAAAATGGAAAGTTAAAACGTACTCAGGACCACAGTCATCATATGAGCTCATTAAGAAGATATTTTCATACGGAATAGCGTCAAAACCAGGTTCATTATAATACTTGGGCCTCAATTCAGGATGAATCCCATGCGCAAGACTTCGAATATCAAAGTTGAGTTCTCTCAACGTAGAAACTAAAGTCTCAGGAGAAAAGCTGTCAACCGAGGCACTAAATAGCTGCGAGTATCCTTTGGCTCTGACCCAAGTCAAACGAAGTAAAATATATGCAGCATAGTTATGAAAAATCCCCGACAGGACTTTCCTCTCCGATTCAGTCATATTTTTTTGTAATTCAACACATTCCTCATGCAGCATCCCCAACCAATCCATATCATCATTGTCTGCAATCTTGGAACTAGTATCCTTCTCCGTCAATGTTGATACATCTTGAACATTAATCAAGGGTGGTTTCCCACTCCTATAACAAATTTCCATATCTAAATACTGACAGGTCCACCAGACAGTTCTCTTAAGATCAGCAATCTCTTCGGTATCATTCTGAAATGACTCAAATCTATGTAACCCTATAGATTGGGCAACCCTAACAGCCATTGAAGTTAGCATATAATTTACTTGAGGGAAAAGACTACTCATTTCCAAATATATTACAAATAATAAAATCCCCTGAACAGTAGGAAGTCCTTCGCTGAAGGCCACAACCCTCATATACGCAAAAATACAATTACTAAGGCACTGCTCTTGCAAACGGAAAAAAAATTCGTTCTTGATTTCTCTCACCTTTGGAGATAATTGTGATACTTGTTCTGCTCCTGCAGCTTTCTTGTCCAAAACATTTACAATACAAAGCAGCAAAGCGCTATTCATTATCAAAATTTCTGAAAGTAATAATTTCCTTTTAGGTACAAGAGGGTCGTTAACATACTTGATACCCTTATTTTTGTAATATATTGAAAAAAGTTGCTTTAAATACTCCCCTTTACAAAGGTAGCTTGCCAAGAATATCCCATCATAAACATTTTCAAGTAATGCGAATACCAAGTCATATTCAGGGAAAGACCCAGTCTTAACTTCTTCAACTTGTTTGCTGTTTAGTATTGGTGGATCTTTCCACAACTTTGTGAAGTTTTGGCCCCAGTGTTGGATGGCATGTGGAAATTTAATTATTGGAGCTAGAAGCTTGGCATGCTTTGCTGGGAGTTTTTCTTTGAACCATTCCTGAGATTTATCAGAGAAGACAATATATAGAAGAGAATGAGAACCAAAGAATTCGCTAAGGCTCTTTGTACCCAAAATCTTCTTCTTCTCCTCAATAATACTGAATGAAGTTGTTTCACCAAACCTATCAGTCTTAGAGCCATTGGTTGCATTCCCCAAACCCTTCCCATATTTCTCCTCAACTGCAGGATTTCTAGAAGTAAAGCTGGAATCTCGTTGTAGAATAGTGCTCGCCTCTGCTGCATCATCCCCTTGAATTTCCTCATCGCCCACTTCATCCTCTTCCTCGCCTTCGTCATCATCCTCGTAGTCTCCGGTTTCGGATTCAGAGTGATCCGATGATCCACTCTGTCGCATCAGATCTGTTTGATCTTGTCCAATCTTAGTCGCTATATTTTCTAGTAAACTCTCCAACCTCTCCAACCTTGAGTTGAGAGAATGTATATTTTCTGAATTTGTCAATCTTTTCCTTGGTTTGTTGACCTTCTTGAGCTCATCATATTTGCAATCATTTTTGGAGGTAGTGCAATTCGAGCAAGGCTCTTTGCCATCGCATTTAACCTTCTTTTTCCTACACAAGGAACAGGCTCTTGCCACTCTTTTTCTCTTGATTACTTTATTTATCGAAGAATCCATCCCGTCTTTATCCCGCTGTATGCTTATTCATCCAAAACGGGCACACCTATCTCTTCCTGTGCATATCAGAGAGCTCTTCGGGTCTGTTCCATATTCATGTTCCTGTTCCCGTGAGTACAAGTGAAAAACTTATATGCACAACCTATACAAGCCGCACGCGAACGTTAAAGAATTCGCTGCAGCAGCTCCAGCCTCAGCATGTATAAGCTACGATCTACAGAAGATTTATGGCTGGATCTCTTGGGACAACCTTAACGTTTATTGTAAACCATCAAAAAAGAAGTGTTTAATTCCGTAAACCTCCGCTTGGAATGCACCCTCCAAAAGTGCTTTATCAGTATATCCTGCAATTAACTGCTCATGGAACGTCTGTTCTGGGTTATTTATAAGCTGAAGTTCGTCTTGCCCAGAGTATGCTGCAGGATCCCCACTAAAAGGCGATTCTTGTGGATGCGAGGTTGCTTGGTGGAGCTGAGAAACTGGAGAATAATTATCAGAGCTAGCATTCGAGTTAGTTGCAGTGGGCTTCTGTTGAGTCTGAGTAAGTTGAGGTAATGATGTTGGGCCCCGAACCGGGAGTGAATTAACGTGCATGGGTAGCTGCTGAGTCGGCTGGCCATGTAAATTTGTATTGATTCCAGCAAATGGTTCCTGTTGAATTGGTATCGAGTGTTGGACGTCGTTGGAAGGAATGTACTGAAGCGCACCTGCCTCAACTTGGGGTATATTAATCAATGACTCAGGAATAGGATTAATCGGGGTGTGAACCGTACTCGTAGCGAGTTTCTGTCTTTTACCTCTTTCTCTTGAGTTTACCTTCTCAGTGGAAGCAGGAGGAGTGCTTTGAGGAGGTTTGAAAGCTGCCGGATAAAGTGATTCCATTTCCTCTAGGTGCTTTTTCAAGCGAGGATGTGTTTCTAAAAATCTGAAATTTGTATTCATGTCAAGAAACTTGATGAATACTCTTAGTAGCAATCTGGTCGAAAGATCTAAAACTTTCGTTCTCACATGTTGAAATGACTTCATATCTCCACTACTTCCAACTAAGTTTGCGCCGAAAAAATTTATGGAACAATCTATAATCAAGTTCACATCATTAAAACAATCTGCAGAAGAAAACTCATTAACAGTGTGTAACATTAATAGTAAATATGCTGCGTATGGGTACATCTGAATCCAGTCTATAATAGAACTGGGTATACCCCTTACTTCGCTATTGTGATCTTGACTATCAAAGTCTAAGCCTGCATTTGTCAAAGGCGCTTCAGTAATTAAATTATTAGCTAAAATTAATATCGTTCTAGCACTGTTCAAGGACATGTTCTTATAATGCATGTTTCTATGATGACGAACTTCGTTAAAAGGAGTCTCGTTGTTCCCAAATCGTTGCTGCGGAGCTCTATTGGCAATCATTAAATGGAAAAAAAATGACAACTGAATCGTCCAATAATTGGAATGTACTCTTAGGCCAAGGTCTCGAATAAAATTAGGTTCATAGAAAAATTTGGGTCTGGTAGGCAAGGGTAAACTTTTACTGACCCGAAACATTTCATTATTAATTCGATCCAATGATTTAGATAGAACCTCAAATGAGCATCTTTGAGCTGTATCAGAAAATAGTTTCTCAAAAGTGAAATACCTGATCTCTGTGAACTCAATCACAAAGTATTTTAAGATAGTTTCCCTCTTTTCCGGAGCACCTCTGAGGCTGAAGTTGTCATCGAATTCACTTATCTTAGACAAAAGGTTGTTTGATGTTCGTAAATCAACCTTTGTAGAGAGATCGCTTAAATATATGATGGGGGACCTACCAGTTCTATAGCAAACTTCGTTATCCATATATTTACAAATTAGCCAAATTTGATAATAAAATCCGCGTTGCTCTTTAGTTAACTTTTCATATGCTTCAGCTTTATGTAACCCCATCTCTTGAGCAAATCTCACAGCAACTGACATTAGAGAACAGCTGATATGAGTAGAGAGGTAGTTAACTTCAGCCACAACTGCCATCATCAATATGGCAATGACGGTCGTAATACCATCACCTAGTACAGAGATTACATGATAGTAGTACACGCAATTTTGGAAGCACTCCGAGCGGATACTTTGCAATTGAGATAATGAAAGCGAAGGACTGCTTGGTGAAGGAGGTGCATTCTTGTTTTTCAAATTATTATCATATTGAAGCTTTTCAGATATGCAGAAGCTTAATGCGATTGACATAATCATAAGCTCAGACACCTTGAGCCTTTTAAGCGGGCTCGCTGATTTTCTACCACCCTGCATACCTCTCACTTTCTTTAATTCATAATATTTTTCAAACATCGATTTAAGTTGACCTGAATTCAATAAAAGCGAAGCCAACCTAAAATTTTCATAGAAAGTATCAATTAGCCTGTAGACAAATGCAGAGTCGTCTGGGAATTCACCTATAAATGCTTTCCTTTTCAGTTCCAAGTCTTTCGTAGCAGGGTCAATCCACTTTAGTATAGCAGGTTGAAGGATTGCGTAACATATCAATGGGATACGTCTAATTGGCTCTATCAAAGCAAAATTTTGAGGTTCACGTATGAATGCACCCAGAATTATTTCTAATAATTCGTTATACATAGGATTGACAGAATGACTGCCCTGCCAGGCACCAAACAAATTGTTGTCAATTATATCATTCAAATCTTTTTTTGCAACAGCCCTATCTATGATTCTCTTATCTAACTTGTCTGAAGAAGGTGCTTCAATCTTTAGACCATTTACCGAAGAAGATTCTGTTTCAACATTACTGTTGATAGAGGGCGATAGTACTCCTTTAAAGCTTTTGCTTGAGCTATTATTCAGTACACGTGCAGATGAAGCAGAAGTCCTTGGAGTTGAGTTTTTGGAATGGGTATCATTTCTAAAGTCATATGCTTTACTTCCTTCCATGACATCATCATTAATATCATCAATCTCATTTTCTTCGTCGTCCTCGTCATCTTCATCACTAACATCTTCACCCTCATCATCATCATCATTTTCTTCATCGCCTTCCACACCTTCTATATCCACTTCATTATGTTCCTTTTCATGCATTTGTTCCCTATCAAATGAAACATTTTCATTATCAATTTCATTCTGCTTTGGCGTCATAGTCCTGATGAAACTTGACAATAAATTCTCCAACTTCTCCAACCTTTCATCTATAGTCTGCAACCTTTGACCATGTGATGCCTTTTTCTTCGTAGCAGGTTTAGACAACTTCTTCACTGGCGGTACTACGGCATAGTGACATTGAATTCGGTTCTGCGTGCAATTTATACACGGATTGTTCCCATCACATTTAACCTTCCTTCTGCGACAAAACTCGCATGCTGTAGTAACTCTTTTCCTTGTGTCAAACATGAAATAAATAAGTCTTCGTACTTAAAACCTGTTATGGATCTACCCTCTCAAGATTCGTACATATAGATTAACTGCACCAATCTAATCCAAACAAGAATACAAGAGAATACATACAACAGAGGAAAAATTCTAATGTTGAACATCCTTTTGCTCTACCCACAGATTTCTTTGGGTGTGGAATTCTCAAATAGCTTAAAATAATCAGAATTAAAAAAAAAAAAGCGAAAAAAAAAAATTAAAAAAAGAAAGACTAAAAGAGCGTAAGTGGTTTACCTTTGAAGATGTATGATCCCTAATCGTGGGCTAGAGTTTTGTTTTCTCCTCAATTTTCTTCACTATGCAAGTATATTGAAATTGAGCTTTCTAATACCTATTGGAGTCATACCTTCAAGTGTTCCGTATGCTATTTAGCACTCTAATTGCACATCTCACATCTTTTGCTTTTCGCTAATTTAGACTATGGTTATTCATCATGCAGCCAGCTCAAAAAATAAATAAAGAAACAATCAATCTTGCAGGGATAACGTTTACGAAAGAGTAGTTGAAAGATGGGCAAGATGACTACTAGCTGCAGCAGCATTATTGGAAGGCGTGATGTTCTACTGTAGAAAGCTAAGTGCAGATATGCTTTATCGGGATTTTTTTTTAGTATTCGGTTGCAACCTTAGAGAAACGGTGTGTCGTATGTGGAAATTATATATAAAATATTTACGGTGTGGTCTTCACAGGGTCCTTTAACCAGTTCCTGGATTTTTCATTTCACCAGGTGAAATCTGAAATTAAAGGTGACCTACATGACAAGACACTACGAGTATCATTATCTCTACCCCCAAATCATCTTTTAAGTGAATGAACTCTTGTAAAATGTAGCTTTCACTTTCATTAATCTTGACTTAGTCTATGCAGCATTGATGACTTTATGCATCTTTACGCAATGCAGCAACATGCCCATTTTCTTTCTCACTTCCACCTGGTTGCGACGGTACTGCTTACTGGCCACTGCACCTTAATTTTTACATAAAACAATATACGAGTAAACCCCTTTATGGTGGGGGTAATTTTTTTAAATGTTAATATGTACAATTATTCCAAGAGAAAAAACAGGAAACATGAAATAGTTAGGTAACCAGGATATCCCAATAGCTAAGTTTCTACCTAAAATATTTAGTTGAAAAGATTAACACCTCATGCACAGAAAAATTGCATGACATGTAAGCAATTTCAAGTCTATTTTGCTATTTCTGTCCTATCCATTCATTGTATTTCAGATTTACCCAATGTACATGGCATTGTAGGCGATGTCGCAGTTACTACACAATAAAAAATAAAGAAAAGTAATTACTAAAGTTCGCTTTTATTGGTCTATGCTCGGTACTCTCTACAGGTTGACCCCATCGAAAAGCAGATTAGGGAAGTTATAGGCCTGAGAAAACAACAAATTACTGATTGCATCATCATTAATTAGATCTTCAATCTGAAATTCAGTTGCCACATTTGAAAAGTGTTGATTAGCAAACTGCAGCTGATCAACTTCAGATGCACCATTCAAGATCTCACTATTGAAGTCCGCACTGACCCCATCCAAAAGATTTTGAGAATATGGCGAAATAGGATTATTATGTGTCAAGGTGCTACTTGGGCTGAAGTGATTGCCAAATATATCTTTCTTCAAGTTATTCACCGGCGTCAGTATATTTGTGCTACTCCAACCAGCCGAACTCAGTCCAGTAGATGATGACATTGAAGTGTGACTATTATGATGATTGGGGATTAATGTATTGGAATCAGAGTCCATACGTGAAATGGTGTCTCCAAAAGCTTCAGGATAAATCTCTTCACATAAAGTTAAATGTCTACTCACTTCTGCATTGCCTTCTATCAAATCTACGTTGTTCTCTGCGTCATAGGCTCCAGCTAATATTTTCAATGATATTCTTATCACAAGAATCATAAATACTCTTTTACAGTCTAAGGCTCTTAATTTAGCCCAGCTTTCGCCATTGAACAGCTCTGTCCCCTTAGAAAACACATTCATAGAAAATTTCGCAAGGAGATCAAAATCTTCAGGGATTTGATCGTCAGCCAAGTTTTGTAAATGAGTTGTTAATAAAGTCAAAAATGCTATGAAGCTAATTACCTCCATTAATTCATAGTTGATTTTACTAACTTTCTTTGAGTCCACAGCAAGAACTATCAATAAAATAGTTCTAGCACACTCCAACGATTTTCTTCCTGCTGACAGAATTTTTATCTTGTCTGAGAAATTAACAAGTAGTGGGACTCTATTGATAATCATCAAATGGCAGAAAAATTGAATTTTAAACATAGCATTGGTTTCATCCATGAATTCCTTATTTGACAAATACAACTTATCAAAATCAGGTGATAATTCATTGGTATGACATGGTTTATTTAAGAAGGTTGGTCTCATACGGGGATGCATTTTGTTAGCAAGCTCCATCATATCCAGGTTCATCATTTCAATAGATTTGACAAGCACGTCGAACAGGGTAGACAATTTCCGTTGACTACTAGCAGAAAATAATTCATAGTATGACTTATTTCTTACCCTATTGAGCAATAATGTATAGTGACAAGAATACACATGAGCACCTTGGTCAAAACAAACTTCCACAAGCTCTTCATGATTATCAATCGACCCAATTGGAGACTCTACGTCCATATCAGTCAAACTGGATACATCTTGTAAATTAATAAGTGGAGGTTTCCCTGTCTTGTAGCACGAATCCATATCCAAGCAATGGCAATACCACCACAACTTTCTACCTATATCTGCTTCTTCTTCACTCATTTCATCATATGATTCGACTCTATTCAACCCTAATTCTTGGGCAAATCGTATTGCCACTGAAGTCAACATATTATTAATGTAAAAGTCTGTGGAGTAGTGGACATCTGCAAATGTATATAACAACACGATCGCCTGGATAGTGATTAAACCCTCACAGACAATATTGACTCTCTCATAGAAGTAGACTGCATTGTTAAAACATTCTTCTTGGAGTGTATTCAAGTCTTCTAAAGTGTAAAGCTCTGTGAATTTGTTCCACACGTCAGACTTATTTTCAATAGCAAGAGCAAGCGCAATATTCATAATAAGTAACTCGGAGTACTTGAAAAGAGCTTTGTCTTGCTTCACACCAGCCTGGTCACCTGCGCTAAATTGATTCTGTCCCGAGTAATATCTATCAAATAACGCAATGATAATACCATGATCCACTACGAGGTTAGCATTAGGTATGGTTTTATAGTAAGTGTTCAAAAAGCCATAGACCAAATTAGAATCCAGTGGGAAATCACAAGTGCCAGGTTCAGCGCTGGCAGCGGCAGCTATAGCTGGAGATTGCTTCTGACTCTTTGTTCCATTACGTGGCAATATTTCATGCTTGGAATTACTTGGTACGTTAGACCATGCCTTGGCCAGGGACAGAGGTGAGGAGTTTAATAACATGGGTAACTTCTCAATCGAGAATACCAACTTCAAGTCTTGGGGGCGTAATCTGCTTTTGATCCAGGCTTTAGTTTTTTCTGATATAATACAGAAGTATGATTGGCATTTTCTTACCTGTATATGTCTAGAAGTCGGTCTCTTTTTAATACGAAGGCTGCTGAATTTAGATAACTTTTCAGTCTCTCCATCCCCAGCCTTATTTCTAATAGCAACACGGTCATCATGGTGCTTTTCTTCCGTTGAACTAGGAGGCGTGGGGTTTAATGTCGACTCCGAGTCAGAGCTTGAGTTGGATGAGTGGGAAGTTACAGGTTTCAAATTTTTTTGACTCGTGTCAGTGGCGCTAGACGGTTTCAGTCCATCCAATCTGCTGACCAAGTTACTTAACAAGCTCTCCAACGAGTTGAGCCTATTGCTCAACACCTCGATGGTTTTGGTTTTGGATGTTTCAGACTCAGAGGCTGGCGAATTCTTCGACCGTCTTTTCCTCTCTTTATGTGCACTGTAGATACACTCATCTACGTTTGAGCAGTTCTGGCACGGAAGGCTCCCGTTACACTTGACTTTCTTCTTTCTACAGTGATCACAAGCCATCTGAATACGAGGTCGTTTCTTCGACCCCTGCATTTGGTTATGGAACGTATTGATATCAACTTGCGACATTCTATGGCCTTCACTTACTGCTAGTACCGGACTATGAGCTTACGATGAAAGAAGATGAATTTGCCCTCTCAATAATCCAAACTTGTTGCGCTAAATATTTTTTTTTTTTTTTTGGCGGGGGAACTTCGGAGTGCAGGAAGAGTCCCACCAGGCGCTAAGCACGAGAAGGGAGCTTCAAGCAGACTGTGGACAGAAGCTCAATTACATCATGGGTGAGACATGGGATGGTCCGTGATTAAAGGTTCCTTGTTTCCTTGCCAAAGGGAATGGAAGTGTCTTCGTTGGCAGTGTCTTAGTTGTGCTGAGTGGGTTGAATCTCAGCTGGAACCATTTTATGCACTGAAGCACTGGTGCTTAATAATTATGACAGGGGCTTGTGCGAGGTGCGCTTGTTCTTTGGCACCAACGCACACCAATGGTCGCAGAGGAGCTGTATAAAACCAAGAACATAAATGCAGCACCTCATCACGACTACGATTGGCAGTGGGGCAAAAATAGACGATGTAGACCACGTAGACCACGCAGATATATGAAGACTCTGTAGGCTCTGCTACGTACCCGCTCTTTGTTCTCTGTCTAGCTCTGCCATAATTCAGGCTCCCTCCCAGAGCAGCTACTGATCGTATTTCGTATCACATGGCACACGTCACATGCACACTCTGTCCGAATCAGGTCGGCCATTTTTTTCTTCTTCGACGCTGTGCAAGCTGAGAGGCCTGCTTAGATCTGGTACGCTTTCTGATCTTGCTACACTTTCCCTTCACAGTATCCACTCTAGGACAGTTGACCGTGATGCTGATGCGAAAAGCAACCCCAATCCTCGGCTCAAAGGAAGATATAGCGTTCCGCGAGGCCTTGAAGCTTTATGATGCCAAACAGTACAAGAAAGCACTCAAGCTTGTCGACCAGAACTTGAAGAAAAACTCAAACCACCCAGAATCGTTAACTTTGAAAGGATGTATTATCTATTTCACAGGAACCAAAACAGAAGCTGACTTGTACGTTAGAAAGGGATTGGCCAGATCGCCAACAAACCATTTGGTTAATCATTTGGCAGGGATCTACTTTCGTAATGTGGAAAACTACGCTGAAGCTGCAAAATGGTACAAGGCCGCCATTGACAATGGGTCCCAGAATAAGCAAATCTTAAGAGACTTGTCTACCATGCAAGTTCAAATCAGGGACTATAAGAACTTGAAAGAGTCAAGACAATTGTACTTAGAAGAGCAACCTGGATTTAGAGCTAACTGGACTGCCTCTGCCGTTGCACAACACCTTAATAAGAATTACGACGGAGCCGTTTCCACACTTTCGAAAATTGAAGGGTTAATCAAAGAGCATTTAAGTGAATCTGATAAAGTAGAACATTCTGAGTGTCTTTTGTATAAGAACCTGATTATTCTGGAGGCTGGAAACTTCGGTAAAGCTCTCCTGACGCTTGAAGCCGATGAACCTGAAATCAAAGATAAATTGAGTGTATTGGAATACAAGGCAAGATACTTGATGTTGTTGGGAAAATTGGAGGAAGCTTCTAAGATCTACAGAATCTTGTTACAGAGGAATCCAGACAATGCAGGGTATTACTCGTTGTTGGAAGTTTGTCTCGATACAGCTTCCAAGCCAGTTGAAATTAGATTAAAATTATTCAGTAAGCTACAAAAATTTTACCCTAGATCTGACCCGCCAAAATTCTTACCGCTAACATTCGTTCCAGCAGACCATCCAAAATTCATTGAGTTGGCCAAACTGTACATCTTGCCACAATTAGAAAAGGGTGTTCCTTCTTCATTTATCAATATCAAGCCACTTTACAAGGACAAGCTCAAGTTGAAAGCTATTGAGTCCATTTTATTGGAATTCTACAACCAAAAGCTTAATGATAAGCTGGTTCAGCCTACGATTATAGTGTGGACCAAATACTTTTTGGCTCAGCATTATCTTTATTTGAATGACTTGGTCACTGCTGATAGGTATATTGATGAAGCTATCACCCACTCGCCCACTTTGGTAGAATTATATATAATTAAGGCCAGAATATTAAAGCATAAGGGTGAATTTATTCAGGCTAGCGAAGTCATGAATGAGGGCAGAGAGTTAGACTTACAAGATAGATTCATTAACTCCAAGGCCACCAAATACTACTTTAGGGCAAACAACGTTGATAAGGCAATTGATACAATTTCTTTGTTTACAAAATTGGAAGAAGACGCAGTAAATGGTTGTAAGGATTTACATTTGATGCAAGCTAGCTGGGTTTTGATCGAAAGTGCAGAAGCTTATGCAAGATTATACCGAGAATTGGAAAAGGCAAAGCTCTCCAATGAGGATGCTGATCTGGAAGGAGCAGATGAAAATGAAGATGATGAAGATGTAGACGAAAAAATTGAGCTTTATAAAGGTTTGGCTTTGAAGAGATTTCATGCTGTTCTCAAACTTTTCGAGATCTTTTACAATGACCAACTTGATTTCCACTCATACTGTATGAGACGTGGAACTCCTAGAGACTATATCGAAACCATCAAGTGGGAAGACAATCTTCACAGCACTCCCATTTACAGCAGGGTCATGAAAGGGTTGTCGAAGATTTATTTGGACATCTATGAGCAACAACAGGCTGCTAAGTTGAAAGCAGCATCGGCAGCATCAACTTCAAGCGGATCAAAGAATAAGAAAAATAAGAAAAAGAAAAGCAAAGCCCAAGGAAAGAAGAGGGAAGAGCTAGCTGCCAAGGTTGCTTCAGAAAAGGAAGACCAGGATCCATTTGGAACCACGCTATTGAACAACGTGGTATCTAACGGTAACGGCAAAGTTTTGGACAATTTATTCGAATTGTTTAAGCCATTGCTAGTGGAAGCAAAAGATAATAGATTTACTTGGGAATTGGCATTCGAGTTGTATGTCAGACAAAGTAAGTATGTGTTGGCTATGCAAGCCATAAAGAACTTGAATTCCGTATATACCAATTATAATGGCGATAACAAAAAGTACAAACAAATTGGAGATATGGTTCTTAGATTGAAGGAAACCACCAAGAACGACCCTGAGGCTAATGTAGCCATTGTCAAAGTAGTTGAGAAGGGGTTGGCTACTGCTTTTCCAGACCTTACAAAGGGAGACGAAGAGTTCATGCAGGCTTACATTGATTAGAGAATAGACACACTACAAGGGTGATGATAAATAGCGTTGTATATACATATAGAGAAGCCATTTGTCAACATCATAATATAATTTATATCTCTCTTTATTATATAATACCTTACTTATAAAAAAAAAAACTCGATTGAGAGTAATTGAAGCCTTGGTTCTGAACTTCACCATTCTGGAACTGCAACCTTCTGATTTCAGTTCATACTAGCTCATTTGTGATTTAGGCAATCTAGCTCTACTTCCTACGTGCTCATCTAACATCACACTAGCCCTACATTCTCTTTCTGATTTCACTTCCCACTCACCTACTTCTTACGTGCTCATCCAACCCTCTACCTGGCTCCTAGCCACAGTACCTGCCAAATTCAACGTTTGGGTTCCCATTGGGAAATAACTCACCGTGTACCATAAAGCTGAAAGCAACTGAATCGCTGCGAATATTATGGAGAACAATGTGCTCTTCAACTTCAAGCTGCTAAACAACGTCAACACAATACTGGTGATAAATACTACGGTGAAGATGATCCTAGTGGACAGGAATAAATGAACCATATAGGCCTGGAATCCCTGAAGAACTCCAAAACTTATAAGAAAGAAGACAGAACCTAATGACCATAATAATGCAAACTTCCTTGGTTTCAAGGCAAGCACTGGGAATAGGAAAATACATATTAAGTAGCAACAGACTGATCCAGCGAAGGTCAATGCAAATATCAACATCCTGTCCCATTTAGAGAGTTCGAAATAACCCGGCTCTGAAGTAACGTAATTGTCATCGTCTTGTAAGTATACGGAATCATTTCTGAATGGGTTTAATCTACCCAATCTAGTCTTAAATGAATTGGGTTGAGTATTCGCAGTTGCAGGTGGCGGCAATGGAGCACCATCGTCCTGGCTCAATGGCGTGTACAGAGACTTAAACGCTTTAAAAAACGACATAGGGTTTGAATACGTATCAATATATATATATATCTATATATATATATATATGTATATGAATAAGTTACAATATTATTGCTTCTGCAATCAAAGGAAAGAAATTATTAAGAGAAACAACGATCAATTCACTATTTTCCTAGCGCCTATTGCCTAAATTTTCCGCTTAACCATGTCAGGCGTACTGACTCCCATTTAAGTTATTTTCGTGAGAATCTCAAGCTCATGGCCGTTTCATTCTCGCTGTCTAATAGAACACTCTGTTACTTTTAGAGTACATACATATAGACAGTTAACACCAAATCAGTATGACTGAAGCATTAGTGAAACCTTCGTTCAACTCTGCATATCTTGAGCTTATCGGATTATCGGAAAATGCTCCGTCCAGTGCTTTCTATTCCACTAGCGATTACTCGAAGTTGAATACTTTAGGGCCCTCGCTTCCGAAAAGTAAAGTTCCAATTCCAAGGTCTGGGGCGAACGATAACTCCAGCTCTAGTTCCACATTATTACTCACTTTTAAGTCTATTAAGCCCCCATTCAAGTTCAGCACCCAGTTATCCAATGTACCTGACAATTACGCTGTGTATAAGATAAAAAATGACTTGATTGAGTCGCTACAGCTATTGAAAGATGCGCACGTAGTTGCTTCTGATTTAAAACTATTGGTCAAGGGGAAAGTTATACAAGACACTGCCATCTTGTCGACATTAGTGGGCCCTGGAGCCACAGATATCTCGTTCATGTGTATGGTGAGTGCTCCGAAGTCAATACCTGCGGAACAACTGGTTGGACTGCCCACTAACGACAACTCAGATCCAACCGATGCCAGTCCAAACTCAATGAATGATCCAACTACCATTCTCCCTGCAACTTGGAAAAAAATTGAACTGATTTTGGTTGAAGATCTTGGTAAAGAAAACGCAACAAGTGCCTTACAGAAACTACAATCAGCTTTCAATTAGTACAATTGATACAATTATATATATGTATATATATATATTTAATATACATGTCTCACAATTCCTGTCACCTTTGCTTGTAGTTCACAAAATTCTCATTATTTTTCAGTTTTTTGGTTCCATTGATTGTATCTTTGGACAATCAAGTCGCTAAGCCTATGGCCTTCTGCTTTTCCGGTCCTCTTTTCGTACGAATAGTAAGAGGCTACGCCTATCGCTACCGCAAACAAGGGATCAAGTCTCTTAGAAAGTAAGTACGGATACTGCATACCTAGTCTGTGAAGGATAAACCGAGAACAAAAGGAGAATCAAAAAGACTTCAAAATCTTCATCCCCAGAAAATCCAAATTAGTGAGAAAATTAAGGTTGCACAATTTATGAGAAAACTAATGGAGGAAGGAAGAAGGAAGGACCAGACAGATTAGTTACATAGAACTTCGAAGTTGGAACTCTCAGCACATATGATTCTACTAAGCGCTTTTAAAAAAGGAAAAGATCCCGACAGACATTGAAGGGCTCAACATCTACCCCTTACTTTCTACTCTTTACTCAATATTTCATTTTATTGGTAGCTGGTTTCTAGAAAAAAGAAAGATACAACTATACATTCCTTATTATGCCTTATTTTCATTTCAGTTCATACCCTTTTTATTTCTTCCACTTCTTTTTCATCCTGTTGCTGATATTCTTATTCCACGCAACCCCACTCATTATTGATCTATGGAACCCGTACACATCGTGTATCTCCCCATCAAACCCACTGCTCTGCAATGCTCTTCTTTCTTCATCGCTCATCTCTGCTTTCATTACTGATTGTTTTTTACTAGTCAACCTTGCTCTTTGCTTCCCGACAAATTCTCTGCATTTATTTATCTCATCTTGCGATAATGAGCCAAACCCATACCCACCGATTTTCTTGAAACAATTATCAATTAAAATGTTAGGATCTATGATGGTTTTGGGATAATTCTGCATGAATTGGAACAATTCGATTTGGTCGATTTCTGCTCCACTCCCTACATTTCCTCTGGAATTGAATGCTGTGTCTTCTAGGCACATCTTGCATATCGTCAACGATATTCTGAATATAGATTTCGATCCTTCATACCACAATATGTCCCACACTCTCAATGTAGTTTCAATAGGTAAATTGCCAACGAAAACACTCATAAACCAAGAAGACGTCACTAGGGTAACTGGAGGCAATCTTGTTAATATCTTATCTTCAGATAACGTTTCCCCCTCAAAGTTTTTACCCAATATACCCCAAAGTTGTGGAATATATTCTTTGATACAAAGCATCAACACTCCTTGATCAATATGAACACCTTCGAGGTTTGCAGAATGGACCTTGGGGATGATCCTTTCTGTAAGGATCACCAACATCCAAAAACATCTCTCTTCTCTCATGAAGAGGAGCAACAAACCTGCGAGGAAATTTAACGATTGGCAATATCCAATGTGAGGTTGATAGTGAGCAAATGCAACTAGCACTCTACGCAAGGACTTGATAGACTGTGTTTCCTCCTTGCCTGCACTCAGATTCAACTGAGAGTCTTTTAAATGTTTTGTTTCGAGCAGCTTATTAAAATATATGTTATCCGGAAACGTTCTATTGAGGTCTCTTTCGATAACTTCAGTATCTTTATTGTGTACGCCCTCGGTATCTCTTACAATCTGCTCATAGACCCCCGTGTGTTTGTTCAATTTTTCATGGCCCCCGGCGTAGAAAAACCATGCATTACCTCTCCATTCCGCTGGTATACCCTTACGAATTAACTTTTTCACTTTATCAGACTTTGGTGGAAACCGGTTAGGCGGTTTGGTACGGGATTCTGCTTCACCTAGCCCGTTATTTTTCATTAATGCTTGCCATTTCTTCTTGTTACGCTCAAGGTAACGAGAATAGTCCTTGAACCAGGTATTGTACCTTTCTCCTGATACACCATTTGAACCTTCAGACGAAGGTTTCTTGAACCCATACCTATCAAAATTTGACTTCAAGACTTGATCGTGCACTGCTTGGTCTGATATGTCCAAAATAGATGAGGTCGGATCAAATGGGATTGAAGACGTTCGAGTGGAGACGGATATGTTACTATTTCTTGCAAGAGATAAGACTGACGAGGATCCTACCATGGTTGCAGAAACCTGAGAGCCGGCATTCGTACCAGAAGTGTCAGACCCTACTATGGTGCCATCCTTGGAATCGGATGTGTCAGACTCTTTCACCGAGCTATCTTCATCAGCCTCTTGCCCTTGTCCCTGTCCTTGGCCCTGGCCGTCACCTTCATCACCCTCGTCAACTTCAGCGACTTCTCCTAACCTCTTGGCTGAATTGAGCTCTTCCGTCAAGTGCAACTCTTCCAACTCTGACTCAACAGTAGGGTCCACTGCATGCAGACTTCCTGGCGACGGACAATCGTACATATTAATAAACGAATAATTACCAGAATACGACGACCCGGATCGACTATGTGTTTTGTCTGTCGGCAAAGCTAGATGTCCGGTAGTTGTTGCTGGAGCTTCATATAGACTCATTGCCAGAAGCTCTCCCTCCTGTATCTATCCAAATAAATAAATATATCTATAGCCTTTTATTTGAAGATATTATGTGAAGGATAAACTGTTCCAGCCTGGGCCTATCTCACGGATCACCTCAGTTCAGTGCAAGCGAGCGAAAAGATTGCTTGTTCTTCGTATAAAAAAGCTACAAAATAAATTGTAAATAGTGCAATGCTCTAGCTTAATAGCAACAGGTACTACCTATTTTCCCCTGATCTACTTGTAAGCAATAATAATAGCCAGAAAGCAGGAAGAAACTTTTCATCTACTCTCTTCCTTCTTGGATTTTTTATTCTTGTTTCGTCATAAAGAGTTGCTGCTTTGGGTATATGCAGGAACTATCAACACAAATGGCGGAGAGAAAAAGAAAGCCAAGGGCCGTGGGAAGGACAAGTAGAAGCGAGAAGAAGAAAGGTAAGAAGACCAGGTAAAAATATCGTGAAGTCCCGTAAAATGGGCTTCAGACATGTCACGTTTATACTAGTGTTATTTGCGCTTGCACTGGCAGACCGGTTGCTGCTGTGGAGGAACTACGATAGCCCGTCCAAAGTCTATGACTCTTGCAAGGAGATGCGCTTGCCTGAGGGCTTGGTTATATCAGTTCAGCGGAATGGGAGGAGTCCAGACGATACGGTCTACACTGGCTACATGAGTGAGGCATCATACATACAGTCGTGCTATGAAAATGCAATACCGATGCTAGATACCAATGTGGGGTACATCATGAATAAGTATGCTCAACCTCTCCCTATAGTATTGAGTTCCTGGCACGAATGGACCAAGGGGGCGGATTCTGGTGCGTTTGCGTACAGTGTGGTGCCGGTAGTATACTCTATTTCAGTCCTGGCGGTAGTTACGTGGTTTTTGACCATCTTTGTGCTTACAAATTATACCATAAAGGCGTCGTTCTTGCTCCGAGCGTCTACTTCGTTGCTGTCCGTTTATCTCTTGGTCACGGTGATACTAACAGTGGTGGAGTTAAACAATCAGCAGAAGCGAGGGTATGTCCATGGCGCAGAACTATTGGACTATATAAACAACAACTTGGCTTTAAGTATCCTCGACTTGATTGTGGTTATGTTGCTACAAATCAATCAAGCCCAAGTCATCATGAGAATCTTTTCTAGACAACTGGATAAAAGACTAATCTTGTTAGCAGGGATTAGTTCTACACTTGCGTCCCAAGTGATATGGGCCTTGACCAAATTTTACCCCTTCGGTAGTGACGAAGCTGGTGACATCTTACCGGCATTCACATACTTGGTCAGAATTGCAATGGGTGTGTGTTACTCAGCCCTTATCACTGTTTACATTTTCACAAAGGCTAATTTAATAATAGCAAATAAAAGTATATGGATGCTTACATTCTTGACTTCAGTTTTGATTTACAGTCCGGTTGCATTTTTCATTGCAGATGTTTCCAATAATTGGATCAGTGAGTTAAGTGAAGTTTTCTCGTGTGTGACGTATGTTATCTGCGTGGTAATTCCTTGGGAATGGTGTAATAAAATGAATTTGATACTTAAATTGAAAGAAAAGGAAGGTTTATTGGGCAGAAGGTTCCATGAAGATGAGATGTATGAATTGGATAGGTATGAGTTGTTCATGGAAGATGAGGTGGATTCTGAAGAAGAAAGCGGTGAAGAAGAAGAAACTCTGGACGACGAAGATGGCGATGGTGATAATGTGACTGCGGACATTTTAAATGAAACAGGAGACGATGATATTGACAATCAACAGAACAGTGAGCCGTTACAGCGTAGAAGAAGGAGAGATAAAATCAATACCGCACAAACCAAACAAGAACCTGTCCTCCAAGCACCAAGAGAACATAAGCTAATTTCATTATTGGGCAAAACGAGACTGACTATATTAAACATTACGGATGCCATTATTGCAACCGGTTTGGCTATACCGAGATCGGTCAGCGTGTCAACACCTCAAATCAATGTCGCAGAAGGCGACTCTTTGCAATTGGAAAACTTCGGTGGCACATCGTCGAGTATGAGAAATACGAACTCCCAAACAAATTCAAACGCTGCAGGTCACGGAAGAAATAGAAGAGATGTGTTTGTCTATGCGAGAAAGGAAGTTGTGATAAACTTATCGGATACGGATGAATAAAAAAGTTACATTTGAAATATATCAAGACCCTCCCTGGTGGAGTGAGTTTCCAAATACAAAGTAAATGAACAGTCACATATATTTATGTCTGTTTGTTTGTTTGTAAGTATATACATGCGTGTATGAAAATTGAAATATCAATATATTAGTTGAAATTATGCCTTTCCCTCATTTATCTCTTTATTTGAATTATTTTCTACTCTTTTTACCTTTTCTTCTTCTCCTTCATCTTTTATCTTATCGTGACCAAACTTTGCAATTGATACACACTCTTCTTCGTACCCAGGTATGTGTATATACTCCACCCCATGGTCCTCAAGTCTCTTGATACTAGTGTTGTTTTTGACGAAGGTGTCTGGTTCTACTATCCCGACGAAGCATGTTTTGATGTTAGTGCTCAATATTCTGTCTGTACAGGGCAAGTTGCCACTAAGTCTTAATGTACAAGGTTCCATGCTCGTGTATAGTTCTGTTCCTACTGGAACATCATTTTTACCAGTTTTAGTGAAGTATTTTTCCAAGGCACATTGCTCCGCATGTGTGTTTCCAGGTAGCTCTCTAGAGTGCCCGGTAGATATGATTTCACCTTCGTGAACCAAAACGGCTCCAACATTAAATTGGGTTTGAGTTTCTCCACATTTTCTTGCTTCTTCAATGGCCAATTCCATAAATTTGCGATGTGGTTCTACAGCCCACTCTGGATATTCAGTCTTGTACGACCAAGGTTTGTTTTCATCGGTGGACTCATACTTGTATGCATGGAGCCACAATTCCAAATCGTTTGGACCAGGATCGGTATACAAATCTGTTTCACATATCTCGCATTGTCTTTCAGCAAGGTGTTCTCCGTCAGCTTCAGGGTGAATCCAAGTAGATGAAGCTCTAGTCTTACCGATAGAATCCAACTTCAATTCGATTTCATCAGTATTACCGTGACCGTCCTTTCCTAATTCTGGGCCCCAGACAGACTCACTAGAATAAATAGGGTCATTGGCAATCGGGTGGCCCAAAAATTGCAAATGAACTCTAATTTGATGGGTTCTGCCAGTGAATGGCTTGCACTTTACAATAGAAGTGTTCGATACTGGATCGTAAGAAACCCTTTTAAACCCTGTCTTGGCTTCTTTACCGTTTTCCCTATCGACTCTATTTAAACCAAGCTTGGGCTGAATGGTTCTTAATGGTTCTTCGCACGTAATAGTATCAGTGGGAAATTGGCCCACACATCTGGCAATATACTCCTTACTGACAGATCTATTCTTTATCTGCTGGGCAAGATCATCAGCACCATGAGCGTTTTTACCCAAGAACATCAACCCCGAAGTCAATCTATCGAGCCTATTGCATGGGTGTACGATCAACCCCATCTCATGTTGGAATATTTTAGTGATCGTATTGAACCGATATCTTCCTGTCGGGTGCACTGGGATTCCAGATGGTTTGTCGATAGCGAGAATATTTGCATCTTCATGAACAATTTTAATTGGTTGCGAAGAAACAGGTGGTTCGTGACGATGACTCTTGTGACTAATGAGATCCCCATTCTTGACCACCGACTCGAGATTGGCAGGCTTACCGTTTAAGGTGACTTTACCTGCTTCGATATTCTTCCTATAGAAATCCGCATCTCGATCTCTAAACTCGTTAACAAAGATGTCCACCAATTTACGGTCTCTCCATCTTAACTTACAGTATGTTAAATAGGTGAAAAAGTAGGGGTTTACCCGCCTAAGTCTACCTTCAATTATATACTTAGCACCTTCAGACTCCTCCTCTGTGATCAGGATCAGCTTTTCCAAAGTTTGCGATTTTATCCTGAATCCACAACTGTCGCGGACCTTTTGACCAGTGGCTGGTATAGGTGAATGGCTGCGCTTCATAACAAGAAATTCAAATTAAACTTAGCGAAATGTAGCCAATGGTTTCTGGTAAGAGCCTATCACCATTTTCACTCTAATTGAGATCTCCTCGATGCCGTCCTGCACACAACCTACACAGTCAAGCGTGTATTTGAGAGATTTGACAGCCTACGATCACCATCTCGTAGCTCGAGAAACGGAATGTTGAAACGAGAGGGAAGCCATGACAGACGTGCATCATCATTCTGGGGTGCTAGAGCACCACCAAAAGCCGCTAGGCTCTTCTGCATTCCGGAATTCTCATTCCCCGTTTAGGTCTAAAAAAAGAAGTCTCAGGAAGTATATGCACATACTCTAGGTGTTGCACCCTACTGTTGGCCATGTCTTAATATAGAGCGCACCTCACCTACCTACCTACCCACCTACACACAAATCCCATTCCGCCTTAAGCTTACACTTTTTTTTTTTCGTAATTGACAAGCTCAACGACATTTCCGATGCTAACTTTAAATCCAAAAACGGAACTGCATACAATGTAGCACTAGAATTGCAAATCACAGCCCACAGAGGAGTAGCTGTTAATTGTCTGGGTGCTCAAATAGCACTAGCAAGATGGCTAACGGCCATTTAAAGAATCTATCTAAAAATAGACCCAGTAAATCCGTCGAGAAGAGCATGAAGGGCAGCCTTAGATAATATTTTTCTGTTGGCTACCAAGCTAAATAGTGAAGAGTTTTCTGAGCCACTGTGCCTCTGGTGGGGAGAAAGGAGGTGAGCCCAAAATAATACTGGAAAAATAAATAAATAAATAAAAAAAATAAATAAATCAGGAAAGAAAGACCTCAGAAAAAGGAGAGCATCTGAGATCCCGCAAGCATAAAGGGTAAAACACAGACCTGCAAAATGCTATCTCTTTCACGCATCTCTGGAGTACAGCCCACCAGTAAGACTAGATTCGTTACGCATAAACACCTGGTCCTCTTCCAACACGATCCCACGACTCGATTTGTTCTTCTGCAGTGTGTCATTTTGCGGTTTTGAGCCTCTGGTGATCTATTGTACTTCTTGGGAAGTTCCCGAGACCTTCTCGTTCCTGGAACAGAAAAAAATACCCACCCACGCACGAAGGTTAAAGTGTAAGCAACACTTTAATCACCAGTGCTGGAAAGGCCAAGGAGACTAAATAGAAGTCATCAAAGTTTCTGTTATGCTACAACTCAGCATGTTCCACATGTTCCACATGTTCAGCCGCATTTCAATTCGAACAAGCTTGGAATCTCAGTTACCCAAGCTTCCCAGTCAACCCAGTAGCCCGGCAAGCCCCAGCACGCGTGAGGCCCGTCTGCGCTCGCTTCCACATTGGCTTTCGGGCTCAGTTTTAATTTTTCTTAACTACGAGTTTAAGCTTTTCTGTTCCTTTATTTACCTTTTTTGTATTTTGTTTTTTTTGTCTTTCACACTCTTGGTTCGTTTTTGGTTGCGTTTGTATTCAGTTTTAAAATTTTTTTTTTTTTCATTTCTACTTGCCCTTCGAAAAGTGTTAAAAGTTAAGAGAACATTACTGTGTTGGAGTGTTAGTAGGATACTGGGGAAGGAATTACCACACTAGCACCTTGAATTTACGGAGCGCGAGATTATATACCACGTCTAACTCGACCTAATTTGGGTATATTCCATTGATCAAGACCACCATCACCGTTCTTTTTTTAGCATTCTTCTTTTTTTTTTTCGTATTACGATCTCGATCTCTGATTCGACCACAGCTAACTAGATGTCCTTCAGACAAAGCATCAACTCGTCCAGATACCAGGAATTTGACCCCGAAACGGGCGATGTCGCGAGGAAGAGGTCGCTTGTCAAACCGGAGAGATCAAGAATCGATCAATCCCATCCAAGGTACCATTACTCACAAGTTGCCAACCAGGAATCGTCTCACCTTAGGATTTTGCCGTCCTCCACTGGGTTGAATCCTGGTTCTGTCCCTGAAAACCATAGACTGCCCTCCCCTTCGCATAGAGGCAGTACCTACAGCAGGAATACCAATACTACTAATAATAATAATCTTAATTTACCCGATCTCTATGAAGAAGGTGAAGAGGGTATCCCGTTGATGGAAATCAGCTCTCCCACTAGAAACAAGGAAGATGGTAGAGAAATGTTTGGACTTAACGATGAGATAGACTACTCACCAAATCGTAATAACGTCATAAAATCGTCTACCAATGCAAACGCCAGCATGCCTACATCCCCAGCAAAGAAGAGGGCTAGGGGTTCATCCGAAAAGAGCTCTTCATCGTCATCTTCATCAACTGGGTTGGACTTCTGGAAGCTTTACTGCTACTTAATTACATTCTGGGCCCCCGGACCCTTGTTAAAGCTCTTTGGAATTAAATCGAAAGAGCAACAGTATGCATGGAGAGAAAAGATCGGGTTGCTTAGTTGTATCTTATACTTAGGTGCTTTTTCAGCTTATGTTATTTTCGGATTCACTAGAACAGTGTGCTTTCATAATAAAGTATTTGTTCGTAACAACGATGTATTGTCATCATTTTTGATCATGAACGGAAGAGCGTTTGATTTATCACATTCACAGCATCCAAAAGCTGCAGGGATCGGAATTGGTACTAACGTGTTGTATCCTCCAATTAATGCTGGTGGTATGGACGCATCTTTCCTCTTCCAAAATGTCAACGGGAATTGCAAGGGCCTTATTAAAGCCAGAGATAACGCAACTATTCCTCATAGTGATGATTATTTGGACTTAGCTTGGTACATGCCTTGCAACTTGTTCAAACAAGATGGTTCTACAAAACCAAACTTCACAGAACCCTTCTATAGCGGTTGGGCGTGTCATACTTCTGAATTGGCCAGAGGGCAATACTACAACTTGACTGTAGCTGCTGACGTCTACTTTACTTGGGATGATATTAAAAACAGCACGAGAAATCTTGTTGTTTATAATGGAGTTGTCTTGGATTTGGACTTGATTGACTGGATTTCGTCAGACCAAGTGACATACCCAGAAATGTTTACTGAACTAAAGAACGACCCAGTATTCAAGGGCCACGATATATCAGTTGCTTTAACAAATAGTCATCAAAGGCAGGTTGCCCGTTGTCTCACCGAAATTGTTAAAGTGGGGACCATTGACTCTGAAACCATTGGATGCATTGCATCGACTGTAGTGTTGGTTGTTTCCTTGATTTTCATTTTGGCGGTGGTTCTTGCTAAGTTTATAATGGCTTGTTATTTTCATTGGTATGTTTCCAGAAGACAAGGAACCAACGAGATTAATAGTAAATCCATGTTAGAAAGAGATAGACAAATTGATAACTGGGTAGATGATCCAAGTTCCAGAGCTCCTATTCATGAAGTGCCAGTTGAGCAAAGAGCAAATTATCATTCCGGAAAGACAAACAGACAAAGTATTTTCATAAGAAACATTGAAAATAATAATAATACTAAGAAGTTAGCCACATCATCAAAGCTGCCTCTCACAACTATGTCTAGCCAAGCAGCATTGTTGTCCAGGAAAAAGGATGGAAATGGTCATAAACGTATCCTCAGTAACCATTCGTTAGGTAATATTGCAAGTTCATCCAACTTACCAAGAAATAGACTCAGTCAATCATCTCTTGATTTGCTCGGAAATCATAGACCAAATTCAGTGTATAATCCATTTGAAGATTTTGCAATTAACGGATTGTCGCCAGATATTATTCACCCTGACGTTGTTCCACAACCGCCAGTAGAATATCAGCCAACCGGATACCCATTATTGCACACTTTGGTGTTAGTTACTTGTTACTCAGAGGATGAAGTTGCCATAAGAACTACCATGGACTCTATCGCCACTACCGACTATCCCAATTCACACAAACTTATCTTGGTTGTATGTGATGGTATCATTAAAGGTTCAGGAAATGATGTTTCCACCCCTGATATTGCATTGAGTATGATGACAGATTTCACTATCCCACCTGATGATGTTGTAGCATGTTCGTATGTTGCAGTTGCTCAAGGTTCTAAGCGTCACAATATGGCAAAAGTTTATGCCGGATTTTACAAATACGATGATGAGACCGTTGCTCCAGAGAAGCAACAAAGAGTTCCAGTGATTACCGTGGTAAAGTGTGGAACGCCTAGTGAAGCCAACCTGGCCAAACCTGGTAACAGAGGTAAGAGAGATTCACAAATTATCTTAATGTCATTTTTACAAAAAGTTATGTTCGATGAAAGAATGACTGAATTTGAATTTGAAGTGTTCACTAGTATATGGAGAATCACTGGTTTACTGGCTGAGTTTTATGAGGTTAATTTGATGGTAGATGCAGATACAAAAGTTTTCCCCGACAGTATAAATCATATGTGTGCAGAAATGGTGAAGGATCCAATGATCATGGGTTTGTGTGGGGAAACTAAAATTTCAAATAAGAAGCAATCCTGGGTTACTGCAATCCAAGTCTTTGAGTATTATATCTCGCACCATCAATCGAAGGCCTTCGAATCCGTTTTTGGTGGTGTAACTTGTTTACCAGGGTGCTTTAGTATGTACAGGATTAAAGCACCAAAGGGATCTGATGGGTACTGGGTTCCTATTTTGGCCAATCCTGATATTGTTGAAAGATATTCAGATAACGTTGTTGACACTTTGCATAAGAAGAATTTGTTACTTTTAGGAGAAGATAGATTTTTGAGTTCTTTGATGTTGAAAACTTTCCCTAAAAGAAAGCAAATATTTTTACCCAAAGCTGCCTGTAAGACGATTGTTCCAGATTCCTTTGGGGTGTTATTGTCGCAACGTCGTCGTTGGATCAATTCTACCGTTCATAATTTAATGGAATTGGCATTGGTCAATGACTTGTGTGGTACGTTTTGCTTCTCCATGCAGTTTGTTGTTATGATTGAGTTAATTGGTACACTTGTTTTACCCATGGCCATTTGTATTACCATCTACGTTATTATTTATGCGATTGTGTCCACTCCTACACCGGTTATGTCATTAGTCCTTTTATGTGTTATCTTTGGATTGCCTGGTATGTTGATTGTCGTCACGGTTTCTTCGTGGTCATATTTTGTTTACTTTCTTATTTACATTCTTGCCTTACCAGTGTGGAATTTGGTACTCCCATCGTATGCATTTTGGAAGTTTGATGACTTCTCTTGGGGTGAAACTAGAACAGTCGATGGAGATATAAAAGGAGACCATGCAGGCGCGGAGGGTCTATTCGACAGTTCTCACATTACAATGAAGCGCTGGAAAGAATTTGAACGAGAGAGGAGAGCTAAGGAACTTAATTCAGAAAACCTTGGGGGTTTGTCATATCCTAGAGCAACCTGGGATCCTGCATCTGAAAAGGAAGAGGAAGACTTCTCGAACTCAGGTTCATCACAATAGTTTGCGTGAGCCTCGAACGATTAAGAGCAGAAGAACAAAATTTTATAGATATTACATAGTATTTAAAATCTGGCTATATAGATCCACACTTTTACTCATAATGCATGAAGATAAAATTACAGAAAGAATTATGTGCATAGATCAGTGGATTATTAATGTCTAGCAGTGAGAAAAATGCCTTAAATGAAAGTGAAAAATGTTTCAGCTGTAAGTGGTGATGCAGAATTCTAATTTGGATTAAGCCAACCAGGCTTATGCAGAATAGGTGAAGAGCTACACCAAATTGAAGGATGCTGCATGGTGGACTCGCTCGAACTGGGCGCCGAACTAAAGTCAAACGAACAGCAATGCGAGGTAACAATGAGACAACCGTGTGAGCTAACCCACATGAGGAGGGAAGTTCAACTGAAAGGTTCAACCGAAACCCCTGCAAACTAATAACTGTGTACTATATATCTGTATCGAACAAATTCCAAATAGGTACCAACGTCTTTTGCCTGTACTGAAGATAATTTTCTTCTGCTCATGCTGTGTAACATTCTCTTTTACCTAATTGGAATTTGGGAATGCACAGTCTCCGAAATGCTAACGCTTTTGATGCAGTGAATAATTATATGGCCAGATCGAGAATGGCAAGAACAACATACATATATCTTGCGTTTCCTGCACTCACCATTCGGAATGCAGTGAGTCTTTCACATATGATGCCCACCCCTCTGTTATTTTTCAGGTGGGGTCTAGCTTCGTTTAAGCACTGTAACAGAATGATGCCCATTCTTTATTTACATTTCCGTATGGCATGGCCAGTTCGAAAATCTTCGTTCTAAGTCCGTGGTGGTATTCTTACATTCTTACATAAGTTAAACCTTCATCCATGTGAAATATTCAATTCTAATATACAATGCAACACTGCCTGACTAAATTAATTAAATGTATATGAAATCCAGCTTCAAAAATACACAACTTCTCTCTTCAAGATTCAATGAGTGAACTTAAATAAGAGCAGTTCCATCTGAATTCAGGTTTGTAAGCCTCAAGCATGGCACTTCGTTTAGTCCTTAGTACTTGGTTGTTTTTTTTTTGTTTACCTGTGGAACGTACCATTTTTATCGTCTGATTGAAAAAAAAAAGTAGCCTTATGTGCCGTTTTTATAATCATAACCCCGTTTAGTCAGATTATTTAAGGCATTTCTTAAAAACGGAGATCGCTTTCAATACTTGCTTGTGACGAAGCTCTTGAGACGTCTGGAGATCCACCCTTTTGAAGATATATAGCCTTAAACTTCTTCAATCTCCAAGTGTTATTGGGCTTCTTGAGAGAAGGTTTAAATGCAGAACCTGGTGTAGCTAATGCGAAAAGCATGTTTTATTATGTTTTGATTTAGTTTGTTTGTGAAAAATAAAATGGAAAAAAAAAAAAAGATAGACCACTTGACTAAAAAGTGGGAGGAATTTGGGGCTCTATATATACTTTTTAGTGACTGGAGTATTCATACAATACGCTGTATGTATGGATTAAATGATATTTCCTGTTTAATTTAAGTTCTGTCTCCCCCTTCAAACGATTCCGGTGTTATGCAGCCTCGGCTGCATAATTTTCTAAATGTGCATTCGCGTAATACGCTCGTTAAAATTTTCCAGCATTTGGGTTTAACATTGAAGCCTGCTTAAGCATAACCTTTCTGGATTAAGCTTTAGCATTTTTCAGCAATTAATGAATGTTATTTGTTATTCCTGTGCGACTACGTGGTGATGTAATCGAAGGCTGGTAAATTGGGGAATATTTCTGCTTAAAAATTTTTTCGCTCTTTTGAAGTGAGTAGTTCTCGTTTGCTTTTGGAGATAAACCATGGAGTTAGGCAACCAAATGCAATATTTTTAATGGAATACTGAAAAGCGGCTCATCAAATGCTGGTACAATAAAGAACCTTCGTAAAAGAATAGGTTTCTATCAGCATACGTACTTAAACTAACGCCTTTGTCAAATAGAACCTTGCTTGCTTTGATTGCCCCATTTCAAATGAGGAATTCAACTATGAAACCCCGACTGCTGCCTTGGACTGGTGGTTGCTCAATTCTAGAAAAAATCTTTGTTCTCACGGCAGCTGGTTCAATACGTTTGCTTATTTTTAGCTTTTTAATTTCCCCATTACTTTATCATGGCAATGCTATGATACCACAATTTTTAGAGTTTCCATTCTTCATACGTAGGACTCTACACAGGGAAAATTGACGTAGGCTGCATCCTCGTTTTTCAAATTCTTCGCATCAAAAAATGCAACTTAAGGAAATAAGACGAAGGAGAGAAGGCGGATTCATATTATGAAGTGGAGAGCAGCGTTGCTGATGATATGTAGCAACTGTAAAATGTACATAGGTTGGTACAAGAAAAGTATATCTAAGTATAGCTACTGTGAATAGATGAATAGAATACTCAGAGTCATTATCAATGGAGGAAGTGGTAAATTGCAAGAAAAAAAATATATGGGTGATCCATGCAGAAGAAAAAACGCTTTACGCGGAAAAATATATAAAATAGGCGAATTTCATGTAAGGCATGTAATTAACAATAGAAGTTGCGTATTTCCATACTGAACAAAGTGAAAGGGACAAGGAAATGACTAAAAAATAACTATGAGGCAACATCGCCTAGGGCTATAAAATCTTCTTTTGCTTATTTTGGATTCGTCTATACAAATAGTGGTAAAATGTGGTTGTCCATAATTTTTGAAGGTGGAGGATGTGAATTTTTAGACCGTTTAAAATGCAATACCGATCTTCTCTGTAAGATATTGTAGAGCAACCGTTTCACATTCTGTTGTCAAACCTACCATGATCTTTAGAAAAATACTTCAAAAATACTATGTGACTATATTACGTACATGAACGAACAACATTTGCATTTCGTTTATGGAGAATTAAGGATGCAAGCACCGATATTCATCAGAATGGGTGCTATTTTCTTGTTCTATGCATTAAGGGCTAATTCTCTATTCATTGGGGTATGCAATATTTTCTTCTGAGGTCACTATTTTGCATGTATGTTCAAAATGGCCCCACTGGGAAATTTTGAAATAGGTACATAATTTTCCCAATTAGGAATTTTCTTTTTTTTTTTCCACTTTCTCAATTTTGCACCGTAAAATTATTTTTCTTCTAAACTTCTCTACGCTTATCTCTACATCAAACGTCTTTCAAAGGACATCGTAAATTGAATATTAGTGCTATTTATATAATAAAGGTATTTTAGAAGACTGTAAACCGAAAAACCAAATAGTTGAAAAGAAATTAAAAGTTAGTTGAGATGGGGGGTTATAAAAACATCAAGGAAGTAAAGATACAATTAATATCCAGTATGAGTTAAGATCATTAGCTCAATAGTAATCCCTAAATGTATGACATTGCTTCTCTCTCCACTAGGGAGTAGAGATAAAAAATCATGAGCAAATTGGTTCGGTTTACCAATAATTTTAAGTTGTTTTTGTATTTTTCATTTCTTTAATGCATCGGACTTTTTCTCTTAACCTAATAGAGCATTCTCTTGGTCAAAGTAGTAGCAGCAGCAGCGGCAGTGGTTGCAGTGGTAGTACCTCCAGCACTATTAATTTGATCAGCAGTGATAGTACCAGAACCTAAAGCAGCAGCTAAGAACTTACCTAATGCAGAAACAATAGCACCACCATTGTTTTGAATGTAGGTAAGAGCAGAGTCTAAGACACCGGAAGACTTAGCCCAAGAGTAAAGATCTTCGGCAAGAACAAGACCTTGCTTCAAGGCAGATGTCAATAAAGAAATGGACTGTTCTGGGTTAGCTAATACCTTGTTAATCAAAGTAGTTATAATTCCGGAGTTGGAGATTTCTGTGACAATAGTAGTGATCAAGGAAGAAAGATCTCTCTTATCCAAGATATCTCTCTCGGACAACATGACATCGGCTTCATATGATTCTCTCTTAACTACTGCTTGGGTTGGGAGAGCATCTCTCTTTGCAGCTGCAGCTGCAGTAGTAGTAGAACTACCACCGTAGTTTAATAATAAGTTTGCAGCTGACAGGAATAAAGACTTACCGACAGCCAATAAAGCAGATTGTAAATCAGTGTCGTTAAGGAATTCGTTGAAGATGTTTCCAATTAAACCAGAGTTCCAAACAGCCTTGATCAAAGCTGGACCTTGAACAATGGCAGCCTGAACGGCAGACTTGATTAAACCTGAGATTTCAGACTTAAGAGTTTCATCGGTAGTCAAGGTATTCCAAATCGTACCAAGAATACCAGAGTTAGCAAAGGCAGTAATCAAATTACCAATCAAAGAGTCTGCTCTTCTACTTAATTCATGGTATTCCTCACCTTCTGCAAAATCTCTCTTGGCGTGAATGCTTTTAATTTCAGCGATGATGTCTAAGATTTCGTTGGCATCTTGTCTGGTAACAATGATGTCAGTGGATTCGAAGTTGACAGTTTCAGTTGGAGCAGCAGAAACAAATGCTGAAGTAGCAAGGATTGCTAAGAGAGTAGCTTGAGAAAATTTCATTATCTGTGTTTATGTATAAGCGATGTATGGAAGTTGCAAAAAATGGCCTCAACTGTATTGTCTTGAATGAGAGTAGAGCTCAGTAGATTGTATCCTTTGCAGTGATGATTTAAATGTGTAAATATTTCAAAGCCCAAAGTTAAAAGCCATCTTTTCCTTCTTTTATATCTGTTTTTTCTTTTTCATTGACTCTATTGTAATGCCCTTACTGTAAGGCTTTACCATATAAATCACTTCCTTGAATAGGAAACTTAGTACTCTACATATCTCCACTTGAAGTTTTGTGTCATGTACATACTTCCTAATATGGAAAAAAATGCATCCGTGCACCAGAAAATTGCTGCAATTTTCATATTTTTAGAACTCTTTGCCTTTTAAGCATTCTCTGTTATAGGAAAGAAGTTTGAAAGGATACCTGCTTCGTGAAGTCCCAAGAAATTTCACGATGTATAACACCGTGAATTTAAAAAATAATGTAACAGCGGCAAACGAATATTCAGGTACAAACCAAGGAGAGCTGTGGTAATTTACTGATGCCAAGGGTCTAGCTAATGGTACCATTCACCGAAGTAGAGTGGATAAGACCGATAAAAGAGATCGAAGAAAGGTTAAGATGAAGGCGAAAACTAGTGCACATATTACACTGGATGGGAAGAAGAGCCTACAATATTTTTTAGGCAGATTATAAAATATTAAATTGGATTACTTCAAATGGCTCTACTTGTTTCATTTTATGCAATGTCGAAATTAACTGAAGGTTGCGACAATACATCAAAGTGCAACAAGCTCCTGCTGACCCCACAGTTTTAAACGGATAGAGGCAACAAGAAAAAAAAAGAAATGCTAATGCAAGATAACGTGAGTATTTGCTTTTCTTGCTGTGAATAAGTACCGCCATGAGCTGAGTTACCCCTTATAAGCCTTATCAGGGAATAAATAATAACTGGTTTTATTGTCGTATTCGAGTGGCTTCAACTAAAAAGAAGAAAAAAGAACAGAAGCACATTAGTTTCAAAAGCCATATTACCACATTATACACATAGCTTATTATGTACTTTCCGTTTCAATGATACATTAGGTCCAGATGGTTTCAATATTGTTTCAACTTTAATTACTAGCGTTAAACTAGCTTAAGGTTTGATTTGTACTTTAGGATTAGACAATGTTTTTGGGGAAATAGGGAGTGTGATATTACTCGATCACATCTCACCCATTTTACGATATTGTTACATCTAATTAAGCTCATGTCGGCATATTGTATAATACGATGTGTGGGGCGCTTCCTAAAATGGTTACGGTTGTCTTAGTTGAAGGGCCGCACTTTACCAAACTGAGTATTGGAACTGTGAGAAAATAATGCTAGAAATACTCACAAGTTGGCTAATCAATGTAGAAAATAAATATGGTGCATTGACCCGCTTCTGTGCTTGGGGTACTCATTCAGTAATGTAGGGTAGCGAAATCATCTTCAAGCGGTATGTATGCAACTAGGAGCCCGAGCCATGGTGGGCTTCGTTCGTTCGGGCTACTTTGACTACCTTTAGAGAGTCACAAGCCCTTTGCTTACTTACTATTATAGACTACACCATGTGATATTCTTTTTTGAGAGAGGAAAAATTAAAATTATCCTGCAGCCCACCTAGATGTGCTCGTAAGGACTCACGAGAGTTACACAACATTCAGCAAAGCAGCACAGTATGAACAATGAAAGAGTCAAAAACAAAAAAAGTCCTGAAAAAGAAATACAAACTAGAGTTTGCGTAGCTAACACAGTTCAATAAGTGTCCATTCGACAAGTACACTAGTATCTAAGCAAGGTAGCGCTGTTGTCTGGTCAGTGTGGGATTGGGGCATTATGAACCAGCGAACAATCAGCACAGTCAGTAAATTCTGCACACTATACACAGGAAGTGGGGAGCAGAGCAGAGCAAACCAGAGAGAGTGTAGGTCCGTTCAACCACTGGCAGGCAGGAGGCCATTGAAAATTGACGATTAGAATCTTTTAGAAAAAATAAGCACGCTAATATTATCATTTCACGAAATGTGTCTAATCTATGCTCCAAGATGAGTGATGTACCAAAGCCATTCTTAAGCATTCTGGGTATCTGTCATCGCCCGTCTAGCTGGGTCACCATTTTCTCTGTCGGGCTCTTACGGTTTTTAGTCCCATGCAGGCAAATGGAAACGAAAATGAAATGATGCCAAACAAGCAAAAAAAAAAAAAAAATCTGATCATGCGTCTCTTATCAGCTGACCTTGGAAATCAATATACGCTTTTGCTTAGAAATTTTTTTTACTACATGATGTTTATTTATTAGGTGTATTGTATAGATAATAAATACTTTTCTACTTCTAGTGATCGAAAATCAACCTCAATATACACAGTGAGCGATTCAAATATCCTAATTCTCCAAAAAAAGCCTAATTCTATCTCGCCCGGACAACAGCAGTAGAAACGGTCAAAACTACAAGGAAAAGGTGGAGAAAGCTTATCTAATTTAATGTCCCACAATACACAGAGTGGGTTTGATTTGGGGGCTATCAAAAAGATATTGGAGCAAGATGCAAACAAGTACTTTAAGGGCGTTTGCAATACAGATGTGGACTGGTTTTTGAGAGATAGCAATATTGGAGTAAGGTCTAGTGGCACTTCGTTGGATAAGGATAAAGATGAATCTGTAGACTCGACCTCAAATTCAGCTGGTGTGGGTACTGGCAGTGTTTCGGCAACCGATACTGAAAAGCCATCAAACTCAAGCTCAACTACCAATGTCATTACGAAAAACGGATCTTCATCTGCTTCGCCTGCCAGGGCTGAGAAGCAAGCTGTTGCTTCTGCTGCAGTTGCTCCTTCTACCCCCAAGCGCACAGCGTCGTATTCATCAACTCAGAAACTTTCACCCACCCCTCTGCACTTGCAAACAACAATTTCGAATACAAACGAACATACACTTGGCAAGACGAAGCCCTCAGTGGCTCCTATACAGGAGGAGATCATGACAGATTCGTTAAGTCGAACTGGCAGGACCCGTTCGGCTAGCAACCCGCCAAGTAGGAGAAGACAAAGCACAACGTCATTACTTTCAAATACTGGCGGATCTTTGAGCAATGGAGCTGGGGCCAGTGGAAGCGGAGGATTTTTCTCTAAATTGAAGGGGAAGTTCCATAGAATTGAAGAAAGCCCAACACCGAAGGAACACACGCCTTCCCTTTCCCCCCCTCCTCGCTCAGAAAATAAACAGCCTTCCATTTTCAAAGAAAACTATCAACTTGGAACCAGACCAGCTAACGGTGCCACTGCTATGCATTCTGAAAAACCTGTACGTACCACAGCGTTCAATCAGCCTGAAGGCTACCATCTCACCAGAACAATGTCTACTCCAAATTACTCAGATCTGAGTGATCCTAGATTAGAAGAGTACATTAATTTCTACAAGCAAAAAGATGTGAGGAGGAAGTCTTCCATCTCAAGAAGATCCTCAGTATCATCTGCTGGATCACATGCACCAGGAAACAGGTACGATAGAGACAGTTCAGTAGATTCAGAAAAGATTACAGGAGGCATTCCGATTCCAGCCCACCCAAAGAATTCTCCATTACCCAGTGCACTTGCTAATGGATATGAAAATGCAGGTCACAACAGGAATAGCTCCCCAGGGGTTGGGACTATGCAGTCGCTGCCCCCAAGTAAGATTTCTTCGTTCCTCAAGAGAAGAACTAGTGTTCAAGCTCCAGGCTCTTCTAGCGAAGAACGGAGAAATCTCTCAGTGTCATCAGCAACAGAGAGTGAAGATGAAGTGAAGTCCATCCCCTTGCTCCCTGAGTTAGCGGGTCTTCGTCCTCTTAAAAGAGTTGCATTTCACTCACTGACATTCCTTATTGATCCTCCTCAACAAATTCCATCAAGAAAGCCCAGAAAGGGAAATGTGGAGATCTTGGCCAATGGCCAACTTAAGATTAACCCATTATCTGAAGAAGAGAAACTTGCAATGGAAAAAGCTCAAATGGGCCAAGGTGGCGGTATAATTGTTGGAGGAACTGGAAGTCTTGGAATTATTCAACCAGAAGAGACTGAGATTGAAACTTCTGAACCTTCAACCACCAAGGATGAAGGTCCAGAAATTGGAGAAAATGGAAAAGTAGATGAAGAGACCCGAGTTGATTCACATGCTAAAATGATTGGTATTGATAAGCCAATGGTTTCTCATCATCATTCAAAAGCTGGCTACTCGGTACCAGTGCAGAAAATGGCTCTTGATATGATGTATACTAGATGTTGTCATTTGAGAGAGATCTTACCAATTCCCGCAATCTTAAAGCAAATTCCTGCTGGATCTATGGCACCAATACCTTTACTTCAGTTGCGTAATCCGACACCCACTATGGTTGAAATCCAAACATTTGCAGATTTTGTTAGAATTGCTCCAATTGTGTGTATTTCATTAGATGGTGTGAGCTTATCCTTCTCACAATTTAAAGTTATATTATCTGCAATGTCGGCCAAGAAACAGTTGGAAAAACTTTCTTTGAGAAATACACCGATTGATCACGAAGGTTGGTCCTTATTATGCTGGTTTTTAAGCAGAAACACAGTCATAAATAAATTGGATATTACTCAATGCCCTTCGCTTTCTGTGAATTTATTGAAGAAGAAAAAACGGAAGCCAAAGGAAAAAGCAAACCCTCATGAACAGGAATTGGATAGAATGACGTGCAATAAGGAAAATAGGTCTGATATGGATTGGGAATTATTTACGGCAACATTAGTTGCAAGAGGAGGAATTGAAGAATTGATTTTAACTGGTTGCTGTATTACTGATACCAGCACCTTTGAAAGCTTGATTAAGCTAGCAGCACTGATTAAAACAAGTAGATTAGGGTTGGCTTACAACAATTTGAGTGTGACTCAAGTTCAAGTTGTTGTAGAATACTGGCTCTTCAAACCATTTGCTAGAGGAATTGATTTTGGTTATAATGACTTTTCATCTTCGAAGTACTTAAATGCGATATTGAAAATGAGAAGAGACCCAAAATTTGATGACTACATTAAGAACAGTAAGTTGGGGTTTGTTAGTTTGAATGCCACCAATTTAAGGTTCAATGAAACCTTTAAAGAGTATTTTGAGACACTTTTAGTGAAGTTGCCCAATTTGAAGTACTTAGACTTATCAAATAACCTGAGATTGTTTGGCACTTACCAAGCGGAGAATAAGGAAGGGGAAGTTAAACCTAAAGACGACCTGCTTTCATTTACTTCCTCTGTTTCAACTGTCTCATCGTCTGTTTCAGAATTGCACTCAAATGAAATTCTAACTCAAGATGCCATTGTATCTTATTTTACTTCAAAATTCCCATTATTTCCAAAATTGATTAGGTTGCACTTGGAAAACAATAACTTTTCCGGTGATTCAATTATATCCATTGCCAAAACTTTACCATTCTGTAAAAATCTTGGATATTTTTCAGTCCATGGGAATGATATGGATTTGACTTCCGCCGCATCTTTGTTAACAGCATTAGAAAATTCTAAAACTATAATTGCATTAGATTTTGATATTGATATTTTGCCAAGTATTTTTAAAGAGAAAATTGGGTTGTTTACAATGAGAAACATGGAGAGATTACTCTTTGCTGCCAAGAGAAGTGGAATGCCCGAGGAAGGAAGTATTGCTGGTCCAGGAGATACATCAAGCACCTCATCTTCAGTATCATCATCAGATTCATCAAAGCAACCATCTTACTCATTAACAGAGCAATTAAATGTAATTCTTTCCAAGAAGGCTAGCCACAAGCTAGATATCAATGACCCCGAAGTTCAATCTTTCATTGAAAGGGCTGGGAAAATCCGTCGTGATCTTAAGACTTCGATGAATGAATTGTTCAGATTACAATTGAAGAACGAGTTGAATTTTGAAGGGAAGGAAATGCTTATTAGATTTGTTTTTATTGAATCATCTATTGAGAGGGGTCTCCAATTGATAGATCCTTCTTTGGTTGACTCCAAAGAATCTTTTTCGTCTGACTACATCCAGGACAACTCAGCGGAAGATCAGCGAAGTAATATGAGAAGGGGTATGCCCAATGATGACGATGACGAAAATAGGGGGGCAAATCTTCAAATAAATCAGACTAACACCCCAATTTCCATGTCTAGAACTTCCTCCAAATCAAATTTAGCAAGTTTGGATAAAAACGAAGGTAGTGTGTTGAAGCTTCGTAAAATTCATGACGACTTGAATATCAACGCAGTTGAAAATAAAGGCAATGAGGAATTTTTTAAGCAACTTGAGGACTTAACAGGTGAAGAAATTAGAGAAAAATTGCTTGACGCTGATTTAAATAACTTGGATAAAATCATTGGGTATCTTGGAGAATTGAAACAGAAAAATATCTCATTGGAGGAAGTCTTCAACCAGAAGAAAATGCATGACAAGCATGAGTCTGCACGGGAAACGAATTTGGGATCCAAACTTAACGAACTACAGAAAACCTTAAGTAAACTTGCAAATCAAAGGGATCAAGAAGAAGATACCGGAAAGGAAAATACTACACAAGATACACCATCGCAGCCTGCATCTACTACTAATGAGGCAAATGGAGACGCCAAACCAGAAGATGCCGCTCCAGTCGATGACCCAGAGAATCTTATGGATGCATACGATCATGTCTTGAACGATTTGGAGCGTAGAATTAACAATTAGATTTAAAGTATGACTACTCTTTCTTATAGTTGTTCAATTTGAACGTTCACGTTAATAAAAGAAATTGTATAGACCATACCCACCAGTTATCAACTCCTCTCTCTTTCACTTTCGAATCTAAAATTTGAAAGTCATCTACACTATCTACAAAGTTACCAGTTTATCTATACACGTGCATTTTATTTTGTCTATTTTCTGTTCCCTTCTAATAATCTTCTTCATCAGATCCAATGACATCTCTTCTACCCTTCTTTACTGAGCCGTATTCGTCATCACTAAGATTATCCTCTTCTTCCTTGAAATCTCCAGTCTCACCACCTTCTCCTTCAGCTTCTTCGGCCAAATCTTCACATGCATCGATCCAGTCAGAATATATGTCAACAGGCTGAGATAATGAATTTATAGCAGTTTGAAAAGATTGCCCGCAGATCTTACAATGTAATTCACCCAATCCATTCTTCTTATCTAAAGTACAAATGACCGACTTTTCGTGGTTACAAAACAAGCACGAGAAGGTAGTATCTAATACTTGCTTGATTTTCTTTTGCGGTTTAGCCGAAGACTTTCTTTTACCCATGTTACAATGATTAATAAGGAACTAGTTTGTTAACTTTTTTTTTTTTTTTTTTCATATTTCACTGTCTATCATGTTGGTGAAAACAAACAATATGCAGGATCAACAACACAGCAGTCTCTATGGTGTTCTTAGATGATGTAACTTAGTGGAAATAGTTAAGAAGAGAACATGCCTGAGCAAGAATGAGATTCTTTTTTTATTGACAGTTTATTATTCTATAAATGCTAATGCTAATTATTATTGCTTTACTTCTTAACCATTTCTTGTGCCTTCTTCTTTAGCCTCATTTCCAAGCGAACCTTTTCAAACTTCAACTTCTCTTCTCTAGATTGATCCACTTTCCTCACAGTTTCTTGACTAGTAGGTCTACTTTGAGAGCCAGAGTAACTCATCTTGAACTTCAAATTTGGATTATAAGTCTCATTGAGTTTAATTCCATATTCATACAATTTCAAATCTTTATCTCTTCTCTCGTACAAGTGAATGGAGTCTTTGTAAATTCCATGGACAAAATCTTCCGGAGAGTTGTACTTCTTTATTACTTGAGATATGGGATACCTCAAAAGTAGCGATAGAGCTTCACTGAAATCCGAAGTTATCAACTCCGTTTTAATATGGATCAATAAAGTGATGATTATGAAGTTGATGATGTCTGGAATAGAGGCAAGGGTTGTGTTGGAAGATGGCGAGGTACAGATTAACTTTTCCCATAATCTGATAACTATTTCCAAGTCATTGCCCAATTCTCTGCTTAAGAGCAATCGAAAGTACCTTATAAGCCAAAGTTGCGATTCTACTTTCAATTTACTGGTTAAATTGTAATGAACTAACTGGTCCACTTTCAATAGATTCACATTGAAGCTTTGAATTGATTCGAAAAGCCTCAGCTCCTGTTCGTAATACTTAGCTGCTATTCCTGACTGATTTATGAATTTATTGAAGATGGAAAATGTGTCGTTGGCCAAGTACTTGGAATTGTAGAGCTTCAAGATCTTCAAATCATCGGTGGAGATTGTATTTGTACTTGGGATTGCAATTGACTCTTTGCACAAGTTTAAGTATATCAAGCCCACAAGTTCATGGAGTCCTTGCTTGTAACCAATGCCTGGGTTACACTTGGACCAGATATAAAGAATCCGAACAATGGAGTATTTATGGGCACGAGAGGCCGCCAATGAGGTCCCTGACGTGCTTGTAGGATGGAAGAATTCGTTTCCTGGGAAGATTCTTTCGATATCTAATGTTATTTGAGTCAAGAGGTCCAAATCTTGGTCTTCCTCCAATGAAGCAGCAAGCGCCAGACCCAAGTCCAGCGCCAGACTCAAACCCTGAGGCAGAACCAGGGGCAGCAAGGTCGACAGCGGCAGTGCCACTCCCATCGATCCCAACGGATCATGGTCTATTGTGGTCCTTTCAATGACATTCTTGAATGCCTTCTTTCTATGCCCACCATATGGTGCCGCAGTTTTACTATTGTTGCTGTTGAGCGGCTTAGCTATCGCCGCATCTTCCTTATAAAATGCATTATCTCTATCCAACCTGCTCCACGGTATTCGTAAGTCTGATCTTCCCCTAAGGTTACTGTATACCACCCTTGTACTGTTTAGCGACCCTTCCCATTTAGATATATCCAAACTATCTGTGATCAAGCAAACTTTCCAAACAAGAAGGCGCGAGTAGTTCGCTGACTTGTAGTAGTCATCATTGGCTATGCCATTCCTAAACGACGATACTTTCCCCTTATACTGATCTATGGTGAGCAACACTTTCGATATGATTTCATTTTCACGTAGCATCCTACAAATGCTTTATGAGACGAAGAACAAGGACAACAAGAAGAAGTAATCCGGATGCCCGCCAATTGGCCAGAAAAAACCTAAAAAGGGTTTTGAGTTTCTGATTTTCCGGGCGTTTTGGGTTTTCTCCACGCTGAGTATATTTATTTTTCGAGCCCCACAATATTTTTGTTAGGAGCAGCTCATCTTGTGCTTGACATGGATATACAGCTTTACTAGAGTGATAGAGAGGATATTTTAAGCGTGAGCAGATGGTGTGATTCTACAGGTCTACACTTCAGGTCTACACTTTTACAGATCGGTTATAAAAAGATATACCAGTTGCTCTTTTATTCTTTATCTTTTATAGTCTGTTTAGTCTTTCTACTTGTCTTCAAATTACCCTGTTTGATCCTCCAATGGATACAGAAAACTGGAACCCATCCTTGATCCCAGCAACATTGTCATCGTTCAATCTGTTGGCAATATAGTACCCTACGTCAAAATTGGCCCAGGTATTGAAATATCTTAACCCAAACCCGGCACTGGTAGCTACATTAGCATCTCCGTAGGCATTTAACTTTAAGCCATCATTGGTGACACTGCCAATGTTACCTGTAGCGTACAATCTTAATGGGTTGGCTTCAAACCCATGTCCATCTTCCAACCTAATGAGATGATGTGGCTTATACAAGAATGTTGGTAACTGCGAGTAGACTGTAGCACTTAATTTGTAAAATTGATACCCGCCGTCCTGGTTAAGAGAGTTCTTGGTGAATCCGCGGAACGAATTGAACCCTCCCAAGTAAAATCTATCGGATGTATGCACAGATGTGGAGGATGAAGAAGCAGATTTGGCGAATATTCCTCCCAAATCGAAAGAAAAGTGGGTCGTTATCTTGTTGTTGAAGAACGATTGGAAAATGTTAGTGGAAAGTGCAGATTTAAGAAATGGTTCGCTGGCGGAACTGGTGGAGCTGCTTGCGACAGGTCCTTGCACATCGTTGGTGGATACTTCATTCAGTATATCTAATGTAAACCCGTTGATCGGGAAGTTGTTGGTAATCTCATTCAAGAATTTCAAATCCTTGTATCTAATCTGATGCACTATAGATTTCTTCAAAAACTCACCGCCAAAAAACTTCAAATCATCAGAGGCGCCATCATCGATATCATGTAATGTCCTTTTGGCTACACCTAACCCCAACATGGTTTGGAGCTTCTTGCTTTCAGCAGTGTACATTAACCCAGAGAAAAGGCCACTAGTATGCTCAGACAGCTGCTGCCACACCTGGTTGTTGGAGTTGGTATTATGGAAATCGGATATCAACTTAAACGATGGGTTGGGCAAATTGATCGAAATCTTACCGTTGCTGATCAAATGTTGGTTTGGCTTGTATGGGTTATAGTTGACCCCCAAATTGACAATTTCGGCATTCTGCAAAAAATTGTTGTTTAAGTAGTTCAAGTTGACGCTTAGAATGTCATCACTATTCAAATTAAGGAACCCTTCACCGGCATTCAACGACAATGTGGACAAATCGAACACCACCTTGGTTGGAATAGAAGGTTCTCTGTTGTACGATTCAACCTTAGGTAACTGCTTAACATAGTCCGAGTGGAATGACACGTCTACCTTTTGGAAAATGTCGGTCTTCATTAATCTCTTGTGTGATAAATCAACCTGTTTCAACAATTGCTCTAATGTGTAGTCGGAGTTGTCAGTCAACGGGCTAAGAAGCTTCTTGAAAAAGCTGTTGGAGAACGTCTCACCACCTACGACCTCAATTGAGGAAAGATAGATTGGCTGCGAAGCCGATCTTTCCAACAAGTCCTGTGTTACGATCTTACTTTGCAAATCTGACATTATCCTCTCCTAGATGTTCCTTTTACTGCTGTGTAGGGCTTGTTGGTGCACAAACAACTTGAAATGTTCGGGACATTTTTCAGTTTGATAATAGGTTGTTTAATCGGTAGGCGCACGCCGAACCTACAGTAGTTAGAAGAGAGGTTGCACACTCCGTAGGCTACCAGTGGGGTTGAGTAGAGCTTACCATCTAGATGGGCGGAAGGTACGTATGATAGTCTATAAAATTTTATTTTAATATAAGGTCTGTAGTTACGCTCTTGTAATTGTAATTTTTTTTTGCAGTTTGCAGGTTACAGCTTGCTTCTAGTACTCCATGAACTTAGCTTCTGGGTGGTAGTACACCGGACAACTCCAGTACTCGCGCTTAATGCCATCCCACACGCTATCAGCGTGTTCCTGTGGCTGGGCTTCATTCAGTTCCGAAGTAACCTGTTTCTTCTGCATGGTCGCTTCGGGAACCTTGTATTCTACAAATTTGCAGTCCAAACCGTAATTCTTCAAGTCGATTTCTACCAATTCCTTGTAAACTTCGTACACCACTTGTCTATCAGCACCAAGCCCGTTAAAGAATGAAAACACACCATGGGGCTTTAATAGCCCCACCACGAAATCGAAAAGTTCAAGCATATCCAGGTAGTGCTCCGAATAAGTGTCGTAGTAGATTCCATTGAAGAAGACGTTACCCTGAGACAAGAGGTTGGAGAGCTGTTCTTGCCATCTGCCCTCCAAAATAACCACGTTGGGCTTGGAATACCAGCCGTCTTGCTTTAGTTTGGCTAAAACATCCGGGTGAGCTTCGCAGATATAATGCTTTGTAGGAACCTTTTTTTGAATCATGGTGTCGATAATGCCCATACCGAACCCAATATTTAAAACTACAACTTCTTCGTCCTTCTCATCACCCTCTACGACGGCACCTTTAAATAAGGAATCGCAGCCCATCTGCATCAAGTCGGATTCCCACTCCATCATAACTCCATCCTTTCTATCTTTTGTGATAAGAGCATCGTCTTTATACTCTAATTTGGTGTTAAGATAGGTCTGTTGATTGTTTGAAGGTGCTAGTGGGTCGTATGAGTTGTCAGGTTTCGGGCCGATTTTCAGAGACTCGACAGCTTCCGGAACTTCTTGAACTTCTGGAGCTTCCTTAACATCTGGAGCATTCTGAACATCTGGAGTTTCCTGAACATCTGGAGCTTCCTGTTCAGGTTCCAAAGTTTCTACTAGGTCTGGGATCTCCAGATTGTGCTCATTTTGTTCTACATCGTTCAAATAATCCTCCTCATCTACAAACTCGATTTCTTCTACTCTCCTCAACAACAACTCCGCCCTTACACCAGCTTGAACGATTTGATCGTATACCGGAAGAGTTTTCAAGCCTCGCTTGATCAAGATGCACCCTGGGGTATCATTATTTACATCAATAAGACACCATCCTGCACCGTATTCTAGTAACGTCTCAATCATTTTTTGCACCACCTCCAACTCATCTGGGGTACAGTCATCTGGGAGATGAGTGCAAATTAAATGTAACGGAGTAGTGGTCGACTCTGGTTCCACATCTTCAATATTATTATTAAAATTGTATGCTTCCTCTACGGTGTACGTAGACGGTATTCCGTTCTTCAAGTAGAATTGTAGATTTTCAACATACTGTTGGCTAATCGGTCTACTGGCATACTTACACAAATCATGCAAATCAGACATGTTCTTCCAGGTGTAATATTTTTTTTTTTTCTGGAACCTTTTTTTTTTTTAAGGATGTGTAACTATCCTGTGGTATCAACAACCGGTATGTCTGAAGTCACCGTTCAAGCAGAGTTAAACTTTGTGGCCTGTTTTTTCATTTCTATTTTATCGCTTAACTCCATGGTCGATGAGATGGGAAAGCACATTCTAGGAGCTACCTGCAGTCCTGCTCACGTTACTTATTTCCTAAATTTCAGATTATGCTGCATCTTTATTTTTTTTCCTGCTTCTCCCGAGGGACGAAGTTTCCGCCATACAGAATTTGATGCATACATCATACGATAGAATGGAAAGGTAATGATTCAAATAAAATGTGAAGAAGGACCCATCAATAATAGTAAAAATAAGAAATGTGGATGATTGGTATTTTTTTTTCAAATATTTGTGTCTCAAATTCGTGACATGGGTTTGCTTCTACCTTTCATTTATTTATTATAAAGACGAAAAGAAGTACTGAAATATAAAAAAAAAAAAAAAAAGGCCAAAAAATATTGTAAAGTCGATCTCACTAATACGAGCTACAGCAAAGAGTTACACATCAACAGACGCAAGGCAGACTTTTCATACTACACCTTCATCTGTTATATCAAGTCCATTATAGAAAGGAATTTGAGTATCCCAAAGGCCTAGAAAAAGCAGGGAACCATAAAAAATATAAATTACCAAAAAAAAAAAAAGAATATTATTTAACCAAGTTTGCATTGGCTCCAGGATTATTTTTCCCACGTATGACCAGAAGGAAAAAGTATATTTATTGAAGTAAGGAATGTCATTTCGAATCAACGATTATAACGCCTTTTTGAAATCACTATACGATAGAAAAGGAAACCAGAGGGAAGACATTGAACAAAGAGATATGGAATTCAAAGAACAAGGCGGCGAAGAAGAAAATGAACAAGATAGTATGAGACTGTCCATAGGCACAGGAGGAGTGAACCTACAACAATCTTCATCCATAAAGAATTTCCCAGTGGATTTCGATTTCGGGTTATTTCCACCTACAACATTGGATTCTCCTACGGAACCAATCGATATGGCGGAATTTGCATTGGAGAGCAGTCTCCCAGACCAAAATTTTGACTTATTCAGCAGTATACCCAAGAAGCCCTTGTTTCAACAGCCTCAACAGCAAATGCAACAGCTGAAGCGAAACCCGTCACAGTCTCAATCCCAATCACACATACAGCAGCAGTTGATGCAAAACCAAGCACAAGAGAGTACTCTAGACTCTCTGCAGAGTATGTTCCTGCCAATGACGTCCGGAGTAGGCGAATTGGACACTTATTATATCAAACAAGAGTTTGATGAACTAGAAGGATCGAATATTCCTACCCCGCCAACAAGAACATGGAAGTCAAAATCAGTTGCAATGCTGAGCAGAGAAAAGTACACACCATCAGCATCATCATTTGCTGCAAACACAATGCTGCCTCCGCTTAACTCTATGAGCTCGCGGCCCAGAGCAAAGTCTTCACATAATGTCATAGAGCAGAGGTACCGTAACAAAATTAATGATCGTTTCACCACTCTTCAGAACTCCGTGCCCACACTTCGCGTGATTTCCAGACGTTCTAGTGGGAGAGATGATTTAGAAGACGGAGGAGAGGGAGATTATGAAGAGGATATAGGAAATTCCACAGGAGGGGACGAAGGGTCAGATATTGATTTAGAAGGTTTAGAGCCTGCAAGAAAGCTCAGCAAGGGAACTATTTTGGCCAAATCTGTCGAGTATATTAAATTCTTGGAGAACAAGAATTCCAAGTTGAAGCTACAACAAGAAGAGCTTTTATCGAAGGCCAGGCTACTTGGGCTATCAATAGATGAAGAAGATTTATGCATTAGCTGAGAAGGGGACAAAAAAAAAAAAATGAATGAAAAAGAAAAGAGACATGAGAATGGATGGGTAGAATAAAAGGAAGAAATTGCTACACACAAACGACAATTATTTATTTAGAAAGGAAATAAGTTATTAAACCAAATAAGAATATCGTACTAATTAAGCGTTTCATTCAATGTGGTGAGTACCACAGCGGACAGTCGGATGTCGGTACCTTACTGAATATGATGCTTGCTTTTGATTACATGCGCTATGCAAGTCTGTATGCTTACTGTTTCTTTTTTTTTTTTTCTGCATTCTAGTAGTCTCGAAATTTGCAGCCATTTTTCAAATAAGCTTCTGCACTTGAAACCAGGAAAATAGATTAGAGTTTGAAATAATCACACTGGTTGCCTAATATTCGCAGAATTGATCGGAAGTGCAAATACGCTACAAGCTACAGGATGTCATTCGCTTAAAATTCTGCTCTTTATTTTTTGGATGTATTTTTGCACCCTGAATGATCTACTCTACATTGAGTTGTGTGACTTTTTGAACTATTTAGTGGTCAGATGAAATAGTGCATCATGCACGATTGCATAAAATAAAATGCAAGGTTAAGAAACTTCTTTTTCTTTTTTTTTTTTCTGATGTGATTTCGATGCTGAAGAGAAAAATAACCTGGAACGAGTGAACTGGGAAAAGAGAATCGAGTTGACACTTTCCGAGAGCCAATGGGAAATTCATCATTACAACGTCAAAGTTTTCAAGAAGAAATGGAAGGACGTGCCCTGAAACTTCCACACCATTTTGTAGTCAACTTTCCGTATTTTTCCCAATGACAGCCTTACAAGTCTGATCAAGAATGTATGAACCACCACCTAATGTTTAGTGAAAAAAATAAATAATTGAAAATACCCAATGCCCTCGCTCAGTCTATGAAAATGGAGTAGAATGGAGTAGATAGAAGTCGATGATGCCATAAAAGGGCTGGCAAGATATAGCCCCTAAAGCCATTCCTAAACGAACCCTCCTACCAGTATCGATCTAAGAAAAACTTCGCTATATACCATACCGCACCGTACCATACCATACCGTACCATACCATACCTAGACTACCCTCACCACTATTTGCGCCTGCCCACCTCATGATGCCATATACAGGCGATAGCACCATATACAGGTTATACGGCGTACACAGGCTATACGAGTTAAACGAACGTTTAATGCTTATTCATAAGGTATTTCATTGGCATATATATATAGGGCACTGCAATATCACCTCTTCATACTTAAAAGTTTCAATTTTTCGAAGCAGATTTGTAGAAAGTCCGATAAAAAGTCGATTTATCCAACAAACCAGCCATAATTCATTGGAAATTGCTCTAAAATCCCCCCCTCCCTTACCAGACTACTCGCTTTAAGCTCATAAGCTCGCCTTCTTTTGTTTTTGGCCTGCGCGTTCGGAATTTTTTTTTTTTTTCGTTCTTCAACTTTAAAAAATAACCAACACAAAGAAACGATTAGGAAGCGTATATCCTTCTTTGCAAAACAGATAAAACATGGCATTAGCGGATCTTGCAGTTAGTATCTACCAGCAGTTCACTGCTCTTAGTTTGGTGCAGCAAATTCTTCTTGTTATTGGAACTCCGTTCGTATATAACATCGTATGGCAACTCTACTACTCAACCAGGAAAGACAGAGTTCCTTTGGTTTGGAATTGGGTGCCTTGGTTAGGTTCTGCAGTCCCATATGGTATGCAACCATACGAATTCTTTGAAAGCTGCCGTAGTAAGTACGGCGATGTCTTTGCCTTTGTCCTTTTGGGTAAGGTTATGACTGTTTACTTGGGCCCCAAGGGACATGAGTTTGTTCTCAACTCCAAGTTGGCTGAGGTCTCTGCTGAGGAAGCATACAAGCACTTGACCACCCCTGTTTTCGGTAAGGGGGTCATCTACGACTGCCCTAACGTCCGTCTTATGGAACAGAAGAAATTCGCCAAGTACGCCTTGACCAAGGAGTCGTTCATTAACTATGTCCCCAAGATCAGAGCCGAAATTTTGGACTACTTCAAGACCTCGGAAGAGTTTGATATGGCCAACAGGGAATCTGGAGTAGCCAACGTTATGAAAACTCAACCGGAAATCACCATTTTCACTGCTTCTCGTTCTCTTATGGGAGATCAGATGAGAAAGCTCTTTGATGCTTCATTTGCCCAGTTGTATTCTGATTTGGACAAGGGTTTTACTCCAATTAACTTTGTCTTCCCCAACTTACCATTGCCTCAATACTACAAGCGTGATGCTGCCCAACAGAAGATCTCTTCTACCTACATGAAATTAATTAACCAAAGAAGAGAGACCGGTGACATTGATCCTAAGAGAGATCTCATCGACTCTCTTATGGCCCATTCTACCTACAAAGATGGTGTTAAGATGACAGATCAAGAAATCGCCAATTTACTTATTGGTGTCTTGATGGGTGGTCAACACACCTCCGCCGCAACCTCAGCGTGGTTCTTGTTACATTTGGCCGAAAAGCCAGACTTACAAGAAGAACTCTACACCGAAGTCATGTCTGTCTTAGGACCAAAGGGTGGAAAGTTGGAAGATTTATCTTACGAAGATTTGCAAAAGATGCCTTTGGTTACCAATACCATCAAAGAAACATTAAGAATGCACATGCCATTACACTCTATTTTCAGAAAGGTCATGAAGCCATTGGTCGTTCCAAACACTAAATATGTAGTCCCAGTGGGCCACCACGTCTTGGTCAGTCCAGGTTATGCACAAACCAACGAAAGATACTTCCCAGATCCTTTTAGATTCGATCCTCACAGATGGGACACTGAGGGCGCTGCTGGAGGCGATGACGCCACGGTTGATTACGGTTTTGGTGCAGTCTCCAAGGGTGTTTCATCTCCATATTTACCATTTGGTGGTGGTAGACACCGTTGTATTGGAGAACAATTTGCTTATGTTCAATTGGGAACGATTTTGGCCACCTATGTGTACAATTTGTCTTGGTCATTCAAGGCCGGCGAGAAAGTGCCAGATGTTGACTACCAAAGTATGGTTACCTTACCATTGGAGCCAGCTGAAATATCATGGGTGAAAAGAGAAACATGCGTTTTGTAAAAGAAAGCAAGGGAGAGAAATAAGAAAGAAAGAAAGAAAGAAGGAAAGATGAAAGACACCACACTAACTGGAGATGGATGAAATAGACCAGGAACCTGTAAATGGAAATATTGAAAATGGACTCTCATTGACATCAACACATTGTAATGGTGGAAATGAGTCCTCAGTAACTACTTACTCTCCTGAAGGGTTCATATACAATGCAACTAGAACATGCGCAGCGCAATAATCTTACAATTAGATCAAACAAAATGTAGAACGTGTATAATAATCCTAAAGTTTGGAACGAGCGAAGTGTACCTATAGAGTCTCATTCAACCGTATCATTATTCTGTCATTATTCTATTTCCCACAGTGCAAAATGAGTGCACCTTGAGCTCACACTCTTGGCTTGGCTGGTTGCTGACCGTATACCTTCTCTGACGTTTGTAGCCCGGGCGCCCAAATGATTCACCATTTCTTTTTTTTTTTTTTTTTTTCTTTCGGTGATTTTTCGTTTTTTCGACACTGTGACTCTTTGGAAAGAACAAGAGACTCCGAGGGGACAGCTAGTCAACACCACAACAAGCATAGCATGCCATCTTCATTCTCTTTGAAAGTACCAGCTTCTTCTGCCAATATAGGCCCTGGCTTTGATGTGTTGGGAATTGGCTTGAACTTATACTTGGAAGTGAAGGTTTCCGTTGACCCCACCGTCGATACCACTTCAGACCCATACAACGCGCAGATCACCTATGAAGGAGACGGCGCTGAAGGTGTCCCCTTGGATTCATCCAAGAATCTTATTACACAGACTGCATTGTACGTGATGAGATGCAATGGAGTCACGGAATTCCCCGTCGGAACTCAGATCCACGTTATCAATCCCATCCCGTTAGGCAGAGGATTGGGCTCCAGTGGTGCAGCCATCGTAGGTGGTGCCATGCTCGGTAACGAAATAGGTGAGTTTGGATTCTCGAAGGAGAGGTTGTTGGACTACTGTTTGTTGATCGAAAGACATCCTGATAACATCGCAGCTGCCATGCTTGGAGGATTTGTCGGGTCATATTTGAATGAGTTGTCTGGCGCTGAGACCGAGGCCAAGAACGTTGACTTGGAATTCATCTTGCCTAAAAGGGGTGTCACTGATGAATCCAAGATCGTGCACACTCCACCACCAGCCGATATCGGCCAATACCTCCAGTACAACTGGTGTCGTAAGATCAAATGCGTGGCAATAATACCACAGTTTGAAGTCTCTACTGACAAGGCAAGAGCTGTCTTACCTACATCATACACCAAGCCAGACATTGTCTTCAATTTACAGAGATTGGCAGTTTTGACAACTGCTTTGACCCACGAGTCTCCAAACCATAAGTTGATTTACGAAGCAATGAAGGATAAGATCCATCAACCATACAGAGCTACATTGATCCCAGGTCTAGTTGAAGTGTTGAGCAGCGTTACCCCAGACTCCCACCCGGGCTCTTGTGGGATTTGTTTATCTGGTGCTGGCCCAACCATCTTGTGCTTGGCTACTGACAATTTTGAGCAGATTGCTGAGCATGTCATATCCATCTTCAAGCAAGAAGGTGTCACTTGTACTTGGAAACTTTTAGATTTAGCATACGAAGGTGCAACTGTTGATAGAAATTAGAATACTACGGATAAAATAATAATACCAAAGGACTAACTAAACTCGAAACTCGTAACCCCTCAATGAACCTCATAGTACGCCCTCACTTGAAATGTAGCTTGCTCTTTCGGGCTACAATCATCTCCACTACGCTGACCCCAGCCTTCCTTCTGAATAATTGCAATGTGAACATCCTGCATATAAATGCCATCATAGGTGTATAGAGTAGCCATTTTTTCAACTTCTTCGAAGTTTCAACGACCTCTACTTCGATATAAATTGACCATCTTCCTGTATTTCTAATCTTAAATATGCTTAGAAGTAGTCTAATCGGAAGGAGTATCCGTCGATTATCGACAAATGTGGAATTTGCCAATCCAAACATTCAAATGACTACACTTCAAAATGGTCTTAGAATTGTCTCTGACTCTACTCCAGGTCACTTCTCTGCGTTAGGAATGTACGTAGATGCTGGATCCAGGTATGAAAATCCCCAAAAGCCAGGGGTTTCCCATATTTTCGACAGATTGGCATGGAAATCGACTCAGAAGTATTCTGGACTTGAGATGATGGAAAACTTGGCTAAAGTCGGTGGCAACTACATCTGCTCTTCCCAAAGAGAATCAATGTTGTATCAGGCGTCAGTTTTCAACACTGATGTAGACAAAATGTTCGATTACATGTCTCAAACGGTTAGAGAACCCAAAATTACAGACTTGGAATTCCAAGAAACCTTACAAACTGTAGCCTTTGAAGTGCAAAGCTTGCAGGATAAGTACGATGTGAGACTACCAGAAACATTGCACAGTGTGGCATACAAAGACAATACTTTGGGGTTGCCTTTATTTTGCCCGGAAGACAGAATCCTTCAAGTAGACCAAAGTGAAGTCTTAGAATACCACAAGAAATTCTATCAACCCCAAAATATTGTAGTGGCCATGATCGGTGTTGAACATGAGAGAGCTGTACAAATGGCAATGTCGCAACTTGGTGACTGGAAACCTACTACCAGGGGAAGACCATCACTCGGTACTATCAAGTATACCGGCGGGACACAGTACTTGCCCCATCAACCTCCTCAAAACTCCTACTTGCCCTCACTCTACCACATGCAAGTTGGATTTGAAACGACCGGATTATTGAGCGACGACTTGTATGCACTTGCTACTTTACAAAAGTTACTCGGTGGAGGTTCATCTTTCTCTGCTGGTGGTCCAGGTAAAGGAATGTTCTCCAGATTATTCACGAGGGTCCTCAACCAACATGCATTTGTTGAAAACTGTCTGGCCTTCAATCATTCATACATAGACTCCGGTATCTTCGGTATAACTGTCTCAGTTCTTCCAGAGTATGGCCAGTACATGCCAGATATAATATGCAGAGAGTTCGTGGAATTATTGGATACTCAAAGCAAGAATGGAATCACAGAGCAAGAATTGCAAAGAGCTAAGAACCAACTTATCAGTTCATTGCTTATGAATGTTGAGCTGAAACTCCTGGCATTAGAAGATTTGGGAAGGCAAATTCAGTGCCAGGGTAAGTTAACCACCATTGATGAAATGGTCAACAAAATTGAAAACTTATCTGTGAAAGATGTTAGAGATGTCGCATACAAGGTGTTGACAGGAAATGTGGTTACAAAGGGAGTAAGCTCGGGAAAACCAAGTGTTGTGGTACAAGGTGACGAGAATGTTATCGGTGATGTCGATAAAACCATTAGTGCTTGTGGCTTGGGCAAATAGAGTACATAGAACCAGCTAGGGCCATAGTGCAATACATACTACAACTGAAAGATTAAATCTATAGGTAAATGTTCATTAATAATTATTTTTTATGGTTATATCCATTCATGCTTTCTTTTTGCTTTATTTATACGCCTAACCTAGCTCTCAACTCCAACACCTCTTTTTCAAGGAATAACATATTTTCCTTCAATTCTTCCTTTTCACGCTCACTTGCCTTCAATTGAAGATCCTTCTCCAGGTTTTCGGCATGTAGAATATCAACGGTACTCTTATAATGGTTGACTTTATTTTGGAAATCAAAATTCTCATCGTTGTACTTCTTTGAAAGTTGTGATTCATTAGTTACCCTGATTTCCAACTTTTTGATATCCCTTTCCAACAGTTTTATTGTCTTGTTAGCCTCGTAGTTTTCTCCATGAGATTTGTCCAATTCAAAAGATAAACCTTCAACTTTTGTTTCCCAGTACTTCAATTGTTCATTGCTATAGAGCTTATCTTCCAAGACTTGAACCTTGCCGCTCAATTCAACATTCACCTTTTTAAGTGAATCATTCTCCTCACTAGTTACAAGTAACTCTTTTTTCAATTTCAGATAGTCTTGTATATCATGAGATGTAGAAATCTTAGATTGGCGAAATTCGCTTCTGATATCATCTGCATCTTGTCTTTGACTCTCCAAATGTGTTCTAAGAATTGCCATATCTGATTCTGTTTGTGATAACTTGGCTACAGTATCCTCATGCGTATGTGTCAATTTGAGTAAATCTTCTTCCAACTTGTCTTTGTCTTGCAATAATCCATCTTTTTGTTCGGTGAGTTCCTTGACGAGTTCCTTCAAGTTAAGTACTTGTTTTGTAAAATTGTTAATTTTCCTTTCGTTGAGTTGCTTTTCATTTTCCAAAGTTCTACACTTGTTAGTCAATTCAGCAAACAGTATTTCAAGTTCTTCCAACTTCATAGCTTGTTGTTCAAAATCTATATCAAGTTGATTCTTTTCTTCAGTAAGCTCTTCCAAGTCTAATGATAACTTTTTGTTGTCCCTAATCAAAGTAGTTTCAGTTTCTAACTTGAAATTTAAGTCTTTTCTTAAATCTCTAATTTCATCCTTTAATTTCTCTTGATTTTCAACATTTTCATAATTCTTGGTGAAGTAATTTATCTTGTCATTCAAATTTTTAATTTGATACTGAAGCTGTTGAATGGAATATTCCTTATCGCTGATTGTAGTTTCCAACTTTGAGTTCTCAAGTCTGGTTTCCTTAATTAATATTTGAGTGGCTCTGCTTTCTTCTCTGGCGAGGTTGAGTTGGGTCTTAGTAGAAGATAATTCTTTAGTAGCCTGCTCTTCATGTCTTTTGGAGATCTTGATTGCTGATTCAGCTAGCTCCAATTTCTCGTAGTACTCATCAGCTCTTCTCTTATAGACTTCAATATTACTGTTTAAATCGACGTTTTGACTTCTGATGCTTTCATGCTTCACCTTTAACTGAGCCAACTCATTTTCGTATTCGGTCACAGATGACTTAAAGGAAGATTTTTTTGTTTCATACAATTCATCCTCCAGCTCCCTCAATAAATGTTTCAATCTCAAAATTTCACTCTTAGAAGCAGTTAATTCGTCTCTGGTAACCTTAAGAGTCTTTGTTATGTCTTGATAAATTTTAACAAAATCTTGATTTGCATTATTCAAAGTGTTGTTTATAATTGAACTACGACCAAAACTTTCACTTTTAGCAAGCCTCTTGGGCGAGTCTTCAAGGGAAATTAAATCCTGGAATTTTGCTTCTAAGTCTTGAATTCGTTCTTGGGATTCTTTGTATTTCTTTTCATAGTCAATATTCCAACTGTTACTGATACCACGAGTGGTTTGAAGCTTGTTTAATTTCTTCTGTAATTCAATGGCATAAGTTTCCGCTCTTTGAGTATTTGATTCTTCTTGTTGAATTCTCCGCTTGAGAGATTCAATTTCAGTTGATGCTGACGTCTCTCCTAAAGTTCCGATATTGATCAGTTCACCTAATGCAAAAGAGCGCCTGTTAGGTGTGTATTGTCCGCTTGCATTACTGATCAGCTTTTTCAATTGCCCATCAGGACCAATTCTGCTCTTAAGTTGTTTCAATTCTTCACTTAATTTCTGATTTTCGAATTTCTCCTTTCTTAAGGTGGCACTCTGCTCGTTCAATTTCAATTTAATTGTAGCAAATTCATTCACGAAGTTTGGATCACTAGGTGGAGCAATGTTTTCTTTATTTTTCTTATCTTCATTGTCTCTCAATTGCTTTTCAGTTTCTAAGGCCTTGACCTTTTCTTTCAAATCTAAGATCTGCTTACTATATAAATCTTGTGTACTTTTAGAACCTTCAAACTCAACTCTCAATTTTTGGAATGAGGAGTTTATGCTAGTATTCTCGCTATTGACAGATACCAATTCCCTTTTCAAAGCTTCTATTTGGTCCAACTTAGCAACTTCTTTGGCATGATTGGAAATCATATCTTGCTCTTTTAATTTTTGCAACTGTAGGTCGGATACTGCCTTGGAATGATCAGAATTTACTTTCTCATTTTCTGCCTGAAGTTGCAAAACCTTGCCAGCTTGCTTTTCAAGTTCACTCTTAAGGGAGGTCAATTCTCGCTCGGTCATTGACTTATCAGACTTTGTCCTTTCAGCTTCAGATTCATGGAAAGAGAGTTTTCCTTGCAAAGTAGAAAGAAGAGTATCCTTCTCTGAACTTGCCTTTTTCTCATCTCTTAATGTGGCCTTAATGGTATCGAGTGACTTAGTCAATTCTTCGACTTTACTATTCAACAGATTGATCTTAGTCTGGAGCTCTGAAGTTGATTTAACATGCTTGGTGCTAAGGGAATCCCTATCCTTTGTAATTTTAGAATGCTCTTCGCGTAGCTGGGTATAGTCCTTTTCAGATTTTTTAAGTTTTAACTTAATTGATTCGTGATTACTTACCAAAGAGTCATATTTCAGTTTCAATTCCTCTTCATTTGAAGCTGAAGATTCGGATTGTTCTTGGAGTTGAGTTTCCAATAATTTCAATTTCAGTTCATGGGATTCTATTGTGCTCTCAAATTCACTTTTCATTTTCTCGTACTCCTCAGAGTTTGCTTGGAGCTCATCTGTGCTCTTCAATATTTCTACTTCATGCTCCTTTTTCAAGTTCTCAAGAATTTCTTTATGGCTTCCAGTTTCATTCATCAATTGTTCAATGACATCCTTGTGCTTTACTGTTTCTTGTTCATGGTGAGCAAGTTTGCTAGTTAGCTTTTCCAATTGCTTAGTTGCAACAGAATGTTCATCCTTTACACTTTTAAGCTTTTCAAGATTTGTTGCTAATTGAGTCTTATGTTTTTCTAATTGTTTGTCTAATTTGGCCTTCTCATCTTGTAAGTGATCCCTTTCTTTCTTGATTGCTTTTATTTCATTTTGCATAGTATCAATCTTGACCTTCTTGTCCTTTTCTTCCTGTTTCATTTGATCAACAATAGTGTCTCTCTGTTGAAGAATCAGATTGGTAGAGATTATATCATCTTCAAGGTGGGTTATTTGTTCTTTCAATTTTGCGTTTTCTTGCTCAAGCTTCTCCTTCAATTTTTCAGTATCTTTCAATTGACTCTTTAATGTCTTCAATTTTTCATTAATTTCTTTACTATCGAGAACCTTAACCGAGTCTTCTAATAAGGGCTTGATATTAATGAACAATTCAAGCCATAAGTTATTCGTCATCGCTTCGTTTAAAGTTCGGAAATTTCTTGCTATCAATTGCGAAGCCTGAATCTGGTCAATTTGAGATTTGATATGGGTTCTTGTTGACTTTCCTCTAATTACACTTTGCAACAGAGTGAAAATACTCTTCAAACTTAAATCACGCAATTCTTCCAATTTACCCAAAACACCATTCTTGAAGAATAGCTTCGTTATACCTATTTTATAGCTGTCCACATCCAAATTGATATGCTTGATAATTAATTCAGAATTAGTTTTCAAATTTTTAGTGAAAACCTCCTTAACATCCAAAATTGAATAACGTTGATAGAATTCTTCAAAAGTCATTTTATTTGGATAACCAGCTCTTGCTATTCTAATTCCTTCCAAGACACCATTGCAACGCAATTGATGGAGAACTAACTTCTTGTCGAATTTATTAGGCTTCTTTTCGAGATTAGGTAAAATACAACGAACGAAGTGAGGCTCAGTTTTACCCAATTGATTCATAAGGTTAGTCAATTGGTCTTTATGCTTTTGACTTGCAGTCTTTAACTTCCCATTTCTACCACCATTAACTTGTTGTAAATGTTCATCATCTTTGAACAAATCTTGTACAAACTGATTTGATGATTGAGGAAACAACTTGAGAAGGCTTTCAGTGACTGGATCGGTATTCTTTTGCAACCAATTTTCAACATTATATTCCACCTTTCCAGCATAATGGTGTACAATGAAGCCACTTTTATACTTATTCTGTTGAAATTTCTTATTTTCTCCATTGCCCCATTTGGATGCCAATTTTTCCATGAAAATCTTATCACTTGACTTTGGTACCATGCATTCTTCATCTAGCACGGCAAATATACCCATTGGCTTCCGTGTTTCAATCAAATCTATAGTAGGTTGCAAATCTTGTCCAAAATCTATAAATTCCCATTGGATATCTTCTCTTAAATATTCACTTTGCTCCAATATGAATGAATGATGATTGAAAAATTGTTGCAATTTTTCATTTGTATAATTAATGCAAAGTTGTTCGAATGAATTTTGTTCAAAGATTTCAAAACCTGCAATATCTAACACTCCAATGAAATTTCCATCCAACGAGGAGTCGGCATCTTCACCATCCTTCAAATTAGCATTAATTCTATTTATAATGTATTGGAAGATCTTCTCATACAAATATTTGGCGAATGCATCAACTGCATATCTTACCGCAGGAGCCTTTTTGGCCTTGCTTATGAATTCTTTTCCAGCCTTGACTTTTGGTTTTAACAAATTATCCACAAGATCCAGTTTTTTGATTCCCAATAACTCTGAAATAATTTGGGTGGGCAGCAGTGAGGTGAAACTGGCCTGTTCTGCCTTGACACTGGTAAATTCCAAGTTACCCAAGTGTAAGATAACAGCCAACATCGAGAAAATATGATTCGTTTCATCCTTTTCAAACCCCATAATATCAAACGCATCTACAAGGAATTTGAAGTCCTTCGAGTCGTCGGTTTTGGGTATGTCAGTTTGTGCCAATTTTAAATAAGAATGCAGTTTAATCGACGATGAAAGTTTGTATTTGTCTAAAGTTTCCTTGCTAGATCCCTTTAAGAACTGGTAGAAAATATGGTAGTTCCTTTCATCAGCTACTTGGTGAACCACTCTTGATTTTTCAAGTAAGTAGTACTCGATATTGGCTCCTGTGATGGAACCCTTAGTCGACACAAAGATTTTAATGAATTTCCCGAATCTTGACGAATTGTTGTTTTTGATGGTCTTGGCGTTACCAAAGGACTCTAATATTGGGTTGGCTTGAAGAATTTTAGTGTCAATCGATGCCAATCCCGAATGGGACGTAGAAGCCTTGGAAGGAGGATTGTCTACGATATTCCCAGTAATTGACGACAAATACTGGATGATCTTCTTTGTGTTTTCGGTCTTACCAGCACCAGACTCTCCCGTCACTAGAATACTTTGGTCCTTCTGGTTCTCTAACAAATTTCGATAGGTGCCCTCAGCAGTAGCGTAGATATGAGGGGGAGGTTTAGAGGTGTTTTCCTCTTTCTTTTCAAAATCGTGGTCGTGGAACTTCTTTAGTGTGGCCGAGTCATAGATCGGGATCGATTTGTAGGGATTTATCGCCACAAGGAACAACCCTGAGTACGTGTAGATCATATCGTCATTGTAACGAAGGTACAAGTTATACACCACCGACGGCTCGTTGAGATGTGTCAATTCTGCCATGTCGTTGCACTTGTTGAACTTCTGAGGATTACAGTTCTCCAACTGGCTGCTTTCTACAACCTTGTTAACTTCCTGGTTGCCGTCTATCACCGTCACTTTACATTTACCGTCTTCTAAGTAGTCCGTAATATAACCCTTGTTAAAGAAGTTGGTAGCATCTGGGACCCACACCCAATTCTTGGAGTTGAACCCATCATCTTCGCCAGACATGCTTAAGCGTAATACAAGTATGATACAGAGTGACTTTCACGCGAGTACACTATCTTAGACCCTTACTTAGTTGTAGATAGAGTGTGTTTACTTAGCCTGTGTTATTTTTATTTTTGTGTGCGATTTAGCGATTGACTTTTTTTTTTTTTTTTTTCTTTCTTCTCTTTTTGGCTAGTTTAGATCAACTGGGCACGAAAAAATAAATAAAAAAAAGTTCAAATTTACGAAATCAAAATAAACCACCCCGAAACGTAAACAATCAAAATTTTATCGTCTTCAGAGTGCGCGTGCAACCAAAATTGCAAATTTAGCTTTCTTGGGAATAATTTTCCTGGCTGCGCGCGTCAAAAATTACTGGTAATGAAGCAGCATCGGAATGTAAGAGGATATCATGGGAGATAACGAGGTGAGACAAATGGACCATGTGAATTGGAAGGGCGAGAGCGAGATCGAGGACGTGGACTTGGTGAAGACGAGGAGGACGGGACTGTCTGCAACGAGTGGCACTTGAGTATGTTACAATTTAGCAAACGCGTTTAGTTGATCTCCTTATCCGCTCTCCGGCAATGATGATGGTTTTCGAGTGCTTATTGTTCCCTCAGCTGAGCAGCGCCAGTAGCAGCGCCAGTAGCAGCGCCAGAATACTGCGCCAGAATTACGCACTAGTGCGCAGATTAGAGGCTTATAAAACGCGCCTTGCTTTCCCCGAAGAGACCCCTCATTAGATATTGAAAAACAGGTAGACAGCGTTTGAGAGAGGTGCTCTGTTTGTTTCATGCTATTTATCAATCAGCGCACAGTTCGCCATTATCCAGTCATTATCCAGTCGATGTCTAATCTTGACTCACTCTGAACTCTCGCCCTTTGTTGTCCTCTCAGCTTCTACATAGACACTGAGACTGAGCTTCCACTGAGACTGAGAGTCCCGCACTTTTCGGAATTTCCACTCTCTCTCCATCTCTCCTGGTTTGGAGCCATACGCCCAGATGCCCAGATCTTAGCCATTTGCAATTTCATGTCTTACACTGTGCTCATTCTTTCAACCTTATTGCCAGTACATGCTACTTACTAATTTCATGTCTACGCCCACTTTACACTCAGCACTCTCTTTCTGACAATCGGTGCGCTTCTTACTTACTGATGTCATCTCTACGTTCACTTTTCGCGATGCACTTCTTCATTCTTGCAATCAGTACATTACCCTGCACTTCCTTCCATCCTACAGTCAGTACACTCTTACATACTTATGATTCTTTACGTGTTTATTTATTAATGCAATATTATCTAGTTTCTTTCTCATAGTATGGGCTTGCCTCCATAACAGGAGCACACTCGGCAGGGGAAAACGAATAAAATGGGTTAACTTTATAGTTATTTGTGGTTGGGGTTATAATAGACGATGAAGATGAATTATGATCCGAAAATAAGGATTGTGAAGTGGATGGAGGTGTCACCGGTAAGATGTCGTTACTGGCAGTAGGATAATTGTTATTTGGTTGATGCATGTTTGCCTTTGACTCTATCGTTCCGGCCCCATTATTGCTAATACTAGTCAACGATATCGTTGGCAAATTCAACAGTAAGAATGTGTCCGCAAGACAAGTTAAACTTGTGTTCGTCACCTGTGTAGATGAGAAATTGTTGACTTCTTCAGTCATGCCGTGTAAGTTTTCTAAAAGACTAATATTCTTATTGACATAATTTTGAACAACCGCCAATACTCCCAATGGCTTGTACTTGTTACTTAAAACATCTGTAATGTTGTTTAATGCTTGCATAAATGTGAGTGAGATTTTACGTATTTTGTAGATAGTGTTATCGTCAAATCCACAGAGGAATGCTCCATACACTTCGGGCATAGTGTTTTCCTCTTCTTCGTTGATATCCTCATCCATCTTATTTAAGTTTGCTTGCTGATGTTGCTTAACCTTACGGGAGATATGTTGAAATGCCTTAGATGCAGAAGGAATTTGCAACATTGTGCAAGCCAACATGTTAGCAGTAACTGCCACCTGACATGTCTCAAATTCCAAGAATGGTCTCAGATAAAGCGAAAGCTCACATAAGAATCTAGATATAGCTATAATTGCCGAAGTAGTAGAGGATGAACTGCCTGAACCTGAAGCAGATGCAATGGCAGCAGCTGCTGCCGAGGATGAGGTTGATGAAGATGTAGGAGTTTTGATAGGGGCTGGTTTGTTGTATCTAAATGGAGTGGTGTTTTTAGTCAAATCATTGCAGAATTCTACCGATAATTGTAAACATTCTTCCAAAGTTGGTCTTCCCAAAGACCACTCCAATGTGGACAAGATATGCTTTTCCATTTGAACAAACATCTCCTCGTCATATGCATTCCTACACATCAAGGCCAATTCTCTCAAGGTGGGCACTCTTGACTTCTTATCTTCGTACTTGGCAGCAATCCAGAGCGCGGTACATCCAACCAACTGATAGTGTCTCTTGAACACAATTCTCTTTGCACAGTATCGGTCAACGATATTGAAACAGCGGAACAAAGTTTGTGGCTGCAACTTGAACAGCGAGTGTAATTCTACAATGAAGTCCAAGAGGAAAGGCCTCATGAACCATTGGATTTCTGGTTGTAAGTCGATCATGGAAGGATTGATATCCTGTAATGACTCAAGGTGAGCCCATGCTTGTGTTGTTTCCTTCTTGTATTCATTAGTCAACTTTTTGTTAGCTCTTGATTCTAAAATTTCAAGAACCAATGGGTAAGGTCTAGGGTGAAGTCGTGAAGGAGGGCCTAACATGCTTGTAGGGTATAAATATTAGTTAATAATGAAACAAGGGGACGAACAGAACTTTCTTATCTTATTTGTTGCAGGGTACTTTAATTTTTGTTAATACTCTTGTTTTGCTTTCTACCACCAATGTTTGAAGCGAATGAATTTATAAAATCAATTATAAGGTAATGGTAGTATAAGTGAGAAGAGAGTTAAAAAAATTAAACGATATTTTGGGTCTGTAGCTGAATATAATGTTGTAGTTTGAATAGTCGCTAGTTATATCGTCATGCAAATTCTGGTAATTGAATAATGTGTGTGATGTGCAGCCAGATATGACAAACAATAATATTAAATAGAATGTAATACTATTATGAAAAGAAAAGAACAAGAAGTAAACCTTTTGGCTTGTTTGAAGAAAAGAAAGTAACGTTCACAAAATTTTATTCTTCTTCTCTCTCTTTTTTTTTTTGGAAGCCACCCTCTAAGTATATATTTCTTCTAAATCTCTCCCCTACCCTTGCAATTATTATTATGCAAAGACACCAGCTACACGTAAGTTTTACGTGCTCGTTTGCTCCACCTCCAGTCCTAGCCGGGCCTCAATTTTCACTACTACAATTTAACCTTTTTCGCGTTTCTCTGACATACTCCAAAGCTTACGGTGCAGTCTCAGCTTGAAAATTTGACTCCTTCTTCGCGAACGCGAATGTTTTCGGGGTGTTTTTTTTGTTTTTTATTATTTTTTTTGCTTCAATACTACGTATTTTAACGCTAGTTTCATTCTGTTTCTCCACCAACTGGGTGGTTTCGTTTGTAGCCCGCGTTTTACAGAGCTCTACCGTCTAATTGCAACGGAGGGAAATGCGTGATAAATGCAAGGAAAAAAGTATTCACATGGTCTAGTGTGTGGAAGCTGGATAAAATTTATGCGCCTGGGTGTATAAAAAATTTCGTGAATGGCTTCGCTAATGTTGCAACTAACAATATGGCGAAATGAGGGACTGGAAAGTGTCTGGTTCCCGTCCAGTTAGCTGTACTTCGCAGTGACAGTACCCCCCCTACACCCCCTTTCGTACCCAAGACGGATACTTTGCAGAAGTAAATCGATGATCGGTTCTTGGTAATTCTCGTAAGTCGATTTCTACAGCCCTACAGAAGCCCACTGTCTATTGTCGGGAATTCTCTAAACGTCGGTGGTCTAACGATTTGCTCTTCCACTGGACAGATTTTTATTTTTTAGCAAGTTCTTAGTTTCTTTATTTTTTTTTTTTAGTTTTTTTTTTTCTTAATTTTTAATTTTTTTTTTACATTTTAGTTCCATTGCCATTTTGGTTACTCGACCACTTTCAATAGAACCTTCCCCATTAACATTTGACACAAGGACCCATTGTCTAATTATAGTTCTAATCGTCAATTGCCCCACAATAGCGCAACAATCACAATTAACGGATTAAAAGTTTATTCCGATTTTCGTTTACAATAGGTGTGGTCATGGAAAGCTAAACTCTTACACTTTTCATAATATTATTAAATATATATTCTTTTGTTACTATTGTAAAGCTATTTCTATACACACAACCAAAATAATCCGTCTTCTTCGTCTTCGTCATCGTCTTCCACTCTCTCTTTCTCTCTTGGAACGCTCATCAATGAACTCTCCCAGCTGTAGGTGCTAAAGCAAGAATTCCGTCTTCCTTCTTTGTCCCTTAATACCCATTTCAATGGCATTCCACTCAGGGATACAGAGAATATAGTGACATTCTTTTCTATTTTATTCACTTGTTTTTTTAATATGCACCAGCTCCTCTTCCACCAGCTTGCTCACTCTTGTCCTCGTTTTTGATGGTTTCATCCACACTCAATAACAAAGTAGCGGCCTCAGTGGCAGACTGAATGGCATTGATCTTGACTAAAGATGGCTCCCAAATGAAACTGGTCATATTATTACCCACTGCTTCCTTTTGGAAATCAACACCGTACCAGGTTTCTCCCTTAGCATGACACAGTCTTAATTTATTTAAGATATCAATCCCATCTAAGCCGGCGTTCTCACACAATTGTCTAGGGATAACTTCTAATGCCTTGGCAAAGGCACTTATGATTAACTGTTGCTTACCAGCGACAGTCTTTGCGTAATCTCTTAAGTATTTAGATAACTCCATCTCAATGGCACCACCTCCTGCCACAACTGAGTTGTGAGTAACAGCTCTCTTAACAATCATTATAGCATCGTGCAATGATCTTTCCACTTCAGCAATAACTTGCTCCGCTCCACCTCTCAAAATTAATGTACATGTCTTAGCTTGTGGGCATCCCTTGAAGATGTTATACCTCTCAGAACCGATTTGCTGTTCTTCAAATACTTCACAGGTTCCTAAATCTTCTTCCGCGTTGATATTGGAACACGTGGATTGAATAGATCCACCAACTGCCTTGATAACTCTATCTAAATCTTCAGATGATACTCTACCTGCGCAAAATATATCTCTATCAGCAAAGTATTGAGTAGCCAAGTCCCCAATTGGTAGTTTAGATAAGACTATGTTGGCACCACTGTCCTTGATAGCCTCCAACTTGGAGAAAATGATTTTCCATTCTGCATCTACAATATCTTGATAATCCTTAACTTGTTGTACTCTGACTTCAGCGTTATCCTTTTCAGCCTTCAATTCCAACTCCACGTTAAGGGAAAGAATCTTAGGATTGGTGAAAGACTTGGGCTGTTGCTCAAACCCAGCGTATGAAAATGTCTTCTTGAATGCCACCCCATTGATGAATTTAGAGTCTTCCATAGCTCCACCCGGTACCTTCTTGATTCCGATCAAGTTTTCATCTAAATCGTCTTGATCTAAAGTGAGAACTGAGTCAACTACCATTTTGGTGAAGAACTCGGAATTCTTACTAATTAGCTTGGATGACATAGCGGTGGTGGCACATCTCTCTAACAATTGGCGGAATTCCAAATCGTTCTCCTTCTTGGGGATTTCCACTGCCAACTCTCTAATCTTACTAACAGCCAAATCAGAGGCCTTTCTCAACCCCTTGATAATTAAATGTGAATTGATTCCGTCTTCAATGAAGGTTTTGGATTCTTTCAACAACTCACCTGCCAATATGGTGACCGAGGTGGTACCGTCTCCGACTTCAGCATCTTGAGCTCTAGAGATATCCACCAACATCTTAGCGGCCGGGTGCACAACATCCAACAACTTCAAAATTGTAGCACCATCATTGGAAATTGTGGTTCTACCGCTGGAAGAAACAATTAAAATGTCTGAACCGAACGGTCCCAAAGTTGGTTTCAAGGTGTCTTGGATGGCCAAGCAGGCATTGATATTATTGATGATTTGTCCCTTACCTTGCGAGGAATCGGTCCCTTCTTTCAACACGACGATCGTAGGTGTTTGATTAGCAAATGACATGGATAATCTTGGCTATTATACGTATTAGTGAAGAAACAACTCAGCTTTCACTTCCAACCTCTCCATCTGTGTTGAACATTTTCAACTTCACGGTTTTTTTCTTCTACGTTGTTCTTGATTGAGCAGTGCACGCCGTTTTGAGATTTTTCACTTTGAATTTTTTTTTTTTTTCTTTTAGTGGTGAAGCGGTTGCACTGTTAAGCCGGACTAACACCCATTTACATACCTATATAATCACTTTGTCTTGTTGCTAGCTGTCCCGTAACAATGTTCAGAAGCACATCTCCACTCTTGACGTTTTCCAGGCTGATTTCTATGAAGGGTGATGTTCACCTTTCGAACAGAAGAGTCATGAGGAAAATTAAAGTAGGTAAGGCTAGACCTGCGATTTTCCACCAGTTCGATACCTTGATAGAACTTAGCGATGGCTCAGTGATCAAGAGAACATCACAAGCCCCTAAGGATGAAATCAGAATGATTAATGATCAAAGAAGTAGCTCCTTATGGAATCCAAACAGATCAGACTTGGTTTCCATGGATGCTGCTGCCGCAGACAGAGTCAACAAGTTCAAGCAGAGATTTGCATCTTTCGATAAGTTCGAAACTGCTCAAGACAAGAGAATAAAAAGTGTACAAGCTGAGGAAGCTGGAGAATCCAAAGCATCTGAGAGTGATGACTACATGGATTTGATGGGATCAAACGTCCAAGAAGTGCAGAAGGGTGGTAAATTGTTCAACAAGAAGCTTGATAAGCAAAAGAGAAAGAAGTAGACCCACCCCCCCAGTAATCGAAAAGTTTTCAAAACATCAACAACTGAAAAATTCGTAAAGAGAATGAAAACTAAGAAACCTTGTAAATAAAACATGTATAGAAGCAATATTAAGAAAGCAGAGGAAATGAAACTAGTTTATTAGTGGTTGGTTTGTTCAGCGGGACTGTAGCACTGAGAGTGAGGATATATGTAGGTCTAACTGTGGGTGTATGCTATGTACATTGTTATTTCTTCTTCTTCTTCTTCTTCTTCTTCTTCTTCTTCTTCTTCTTCCTTATAGAGCTTCTTCTCCGCTAGCTCCTTTCTGCTCCTCTATGTCACCTTCTAGGTCTTTAAATATAGATAAGGATTCTTCGTTGTAGACGAACCTAACTAGCCGGATAATTTCTGGCAAAGTCATGCCGCAGTCAGACATTTCCTTAACGCACCAGTTGACCAAGATTCTGTCTGTGAAAGAATATCTGAGAATCTTTAAGATTGCTGGTATTCTTTGGCCCTTGTCCAAATGTAAAAATGATGCAAACCGTGAAAACTTAATTGGTATTTTAAATCCTGAATCTTCTCGGAGCCCGAGACTTGGTTTATTCGTGAAATAGTTGTGCATATCTTGGAAGTCAATACCATGTCCTCGCTCAATAAGTGAATAAAAAGATCTAGCCTTCCTCGCACCGTGCTCTTCCAAGATGTGGTCAAAGAAAATCATGGTGAGTTTGCCGAATATATCAGTCTTTTCCAGTTCTATATTCGAGTTTGTAATCCTGGAGAAAGCTATCAACGATGCATTCATTATCTTATTGTAGTGATGTTCAAATTCCAGTTCATGCTGCTCGCTTCGTTTGGTCAAAGCAAACTTAATTAAGGATAAACAAGCATATTTGATGTTGTCAAGTCCTTTTTGTCTCAAAGTCATCTCAATTGCCTGCTCGAAGTGGTTCTCAGCAAGTAATTTCTTGATAATTATATCAAATTCCACTGCATTTAATTGCTTATTACCCTGCTCGAACAAGATGGATAGTATCCTTTCTGTATTCTTAACATCACCTCTAAATGCAAAGGCTTCGAACAACAGCTGAAGTGAATCTCTAGAGGTTGGCGGATTCATGCTTCGGATTAATGTGTCAAAATTAGTAGAGGAGTACTCGTCGTTTGCGCTCTTCCCAAATATTCTGATCAATGTACCTTCAATGTGAGGTAAATGATGAAACTCCTCCTTCAACTCATTGAATACAATTTGGTGAACATATGTGCTTGCGCTCAGGGTGTCGCAACTGTTTAGTGATTCTAGTAAGCGCAGGGTCACTTTAGTGTTGATAGAATCACAAGAAGTCTTTTCTGTGTCTAACCACAATTGATATGCTCTCTCTATGTTTCCAAACTGCAAATTCCAATCAATCAACCTATATCTCAAGTCGGGGGAAAAAGTGGCCCTAGACTTGCGGGTATCGTTACCCAGTAGTATGTCATAAAGCTTATTAGCAAAGGAAGGGTACAACTTTCTCCCACTGGCATCATTCAACAAATTATCTAACATGTCATTACACTCTTTATTGGTTAGTTTTAAGTTAGGGTACTGTTGAAGTATTCTTAGACTAGTAAAGTAATTGATATCACTATTATTTGATGGGTGCACTGAACTCAAAAGTAACAAGACATTCTTCGTATCTATATCATCATCAAGATTAATTTGCAGTTTATTATCTAAGATAAGTGATGCACTTAAGAGATTTTGTCCAATTGCCATGGAATATGTTATGAGAAACTTATAGATCAATATTTGAGATTTGTCATTCTTAAATCTCCCATTTTCAATATATTTATTCAAATCATGATAGCTCTCTCCATTTAATAGGAAGTTTGGAAATGTTTTCCATGATTTTAGCATATTGAAAGCTCGTACAAATGTATCAAACTTCTTTAATTTATACAAATTTATGAGGTCACCTATAACGAAATTCCTAATATGTTTCTCGTCGCTTCTTGGAATGATTCTGTCCACAAATTGTAATGATTCTTGCGGTAAGCTTAGCACATCTTCGAACAAAGAATGTGGATATTGATAAAGTTCATTAAAGGCATTCATTATCTTAATCAGCAGATGGGTTTGGGATATATACTCTGTAGACTGCGAAATACGAGTACTGGCATCAGATAGATCTGCTATTCGTGGAGCTAGCATCGTTGATTGTGAATATGATTGTGACAGAGATCCTATCCTCCTCAACCAGGGATTCCAGCCACGATATCTACGCATCGTTGCCTACTATTATACCTAATACAGTAGAGTAAAGAGACTAAGCATGTTAAGTTCTAACTCTCTTTATGTGTTTTCCATATAGGCAGTACATGCAGGAAAGAGATGTATGTTTGACTTTAAATGCAGGACTTTTGCAACCATTTTCTCTTCCTTTTGGTGCTCTAATAACTATAGGCTACTACAATGGTTTTATATCTATGGCTATTACACTGTTAAATTTATTGTAAGTGTCTATACAATTGAGCAGTCCACGAGACTAAGGCCATAAATGACCTTTTCAACGTGTCTCTTAATCAACAACCAATCTTGCCTTCTTTGAACGAATTCGTAAATTTCTTCTTGACCAAAGATTCCATTGAATTTGGATAAATCACTTACCAACTTCCCGATGGCCTTCGAATCTTGGCCACTTATAAGGTAGATTGACCCAACTTTTTTCAAGGCTTGGTACAATGGGATAACCAACTTTTTGTTTGATCTGATATGTTCAACAATGAAGTCATGGTACAAGTTTAGGTCAGATATGAGATTCATAGCACCGTTCACTGATATAGTACTCTTTTTTAAGGTTTTAACAATAAGTTGGAAGAATCTTTCACTGATTTCCTTTTGGAACACTTCAACGATGGATTTGTCCGTACAACCAACAAGGAGGTCGATATTTTCATCCAAGACCCTTATCACCCTCTGTGCAGCATCCGTGGGGCCAATCACCACAGTGGAAGATGAACTAGGATTGTAATCTTCATCCAGCAAATACACATTGAAAATATTCTCCACTTGATCCATGAGTAAGTCAATTCCAATATTTAGTCCATCTGCAACATAGGTATCTACTATACCTTCGAATTTTTTCTTGTGTTGTAGGGAAGGATTCAAGATGGAGTTTTCGATTTTCACTATGTTGGTATTAATAAATTCTTCCTTGTAGAATATATCAATCATTTGAATAATAAGATCTGCCATGTTGATTAACTCTGAAAATAAAACAAGCGGATCTTGGTCAGTCAATGCACTTTCTGAATTGGAACCCGCCACTGAAGTTGTTCCCACAGCAGCTTCTGCAGTGGCTATATCCCTCAAGTCCCTTGGTTTATAAGTATTCAAGTATTCAAGTGCCTTTTCAAATCCTAATTTAACATGTTCGTTACCAACAGATTCAATTAAACTTATGAAGATGTCTTGCATTCCACTATAAATTTCAGCTCTAATTCCGGCTATGGAGAATTCTTTGAATGACGATAGCCTGTGAAGACATATTTTTGCTTCGTTGAGGATTTCCATTGACGTTTCAATAGAGAAGATTTTGTTTAAAGATTTAATATTCTCAGCAAGAATCTTCGTTTTGGCAACAATTTCTGAATAATTTTCATCCTCTTCTCCGTTATTACCAGATTCATCACCGGTATTTGAACCAGAAGTGTTCCCCACTCCTATGGTGAAAACTTTTTTGAAGGAAGATAAAAAGTCATTCTTATTCTCTACTCTAACATTTTTTAAAATGTTTTGCACCGTCTGCTGTTCTCTTTCATTGATTGAATTTTGCCAACGTTGGATAACTGAAGTGGTGAACAGTTTAAACGTTTGACCTTCTTCCCTGACATATTCCACTGCAAATGATTCGTACAGCATGTCGATGAGTTCTCTGACAAGTTGTAAATACGATTCGCCAACGTTACTTGAAGGTTTCAATTTCAGTACAAAATTATTAATAAGATAGTTATACAAAGTCGGCACTAGTATTAAGTAACAGCCCTTTTTCTTTGAAGTGGAAATTAAAATCATTATTAGCTCCATTAGCTGATTGGAGATCAATTCTTCACTAACTTTATACATCATGGGAGTGTCCTCGGGGAACACCAAATCTATTATCGCTGCTTCATTGTTGAAAGTCTTCGCCAAATCTAAGGTGAAATTCTCAAAGGCTTGCAAGTTCAATTTCCATATGACGGTAGTGCCATCATCAGCAGTATCGTCATGGAAAAATGATTCATGGTCGAATAGCTGCACATTGAAAACTTCAGACTCTTGTTCATTATCGAATATGGTCTTCTGCAAGAAGAAATCTATGACAGTTTGTTCATTTCCTAGCAGCAACAATATGGATACAAACTCCTTAGTCTTGGAGTAATCTTCTATATCGAAATGAATTTCCAATTCCCTTAATAGGGCATTTTCAAACATTTCAAGTATGGACATGATTTTATCTCTGATTAGTTCATGAGATTCATTATCAAGGTCAATGTTATTAAAATTAAGTAAGTTTTGGAATATTTTAGCTTGCTCTATAGGAGTTGTGAAATCCTTGAAGATTTTCAATTTTTCGTATGGTTTATTTGATCGTAAGTCGATGTAGTATGACTGTAAGCACTTGTGAATCAATATCACTTGCATTTGAGCTAGCTTTGGAGACTTTGCAATAGTATCGAAACATGTCAACAGATTGTGGAAATTTTCGGACAAGAACTGCTTGGCATTGAAAGGCAGTCCCTTTTCAGGTATGAATGCTGTATCCCATACTGACATCAACTTCAATTTGCTTATCCATAGATGTGGATCTTTGACAGCTTTATAAGTATTTTTAGAAACTTGGGAAAAGGCAATTAGGTCTTGAATATCCAAGCACTTGGCGATACTTCGTGCCACCAGTAATGGAATCACTTGCGGGTTATATACATCTATATCGGCATTCCATATTACTTGTGACATCTTACTAATGCAATTGCTTGTACTGGCTCGTGAAGAGATATTAAACCAATTTGTGAGAGGCTTTGTATTTTTCGAGGCTCGACTTGTCGCACAATGTTCTGCGGTGCACTGTCGTGGTGAATTAGAGATGGAGAATTAGTTGAAACATCAAGTAGTATGCGTACAAAAGATATTGGAACAAGAGGTGGTCAATTTGGCTCGAATAACAATTGAAGATATTCATTAATCAAAAGCATTGTTTGAAAAATTAGAGATGATTAAATAAGTAATGAAAATTTGATCAAGTTTATAATTATTATTGCGCACATACATAAAGATTAATTATCTTATCACTGTTGATTAGTTTTTCCATTTATCTATTTATTAACAATCATCGAACTATAATTCCTCAATTTTCAGTCGTGACGGCCCTGAAAGTTTTCACAAACAGCTATAAAGAGATAGTACGACGGTCAGGTATTCGAAAACTGGTTAATTGAAACAATGTAATGGTTCTCATGAATAAAGTAACCACTTTCATCTTTTTTAGTTCTTCTTCGTTTGTTATTAAACTGTAGTTAGTAACAAGACCATAAAATACCTGATCTATTTTATATCTCAAAATACATACCCAAGTTCTGACTTGCTCATAGGACAATTTTGTTATTTCTTTGATTTCCATGCACTGAAACTTTGTCGGGGCTGGATTAGCTCTAAAAGAAAGCTCAAGATGTTCACGGGCATGAGTTGAAAATGCAGGTCTTCCTCTTGCACTTGAAGTTCGAAGTCTGGATGGGCTATACGAAGTGTATCCAGCCGACTTTGCACTCACAAGCCAAGTTGAAAATACAAACATATTCTTATCGCTGCTCTTATTTGAAGATCTGCGAAAAGATTCGAGTGATTCGTATAAATTTTTCAAATTATATTCGATATTCTTTTCCTGAAAAATATATCTAGAAAGCTAAAACAGTTAGCAAGATTCAACTAAAGAAATAGAAGTTTGAGATACTGACCTTGATCATCTTTTTCATGGAATTCCTCAAGTCTACAGCTTTGGCCTTTTCTTTTGTGTTACAGTCCAAAATTAAGTCGTTCTTACGATACTTTCTTGTTAAACCTTCAAGTAATGAAAGCTTTCTAACTAAAGTTTTTGTCATCTTTTAACTTCCGATCAATTTTTATTAATAACAATAACTTCAGGAAAAATATAGAGTTATTAAGGGCACTTATATGTCCTTTATAAATCCGTGTGGGATATCTCACACATTTGAAACAAGGTTTCGAATATGCAGCATTTCTTATCGAAAATTTTGCGGCACTACCTTTTTGGAGCTTCTTGCGTCAAAAATACATCTTCAGCCAAAATTCCTAAAACACTACTGATACGTAAAGTTACGTTCTCATTTTCTCTAGAAGCTACTCGCTTTTTACACACCTTATACCGTTCCTTCCTAATTTCAAATTTTGAGGCCAAAGGGATCTTCTGTAAATTCTGCACGTCCTTTTTGTATGACTGGAAACAATTGATGAAGGAATAGTATTCAGCCAGTCCATGAGAGTATTTCCAATGCTTCATAAGTCGATATTCAGCATCTAATGAAGATACATACTGAAAATAGTATTGAATATATTTACAGCCTGTTCTCCAAATCTGATTGTTAGTTTCTCAGAAACAAGAAATTTTTTATATCTAGATACGTACTTTTGAAACCATTTTCGAAATTGTGGAGATTTTTGTATCTCCTTCAATCTCTTTTATCAACAAGCTCATTATACTTCTTGCCCTGATAAACAGATTACGAGTTCTATAAGAATTACTCAACAATTTTTCAGCGTCTATAGTATCTTCAACTGAAGGTGGGGTAGGATCATAATGTACAAATTTAAACTTCCTATTCAACGAATCCATAGGCCTATTGAAAGTGAATGGATAAGAATCTTCTGTTAGCAATTCTTGAATTGAACATTTTTGGAGCTTTTTCTTTTTAACTGGAAACTTATAGGTGAATGTACAAACGGAAACCTCTTCAAATTTATCGAAATAATCCATCTGAACTCTTTATGGGGAGTGAGAGAGATGTTGTAGTTCGAAAGATTTTCCTCATATCTTATACCAGAAGTTGATTCTGAATTACGCTAAATGTGGTACTTGTGAAGTGTGTCATTTTTGATGCAAGTCAATATTCAATAAATCCATATAATAAATCCGTGGTGAAAATGAGATCGGCCATTTATTCATAGATACTTTAGCTATATATTCCTTGAGTTAACAATTGAAACTGGTCATACAATCTAGTGTAAACGCTTCCAATGCTTCTTCCAATGAGTACTGTTTCGACGAAATTATCACATTCTTCATCGCTAAGTTCTAACTGAAGCCTTTGCCTAAGGAGAACGCTGGTTTGGGTACCATTCTTAAAACAAGGCAAACTGGAATCTTTTTGCATCAAGTCAACGATATTTACTAGTGGCTCAAAATTTTTCCTGATTGTTCGAAATGAATCTTTGCATAGTTTCTTGAACTTGAGAAATGGTTTTCCCTGAACTCCTCCTAGAACATCAACATATTCAAAAGTTAATTTAAATGGTGCAGCCTCAAAGCCAACACTTCCCGGTGAATTCGAGAGTAAAAACCCAAAATCGATATGGATTATATGGCCCTCATTGTCAAGCATAATGTTACCGTTATGCCTATCTTTTATTTGAAGTAAGTAACAGATTACTGAGTAAGCGGCAAGGCTTCTGGCGAAATTGTCTTGCGCTTTCTTATACTTTGACGTATTCTGTGCTCCGTATACCTTTTTGAAATAATCATCCAAAGATGCCACAATACCTTTTGGGTTTTCCCCACTATTCACAGAAATCTCAGTTAATGATTTCTTGATAGAGTGAATGGACATAGCATTATTAATTGTCTCCACAAGTCCAGAATTTGCACTTGTAATTAATATTTTCATATTTTTTGTCCACACTCCTACATTATTCTTTTTCCAAATATTAGAAATCATTGCAATTAATTGGCACGCAAATGCTTCTTGTGGTAAGTCGTCACCATTCTTTGCTATGACTGAACAGAGGTCCCAATTCTTAAGATGCCCATATGTACTACTTTTCCTGATTCTATTTTTCTTGGTAGTCCAGTCTTCCCCTAACTTGAAATCATTCTCCAATTTTCTCTCACCAGCGTCACTCAAATCTAGGTTTGCATTATGTAGTTCCGTGATTTGTTGATAATCAATTGTCTCAAAATTATCTTGCAATGCTTTCATTGATTCTATTATTCTGGATTTAATAGCAATAGATTGCTCTGAGTTCGATTGTCCCGATTTTTCTAATTGTTGTAGCATTACCGCTGCGATCCTCATTTGAGTTGATAAATCCTTTGTACTAATAGTATTAACCAGAGAGTCTGCAAATTCTGACTTGTTTGTTACTGTTCTCATATCCTGACCTTCTGCCTCGTCTATTATTGGAGAATTCATTAAATTCTTATTCATTTCTGAAGACTGTTTCAAATTTAAGTGGTTAGTTATAAAAGCTTGTTCATTTGATAGTTCTACAACTGACAAATCACCAAGATCTGCTTCCTCAAGACCAACAGTGACGGCCCTGGCATCACTCTCTATCAAGTTATTCTTGTTTGTGGAAGCATTGTCTATGCTTAACTTATTTAATCTGCGAGTAGTGCTTTTATTTTCAGGTTCAGCTTTCAGAAGCAAGGTTTTATTACTCTCGCTCAAAGGATTGAAATCCATTTCTTCACTAAGAAATTCAATAAGCAAAAGAAATGGAACCCTTTCAGCAGAATTCAAAACGCAAGCTTCATTCACATTTAGTTTTAAAATTTTATGAAATTTCCTGTTTTGGTTACTACTTATTGGTAATAGTTGGGGTATATCAATTTCAGCTGGAATTAAAGTATTGTTTATGATTGCTAGTTCAGCTCTTAGCGAGGTCAATCTTGCGTCCTTGGGAACCTGTGATAATCTAGTTGATATATTTTGCAAAGCCATCATGAATTCTGTCTCCTTCTTAAAGTAGTTGACATGTAAAAACTTAATTTTTTGGTCGTGCTTCATAGGCAACTTCATGGCAATGTTAGAGACGGGCTTAGGATCCAACTCTTGTGCTTCTATGGATACGAGAGACACTGACGAAGCATTTGACATAGTTGGGGTCAAAGGAATTCCGTCAAATGAAGGAGGTCTATCTGTTAGATTAGGCATGGAATGTGAACTTAATTGGTTCTCTCTGACCTGTACTTCGCTGAGTGAGTTTGCTCTATTAATGTGCGACTTCTTTACGGGAATCTTGGTTTTTACTTTTATCTTAGTGTCAAAAGAACTATCACTATTGTAATTTCTGTCATCTAGATGAGCAATTGAGTAAGACTTGGAGGATTCATAATCCAAACTCCGCCCTTTCTTATCCCAATTATCAGAACTTTCCCTTTTATGTGAGTCCAGTATCTGGGCTCGAAGTGATTCGTCTTCTATCACACCTCTGTTCTTCATTGTCAAATTTTTGGTCAATGCTTTGTGAAAGTTGGCTAGTTTGAATAAGAAGGTCTTTTGTTGTCTTGCTTGCGATATGATCAATGGTTTTGCATAATCATTGAGCTGAGGTAAGCCTACCGCTCCTGCTATAACTCCTCCCATAACCAATGATGGCAGTAAATTTTCTCGAAATTGATCTTTTCTACCTGAATTTCCATGCTTATTGTCGAAGTTGAACATAATATTTTGGAGTTCATTTATGAAATGTCTCACTATGTGAAATGAATAAGAATCCGGATCATTCTTCAATTCAAATACATAAGCCTGTAACTGCCAAAACATCACTAAGCAAAAATGAGGGTATTTTTCACTATAATCCAATAGAAAATCCGATAGGGCCATTGAATCTGATTCATAAGAAACGAGTATCTGAACAAGTTGAGGAATATAGAATTCAATTTCCAGATAGCTAAATCTGTATAATCTTTTAACCAAAAAATGATGGATACCAATATTATCCGAATGTTGTTTCAACCTTTCAATACACAGAAAAGAATCACAATTAGGACTATTGACAAAGTCCAATAGTGACTTGTAAAGATCTTGCTCCATGGTGATATGTGGTGATGAATGCTACATAATGTTAGAGTGTTGTTCGAAAAATTTTAGTACTGGACATTTTCACCGAATAAATCTCCTCACGTGACTACATATCAATTACAATCACATTGAAATATTAAATAAAAAAATATATAACTAGCATCAACTAATTAAGAGCTTGGGTTCTGGCCTGGTAAAATAGCTGCTATAGATAAAACTTCCTTTCTTAAGTCTTCCGCATTAGAGCTTAAATCAATGTCTTTATCTATTATAAATTCTACAGAGTCACCATCCAGCAGTTTCTGTTCATCGTTAATCTTAAAAAGTTTAGGGTGGAATTCTTCATTCTCCTCTAATCTCTTTTTTGCTACTAAACGCTGCTCGTTTTCTACTTTATACTTTTCAGATGTAGCTAAATCGTGATCTCTCCTCTTAAGTCCCTCTACTGTAGGGTTCCACAACTTTCTCGATTCATTGTCTAACTGCTCTGACATAGGTCTAACTTTAGGTTTGATAGCATGGGCTTTTGTAGTATCATAAAACACTTCCTTTTTACCAGACTTTTGGTCCTTTATTTCCATAACATCGTTCCATTTTCCTGAGATAGTATACAAGACATCTGGAGAGTCTACGTGCTTAACTGTTCCTTCTATTGCATCATAAGTTCCACTTATGAAACCTTTAGTTTTGAATTCAATATCTGCAACGTAGCCTGTTTTGGGGCACTTAACGTACATATGGTCACCTAGTTCATATTTTAGTTTGCCAAATAAAATACCCCGACAGTATACGTTAGGCTGATTAACAATATAAACTTCATCGTCACGTTCACCGAGTGTGACGTGGGCCCAACCCTCCATTATTGCAGCAGAGGATGTTCCAAGAAATTTAGACCTGGGAATAATAATTCCATCAACCCTAATCTTCAGTTCCGGAATGAGGTAGAAATAAGAAGACTTTGGTGGGTGGTGAGATGTTTGCTCAGAGATATAATACGCGGTTTTATCGTTAGCGATATTGTCCCAGTAGCAAGTGAATACTTCTCCTAAAATTGGATTTAATGGCTTCTTAACTGCTTTAGGTGCAATGTGCCAACATGAGAGGTACCATTTCACCATCAATAAGAATCTTGCCAATTCGTCATCCGTTTCGTTTGCCTTTAACAAAATATCTGGAGTTTGGAAGGCATTTGTAATTCTTTCCAACATGGATTTTTTTTCTAAAATGAAAGTAGGAAGCGTGATCTTAGTCAAATCACAGCCAGGTCTTAATTGTGCAATTATACCTGATAATATTGATTTGCCCCCGTCATCAACCTCATCAATATCTGAAGTATCCTCTTCAACTTCTACTGGGGGTGTAGTAGTTCTCCCCTTATCAGTTTCTGCAGAAGGTTTGAGCTTCAACTTATCTAATTTTGAAGTTAAGCCCATATTTGGAGTGATAGTGAATCTTACTTCTGCTAGTTATAAATTAACTTACTGTCTAAGGAGAATATAAATCCAACCTTCTTGAATGAACTTCGAAATCGCAAAATTAGAGGAACCGCAATCAGAAATAGGAAATCCGTTAAAGTATTTGTATGGTTGTGCATGTAATTAAAATCCGGGTAACTTGAACAGTAGTATTTGAAAAGAAGTACATCACAGTTAATGAATGAAATGTCATAGTCTCTCTACTACTTTAGCCATGTCTAGTCACAACTATGGGGTTACTCCACCTATTTCAATGGCAAATCCGACGCCTAAGGAGAATTCATTGAATGATTCTTTGATTAGGGAATTGAAAATTCGAGGATCCTTTGAAAGTGAAAATGCTACCAAGAAAAGAGTGCAAGTTCTTACAATACTTCAAAAGTTGACTGAAGATTTTGTATATCAAGTATCACTTAAAAGGAACATGAGTGAAGGAATGGCCAGAGATGCTGGAGGAAAAATCTTCACATTTGGCTCCTATAGACTTGGTGTCTATGGTCCAGGTTCTGATATTGATACATTGGTAGTTGTTCCCAAGCACGTAGCCAAGAGTGATTTCTTTGAAATATTTGAAAAACTTTTAAAAGAAAGAAGTGAACTAGAAGAAATGGTATCAGTTCCAGATGCCTTTGTTCCTATTATAAAGTTGGAATTTAGTGGAATTTCAATAGATTTAATATGTGCGAAATTGGATATTCCCAGAATCCCGAAGGATCTTACATTGGATGACAAAAACTTACTTCGAAATGTTGATGAAAAGGACTTACGAGCATTAAATGGTACAAGGGTAACTGATGAAATTCTTACATTAGTTCCCAAGCCTACTGTATTCAAGCATGCTTTGAGATGTATAAAAATGTGGGCACCTCAGAGAGCAATCTATGGTAATGTTTATGGCTTTCCTGGTGGTGTTGCATGGGCAATGCTCGTTGCGAGAATTTGTCAACTATATCCTAATGCTGTAAGTGCAGTGATAGTTGAAAAATTCTTTCACATATACTCGCAGTGGAGTTGGCCACAACCTGTTCTTTTGAAACCTATTGAAGATGGACCTTTACAAGTGAGAGTTTGGAACCCTAAGCTATACCCATATGATCGTCAACACCGTATGCCTGTGATAACTCCTGCGTATCCTTCTATGTGTGCTACCCACAATATAACCAGTTCCACTCAAAAAGTAATAATAGCTGAGTTTGTAAGGGGAGTTGAAATAATGAGCCAAATAAATACAGGAAAAAAGACATGGTCGGATTTGTTTGCCAGGCACGATTTCTTCCACAAGTACAAATTTTATCTTTGTATTGTTGCTGCAACGGAAGGTACCAGTGAAGATCATTTGAAATGGAGTGGTATGGTGGAAAGTAAATTAAGACTTCTTGTACAAAAGCTTGAAGTCACAGATGGAATTCAGTTGGCTCATCCATACGTGAAAGATTTCAATAATACTTTCAAATGCAAGGATGGAGAAGAGGCATTGGAGGTCATAAATAAGTATGGAACGTTGAAGGGTGACGATTTTACGAAAGATATTGCTCAGATAGAGCCTAATGCAAAAATTGAAGAAGGAACTATTGTACATTTGACAAAACTTTATATTGGTTTGGATATTGACCTTGGAAATGCTCAGGAGAAGAAACTCGATATTCAGTACCCTTGCTCTGAATTTTTCAATATCTGTAAAACTCAGCCATCCTATGATGAAAAGATTCACAGTATTCAAATTAAGAATGTTCGATTATATGATTTGCCTAATGATGTGTATGTTGATGGGGAAACACGTCCAGTCAAGCCCCAGAAAAAGCGAAAACTTGTGAATAAAGACGAAATTAGTAAGAGACCAAAAAGTATAAATGCTATGGCAACCTAAAGCATTCTAATAAAGAGTGTAATTTATATACAAATGCATACACATTCTACTTATATATATGAATCGTATCTTTTAAAACATATGACTACCAAACTTGCGCCACCACGGTTTTGCTAAATACTTTTCTCTCTCCTCTTCAATCTCTTGCATTAAGGTCTCAAGATCGGTAGTTCTTCTACCTGTGTCCAAGTCGATTTCTCTCAACGGAATATATAATTGCCAGTTTCTTCTCCATATCTTATGTCCTAAATAGAATATTATAACTACAAACACACCTAAGTAGTTTTGGAAGAAATTTTCAGTTTGTGGTGAAGAGGCTCCACTCGGCCAAAGTGCAACCCAAAACTGTAAGCAAAGTACTAGCACTAAGAGCACCATTGAATAGATTGAACCCCAAATTCCGGTCATGGATGTGAATGGTAATTCCTTGTAGATATCTCTACTATTGACTTTCATTGCCATTCTAAATCTTAAATGACAAAGTCCAATACTAAACCATGAGAAAATTGTCGATAACCCGGATACCAGCAACAACCATGCAAAGACTACTCCTTCATTACTGTAAGCACTAAGGAAGCAGAGCAATCCAAAAACTCCTGAAATTGCCAAACCAGTAATTGGTCTACCCTTTCTATCTACATAGTCAAACCACTTTGGTGCTAAACCTTGTGATCCCAAACTTTGCAAAGTTCTTGAACATCCGAAAACTGCAGCATTCCCCACAGATACTACTGCAATTAAAATAACTCCATTGAAAATTGATGGCAATACTTTAATTCCAGAATATTTGATTGCCAATACGAAGGGAGATGCTGAAACATTGGTGGATGATGAACCTAATAATTCCTCACTGTTGTATGGTACCAACAATCCAATGAATGTTAAAGATAAAAAGTAAAACAAGAAAATTCTCCAAAATACTTGTTTTACAGCTCTTGGTAGTGTCTTCCTTGGATTTTCCAGTTCTGCTGCTGCCAATCCGATTAACTCAGTTCCTGCAAGAGAATAAGATGCAGTTACGAAGACGGTACAGACTCCTTTGAACCCATTGGCAAATGAACCAGCTTCGTTCCATCTCTTAGCCCCAATAAATTCGTGGTCGGGGCCTCCCCCACATACTAAAACCACTCCTAATATAATGAACCCAACAATTGCAATCACTTTGACAATCGATAAGAAAAACTCAGCTTCACCGTAGCCCTTAACACCAAAGAAGTTTATAGCAACAATAAGTAAATAAAATATTACAACCCATGCAGCGGGATTTATAGAATCATTCCAATATTGAATACACATTGCAGCTGCGACCAATTCCAATGGTAATACAATTAACCACATGATAGCGTAGTTCCAACCAATAGCAAACCCCCAAGATGAGTCTACAAATCTTGTCGCATATGATGAAAATGCACCACTGACTGGGAACGTCACTGCTAATTCACCCAATGCATGGATGGTACAGAATACCATCGTACCGACGAGACCCCATGCGATCAACAATGCAGCAGGACCTCCAGTTCTTAAGGAAGACCCAGATCCAACTAATAACCCAGTCCCCACAGATCCACCGATTGCGATCATTTGAAGATGTCTATTTTTAAGATCTCTGTTAAGTGGAGCATTTGCTACACCTATATTGGCCTTCTCTATATCTGTAAGTCCTTCGTGCAATGCCTCTGGTGGCACCTCAGCACGTTTAAAAGAATCCTTGAATGATTTCCAGGAGCTTATATTCTCATTCAGGCTGTTATTAGTATTATTATTAGTGTCATAAGCCTGAACGCTTTCTTTGTCACTCAATGAGCTCATTTATGGCTTTCCGAGTATCGCTCAGTCTCGCTTGTCAGTTGTCTCTTTTATACAAAAAGAGCTTTATTCCTCTTTCCAGAAACTGTGAAGTTGCTTCAGAATACAGTTATTAGAGTATTTGAAAGAGAAAAGTGCCAAAATAAAAAGAATATCAAACGTTAAATTTAAGAAATGCTTGGAGAGTATATGCTAAAAGGCATTTTGCAGCCGTTCGGCGTTTTTGGTAGAAGAGGTGTCATACAGTCATCTCATGGGTATACAAAGTGATTTGCTGTATAAACCTTCCATGTTCACACCAAAGACCATAAAATATTAGCTCTCAGAAAGGAACAACTAAAAGGCTTTCAAATATATCGCCCGGAAACCATGCTCTTCCCACTGGCCAGTGAATCCCGTTTCTGATCTGGTTCCGGATCCTGATTTTGTCTTTTCCTCTGCGTCATTTTCATCTTGCGAAAATTTTTCGTTAGGGTAGAACTCAGTATCCCCAGACTCATGCCAGCCTATGAAAAATACTATTGGACTGTCAAGAAAAGACATGGCTTTATATATCTATCACAATTTATTGATGGTCTCTGGGTTGACATGAGATAAGGTTTACCAGATGCATTAGATTATGCAACACACATAATTTTGCAACCATTTATTTACACATCCTCTTGAGGCTGACTAGGTGAGTACTGTGGATACATACTGACTTTGAGTAGGCAAAGAGCGGTAAAGGACGGATATGTGCGGGAATTGCGAAATGGCGCCTCACCGAACGGCTGCATAAAGTACGAGCTTACCTCACTTTATATGTGAGGGAAGCAAATGGAGATGGGGTGGATAAGATCGTTAGGATAAGACCGTTTGATATTGTGTAGTAGATAGGAAGGATCAATTAGAAGTACAGATCATTTAATTTTGTTTATCCAGATGGGTGGGCCGCTATTTTGTTACTCACGAGAGCTAGGAGTGTTCGCTAAGGTAATCTATTTAAATACGACTGTTTAGATATACAGATGGATTATAATTAAATAGTAAACTATATGAGTAGGATCGTCTCTTGAGATACACTACATAGGCAGGATCGTCTCTTGTAATGCGCTAATTGTCTCTTAGCCCGGTAATGCTAGTTGTACCACGTAAATATCTCTTGCACACACAGATTATTATAGTAAATTAGACGTGACTCTCTTGAGCTCACTTCATCAGTAGTAGAGCTGTTTTCTCAGACATTACAAGTCATATCAGATGGTTATTTTCACTTTCCTTGATAAATGCCTCATTAAACAACTGAAACACCTTCTCACTCATGTCTTTCTCTCGTAATTATATATTTGCAGCTTCCATTACTTACACTACCCACCACAAACCCCAGCTAATCAATATAAGCGCCAAGATAGATAATCTTCCGCTTGGGGTAGTTGTAAGCCATAATCCGTTACCAATGATATAATCCGCCGACACTCTAACGTACATCTGAATAAAATTATCTAATTTCGTAGGACACATATAGATTTGGGTGGGACCACTCACCACCTCATCTGTAATGGCAAGTAGTTCCTCAGTTGGATCATCCTCATTGGAGTGACGCAAGTGTGTATTTGGTCTGCTACTGGGAAGAATTTGCAAATACCCAGTTGAAGATAGAATTGACTCTGGAGCTTTCATTGGCACCGTTATGTTAAGATACACAGGCTGATGGTCGGAAAGAACCGTCTGAATACTGTTGTAAGACTCTACCAATGGTAGCGACTTCTTCCTTTGTTCGGCTTGCTCGTATTCTTCAGTCTCTAAAATATTTCTATCCTTCCTAGACAAGGGGAATGTTTCAGTTTCTAGCGAATAGGTAGACTGGTATAATATCCTGTCACACCACGAAGGTGATCTTTTCGTATTATATATTGCAGTGTTGAGCAAATACTTATATGTGGGAGCAAATCCTATACAATGCTCTGAGAACCCAGTGAAAACAAGGCCATCTGCTCTAGCCTTTGTAAGCTCGTCATACTTCAATACGAGTCTCTCCATGGCCTCTTCTGACCGTTTGGACCAACCACTTTCCGTCTGGTCTTGCAAAGACACTAGTTCTAATAACAGCTCGCTGTTGTCCACAAGTTTCTTCGTAGTCCGATAATTCAAATCACCCATGAAAAATGAATGAGCATTTGGCTTTAAAAAGCCGTAACCGTCATTGAAATTGAGTGACCTCATAAGCTCTAATACTTCAGCATTTCTCTTTTGAAAGTAGTATTCACCTTCAAAAGCTGCCAAATGTGCGTTCACAAATGTAAACTCGGTCTGCTGGTTCTGTCCAAGCAGCAGCAGACCTACCAGAACCTGCTGATGTTGTCTACCTCTGGGCGAATAGGTCACTCTGAGACCCACAGCACCCTTCATAGATGAATACATGTACCCAGTACCAGCACGAGCCAGTCTGACTCTGAAAAACTGCAGCGGGTAGGGTGAAATCATAATTATCCCAATAGCTCCAACATGTTCCATCCCAACTACATGGAAGGCAATGTCATTATTGCCATATTTTTCTGACAATGCCTCAAGAAATACATCCCCGAGAGAAATTAAGACTCGGCTAGATGAATCCTCAAAACTTCCGTCGATTATACTGCACATTTCTTCCACACCAAAGACATAGAGCAGAGCCAATTCTTCTGGGAATGATTGGGTAAGTTTGGGCACAAAGCGATCCATGCTAATAGGTTTCTTGTTACAATTGTAAGTGAAGAGATACAATGGTACCTCACCTTTAGGATTAGGCACTGACATTGCAAATGATATAAAGTAGCTCTTTCAATTTACAATGGTCTACTGGCGTCTTTTAGCAATAACTAAATATCGTAGCGTCAGAGAATAGTGTTGCTACCTACAAGTTTAGATATAAGCATGGTAATCCTGCATATAGGTGCACATGCATGTCATCTCTAGAACGCTCTTGATCGATTTAGCATATCGAAGAAGAAGAAGTAGAAGCAGGTAAATTGTTTGGTTTTTGGCTATAAGTATTCATCTGTCACATGGCCAGTGTAATAGAGACTGAAAGGTCTATTTTAGAAGAACTTGAGGTCATTGAAAATGCATTATCTAAGAGATTTAAGCGGAACCCAAATCTCTTACCACTGTCTGCGCTTGCGCCTGTAAAGTTGATGCAAACCGGTAGCACACTGAAGAAGAGGCCCTTTAGAGAAGTTATTTTACAACAACATGAGGTAAAATTTTTCGTGGAGAGATACAAGGAACTTGCCAGTAGCATAATAAACAGTGGGAAGGAGAAAGTTCTAGATGAACAACTTGTAAAGTTGAGAGATCCGTCACATAATTTCCAGGAGTTTGATAAGATGTTTGCAAGCATCAAAGAGCAACATGACTTATATGACAATCAGCAGCAACTCCATAATAGGAACCTACCAGTGGTAACTGACGATGTGGCTCATATGTATGAAATGTTTTCAAGTAGGCCTGATGACAACGACTCTATAGTGAAAAGAGCTAAGAGAAAGCACATACTAAGTAAGGCGGCATCGCATATTGATTTAAGATCTACCTTTTCTGAAGAGGAGGAGTATGGAAAATCATTATATTTGGTTCCTTTCTTCGAAACCTACAAGAATCTTGTTGAGAATTCTACAATAAGTTATGTAGAGTACTTATCGTTGTATGACGTCGTTCCGTATTCAGCGATATCTAATCGTAAATTATATGCCAAATACCTCGATGAATTGCTAGCATACCAATTGGATTTCATACGAAGGAGTAGACCATTCGAAGATATCGTATTATCTGAAATTCAAAATATAAAAATTGAAACTGCTGGTGTAGAAGCAACTGACTCGAAAGTTGAGGCTGTTGCTGATGGATCGACCAACGAAAAGGGTGAAATCTTCTGTCTAGCTTGTGACAAATGGTTTGCTAAGGAGTCTGTGTATAAAGGACATCTTACTGGTAAAAAGCATATTAAGAATCTGAAAAGAAGTACCGAAGAACTGTCCCAGGAAGGACCATCCCAGGAGAAGTCTGTTTCTTTGACTGAACAGAAAATTAGGTTCCTTGGAAAGTATCTCAAAAGGGAGAGGGAATGTGCGATTAATTCGGTGGAACGTAAAGCAAATTCCACTGAGAGAGAGCGTTTGCTCGAAATAGCTGCTGCTCGGGATGAGGAATCCCAATTAACAGATATAGAATCGGGAAACGATTCCAATTCAGACAATGATAGCGGTGCTAACTCTGACGATGATGATGATGATGCCAACGGATTCAAGAACTTACCTGTCGGCGCGGATGGTCAGCCAATGCCATTTTGGTTGTATAAGCTTCAAGGTTATCACAAATCGTATAATTGTGAAGTGTGTGGGGACATCACATATAAAGGTAGAGTTGTTTTCAGTAAGCATTTCACTGGACTTAAACATCAACAAGGACTAAAAATGCTAGGGGTTAATGATGAATCACTACCATTGTTCAAGAACATAACGAAAATTGATGAAGCAATTGAACTTTGGAGAAGGATTAAAAGAACTACAAGAATCAGAGAAGGTGACACTGAAAACGCAATAGAAGTGGAAGATGCAGATGGTAATGTAATGAGTAAAAAAGATTACGAAGAGTTGAAAAGACAAGGTTTACTTTAGTATCATAGAAACTAATATTTATAACTTATAGCTTATAGCATGCGTGTAGCAATAGTTTCTGATGTAGGAATATCTTTCAATACTTATTATACATTTAATAATAACCTATAACTACTTGTTCAAGTTAAGTAAAACCTTCTCAATCAAGGTACTCAATCCAGGGATTCTTGACGAATAAGGCACACTCTTTACCAACAACGGGCACAATTTCCGAATATTATTTGATTGATCTGATTTTAGACTCAAATGCTGATCAACTTGCAAAATACCTTCTACAACAATTAATAACTCATCTTGTTGAACCTGTGGTAGCGGAGCTCTATAAAGTAAACTTTCGTCGGATATAAATCTACGAAGACAAAATGACAGTCGACAAACGAAGTATTCTAAACTTTTTTCCTTTAATACATTCGACTCACCATTAACTTCGGGTGAAGATGCAAACTTAATTAGTTCTCTTAAACACACAGCTGCAGTCTTTTTCCTTTTGGAAATATTTATTGGTTCTGTAGTACCGAAGAATTCCTCAAAGTCAAATTGATATAACTTTTCTGAATAGTCTAAAATTGAAGATGAGTTCAGCAGTAAGGACTTTTCTAATTCATTCTCCGAAAATAAAAATGAATTTTTATATAAATCCTCTATGAAATCTTCAATAAGTGCAGTTGATGTATTTGCTTCAGTAAATCTTGGGAAAACTATATCTTTAAGAGAATAGTACTGTTCAATGTTTGAATTTTCATACTTTGGATTTTCCGTATTAAATGATAGTTTAATAGCAGTCAAAATTAACTTCCAGAGTTCAACAGATATGCCAGCTTCACCCTCTCCTTTCGTTTCAGAGCTGGTACAGTTCATCACTTTTCTTATTGTTTTCTTTAATACGTCGTTTGCTTCAATCCAAAGGGGTTCATCAGGATTGCTTCCTTCAAATTTCACGTTAACAATCTCTAGTAATGATTTCATTAATTTCAAGATTCCCTTGTCTTCAATTAACCTCTTGAAATTCCCAAATGACTCAAGATTTTCATTTAATAATCGTAAGGAAAGTGTGCTAATAGCAATGAAGGTTGGCGTCTTCAATGGTTTCCCTTGTAGAGTTGGCCCTATCTTCTGTTCAATTCTGGCCCTCGTTGCGAATGGAAATATAATAATGTTACTCAACAGTTGTATTATAAGAGAGCTTGTCGCCTCATCATTGTTTATCTTCTTTAACGACACGAAATTTTCATATATAGCACTCTGTAACTTGGAAGGTCTCGTATTATCTAAGAAGTTGTCTTGCAAAACTGGGTATCTCGCACATGAAGTGAAATTTGTCAAAAATTTTTGAACATCATCAGGAGATAACTTATGATGCATAAGCTCATACAAAGAAGGGAAACAAATCATCAACTTTGTGAGAGATTCTTGATACAAGGGGTTGATGAAATCATATTCAATGGGGACATTGATCCAGAATTGGAAAAGAATTTCACAAATACCTTCCTTTTCTTTATTTACATCATTCATAGGGATCAAGCAATCTTTAAACGACTTGAAAATTAAAACATTTAGATCAATCCATTTCATCAGTAAAAGACTTTTGAAGTATTCAACGAGGCCTTTCCAATAGAAAATATTCTCAGCTTGTGTATTTTCCTCTTCACTTACTAGATAAGTTGAATATAATGATACAAGACCAGAAAGGATCAAATTTAAGCTCTCGATCCACTCCTTTTTATTAAACTTGGAATCTTGTAAATTTAATTCAAGTTTAAGAAAGTTCGGTAAGACTAGTTCATATACCAACTTCCAATACCGTGAAGTAAATAGGTTGCCATGGACATCAATAATTTGGAAAAAGGTTTTAATTGCACCATCACGAACTTGTGCTCTTGAATCGTTCGATATTTTAGACAAAGTTAGTAGTAAATAAACATCTAGTAAATCATACTTATTCTCAGCTGAGTCGTTGATTAAGCTGATGAGTCGCTCTTCGTGGATAGGGCTTTCGGCGCTAGAGTCTTCTAAACTTTTATCAATCTTCATTTGCTTTTTGATTGAATCTCCAATTAACCAAAAGTAACTAACTGCACTGAACAGAATATTCAAATCCCCTTCCTGTTTACAGAAGTTGTATAAAGTGTCAATGAGTATTTTCAATTGAGCAAATGGCAAAGAAAATATGAATTCGTCAAGAATTAATTTCAATGTATCAAAAGAAGAATCGAGTAACAGTTTTTTATTGTTACTTCCTAATTTGCTTTGGAAAGGAGTATTTAAAATTTTAAACACAATATCCCATGAGTTTTGATAAAATTTATCATATTTGTCAATCAACTGATGTAAAGTGGTCAAAACCAGTAAATGGATTTCAATTTCACAATTAATACCCAAAAGTTCTTGAGGTTTACCAAGTTCAAACATACTTTCAAGTAGTTGACTTAGAGCCTCCAAAGATTTAGATGCTGTTATTTGATTAATAGACACATCTTTAGCAGCAAATCCTTCGGTGGTCGTAGATTGAATGACTGTGTTGAACATTTGTACTGCCTGAATTCTTAAATTGTTATGTTTACTTCTATTGATAATGTTGTCAATAAAGTATGTGTTCAATAAAGTCCAAGTCTTGTCATTATTTTGAAGATAAAATTTAATTGGATCAATGGAGGATATCTTAACAACTTGCTTCATGAAATAAGAGCGATTGAAAGGACAGATAAATTTACCATTTGAGTCACTATTTGTCAAATTCGCTAATGCTTCTATTAAATTGAAAAAAGAGTCAATTTGGTAGTCATGAATACTCTCGTAGAATTTTCTTCTTGAATTCTCCATGTTATAAAAGTCGTTGTGACTAAGTTTTGGATTTAATTCTTCTTTTGATTTTATCTTACCTCCATTTCCCATTTTTGGGTCGTCTGGTCCGTAGATGAAATAATCGCACCATTGGAATGTGATCCATATGATATCCCAAGATTCATCTAAAGTGGAACCGAGTGAAACGGCCAAGTTGACTAAGGCTCTGAAGCAAGTTACGTGTCTCGAATTGAATTTCCTTGGTCTGGTAGTGATCGAGGAAGTATCTACTTGAGTTTTCTCTTGGATCCCTAGGGTTTCTGCAATGGATTCCCCAATGGAGAGGAATCCACTGAGATTGTCATCTGACATGCTCGACTTATCAGTGTTTTGTGTCTTTTGTTCTGATTTGGGAGCGATCTGCAGCTGCAGCTGGTATTGCAACAGCAGCAGTACTTTCAGGTTTTGCTCTACATTTTGAATAATACTTTTACTTATAATTTCCAATAGGCCATCTCTAAGTCCTCCCAACCCAAGTAGACCAGTCGTATGGGTGAATTTTTGAACGGCTCTGATTAATCCATGGAAATTTTCATTATCCATACCGGTGTAAATGAATAATTCAATTATATGTGATAAATCTGGATAAATTGCTTCTATGAATGTGGAAATGGATTCAACATCTAACTCAAGAGTTTTTGGATTTTGGTCTTGGCTCGAAAGATTGGCAACAAATTTCGCCACACCATCTGATATTATTGTAACGAAGTTCAAAATCAAATAAGCTGAATAGGTAGCTGGTATGTTTGTTGGTGCCTCTAATTTATCAAGATGGTCAAGAACCGAGATTTTCATATTAGAGTGTCTTGAAATATTTGTAATATTCGAGGTATTGTTATCTACAGGCTGCAAGATCTCTGTTTGAGTAATGTTCTTGTTCTTTTGCAAGGATGAACTAATGATTGACAAGAATTCTTGAATAATATCTTTAGCTTCAGAGTGGTTGTCGAACTTTTCGAATATTGACTTTACGAATTTAAAATCCTGAAATAAATTTCTGTAAACCTCAAGAACCAAGACTTCTGAATAATCACCCGCATAGTGTAAAGCCGCATCGTGAGTAGAAGTTCTAGAATCCACAGCTTGTCTATTCACTCCTTGCAGCTGCCCTGATGTTCTTAAGATATGATTCAAGTATGAAAGAATTACTTCGCTTTCAAGTTCAACTACATCTAGTAAATCTGAGCTTAATAGTACCTGTATGATTCGCATTACCCTTACAGTTACTGGAAATGAGGACGTGGGCGTTCCAGAATTGCTCTCATTAAGAGACCTTAGTAATTTCGGGATTACTTTTTGACGAAGTAGGAATCCCAACTCCTCGTGAGTTTGAAAGATCTCTTTATGGTTTGCGACAATGTTTTCTATCAATTCTAATACCTGGAGAGAACTAATATACATATTAGTAGGGAGATATTCTGGGGTTTCGTTTGAAGCTAGCCTACATAAATCATTGAAAATCTTGAAGCCTTCAAATGAGAAGGAATCCAAAGTTATCTCTTGATCGTTATCAATCGCGACAGAAAACAGTTCCAGCTTATCGTCGTCTTTCTTCTCATTCTCATTATCAGGCTTCCTATCCCTTATGCTGTCATAAATAAAGCTGAATAGCTGTTGTAAGGTTGCCGACGCTGTATTGATAACTACAGTGGATTTGTTATTTGTTGTTAAGTTGGAGCAAATTGAGAGCAACAGAAGAAGTAATCCGCCTCTCAATTTCTCATTGTACGATTGCATGACGTTTGGTAAGCACTGTAAGATTCTCAATTGAATATCTATGGCAAGATTAGATGCCTCACTCAAACTTTCCAACAATACGTCAATCATATCTTTAGGAATGATCTTATAGAGAATCAAGCGGTGTAGCACCGGGATGGAGATAGTTGCAAATTTAGCATTTCCTGCTAGTAATGACGTTATGAATGGCATTACTATCTCCTTTCTGTGTTCCAGAGAAGGTAAGAAGTCGGGGTCACCTATATTTTTCTTCGATTGAGTGCCATATTGGGCTTTCAACAACGAACTGGCCCTGTCGCAAGCCGATTTGACGTCATTATTTCGTCTTTTAGCCTCTGTGGACAAGTTCGATAAATCGGTTACAAGCTGTTGAACTGAGCTCATCCAGTACCGTCCGTATCTATATTATATAAGCAAAAAGAGCCAACAATGGATAAGCAACTCGTTAACAACCTTTCCATATACGTATCGTGTTTCGATTCCAACCACTTGCAAGTTGTTCGCATTTTTGTGAAGTAACAAAAAAGGTAAATAGAGCTATATGCCGGAATTTGCAGCCATGGTGGGGATGAATGAGGAGCATGAAAGCGACTAAGAGGTAGAGACCAGAGGTGATGAATTGGTATAGTTATAGGGGTCTATTTGACCCGATGGGACCATGTGCTGAAATAGGTAAGTGTACTGAGTTTCAAAATTTCTAGAACGGATGTTCCACTGCGATATGTTCTGCATTGCTGAGCTAAGCTGGTAGAATACCACAATAAATATAAATGGTCTGAGCCGATGCAATTTAGGGAGGGAATGAAGAAATAGGTAAGTTTTTCGGTCAGGGAGAATGCCGAATAGCAATATTCATAGTAATCGCCTCGCCCTCTTGTGCCGGATGAAACTGTCAGAGTGTGAAGCTACCACCAATAGTGTTCGCCCAACCTAACCAACAACCACCACATCTACCACTAATGAAGTATCTCAGTCGTATATCTCACATTTTCTTTTTTTTTTTTTTTTTCAGCTATTTATTTTCCATTCAAATTGGCCTGTATCCATCTGAGGTCCGACAGGCTTGCGGGGAAATACGTATGGTGTACAGTTCGGATACTCATCCTGCAATGCTAGATGGGATCTAATGAGGTGATATATTAAGGCAATGGTCCTGAAGCCCGCATGAACAATTAAAATTTGCTACTCCATCAGAACATTTCAAATGTGGGAACTCCGTTAGCTTGCCAAAGAAATGAGCCCATAGCTCGAAACCCTGAGATCCTTCTGGTGCGCTTCTGGTGCGCAATCTTAAATTTCTCACGATTTTGTGTCAAGTCGTCTACTTTTGCAACCATTCTGCATGTGTGGTTATTTATGAAAGTGGTAATATGCATGCGGTTCATATCCCTTGCCCGAGTGCCCCTCTACAGCACGTTTGATTACAGGAATGTGTTAGGCATGGGGAGCAAGTTCAATTTTCCCATAGTCGTCTCTGAACACAAGGTAGTTTCAGCTTCTTTCACCATAGGGGTTGGTTGCTCCCATCAGTAGAACACCTTTTTTTGTGATTCTGATTTTTAGTATACATTCCCCCTACTACACCCAGCAAACTACTAACTACCAATTGCTCTAAGTTGAACGTGAATAAAATGTTTCATTAAATCTATCAAGCACTAAGCTGTGGTGGTGTGCCTAGTGGTACAAGTAATTCCATATAAAAATAAATAAGGTAACCCTAACCCAAAAGAAATAAAGGTGAAATTGCAGAAAAGCATTTAAAAAATAATCCCAATAAAGAGTATACATAAAAAATAATTCATCTCAAGATTTATTATAATGAGCTTCTCAAAGTTTCCAACTCCTTCTTCATTGAACTATTTTCGGAAATAATCAGCTTATTTTCGTTTTGTAGGAATAAAATGTAATCAATGGCCTTCTCTAAGATCATGGACTTGTTTAGTCTGTTGGATGATTCGTCCAGTGCGATATCTTCGCTAGTGTATGTAGAAGTACCAGCACTTCCCTGTTTGGTACCGGTTTCAAAGGCAGGCTTTTCAAGTGCAACCGACGGTATTATTTTTTGTAGACCTGCTATTTTGGCATTGATATTTATTCTGTATTTTTTTTCAATTTTGTTGTGTGCTTGCTTTTGAGATTCGGTCAATCTCTTTCTTGGTGCTCTTCTTTTGCCCCTGACTGAGGTGGTGTCATTAGAACCTCTGCGAGATGTCGTACCGGAGTCAGTCATGTCCGACAGGATTGAGCCATGTTGCTTCCGACGGTTTAATGAGCCGTATGAAAGTTCAGGCTCATCCTTCAAGATGTCCTTGGTGTTGAAAATAGATTCCAATGATTTAGGGGTTAAGTCGTTGGTCTTCTGGATACTCTTAAGTTTTTCTGATAAAAGCATTGGGATCATATCATCCTGTGGTTGCTTCTCAACCTTAATGGTTGGACTATTAGAATTAGATGTTTCTTCAGGAGTGGTGTATAAATCGTTACTGAATAGGCTCTCGTTATCGAAAATCTTATTGAACTCCTCGTCCATAGTTGTTGGAAGGAAAGCTGATTTGGTGTATCCAGCTTGCTCTGATGCTATGTCAGATTGCAAGCGCTGCTGTTCCTGAATGGTAGGTAGGTCGAAGTTCATGTATTTCCCACTGTTCGAAAGACTGATAGGAGTGGACTTTGAAATCATCTCATCCCAGTCTGCTTGCGAAGTGCTTGGAGAGAGAGGTGCGGAATTAATTTGGAACAATTCGCTCTGGGTCCAGTTGTTGGTAAACATGATATGTATATAAGTACACTTTTTGCTAAGTTAAGTATTTGCAGTACGGCTTTACAGAATATTAAAACAAGAAAAAAAAAGAAAAAAGAAAAAGAGAACAACTTCACTATAGGGCCTTCTTCCAAAGGATTGCTGCTTTGTATTTATAATGCTTTCCATTTTGAACATGGATGATATTAAGGTTTACACCGCACACGGACTTTGCATATACCTCGCAGCAATGGTCAAGAAAAATAATTTTTATCAGTGAGGCAAAATAAAAACGGCCTTTAATCACCATCTCGGAAAAAATCGGACTTTAGAATCAGGAGATTAGGTAGAATGTTAACGCAGAGTGAGAAGCAGGTGCTTAATAGATGGAAAGCTGATATACCAATCGGGCTCAAATGCGAGTGTCATGGAATAATTGGAGAATAGTTTTTCCGAGTGCTGCCTTGACATTATTCGATGGTATGTATCAGCGTTAAACGATTCAGCCTTGAAATGGTACTTGGTGGGTAAGGCTGGTTTAGTTTTAGAGAGGTTTCATTCCGTAACCTTTTTGGCAGGATAATAATGTATGATTACTGTCGGCGTTTCCACTTTTGGAGTTTCCCAACTAACCAATTAATTCTAACTTAACTCTGGGACCTCCTTTAATCACCATGTATGGCACGAATATAAACGAAATAAGCTTTCGTGAGGTAAAATTAAACATTTTCTCTCTCATGTACCATCGTGCATTACATTTGGTTGTCTCACAAAATATGTTGAATCGAATGTTTCTCATTTAATGACCTGATTCAAGTTTCGCACCAAAGTACACTTCAAAGCATGTGCAACACAGGGTCCCGATGGATTATCCATGATCCGATGAGCATGCTACGAGTATTATTATGGTGCCATAATACAAAGTCTCTCATTTGTCCTTGCCTTTCTTTTGCTACTGCTGGTGTTTTCAAGTATTGGTTTGGGCTGGGTATACTAAGACGAAGACGGCATTTAGGCTGCATTTGCATTTTTCACTATTTAATTTTTCGCACTGGCGCCCTGCTGGGCCCTACTAACGTCACGAAAAAGAAACAAATGAGCCATATGAATCGTATAGTGAAAAATTCTATGTTTTCCGATATATTGTGCAACTGACACATTCGCTAATTGGCGTGAAGTTTCTTTTTTTAAAAGTGTAGTATGTCTTTTTATTATCACCATGTTTCAACTTGGGCTAGGCAACTACACCGAATAATCTAAAACCACATTATTTTAATTATATTGTAGTGCTTATGATACATGTCTTTGATTTAAAGTGCATACTGGTAGCATTTGTTAAAAGAGTTCACCTTGTATTTCGATTTATTTTTCCCCCTTTATTGACCATATCAGGCCAACCCTAACCTAAAACATCTTTAATGTAGTGAATTTCATTACGACACGGTACCTTGCTATCTTGCTCTCACTATCTATTTTTAAGCTTTACATTCTATTTAGGTCTTAGCTTTTTTCCCCAGGCTTTGACGGTTCCGTTCCTGCCACAGAAAAATGCGAACTCTTTAAAAATTGTCTGAGCCCAAACACATTGCTCTACTACTCGGTAGGTCAAACAAACATGATGAAGTCGAGGAAACAGAGCCCAATTGTCAAGAAACGTGATAGTGCACAGAGTTCAATTCCCTTAGTTGCACTGAGCCTGTCGACTTCTGTACCTTCATCTGTCTCTACACCGCTGCATGGCCAACCTACTACTGCTCGTGGGCAAACCCCCGCGGTTTCTTCGGCTATGCAATTAAAACTTATATCTGTAGACTTTAAGGAAGCTGCGTTAGACTCTCCAAGTTTTAGGGCAACCATCAACCACCTCGATGCTCAGGTTGACAATATTGAAAAATGGTTGCTTGCATTGATTAGTACAATAAGAAAGTTCCCAAACTATGTGAAAGAATTGAAGGTGTTTTCAGATTCATTCTTGGAACATCTCCTACCAACTTTCTTACAGGATGGGTTGATAGAACAGGAGTATACTGTTTTAGCCTTGCAAACAGTTTCAAAGGGAATGCATAAGCTATGGGACGCTGCTCTAACAGCTTTGACTTTAGACAGCGGTATCTTAGACGGTTTAAAGAGCGTCGTAGAGATAGACATAAAAGCTTACAAACGACTTCGTAAGAAGTTTGAAGTGATACAATCAAAATATGATAGATATTTGGCTATTTATCAGTCTACGCCGAAAAATAAAGACCCAAGCATTGTAATGGAAGATGCGTATCAACTATTCGAAGTTAGAAAAGAGTACATCCATGTTAGTATAGAGCTCAGCATTGAGTTAACTACATTAGGTCACACTCTCGATAAAGTATTTGTGAGATTAACTTCGGATATATGGGGTAAAAATCTGAATGTATTCGAAAAGTTTAATACTTTTGCATCGTTTTATCTGGAACTGACAACGCAAGTACGTAGAATCCAGAATTGGTGTGACTCAAATGATGTAGCACTAGATAAATTACTGTCGGATATGGCAACTGCTAGAATCCAAGTAGAAAATAGTACCAACTTACAACATCAACCCTCAACAAATATAAATGACTACAGAACCGCACTAATTAACAATACAAACATTCAAGAAATAGATGAACCATCTACTGAGAAGCATGGATATTTGTTTATGAAAAGTTGGAGAAATGTGAAGTCTCGGAAATCTAATGGTGCAAATGAGGGTGACGGCGGAGCAGCTTACGAAGACAATAACAATAACCCCAATTTATCAATTAATAGCGTTGGTAACAATGGAGGAAATGGAGGCAGCAACGTGAATACAAATGGCAACCACAAAGAAACTGTAGAAAAACGTCAAATTTGGGTTAAGCGTTGGGCATTTGTGAAAGGTGGAGTCTTTGGTTTACTCAACTTAAGTCCCTCTAATACATTTGTTCAGGAATCAGACAAAATCGGTTTGCTTATATGTAATGTGAAGTATGCGCCTTATGAGGATAGAAGAAATTGTTTTGAAGTCAAGACGATTGATTCAACTTTTATTTTTCAATGTGAAACTATATTCGAATTGAAGTCTTGGTTAAAGGTTTTCCAAAATGAGAAAAGTAGAATCTTGGAAGAAAGTGATAACTCTAACTTGTTCAACATTGCATCAGGTAGATACCCTCCCATCTTAAAAGAACTATCCTGTACTATAAACACCGTGTCCGATAGGATGATTACAAGTAGTAGGATAGTTAATGGTGCTGGCCAAGTAATTGCTCCATCTAAACTTTCCACTCACATAGAAGCGAATGAAAAAGATTTCAAAAAGCACGTCTACTACCAATTGTTACACATCAGACCTCCATTTTCTACTGATTCTACAAAGTCTGCTATATTGGCTCATAGCTTAGTGGAAGCAACTAATATACCAACTGCTATAACTGCAAATATATGTGGTTCGATTAACTGGGGATTGTATTACCTCCATGATTATTCATCTTTTTTGAAATTGCGTTCCCCGGAAACTTCTTATGAAGTCGCCACAGAAAGCTCAACCCCTTCTGAGTTAGCATATGAATCAGATGACATTCAAGGTTATCCAACTAATTATCAGCATTCCATGTATCCGAATGATATGCAAATGAGAGCTTTGTTTGAGACAGGGGTGGGGCGTGAAGAATATTGTCTATTAAGTTTCAGAGTTATGTGGTCTCCGAATTCAAGGCAAGAATTAGGTGGACGATGCTTTGTCACGGCTGATCACGTTTATCTGTATATGAATGCCTTGGGTTTCATTGCATATTACAAAGGAAGAATTGACCAACTAGTTTCCATTGAATACTCTAAACAGCCCGACTACGATTTATTACGACTTTACAACTTGAATGGGGTAGTTAAAATGAAACTCTTTTTAGGTGACGCTGCTTTGATATGCAAGAAATTAGATTACTTAATAAAGAACAAGGTTAGCGAGAAGCCTGATTCAATTGAACAGATAATGCAGAAAATGCAAACTTTCGATAATGAGAGTGCTAATGAAAATACACAAACTCAGCTGGCTAACCTGAATATTAATAGGAATTTACCTTTATTGAGTGGGCCTCAAGAGCCATTTCCTTCAGTAAATACCCAAAATTCATTACTGGAGGCTGATATGGCCACGACATCATTCAACAATATACCTGCAAATCAGGTTCAGAGTAAAGCTTACAGAATTGATTTCACGGACGAGTCCACACTATTGGCTACCTCTTCTTATAATATTCCGCCTAGGGCTATTTTTCATGCTTTACTAGGAGATAATTCTGCCATTTTCAATCAGATGTATTCTTACACGAAATTAAAGAAAGTTATAAGGAAACCCTGGAACACCGACCCTACTACAGGCAAATTGTTCCGTAAAATTAACACAATGGCTATATTTGAAACTTCTCAACATGAAGTCCAAATTGAACAGAGAATCGATAATATGGAAGACGACAATTATTTCAACTTCACTCATTCAAAAGCAAAGTTCAAATTCCCATTTACAGGCGCCTTCAAAATAGCATACAGAATAGTAATTTATGCTGAAGGAAGGGATAAATCTAGAGTGTTGGTATACGGCACCCCAGTATTCGAGAAAGAGCTGGTTCTTATTTCAACTTTCATCAAGAAAAATGGCGTAAGAGTATGTAAGCAAGAGGCACAATCGTTGCTCGCATCACTTAAGGAGGCTGAAAAGACAATTGGAACTCATGGAATGACAGTAAAGGCAATATACATATTCGGAAAGCTCTCCAAAGCGATATATAAAGACGATACTCCTGATGTTCCAGCCACGAAATTTGGATTCCTCACAATTTTATACTTGTTGATATACAGAGTGGCAGTCTACTCTTTAGGATATACTTCTCAATTCTTTCATATCTTAGCTAACGGAATCATATCGTTAATTAGAGCTATCAGAATGAATCAATTGATCCTCTTATTTCTTACAATCTCCTCGTTGTTCAATGTATTCCTAGTTGGCAGAAGTACGATTTCATTTTGGACTGCTCGAAAGGTTTCTCAAATGGCAGATTCATATCTTTCTTCGGATACTTGGACGATTCAAAGAGCTGTATATGTTAAGGACACAGAAGATATGTTGAAAAGAAGTATTAGCGTATCACACGCAAATGAATCTGAACCCTCTCGTGTTTATGATTCTTTCAGAAAAATATCTTTCTGTCTAAATCATGGTAGAATGTCTTCTTGGGATTCTGAGTATGGCGATAGTCAGACAAGAGAAACTGCCAAAAATTTGAAAAGATCCATTCAGGAAATAGCAGTAAAAAGAAATGAACTACTTGTTCACTTGAACATGTTGAATCAAATGGAAGAGGAAATCGCTAAAGGAGAATGGCAAAATTGGCTTTTAAATGAAATTCATAGGTGTGAATTTATACAGAATGAGATACTAAGTATGACAAGCAACTTAGAAGAATTGGAAAGTGGAACTGAAAGCATTATTGATTATTGTAATTCATGTTCCATTGAATTAAAACACTTAGAACTTATTTAGTGTGTTCTTCTTGCAAGTACGCAAAGATGCTAATGAAATAAATAATTGATCTTTAATTATACAGAACTCTTTCTCTTTTCAGTATTTTGACCTTAATTACTCTAATAATAAGCACTTGAATTTGAGTTGAGTGGTGACTTTCATGAATTCAGTTGTAATTCGCATATATGCAATCCTATGCATGACAAACCTTAATTCTCTATAGGAACCTAGTATTTTTCTACTACTTTACAATACAACAGGTTTGTTACTAATATTTATCAAGGAAGTTGCTTATAAACCACAATGAAGACTCCTACAATCTCATCTGTGATAGGAAAGTTGACAGCTAAAAATAGCAAAGAGTTATTAGTGAGATCACATTTAGATCCAACCAAAATTCTTCACAATGTAGCGTGCATCGATGGTAAAGATGATAGCACCATTGATACCATTTGCAAAACAGCAAATTATGGATTTGTGGAATGGTCAGCTAGAAGTGTCCAGCAGAGAGCAGAGATCCTTGGTAAGGCTGCTGAGATTCTATCCGAAAGGAAGAGATCATTTGTAGATGCACACTTAGAAATTGGTGGACCGGTTTGGTTCGCCAATTTCAACGTAGATGGTGCCATTGGTCAACTAAAACAGTATATTGCGTGCATTTTATCACAGCAAGAGGGCCAGGTACTTCAGTCTAATGCAACTGCTTTGGCATTGACCTATAAAAGACCAATTGGTCCCGTGCTATCAATTGCTCCATGGAATGCACCTGTAATTCTTGGCAGTAGATCGATTGCAGCTCCATTAGCAGCTGGATGCTCAGTAGTGTTGAAATCGTCAGAGAAGTCCCCACTATTATCTTTCTTATTAGTTAAATGTTTCCATGATGCTGGAGTCCCTCTGGATACTTTACAATTGATTAATGTAACTCCGGATGATTCACCAGATTTCACAAAGAAGATGTTGTCAGACGATGCTATTCGAATGGTGAATTTCACGGGATCTACAGCAGTTGGACGTCAAATTGCAATCGCTGCAGCTTCCAATTTAAAGCCCACTCTATTAGAACTAGGTGGTAAGAATTGTATCATCGTAGAGTCAGATGCTGATTTGCAGAAATGTGTTCCAGCGATACTCCAAAATTCCTGGTGGCACCAGGGACAAATATGCATGAGCTCAGATAAAGTTTACGTTCATAGTGATATCTATAAGGAATTCATAGAATCTTGTCTCTCATTGGCCAAAAAGGAAGTTGAGTCCAACCAAGATTTAAAGATACCTTTGAGAGACAAAGTGGGCTCAAAGAGAGTAAACGATTTAGTAAAAGATGCGGTGTCCAAGGGAGCTACTATCATCTTTGGTGATTATTCGAAGGAGTTTTCAAATAATCAAATCTCTCCTTTAATTCTTGAAGGGGTTACTTCTAGTATGAAGATACATTCTGAAGAGATATTTGGACCTGTATTTTGTGTATATAGATATGATGATATCAATTCTGCAGTTGATGAGGTTAATCTGAGCAAACTTGGTTTGAAAGCATCTGTGTGGGCAAGGGATACTTTGAAGGCAATCGGAATTTCTAAAAAGATTCAATGTGGTGGAGTCCATATAAATAGATCTTGTGTCCATGATGAGCCTACAGTGCCACATGGTGGAATTAAATCAAGTGGTCAAGGTAGGTTCAATAGTAGTTGGGGTATAGATCTGTTTTCCTACACTCAGGCTGTGACAGTTGGTTAGTCTACATTATAGAATACAAATGACAATAATAATAATAATAATAATAATAATTACATTTACTTTTGAGTTACTTCAAGTTTAATGGACTGTTAGAAACCTCTTTTTCTCAAATTATCAGCAATGTCTAAATATAATGCTATGGCATTGAATTTCGGCTCTTTTCTGAACAATGCTTTATCTATGGCAGTTCTAGTCCTATTTGTCCAATTTATCAAGTCCAAATGATCCACCTCATCCAATGTACCTAAGTAGGTTCCCCATTTTGAACTTTCAACGCTCACAATCCCATCGTTGTCTATCAGCTTTAGTCTCTTCTTTTCATTTTGATTTAGCTTATCGGACTTAAGCAATCTACTCTTAATAATGCCCCAAGTTATTCTGAAAATGTTATACCAATGAGGCTTGAATCTGGCACCATATGAAAAATAGGAAACTTTTGGATCATCCTTTATCTTCTTGTTAAAATCCTGAAGCGCATCAGTAGTGAGTTCTGAGACTGACTTGGGGCATATCTTATTGAGAATCTTACGGTTTTGCAAAATATCTATAATGAAGTCTGCACATTCAGAGCCATGATGTGGAGTAGAGACCGTAGTAAGACTCACGATCTGATATTCTGGGTGTTCTAATTTTGAAATGAGGTACCTGCTATCTAACCCACCCATAGAATGTGCTATAAGGTTAATTTTTATTTTCTTACCCTTCTCTTCAAAAGTTTCACTTTTTTTGTCCTTGGAAGCTTTGTTGTACATACTTTCCTTGGTTTCTACCTTTCTTAACTGTTTGCATTGGGTATTTATGTAGGTATTTAAGTCCGTTGCTCGTTCCTCGATGCTACCAAAAGCTGGAACTTTTGCAATCAAAACTTTTGCACCAACATTCTCTAAAGCTTCCTTAATCCCATACCAGTAGTCTAACTTTAACAATTCCCCGTTGAATATTAACTTCTCAAACCTTTCATGATGTGGCATAAAGTTTAGCTGGTCAAACCCTGAGAACCCATGGCATAACACTACAGGATATTTTGGTGCCTCGTATCTTTCTCTTAGCGCACTAAATTTATCAGTGATCACCTTTTCGTCAAGTCTTATGGGATTTGGGGAATTATTGCTTTTGGAATTGAATCGCTTTGACCCAGAAATCAGTATCGATACGAAGGGCCGCAAACGCCTATACATGACTATGGCTCTTCCTTTGGTGTGATGCTGTAACGATAAGAACTCAATGGTAAACTTGAAACCCGTTATGGAAATAGGTTGCTTTTCATGTTGGCGGCACGTGATATTTTCAAAAGAGTATATGGGTTGGAACGCTTTCAATGGAATGCCTGGTCCTACGGTAATATGAATAAGATTAATTAAATTACTTGTTTATTTATCTCTGTACCTCAGTACTTGTACTATAATAAGTGATTTTTACGCTCTTTTGCTTTTATGTCTTATTAGACATATGTATACTACTAGTATATTTTCACAGTGAACTACCAATCAATTTCTTTAGTTTGATTTATCTCCCACTAATATTCTTGATCATCATGTCCTTGACAAAGTCAAGCATGTTCAAATTTTTCATTCCAAATCCTCTCAAAAATACTATTGGATACCAGTCGGTGGAGAATATTTTATGCAATTTGTCACAGACTCCCATGAGTACGTGGTTTCCGGGCCACTGGTTACTTGTGTAAGGTTCTAACACCAAAGTTGAACCAATATCCATACCCCTGGTAACACCCTTCTCAATTGCCTCGACCAATGCTTGCACGTCACCTTGTCCCATGTTTAGCCCTTGTCCTGCCAATGGATGCACAGTGTGGGCAGCATCACCGACAAGGGCAATTCTAGCACTTGTGTAAGTATCTGCGTGCAGCAATTTTAATGGAAATCTTGCCCTAGATCCAGGGACCACTTCAGTAACTGGTAGGGGGTAGTTTTCCTCCAAATCGTTGACCTTTAGCCTAGACTGACGCCATGGGATATCATCCAAGACCGAGAAGTCATTGGGATTCTTCTTCAATTTGGCATATATGAAGTTTAAACTGACTTCGTCCAAGGTCATAGCAGCATTTACTAGCTCGGGGAATATCTGTTCATCGCAAGCGATCAAAATTTCGGATAGTTCAGGAGTAGAGGACCAGACAATGGTAGCATTATCTTCAGTGAGAGGTAAAATAGCCAATGGACCTGTAGTTAAGAATCTTTGCCAACCTATAGACCTATAGTCTTCATATTGTAATTTAACCGTAGCAACCACTCCAAACCTATCATAGGCCCATCCTCTGGACTGAATGCCTGCGTACTTTCTCACTGGGGAGTTGAATCCGTCAGCTCCAACGAGAAGTCTTGTTTGAATGGAAGAGCCGTCTGAAAGGTTGACAATGGGCCAGTCGGAAGCTGTAGCAACGTTCTCCGACATAATGTTAGTACTTTCAGAAGCGGCTTCCGCTTCTTTTAGTGCACTTCCTATACTGAGCACCTTGGTATTGTCCAATATGGTAGAATCAACGCCTTCCTCTTTCAACTGACTGATCCTTTGTAACAATGAGGATTGAATATTAACATTTTCAGCCATTACTGCTAAAAACCCAGCCTCAATTGCGCTCCCATCAAACACAATTCTCGAGGTTCTGTCTTGAGAGTCATATGCAATTATATTATTATAGAATTTGATTCGATCTTGATTCATGAACTCCCAATTCCCGATCTTGGATTGCATAAACTCTACAGATTTTGGCGTCAACGATACTACCCGGTTTGTATACTCTTCAGGCGGAGAATCTGCAAATTCTCTGATACCTTCTAAACTTGAACCTTCAACGAGCGTACATTTTAAATTTCTAGTGATCGATGAACTCTTCAATGCTGCAAGAAGGGACAACCCGGCAGGCCCGCCCCCAATTATCACCACATCTTGCAATACAGGTCCCTGCACACTCTTTGCAGCTGTCGCCAAAAGTCTCTTAAATAACATGAACACGATCGGTGCAGCAATGACAGTGATAATGGAGAAGAAAGAACCGTGCAACGAATTGTAATTTCCTAATCCAGTTGAGATTTTCAGTATCCTGCACCAGCGGCTTGCTGATGGGACGATCCCAGTGAAAAATCATGCACCAAGAAAGGTTGCAGTCTAAACGAGCCTCGTGGTGCACATATTATTATGGTGACTTTTGGTTAAGCTTCTTTGGTCTACGATTTTGCGTTATGTTTGTGTATTAGAATCTATGTATGTTGGTTTCTTTTTTTTTTTTATGACTTCTTTACCTTTTTCTTTTGGTTTGTTTCGTTACGTCTTTTGTTTTTTGGTCTGCGGTTCATCGTCCTTTTCGTCCGCACTGAGATCCAACTCCTCACCCTCAGAACTATCCTCCTCGTCTTCTTCGTCTTCATCGTCATCGAAGTCTTCAGATCCCGCGGGAAGTGCTTCAGTATAGTACTTCACTGCATACGGAAATAAATTGTCTACAATCAATCTAGCTAAGTCTTCACCATTTCTGAATTCTTTACCTGGCTTCTCACCAGTCCAAGTGAAAAATGAGAAAAACGATTTCATGCCTATTCTATAATTCTTCTTATCCTCTGTACTCATTGAACCATTTTGCTTCTTACTGTTTGCTTTTATTGTTTTCGGATTGATACTTTGTAATTGCTGTGGCCATTCAATTTCCACAGCTTCTGACGTCAAATACTCTTCGCCTTGCTCATTAACGAGAGTCTTGAACGATTTGGTGATGGTTTGCTTGGGAATCAAATTTCCCTCGAATGAAATTATGATTTTAAAATCTCTGGGGTTATTGTTAGCAATGTCATATTCTACATAAATGTTTGCAATATCCTCCAAATATTTCAAGTCATCACTACTGATGTACTCAGCAAAATCATCGTTTTCGGCCAAAACAATGTACCAAAAGGTAGGAATCTTACTTAAGATCTCACTTCTCTTCTGGTAAATCTTTTGAGTTTTGTTAATTCTGAAAATTTCGGCTTCCTTCTCCGCCTTGTCCATTTCCTTCTCACATTCAGCCAATCCTATTAAACTGGCTTCAAGGTGTTTGATATCTTCTTCTTCGGACATCTTAATACTACAGTGAAAGATAATTAAAACCAGATAAAAGGCTCTAATTGTGTACTCTAGATTGTCCCTATTCTACTTTTGTTGTTATAATCATCATCAGCACAGAACTACATCACTATTTTGATGGTCCTGCATATACCGCCTGAAATTTCAAGAAAATACCTGTCTGCTTTGCTAGGCTTATACGGTTAGGTTGTTATCCAGTATCTGTATACATTTCTATGTCTAATCTATACAATCTCGTTACATGCTTGCAATTGCTGATTTCCTGGTTTTGGGTTCAATAGTTTTTTGTAGTTTTCAGTCTATTTAGCTTACTTTTCTCTCTCCTCCTTGTACTCTCTCTATGCTTATATGTGGTTGTCTTGCGGTGGTTTCTTGTTTCCCCCACCTTATCTTCCAGATTTCCTTACTCTTCTGCTCATCTCTGGAAGCTTGAATGGAACCTTCAACGTTGCAACTTTGTAAGTACTTGCTGCGGCCTTTGGAATACCGAAGGCTTCAGCTTGCGCAACAGTAGATGATTTCACCACGGCACCTAGAGCCTTCATTAAACTGACCAATCTGGTTGGTTTCATATTTAATTCGTTGGCCAATGGAGACAATTCAACCATGAAGTTATCCAAGTGGAATATAATTGCCAACAAGTAACACAACAACTTATCCTCGTGGTTTGGATCAATTATGAACGATCTATCCTTAGACTTACCGTATTGTGTAGTTCTAGCAATAGTGAATCTTTCCAAAACACCATCGATTAAAATTTCTGAAGGCTTGTTCTCCAATCTGGTCAACAAAGATTCCTTATCCTTGACTCTACGATGTTCATACACTCCAAATAATAATGAAGCATAGTACAAGAGTTGCAACTTTTCGGTAGAACCGGTGGAGATGATCTTATTGAGATGTTGTTGAACATAGTTTGATTTTCCGTATGGTAACAATTCCAACTTTACACTATCGTCACCGCTGGCTTCTAAGATAGGGCCAACTCTCAAGAAGCTCCATTCTCTCTTCGGTATTATGTTATGTATTGGATAGATATCTTCCACGTTCGTAGCATCAACATTGGCCACTGGGGTAGGTCTGTCCTGTGTGATACCGGTATCTATTTCTTGTCTTGTTGGTAATGCTTGAGTGGTCTTTGCTAAGGAATCAATAATATCTGATTCAACGTCTTGTAACTTGTCAGCATCGATTCTATTCTTCTCAACATTGGCAATAGCAGACTTGGCCTTCTTGGTACCAAACGCCTCCCCAAGGGCATTACGCTGGTCAACGTTACGTGTTCCTACTTGCTTGACCGCTGGTCCCTTATAGGTTCTCTTGGCTCTAGAGATAACCTTACCGTTAACGTATGGGGATTTGAAAAGGTCCACCGATTTATTGATTGGATCGTATACAGCAACAATATAATCATTGTTACTGGAAGCAGAACCATTTTGGTCTTCACCTTCGTAGATCAATTTATCATTTTCTCCGTGTAATATGAAGTCTCCGGTTCTTTTCTTGTGCTGATACAAGTCAAACTCAGTGGAACTAGGGATTTGAAGACCATTGAAGAACGACCCAACCACACACAGTTGCTTCTCGTTCACTCCCGCTACTCTAATCTCGGTAGTTTTAGATTCTCTCTTTCTATTGGATGACATGCTAAGATGATACGCTACCCAGCTTAGGTATTAGGTGGTAGGGGATCTGAGGAGGTTGTTGTTAGGCACATCTCATCTCGAAATTTTGATGAAGGCTGCTGAAAAAAAAAAACCAAAAGAAAAAAGAAAAAAAAAAAAAAAGATTTGCAATATGCACGACTGGTATGCCTATGTATGGATGAGAGTAGAAGAGAGTGATCTGATAGTTCACTGCTTTTCAGTGATTGGACCGTGCCAAGATCTGTTATATGGGCTGTTAGCTTCAAGTTATTGCCTGCTGCTCTTGTATACTATGATATGACAGCCTCAATCTCGGAAACATTCTATGAAATTCTTTCTGTTGGCCCAGATGCAGACACGCAACAGATAAAGAAGGCATATCGAAAGAAGATACTACAGACTCACCCAGACAAGACCAGTGGTTCCGCTAATAATAATGAGGATACGTCCAGTAGTACAGTGTCGTTGATTAAGGAAGCGTACGATACACTTTCTGACCCCACATTAAGGGAACAGTATGACCAAGATTTAACCAAGGCTGCGCAGACCCAAGGTTACAATTTGAGTGGAGATGGCTTGGATACCTATAGCTTGGAGTCTTTTGAGTACGACGATTCAAACGAGGCATGGTTGAAGACTTGTCCCCGATGTCAGGCTCCGTGCTCAATTAAGCTAATAGAAGAAGATTTGGAGCAAGGAACCGACGATGGAGAAGGTGGGCTCGAACTTTTGGTCCAGTGTGGGAGCTGCAGTTTATGGATCAAGGTAAAGTACATGGAAGAAGGTGATGAAGAAGAAGTAGAAGGTAGATAAAAGAACACGGTTAAGATTAAATTTCAAGGGGAATTTCATTACAAATATAGACAAATAGATATAAAAGAGCAATGCTGATTACATTTTCATATTACTAAGTGTGTAGATGGTCTTTAAAGCTATTTTGAACCAGCTAGGTACTTTCAAATAAATAAATATACATATATAAGTTGTTTGAGCATAAGTCGTTTTGAGTGTGAATAAAGCTATTTTTTTAATAAACGGGCATTCTTCTTTCTGTCGGGCCATATGGCTTCTGCTTCTACTATAGCATTTAGTGCTTTGGCCATGACTTCTATGTCTGTCATCAAACTGACATGCCCACAAGCAGACGCAAACTTACCAACGATTTGTCCATTTCCAGTTTCCAGGTCGAAGAAATTAAAGCCCTTCTTCTGAGGCATGAGCCATTTTTGATGGATTACTCCATCTCCATGGCCATAGTAGAAATTGTAGTAGTTCCCGTCTTTAATATCTTCAATACTATCTACATTCGAGCCTCTCACAGATGGCACCTGATTACCATACACCACTACCAAGGGTGGGTATCTATCCTCTAGTTCTGGCTTGTACTCCAAGCTCAACACAAACTCTTTCGCTCTAGCCAAGCTGTGCTTCAAATATTCATAAGCTTGTGTGAACAGAATAGAGTAGCCACGTTCCTCTTCATCGTCTTCATCAAATTTAATAGCATCAATAGAACCAGGTGAATTTACTCCAAAATAATTATTTACAGGTGATGCTTTTGCGCTATTATTTAACGAACTGTTCACTGATAGTGTCAGTTGAGAATTCTTTGGTGACTTAGATATTTGGCTGTTATTTTTACCCCTTCTCCCGATAGATATTGGACTGCAACTCCTGAGTTTACTGCTAATACTATTTATACTTGGTATGGAGATGTTTTCTGGTAGCAGAAGGAAAGATGACTCTGTCTTTCCAGAGTTCACAAGTAGTTTGTTCTGCGCTTGAGGTGATGCAACAAGTGTGCTTGGCGAGGAAGTAGAATTCCTTTCAATACCACTGAAAGGAACCGTCGAAGAATTCAGCGTGGATACAGAGTCGCTTTGGCTCATACTTTCAAGAGTTCTTCTACGTTCTTCTTCTCTATCTTTCCGTTTCTGAGAAACCAATGGGTTCAAGTTGTACTCTACCCACGTATCTGGGTTGAAATAGTCTAAATCGTAAAATTCCTTGGTGTTTCTGTTGACAAATACTCGGCCACTCAATGGTAAGAAATTGAAACCTGATCTCATCATAAAATTTGTCTCTGGTGTCAAAATTTTGTCAGAAAAGATTACAGTATCACCAAACCTTATAGGACCCAAAATGTTAAGACATTCGCTAGGACATCCAACGTATACAATTGATCTAAACAACTCTGGCCTTCTTTGCATAACCGAATGAGTCATCATGCCCCCCATAGAATGTGCCAACACTATTATTGGAGTGTTCACTGTGGCTACATACATATCGTCCATAAATTGTTCCAATTGCCGAGAAACTATTTCACCGGATAGTCTCCAGTCATACCCGAAGTCTTTAACATTTAGCTTAGGGTTGGCGCTTAATTTCTTTATGAGTTTCTTGGATAAATCTAATGGTCCTATATTTTTGATCATACCATCCGGGTATATAAATTTAGTTGCATTAATTTCATCATCCAATGAAGGGCCTAACAAGAGGTTGATTTTTATCAAGTTGAAACCCGCCTTGATGGGGATCCAAAGCCTTTTCTTTGTTTTAGTATCTCTCAATATGGACCCTCTGTATCCCCCTAGAACTATGACATTTCCCTCTAATTCATTGAAGATTTGATCGTAAGAATTTTCCTTCTCCTTCTTCCTACTTGGGTGGACGATGCCACTTACACCGTCACTAATACTTTTTTTCATTGCCCTTAACCTAGCATCATCATGAGATTTAATGTTCTTGAAATATTTTGCTTCCATGATTGTGTTGATCAGTTCCTGGCGCTCAAGGCGAAGTCTGACTTGTTCGTTGACATTGTGATGACTTACACTGTCGTCATCATTCGACAGCAGTTGCGATAAGAGAGGAAAATGTATATCGTCTTTGAAATCTTTGATTTGCTTATAAAGATTTGCCTTGATGTTTGATAGTCCAAAGGGAAGTGAAAAGGAAAACACCTTTTGAGTGGTGGCATTACTTGCCGTAGAATCATACTTCTCGTCTTTCGGTTGTTTATATGTTGGCTTTTCGTTGGGATGTTTCTTTTCTGTGCTGATCTCTTCTGATGCCGGTTGTATTGAATCCACATCCAGGATCGGCACCACCTTCATGGTATCATTGGACTCCACTTTCGATGAGCTCACCAAGGTAGGCACTGGAGTTTTGATTTCATGTATCACATCATCCACTGTCACATCACCGTCTCCTATCTCGTCGAGAATTCCTTCCGGGTAGACGTCATGAATTGAGTTACCCCCTACTATACTACTGGCATCTGTGCGCGTCAAATGTCTTCTGGCTGTGAGTGATATGTTTGATTCCAAATGCATTTGACCCGAATACTCTTCTACTTCATTGTCAGAAAAATCCGAATCCGAATAATTTGGAGTTGAGGCCGACATCGTCCTTTCTTATGTAATACACAGCTGCAGACGTCTCTAGGGGTATTCTATTCGAGGTACTTATTTTTCTGTAGTGGGCAATGCTTTAAAAATCACTAAGCGATAAACAGAATCGGTTAAATGATGTTCCCGCAGTTGCCAGATGAAATATAGTTAAAGCACAGTATGGAAAACAAAGCTCTCAAACTTTAAATGCTGATTCCAAAGAATTAGGTAGACCGAAAGAGGTAAATTATCCAACAAAATAAACACCAGCGGCTCCTAAACTCTTGACATAAACAGGAGAAGGTAACACACAAAGATTCGTAAACCTGCTAACTGAAATTGAGAACTTGGGGAACCTCCGGCACATCCCAGCCAAATCAGCCTGTGCGATCCGACGTGCCAAATATTTTTTTTCTCTTAAGCTTCTGCATAGATCGTATCCGAAAATCTAACATGGACCGATCTAAACGATTACCTAAGCCCACATTCTAAAAATAATGTTACTGGAACCTTAGACAGAGGATGGGGAGGATGGTTGAATAACAAGGTTACAATTTATGGTGAAAGAGGTATCTGTCTTTAGAAAGCAATTAGAGCCACTTTGAAACTTTCTTTTTATTTCATTTCCTTTTTTCGTAGTTCGAGTCTGGTAGCTTGGAGCTGCTCTGGGGGGTGGAGCAGTGTTATGTCAGCTGGTTGAGGCATGAAAAGGTATGAAAATACCTCAGTAAATGCACCTGGGAGGCCACAGAGTAACTAGCATGAGAACAATTCAAGCGCAAGAGAATAGACGCAAACAATAGGAAAGCATAAACTTTATCAGTAATAAGTTTATCAGTGATGCATAATTTACCTGATTTGGAATGACCCCCAGCGATATGCTGTCACTGTCAAGCTAGCAGCTTATTATCAATTGGCAATAAATTGACGCATTCGAAATGATTCCAGTTTTTTTTTTAACATCGAGGCGCGTAAATAAGAAATGTGAGCGCGCGGAGATAATTTGAAAAGCCCTCATCCAATACGGTCCAAGGTTAATAAGCAACGGAGTATAGAATGACATACAATATCCTACTATGCAATTGGCTAGTACCTTGGCTTAGAGAAACCTGAGTTATTCCAAATATCCAGCCTACATGTGAGGCATACGTGGTTGTTCACAGGCAACGAATAATTGTGTTTCATCTCATCAAAAAAATAAAATGGAATAATCCAAATTAAACAATATGGATTTCGCCTTTAAGCTAAGTAAGGGCGCATAAAAACCATAAAAAAAAGCAATGAGAAAATAATGCTTTAAAATGTGAATTGGAGGAAATCTACCGTTACTTAAGAATTTGGCATGTTCTACATCCCCTCATTGTCATTCCCTTGGGAAAGATGGCATTAATGTTGGTAAACTTTTAGCTTTGAGGGATGCTGAATGTGAAGGTTGATAGAATTCGCTCACTCCGGAGCTAGTGGCTACTTTGTTCTGTTTCCGCCGCGATGTCTTCAACAGGCAACGCCGACTGAGGCTTTTTTCCTGGCCGGATCGGCTCTATTTCTCAAAGTATTCCCGGACCAGGTCACATAGTTTGGAAAGACAAGAAATATTATGCAGGTAATTAAGGACCTGGACTTAGCAACTGCAAGCCCTTTAGCTTAACGAAGCATTAATGAGAAGAATCAAAAAAAATGAAAGAAACCCACCCGCTACTGCAATCTGACAGAACCAGCCCTAATGAAGCAAACTCGATGCTTTAAGCACGCTTATGTAAGTGTCGATGGAGTGGCTATACCTCTGCTTACCTAATTAACCTTCTCTACATTTCTGATTATTTTCTCCTGGCACGGATTTTCGCAAGTATCAACCATTTCTGTCAAAAAAGTCTACCACTGTAGAACGTGAAATTATGCACGTTTATCTCGCAACTGTGTTAATATCCGTACCTTCAATGTACATTCAAACAAACTCCTTAGCCTATCATGACATCAGCCTCTCTCCTAAGCCTGCCCTAAAAATAAAGCCGTCAGTCATAGTTCCTTTATGTCTCATGACCTCTCGCTTATTACATGGTGTGGGACTTGGTCCGGCTGAACCGACCCCTTCGAACCTTCCTACCCCGAGAATCCACTTGTATTGTTATCTTAGTAATTACGAGCATCCTCGAAAAATATATGTAATCATAATTCCGAATTAGAGAATTTTATGTAAGGTGGGTGGGAAAAAAGAAATTGAAAGCTTAAAAAGTATGCATATAAAAAAACGTGGTGGTATATATAAAAGAAAACATAATTGTCGATATTCATTTGCTTAAAATACTTGTAGTGTTGCTTTTCCTTTGGTGTTACCCTTATTCATGAGCATTATATGACAAAATAGTCAGCCACTGTAATATTAATCGTTTTTCGTAGTCAATAATCTATTCATAAACACCACAAACAAAAAAAAAAAAAGAACAAGGGCCAACCACAGGGAGAAATTTTTATAATGTTATCGTTTAGACAATCTGTAAGCATTGTACTATCGTTTGTGATCCTCCTCGGGTTGATATCTGTATATCAAGTAGGTGGAATCCGCACGTTCCTGTTCTTCCCTGAATATGATGATATAAGGCATTTCCATCAACTGTTCATGGACGAATTGTTCAACGTTACTAATCCGTTCATCGGCTCATCGCAGACAGAGCCCTTCCATTTCAGAATTGTTTCGCATAACGTAAGAGTTGATACAATGCGCCGATTCCCACACGAAAAGCCTTGGAGTGAAAGGAAAGTGGGTGTAATCGACACTCTTAAGTCAATCAGTTCAAGTGATGTGCCGGTGTTGTTCGGTCTTCAAGAAGTTAAGTATCACCAGCTAAACGACGTTCTTATGGGGTTAAACGACGGTAACTCCGACGAAGAAATTCCCTGGACTCATTACGGAGTGGGGAGAGATGACGGGAATGTGAAAGGTGAGTTTGCTCCTATAATATATAATTCAGATGAATGGCGCTTACTTAATGGAACCTCGAGGTGGTTAAGCTCCAGGCCACATCACGCCGAAAGATCCTGGGGTGCTGCCACCAAGAGAGTTGTAACTATAGCCACCTTTCAGAACAAGGCACTGGGGAACGTTATTAATTTCATAAACACCCATCTAGACCACAAGTCCGAAAGAGCCAAGAGAAAGTCTTCAAAATTGCTTCTTGACTGGATAGATCAGATCCCCAACGAGGAGCCTACCTTCTTAAGTGGTGACTTCAATTCTTTGAGTAATGAAATTGCATACGAATTGCTTGCTACCAAGTTAGACGATGCCAATTCCATTGCAAGAAATCATAAATATTACAAAGATACCAAGGAAACTTATACTGGCTTTGAAAAGCACCAAGCTCCTACTATAATAGACTTCATATGGTCGACATTGGGTAACTGCAAAACTTCCAAAATTGAAGTGGACACATATTCCACGTTGTCAAACGAAGAGGGTAAACTAAGATTCTCTGACCATAGGCCTCTTCAAGTTGATTATAAGATCACGGATGGTGGGACCTTTTAGGTGAAAACTTTGCTCAAATTAGTGAAAAAAAAAAAAAAAAACGATAAAAAGAGAGAAAAGAACTAAAAAATCACCATGACTAATGATAAGATGTGGAAATTATTTATAATATATAATTATATAGCATAGAGAGTAGAATTGATAAATGACATTCTCGATATCAATGTGGAAGTGTTCGTAAAGGTTAAGTTGCACAATTCTCGCCTACTTTGTCGCGTACCACTCTAATAGGAAGTCGAGCTTTAGAGTGATGGGTACCACCCACCATAACCATTTTGAAAATGCTTGAATCTGAACCAAGGGTAGTTGACAGATCTATCGGACCTACTGTTTACAATGCCGAGTCCCCACATAGTCAGGTTTCCTTTGTTTGTCAATTTCAAAAAAAAAAAATTGAGCCTAGTCATCGCTCATGCCGGTTTAATTAAGGTTTGAACCCCAATACTCGGCAGCTGTCCTCGGTAACAATTATAGAGTGTGATTTCGGACTTCTTTTTAGGTTTTACTTTAATGAAAATGCATTTGTATATTGCTGTTGGTATTTCCACTTACTGCACCTTTCTATTGTTCAGATTTTCCTTATTGTATTAGAATTTTCACATTCTACTTATTTCGACTTGATTTGGTTTCAATGGAAAGATTTTGTGGGGAAGCTAATTATATAGTTTGTATAGCAAATATATTTCAAAAGTAGTTTCAAACTTCCACTGTTTTCTTCGAATGAAAGACATTCATTGAGTTACTTTAGCTTGCTTATGCTTATTACTTGAAGAATGCCATATTCGCCTGAAGAACGAATCCATCCACTGGATATTGATTCTCGACATAGGCGGCAGAAGATGCTTATGCTGAAAGAGGAAATAAATGCAACTAAGTATTTTGAGTCCGATGCAGGAGATGGAACACTTTCTACAGAACAACATATGGTGGGTAAGCAATTGATACTTACTTTGTTATCATGCTTCATAGCATCTTTTATCTCTGCATTGGATCAGACTATTGTGACTACGACATATTCTGCCGTGGGAAATAAATTCAATGATTTCGATAAGATAGGATGGCTAAATTCCGCTTTCTTGGTGCCAATGTGTACCTTTTGTCCCATATATGGGAAACTTTCAATTGCTTTTGGTAGGAAATACACTCTTCTCTCGGGAATTGTTGTATTTGAGTTGGGGTCATTGATTGGGGGGCTATCTAGCAGTATGAATATGTTAATTGGTGGTCGTGTAATTCAAGGACTAGGTGCCGGGTGTATCCAATCTTTAGTTAGCATTATTGTGTCGGAATCTGTCCCAATATCTAAAAGACTGTCATCGATAGCGTCAATAGCTCTATCATATTCGATTGCTTCCATTTTAGGGCCATTTATAGGAGGAGCGTTCACAACTAAAGTAAGCTGGAGATGGTGTTATTACATTAACTTACCAGTGGGTGCTCTAGCTGTGGGGTTGCTCATACTAGGCTACCACCCTCCAAAACCTACCTTCACCGATATTCCATCACGATTAAAGAAAATCGATTTCATTTGCTGCTTTTTATTGATATCTGGGCTTGTTCTACTTCTAGTTGGGATAACATTCGGAGGCGGTGATTACCCCTGGCTCGATGCAAGAGTTTTATGTCCAGTTGTGTTCGGAGGAATCTTGTTTATAGTTTTCCTTATGCACAACTTTATATCGTCATTCGAACCGATAATTATCAGAGAATGTATCACCATTCCCCAGTTATTTTGTGCAGCAACAGCAGGATTCTGCAATTTTGCAATGTTTTTGGCAACTGTTACTTATTTAGTGGTCTACTTCCAAGTCATCTTAGGACATTCGGCATGGCAATCAGGTATCGACTTGCTTCCATTAATCGTATCTGTGACTTTAACGGCTGTAGCTAATGCAATTCTTACGAAATATACTAGACATGTAAAGTTATTCTACATGATTGGTGGTGCATTTGGAATTATAGGTAATAGCCTAGTGTCACTGAAGATCAATGCATCGACACCATCTAGCGAACGAATTGGATTTTTGATCCTTGTGGGGATTTCTCTAGGGTTTCTGGTCCAGTGCACCTTACTTTCATGTCAAATGAAAGCCCCTAGATCTAAACCCGGGTCCTTGATCTTAGTGACTACATTCGTCAATTTCATGAGGTTCCTTGGAGGAACTTTGGGGGTTACCATAGCCACCCTGATATTCCAACAGGTTACCTTGCTCCAAATCCAATCTGGAATTGAGGATATCATCGAGAGAGGGGTTTCCGATGCAGAATTGCAACAGTTACTGGAAATTAACGGCCTTCAGTTACTAAATTCTCCTGACCTGATTAAGGGCTTGCCCTCTGATATAGAGGACTTGGTGTTCTCATCGATAATGAAAGGAATACGATGTGCGCTCTACTTAGGACTAGGGTTTTCCGTCGCTGCTTTTCTTTTTAGTTTATTTGCGACCAACAAGAGGGTACCTAAGAATGCAGATGTAATGCAGACCAGTAATCATCCACACGAAGCAGGAAGTGAGCCAGCACCTTACTCCAAGTAAGCTATTAGCTATAGACTAAAACAAGCAAATAAATGAATTTTTTGCATAATGCATGAACTTGATCTCCCCAGCATATTGAAACTCCCGCTCCTTCCTTTCATATCTCCCCATTCAACCCACTCTATCTAGTACAAGTTTGGTCTACTCCTCTATGCTACCCTGCTCTCTCTGTTTGCAGCCTATTTTCTCGCTCCACCTCTGCGCAGCTTCATTCCCAATCGGGAAGTCAAAATTTAAATGGCAAATTCTCTACAGCTCAAGAACGACTTAGTGTGGGAGGGCCAAAGTGTCCTACGAAAAATCCAAGCGGCAATACCGACCAAGAGAAAAAAGCTAACGGTAAAGAAAGCAGTTCAGTTGATTTCAAGTCCCCTTCTTTCTATAACGAGACCAAAGGAGCCATGAACAGTGTAGTGGCCAGACGTATCGTCAACGCGTTAACTAGCCAGCTGTCTCGAACCATATATAGTTCATCTGGACGAGCAGCGTTGAGAAGATCATTTCGAGCTGTGGGCAAGCCAGTATCAGTCGCATTTCTTCATACATCGAGCACATTGAGGCAACAGAATTCCCAACAACCCAAACGTAATGATAATAACAATAAAAACAAGAAGGAAGAGGGAGATCTCTTTGACTATGTACGTGGAATAATCCTGCCATCAGAGGCGGATTTCACCATCTCGTTGAACGTAGACCAGGAGAATGCAGAGGCAGTGCAGAGAGTGAGAGAAGTGTATGAGTTTATGATTGATTCATTTCTTAGAGAGTCTAGACAATTCCACGACCATCCACAGGCAAACGCAGATGCTTTGGAAGTGGCTGATCGTGTGTTGTCGGAATTTAAAGCTGCGCTCCCTCATTATTCTCAAGCACTTACCAGGGATGATGTAGCCAACTGCTACAAGGTGATTCATGCATTGCAAGCGCAAGATGACGGAGCCGTTGGCTTGATCTACACCGATGCACCATTGGCAGAAGCATTAAAGCTGCATTACCTAGAACTTGTAGACTCCAAGCCATTGGAAGAGTTGACGGACGAGGAAATCGCAACTTTGACTAAGGAATATGATGTCTCCAAGGAATGCTTACTTGAGTGGTTTAAATTCTTTCAATTGTTAGACGGCGTCCCTGAATGGCCAGATGCCAATTGCTTAACTCCTCAGGCCCTAGGACATAGAAAATTGCTTGAGAAAATAGGGATGATGCCAGCTTTCAGTGAGACTGAAAAGAGTTCTAACTCCAGTGGCGAGGGCCGTAAGAATAGAACATTCTCTACCAAGAGCAGTGATAAAAACGGCAGTGAGAAGGACAAGAAAACCAACGGCAAGAAAAACGATAATAAAAAAGACGGAAGGAAAACCCTTGAAGTGGATATCTCTGCCGATAAGATCGCAAGGTATGGGTTTGTTGCTGGATCAGTCTTACTAGGGATGTACATCTTTTCATCATTAACCCTGGAATCTAACCAAGAGATATCCTTCCAAGACTTTACATCTAAATTCCTTGCAAAGAACTTTGTCAAAAAGATCACCGTAATTAATAATAAAATTGCATCAATCGAATTGAATGAGAATGGACATCAACAGTATGGTCAAACTGCTGCATTTTATTTCAATATTGGGTCTATTGAAGCGTTTGAAAGAAGTTTAAGCAGAGTACAAGATGAATTAGAAATCCAAGATCCTTTGAGAATTCCAGTGATATTCGTCAGTGAGGGTAACGTATCTAAGATGCTTATCAACTTTTTACCCACTTTATTATTCTTAGGAGCAATCTATTATATGAGTAAGAAGGCTACTATGGGAATGGGTGGGCCGTTAGGGTTCGGAAAGTCTACAGCAAAGAAATTCAATCAAGAAACTGACGTTAAGATTAGATTCAAGGATGTTGCTGGAATGAGTGAGGCCAAGGAAGAAGTAATGGAATTTGTGAAATTTTTACAAAACCCTCTGAAATACGAGAAGTTGGGTGCCAAGATCCCTAGAGGAGCAATCTTATCGGGACCTCCAGGTACAGGTAAGACTCTCATTGCTAAAGCTACAGCCGGGGAAGCCGGTGTGCCATTTTATTCGGTTTCCGGTTCTGAATTCGTCGAGATGTTTGTAGGTGTGGGTGCATCAAGAGTCCGTGACCTTTTCAAGGTTGCAAGACAAAATGCACCATCAATTGTCTTCGTTGATGAAATTGATGCTATTGGGAAACAAAGATCTAAGGGTAATGCTAGTGGTGCCAATGACGAACGTGAAACTACGTTGAACCAATTGTTGGTTGAAATGGATGGTTTTGATACCAATGATCATGTGGTTGTCCTTGCTGGTACTAATAGAGCTGATATCTTAGATAAAGCATTAATGAGACCAGGTAGATTCGATAGACACATTGCAATCGATAACCCTGAGTTACTAGGCAGAAAGGAGATCTTCCAGGTTCACTTGAAAAAGATCAAGATGGTGGATAATATTGATGATGATTTACCAGGAAGATTGGCAGCCTTGACTCCAGGATTCTCAGGTGCAGATATAGCTAACGTTTGTAACGAAGCAGCATTGATCGGTGCTAGGTTCAATGCTGAAGCCGTAACTTTAAGACACTTTGAGTTAGCCATTGAAAGAGTCATTGGAGGTATCGAAAAGAAATCGAAATTGTTGAATCCTGAAGAACAAAAAATCGTTGCTTACCATGAAGCAGGACACGCTGTATGTGGTTGGTACCTAAAGTATGCATCGCCATTATTAAAGGTTTCAATTATACCAAGAGGAAATGGAGCACTTGGATACGCTCAATATTTACCACCAGATCAATATTTATTATCTGGATTGCAATTGTATGATCGTATGATTATGACCTTGGGCGGAAGAGTAAGCGAAGAGTTGAATTTCAAATCCGTAACCAGTGGAGCTCATGATGACTTCAAGAAAGTCACTAATATTGCGCAACTGATGGTTATGAGATACGGGATGTCTGATAAAGTGGGTATGGTCAATTATGCTGATACCAGAGATTCTGACGATTTAACCAAGCCATTTAGTGAAGAAACCAATAGGATCATTGATGAAGAAGTTCAGAGAATTGTTAGTGATTGTTATGAGAGCTGTAGACAATTGCTCACTGAGAAGGCTGCACAAGTCAAACTAGTTGCAGATGAATTATTGAAGAAGGAATTCATTACTAGAGAAGATATGATTGCGTTATTAGGTAAGAGACCATTCCCAGAGACGAATGATGCATTTGACAAGTATTTAGACAACAAGCCAGCTTTCAAGAACGTTCAACCAAATAACGAAAGGAGAGACTCTGACGTTGAGTAGGCTCACACAACAAAATAAAACTGAAAAACGAAATAATAAAAAAAAAAAAATGAATAATTTCCAAATATATAGAGAATCCCCTTTCTTTAACTCAAAAAAGAAAAAAATAGAAAGAAACTAAAGGGGTCAGTATCTTTTCATGTACATATAGCCAACACCAAAAAGCGGGAAATGCAGAATTGCCAGTATATATCAATAAATAAATAGAATCGACCATCGTTGTGTACCTCTTTCATGCACTTCTCCATGTAAAAACTTAGGCGCGTTCACATATCAAGAAGTCGTCGTGTCCCTCCCAAATCTTTAAATCCACAATGAAAAATCCACTGGACTCAAACAACCCACGGCGAGTTTGTTTTGGTAGCTTCATGGTTTACTAACGTCGTAGTGGATTAGTTAATTGTATAAGCGACATTTTTTTTTATCTTATTTTCCGTTCTGGATACTAAGCACAGCAAATTTGAATAGAAATGCCACGTGGCCGTCCTCCTAAGTATCCAAAAAGGAGCTTGACGCCAGAGCCTCCAATCACGCCAAAGTCTCGAAGAAGCGGTCGCGCCAGTCGAAATGATACCTCTTTGGTGGACTCATCCTTTATCGACGAAGACATAGCTGACGAACCCAAGAAGAAGAGAAAGTCAGAGGACGACGAAGATGACGAATACACCGGTGAAGAGGAAGGTGATGAGGGGGCTGATAAAGAAGGAGATGACGATGTGGAAGGAGAAGTGGATGAGGACGGAGAAGGTGAGGAAGAAGAGGAAGAGGAAGATGAAGAAGGTGATGGAGAGGGCGAAGTTGAAGGAGACGACACTGGAGCCGAAGCAGAGGGCCTGACTCCCGCAATTAATGGAGAGGATAAGAAAAAGAAACCACTTCCTAAGAAGAGAGGCAGAAAGAAGATCAAGTTAACAGAGGTTGATGACGGTTTTGTAGATGACGAAGGAAACCAGCTTAACGTTGTAGATGATGAAATTGTCATGGATAATGAGGATCCAAAGGGTCAAGAAAAGGTTGACAAGAACGGGAACCTTATTGGAGACAGAGTCTACAGAATGAAGACGTTTACCCTTCTAGGACATGGTGAGCAATTGTACATGGTGTCGACGGAACCAGCCAGATTGGTTGGATTTCGTGATTCTTATCTCTTGTTCAAGACCCACAAATGGTTGTTCAAGAAAGTTTGCACGCATGAAGAAAAGATGGACTTGATCAATAGGCATATTATTCCTAACTCGTACAAAGGTAGACTGGTCAACTTGGTGACGGCTAGATCCATATTCAGAGAATTTGGGGCCAGAATAATTAAGGATGGTCGTAAGATCACCGATGATTTCTGGGAGCAGAGGGCTAGGGATAGAGGTGACGTCGAAGGTGAATATGCTGACCCTGCAGAACTTTACATGACCAAGTATATGACTAGTGGTCTTGGGCTTGGAGGTGCAAACCAGGATAATGGTGGTAGTGGTACCCCTCCAGTAGCAAACTCGGCTGCATTAGCCTCCAGTGCCTTAGTTAAATATCAAACCGACCAAACTTGGATGTACCAGATCGTAATGCAAACATTGGGATATAATAGAAGATTACAAGACGACAGATCTCTTGGATTCCGTGGTATCAAGGACACCTACACGGGATTGAACTTCTACCCACAAACAACACAGTCTACGACAGCTATCCACAAAAAAGTGAGTGAAGAACCAAAGGAGAAAATCATATCTGATGTTGTCTACTACAACCAAGATATAAGGAAGAGAGCAACAGGTTTAAAAGATGTTCCTTTAGAGATTTTTGATGATTTAGATGATCCAGAAATTAAGAAAGCAATCTTGGAACAACAAGCCTACGAAAGAGGATATAAGCCTGTTTGATTGGCCATTAACAATAGTGAAATGTCTCCTCATTTTGTATTTAATTATGTACATTAGAAATTTTAATATAAACGTATCCAATGATAATTAACAATGTACTTCGTTGAACTGTTTGTCTCTCTCTTAGTTTTTTTATTCATCAGAGTATTCATCTTGGGAATTTATTGATTCATCTTTAGAGCCCCTTCTCTTTTCCATGTGGGCTCTGAGTTCAAAATCTACCTTTGTCTTTCTCCTCCCAACATGGACTGTTATATCACCTTCTTCAACTACTTCTGCATGTTTCTTTGAATATGCAACCTCAGCTTTAGCTTCTTTGCCAGATATCTTATGATTTACCCTTATATGTTTTGCTAGCGTGTCATGTCTAGTGAATATCCTTGGACCAAGTGGTGGGTTCTGCTTAACACAAACATAGCATTTGAAAAGTTTCTTCTTTTTAGAATGCACAGTCTCTTGATGTCTGATAAGTTCATATTTACGTGAAAATCTCCGCAAACACATTTTGTTTGGCTCATCAGCCGACGGTAATTGACACTCATGCACAACATCAGGATCGTAGTTTGACGATTTTATACCGTCTGCATCAACTCCAGAAACGTCTGGACTTGTATTGTTAATGTTGCTAGTATTACTACCATTATTGTCGTTGTTTCTATTCTTCTTTTTATTTTCCGAATTGCCACTTCCAACTGGTCTCCCTCTACTACCCTTCTTTATTATTTTATGAGCCTCTAATTTGGAATCCACCCTTGCCCTTCTCTTTTGCCTACTATTTCCTGATAGCACTTCCATTATAAATTGATCATGATCGTCTGGTACATCTTCATCTTCTCTATTATCGGATCTAATCTTCTTTTTTCTACCACGTCTGCCTTTCGTGGCAGATTCCCTTTCCTTTTCTTCCTTTGCTAACCTTAACCTTTCAGTAAATTCTCCGTATTCTTTGATAAACTTAAAATAACACTCATTCAAGTCAAATTGGATAACCATTAGGAAATGGTAGATTGCAGGCTTCCATGATAGCAAATTGTATATTTCCCAGTAGTTTAGAGCAAGCATAACCAGTGTAAGAAACCTTACTGTTCTTGTAGAAAGAGTTATACTTTTGTTCCCAGTAGCAATCTTGATGAATAGATCAAAATTTCTTTCCACGATTAAGTGAAGCTTGGAGTTTACATATTCAGATGGATCTTGATATGAAGAAAGCGAATTCATCAACGTATATAACTTTCGCTCTAAAGTTTGTATTTGGGTAAGTGACAATTTATTGTCATTCTCGTATATGATGTTTGCAATTTTATGAAGATGCTCAGAATATTCTTTAGTAGTCTCTGGTATTCCAACATCCAACACTTCGACGATCTCATCTATGGTGAATTTCCCATTCTTAGTAAGTAGCTCAATATAGGAGGTAGCGGGTTTTTTGACCGCAGATCTAGGAGATGACGGTAATGATGACGTGGATACTAGAGGTATAGTCTTTGATCCAGTTGATACTGTAGCTGCCGAAGCTGCTGCTGTTCCAGCTGCTGCGGCTACTGGTAATCCATTGTTTGGTGACTCGGGGTACAAGATGGACTGAATAGAACCAATTTGGGTGTCCTTAACAGGGGGCACATTTATCAGCAACAGGGGTAAGTCATTACCGATTGCTGGTAATCTAACACTATCAGACCGTTCTAGGACTGGTTTGTTCTCAGACGTCACCGAGGACTGCGACGAAGGCAACAATGGTTGCGAAGAATTTATATCTTCATCGTGGCCCTTGGAGAAAGCCCGTTCCTCTTCAATACTTGCGGCTGTACTAGTAGCATTTTCCTTTGCATCAGGGTTCAGTAATAAATCCATCAAAGAAGATTTCTTGGCCTGGTAATATGGAGTCGAAGGCGTTTGGCCCAATAGTCCAGCTATTGAGGACATGATTGCAAAAAATATCAACTGTGGAAATTTTTATTCGTTAGCTCTGATTTTTTATCAATATATCCTGATATTCAACAATTATGTTGTCTATATGTTCTCGAATAGCGCTGCAGTAGCAATAAATGTAGCTTTAAGTGTAGTAATAGCTACCTGAAAGTACTAATGGTGACCTTAAAGAGAAAAAGAATGCAAGAAAAAAATCCGAGCCTAAAAAAAAAATAAAATCGCTAAAATTCCCTTGGGTGTTCTCCGATCGTATTTAGTTGGGGGTAGGGTAGAAGCAAAGGGAAAGTATATGGCTGATTTCTTAGCGTATAGATTTCGATGCAGACTTCAAAATTTTACATGCACTCACTTATCGAATAAGTATGCTCAAAAATTATCCCACTTATACACCTACTAATGTATTTACAATGTCGTCAAGTGTCAATCTCTGGTGGCTATCCATGCAGAACATTGAATAACGGGTATCGGGGCACGACCTTTCTTTCAAAAAGTGGTGCAGACCGTGTGCAGGAGACACTTGCATTTTTGCAACCATTTGCATCTACAAAAAATTTGAATGCATTTGGCTCATGATACTGCATATATAAGGAAATACGATAAATAGGGTGCAATATTGATTACGTAAACTACTAGATCAATATACATATAGTTAAAGGTGAAACGTCTTTTAATAATACATGCCTGCTATCAACTCAACGAGGAGGTGGAGGGTATTGTGGGCGCATATGATGCTGTAAATGGTATTGGATTGGAGATTGTTGTTGCTGTTGTTGTTGCTGTTGTTGCTGTTGCTGCTGTTGTTGTTGCTGCTGTTGTTGCTGTTGTTGCTGTTGCTGCTGTTGTTGTTGTTGCTGTTGTTGCTGTTGTTGTTGTTGTTGTTGCTGTTGCTGTTGGTCCTGCTGCAGCTGATGCGAGGGCTTCTGCTGGTGAAGTTGCATTTGAATTCGTTGCAGGTTTTGTAAGATTTGCATGTGGTGTGGTCCTGGTTGGAGCTGGAGAGGCTGCATATGCATTGGTTGTTGCATTTGGTGGAAATTTGAAGGTGATCCGTGATGTTGAGATATGATCTGTTGCAGTTCTCTTTCTCTTTCTCTCTCCTGCTCTCTATCCCAGTCTTGATTCAAATACGCATTTATTCCAGGAAGTCTTGTCTTGCCCTTGTCTTCGTTTTGACTATTCAAATACGAGATTGACATAGAACTCTTGATATTTGGTGGGCTCCCACCAAACCTAGTAGGAATCACACCCTGAAGTATGTTTCCAGGTGTGCTAGATAATCTGAACTTTTGAAAATTTTCTTTCAAAGCGGAACTCTCTGGTTTATTGAAATTAACTCTATCAACATTGACAATCGGTTCCGTTACTTCATGATCCGAATTCTTAGAATATCTACGATTTCCACTAGGGATAGGCAAGTGGTGCGGAATGGGAGACGTGCTGGCAGCCTGAGATATTCCTGGGATGGAAGCTGACGGTGGTGGTAAGACAACAGCGCCTGATGCTGTACTTGGAACTGTCGCAGAAGGTTCTTGTCCTTCCGTTTTAGAATTAAATTGCAAGAAGCCAGCTGCATACTCTGGTTTCAATGTGAAATTTGAATTGAGGTAATGTGGGTGTTGCTCCTGTATGGATACTGACCCCCTGTCTGTTTGCAGATGTACGCTGCTACTAGGCACTGTCGTTGTACTAATAATTCGAGCAGGTTCGGTAGAAGCAGTTCCTGGAGGTGGAATTGTAGATGTTGCTGTGATAGATGGCACTCTGTTCACTGGAACTGAACCCAGATTTGGAATTGGAGTTAGACTGTTTGAATTAATCCTTGGAGATGAACTAGGAATAAGGTATTGATTATTATGCTCCTCACCCTTGTCCGCATCTTCATCTCTTTCTATTCTACCTCCTTCTCTTTGCATCCTTTGTTCATTTTGCTCCTGTTCTCTCAGCTCCTGTAATGCATGCGCTTGTGCTTGCGCTAATTTGCCTGGATCATCGATTATTTCAACATTTTCCTTTGCATAATTGACTGCCATCTTATTCTCTTTACCTGTTATTCCATGCTTTCTTCTGATATGTCTTGCCAACGAATCATGACGAGGGTAACTCAGTACCTTCGTGCCATTCCTAGTACAGTAAATGCACTTGTAAATCTTTTTCTTGGTCGCATGGACAAATTCCTGATGTCTGAGCAATTCATTCTTTCCATAAAAGATCTTAAGACATGGCTGCAAGGAATTAGGGTCCATCAAATGACATTGGTGTATCACACCAGATTTATTTCTCTGTGCTGTCCGTTTGTCTGGGTCGTCATCCACTTCTCCTAATTCCAAATTGGACATATCCATTCTACCCTTACTGTGGCTACGATTTGCCTTGGCTACTCCGCTCCCTTCCTCATCACTGTCACTATAGTCTGTAGAATTGTTTTCATCTTGAAATTGGCTAACAGAACGATTTTTTCTAGTGGTGTCGAATATTGTCCCTGCACTAGACGGAACAGAGGATTGTTTCTGTTCTTTAGCTTCCTTCGCTTCGATAGCTCTCTTCTTCCTCACAGGAGGTTGGTCAGTGTTCTTCAAAGTAATGTCAATGTATGGCTTAATGTGGACTTTGGACAATTTCCTCTTCTTCACTTCATCGTCCTGCATTGAATGGTACAGGTAGTTATAGAAGGGATATGGAAAGGGATAATCGAAACCTTGACTCATACTCTCCTTTAAATAGTTCGCAGGCGGTTGGACTAAAGGGCCAAATGGCGTTTGAATAACTTTGATATCCACAAGCTTCAAGAAATACTCCAAGTCCGGTAACAAGTACAACAAATGATATATTTCCCAGTATTGCAATGAATATATGACTTCCACGAGGTATTTTGTGATGTGAGATGCTAATGATAAATTAAAATATGTAGATGAAAACTTCAACAACTGAGAATAGTTGTCAATGAGTATTTTTGAGATTTGCTCGTTGGGGTATATAGCTGGTGGAGCTGCGTGCAGAGATGGATCGATTGTGGAGAGTTCAAATGGCTCTGGTATGTATGAAGTCAATTCAAATAGACTGGCCTCCGCCGATATTCTATGGTTCTCGTCCAAATCAGGTTCGTCGCTCAATAGGTAAAGGAGTTCCAAAAGCTGGAACGAATAATAGTTGATACTTGTATGCTTCGGTTGTTGTTGTTGCTGCTGTTGTTGTTGTTGTTGCTTTTTAGGTTCAGTAACAACGACGGCTCCGTGTGGTGTCAACTTCAGAAGGTCCTTCATGATGGGGTCGTCTTGAGCTGACTGTATCAACTTAGGAGCAGCAGGCGGTTTTGGAGGAATCTCGCTATTGGTCAATTGGGGCATAGAGCGGGGAATATCCACATATAGCCTCTTGATTATTGCTGTTACCATGTTAGTATAATGAAGGAGCAGAGGTTCTTGGGAGAAGAGAGAATAGAATTAGAGAGGGTTTTGGAAATGGTGGGGAACCATAAAAGCAGGCGGTATAGGTCGGAACCTTTGGGAGCCAATAGGATACACTCCGCAAAGAAATAGTACCTCAATTTCACTAGTGTGCTGGTTTTCAACCATCGCCCAAGGTAATAGGTCGGCTATACCCAAGGTTATTCACTCATAAACCCCTTATTTGCATCTTTGAGGCTTCGGTCATTTTTATGATGGAGCCTTTCTTCCCTACCAAGTGCTCAACGGATACATACCCAGAGGCAATAGGGATTCACCCTTATTTTGTTTGTTCTATGGTCAATTGTTAGTACGGTGGGAACTACCTCGATGTAGTTTGGTGACATTTATGTTATAAATTTCGGCATCTTTACGTAATACTGTCATCTTGGCAAAGAGTGGAACATGAAATTCAAACGTCAAATGACCAAACGATTATAAATCCGATACTTACCTCGCTTAAACTTCGTATATTCGACATGGTATGCTAGACCGTGCTACAACTGGTTTTAATCGATACAGGTTTGTCTAGAGAACCGCTGTTTCGTCGCTGGATGAACTATGTTAACTGTTCCTCGAACCAAGGCTGTATTTAGCCACCATCATTCGGAACACTCAAAAAATGCAACACGAATGTGCAACAAATCGAGAAAGTGCGTGTGTGGCTAATCGTAGACTGCCGCATTTGGTACTAACTGCGCATATCTTGCAAGGGGTCTATACGCAGGACCCGTCAAACGCCGGTGCTCGAGAGCAAAAAAAAGATAACGGCGATAAAAAAAAAAAGTCGAGCGGTGAAAAAAAAAAATTCACCAATTCGCAGCCATTGAGTAAAGAAGACCCGTACTATGGTACGGTGCAGCTCACCTCTGCACTACATACTATAATAACGAAAGAAGATGATGATTTGGAGGGTGAGTGTTAGTCATTCATGAAAAATAAAAAATTATACTTACCCTACTTTCTGATTTATTTGATGAAAGAATTTTATATTATGGTCGAACGGCCCAGCGTTCACCATCGTTATCTATACTATATGCAAATTATATAAGCGAAGGATGTATACGAGGGTTTATCTATCTTCCAGCAAAACTCCTGCTTTGAGAAGTAGGTTGTCGGCTTGCGATTTCTCTGGTTTCTGCACAAACGCTGATCCTCCAGCAGTAAGCCTTCTTTCCTGATCTTCCACTGTCCGTTTGAAACAATCAAGCAGCCCGCTTCAAGCGGTATATATAATAATTTTCAATTGTAGATATGTTGACACAGTTCAAAAAGTTTGATGGGTTGTTGGCTTGCCAATTTCTCTGGTCTCTATACAAACACTGATCCTCCTGTAGAAGGCTTTCTTTGGTTGATCTTAAATTCTCCGTTTGATATTATGCCCTTCCCATCGTGAATAGTTTCTTCTCCGTCAAAACTTTCGTCAAACAGCCCGCTTCTATCCTTTTCAAATTGTAGATATGAATTAGCACTTTTAACATTCGATGGAGACAACAGCTTAACTGGCCCACCTTCTCCAAGATACGTGAGTACATGCTTAAATACCAATTCTTTGACATCGAAGCCCCAAAGGTTATCCAAATGCTCATGCTGAGCGACGGAGCGAGTAGTTGTTGTCCCGAGCGGCAACTGGTTCTTCATGACATCGATGTCAACTAAGGAGTCCAGGTCCCCATAAATAATATGGATTGGTACTTTTATATTTTTCAATGGGTAATAGATGGGGTTCAATCCAGAAATGGTACTGTTGGAATCTTTGAACATTTGGAACTTTTTAGATGAAATAACTTGGAACCAATGAACCACACATTTCACCGAAGTGGTTGAATATAAATGAGAATACGATGCCAACTTCTGCATCTTGGTGATATTTTTCAGTCTCCAGTTAAACAACATATAATTGGAAAGGTCTATCATTGTATCGAAAAATGGGGGATACATCAACTGTTGCCAAAGAAGTACGGATGGCATCAAAACTTTCCTCAGAAACAAAAGATATACTAGAGAAGGCGATGCCTTCAACAAGATATCCAAGAATTTAGAATAGAGTCCGTGAGGTGTCGTAGCTGGAGAGATTGCAATCATTTGGTCGATTTTATCCTTCAAATCAGAGTTAACTGAAATAGATGCAAACGCCTGTGCAGACCCTTGGGAAAATCCAATATATGTTAATTTTTTAACCTTGGTTTCATTCAAGATGTAATCAATAGTGTTTGGTATATCGAAAAGAGCAAATTCGTCTAACGAAAAATCCCAAAACTTTTCGGAATTCGTCTTTAAGAATAAGTGCTTCTGCGAGTATTTGTTTCCTCTATTGTTCCCCAACCATACATCGTACCCCAAGTCGTACAATAAAAAGGGTAGGTTGAGGTGCCTCTCAAGCATAGTAACCCAAATTTCACTGCTCATGAGCAAACCATGATGCAAATAGACGACTTTACCGTTTCTGGCAATATGGCTCCCAGGCCTCACAATTCTATGAGCGGTGAGTAGGTAGTTATCCTTCGTCCTTATAATGTGAGATTCTACGTCGTAACCGAAGAAGGAACACGTCGTTTGGAAGTCTGGGCTGTTCAAGATATCGATCATCAAGTGGTACTTGTCAACCTCAAAGTCAATGATACGCTCGTCATCCTTTTCGTCTGCTTTTTTACTAAGATGGTTCATGTAGCGATAGGACTCGACACTGTGTTCAGCAGTAGCCTCGCTGCCAACAATCTTAATTGGGTCAGAACCAAAGCTGTACACTGTTTTCACACCTAACGTGAACATGTCAATTATTGGAGCAGGGAGCAATAACGAAATGATGGAGACCAAATATTCAAACCATGCCAAAGTGATAGATACAATAATAATGGGCCACTCAGTTATGGCCAATCTACCAAGAAATGGAATAGCCATTTTGATTATGTACTAATAGACAAGATATCAAAGAAAGCTGAAGGAGCAAAGTAAGCAAAGCAGGCAGTGGTATAAAGAAAAATAGTTCACCGATACATAGCCAGCTTGTAAAACATGTGGTACCTCTACGTTAAAGAAGAGCAATGCAAAATAACGTGCAGGAATTTGATTTGCAGGAATCCGGAGAAAGATGTAATACGCAGGTTAGTTAGGTTATATGGCTATTGGTATGATAGGGAGGAGCAAACCAATGAACGAACAAAAATCGTATACTCCGGTCCAAGGTACCAAATGCTAAGAGCTCTTATGTGCAAGATAATTAAGCCCCACCCCCCACTCTCACAAATAGTGAGCAAATATTTTAGATTGTAAATGACGCATATTTCATATACGTAAAGTGTACCAAGACGAGCCCCATTTTGAGCAAATATTTTATCAATTTGAGCCTTTTTGCTGAAATATAAATATGTCAAGATCCCCCGTCAGATTCTAAAGAATTTTACCGCTAATGCTTTTACTGACATTAGTCTTTACCTTGTGCTTAGTGTTGTCAGCTTAGGTCATTCAAGGATCCAGTTTTGCAAAAGACGAATGTATTGAAATTTGTCTTTGTCCTGTTCTTTTTTTTTTTTTTTTTTTGTATTCCTTTCACCAATTAGTTAATACCTCTGCTAACATAATACAGTTAGCCGTTATAATTGGACGGTATTTAAAACGAAATACGGACTATTCGGAGCTATACTCGTGTATGGAAATAATATGTGGACTTAATTGTTACTAATTCCCCTGACCGAGAACAATGGACTACAATAGTCTAATAACGTTTGTGTGGAAAATTGATAATACCGATTTCGCATTGAGGGTAATAATTGAGTTTGATTGGGTCCTTGTAGTTGAAACATTGTTCCATTGCTAAAAGTGACATGAAAATTGCAAAAGTGGAAAATTGATATAATCCTATAAATCTACATGAAATTGGCCATTCTTTCAATAATTTAGATCCCATTACTTCCTTTATCCTTAATTCACAATGTTGTTTCTCTCAGAAGTCTCTGTATTTTTAGCCTCTTTGTCGCTTGTAGTTGCAGGTACCGCACCATACGCAACTGATTCTCCTGCAGGAGCCAAATATGTTGCTACCTTTAGCAAAACTGTAACTGGTTCAGTAGAATTTGCAACTGTCAGTAATTCTTCTGTAGGTGTTACAGTCGATATTGAGGGATTGCCATCAAGCGGGGGGCCATTCCTTTACCATGTCCACCAATATCCTGTCCCTTCAAATGGATCCTGTCTTGCTACAGGTGGCCACTTAGATCCTTACCATGGTGTCGCTACCTCTTCTGATCCAGCAGCATTGGAAGTCGGTGATTTGTCTGGTAAGCACGGATCGATCAATGGAACATCAATTGATACGTTCTACGTAGACAACTATCTTTCATTGAATAAAGATGACCCTGCTTACGTTGGCAATTTGTCTGTGGTTATTCACTACGCCAATACAACCAGACTTGCATGTGCAAACATTGAATTGGTTGAAGATTCTTCTTCTTCTTCAAGTAGTGGTAATAGCACTAGCAACAGCACTGGAAGTACTACTGAGAATGGGTCAACTAGTGGCTCGACCGTAAGCACAGGTGGAGCTTCAGGTAACCCATTACCATACATGTCTGCTTTCGTGGTTGGATTACTTGCTCTTTTGTAGGTTAGTTAGCTAGCCTATATAGTAATAAACAAAAGTCTTCTAGAAGCTTAGCATTGTAGCGCCTGGGTGATGCGAAATTATTTTTTAGTTTCAGTTCAGCCGTACAGTAATATTTTTAGGACCAATGGAGACGATTGTAATCGCTCGAGACACAGATGGTCATCAGAGAAGCCGTACAAGTTGTTGATGAGACTACCTTATCTGTGAGATTGAATAATTTAACTCATGTTCCTCATATTTTGGGTTACCTTAATCACCTCTCAATACTGTTGTGCCCTACTGTATTTCCTTGCTTTTTTTTCATAATTTCGACTAATTTTTGTTTCTTTGAGTGCTCGTAAATGCCCCCCACACCGCACGCACCAAGTTCTCGGCTTGTCTATCATCACGCAATATAGTGCTATTCTACTGCATCATTCAACTTCATTCCTAAAGGACTTATAATACTACTAATGACACAAGGAATTTGAGATAGCAAAATATTTTTGGACCCCCAATTTTACTATTCTCCTGAATACTTTTATTATCCTGCTGTTTTGCAATCGAATGTTGTCTGGGGCTACATCCGCTTCCCCAGAATTCGCAATATTTTTTTCATTCAGTTGGGATGACAGCCGTGAACAATGTAATTTCTTTTGTTTTCCTCCATCATTCCTATTTTTCTTGTTCTAATTGAGCCTCAAATCGTCTCAATTAGAAGGTGAAAGTTTTTTATTGACTCGGTAATTAATAGGTTACCGAAATAGTGATTGAAATTTATTGATCCTAAAAATTTTTGCACGAATTAAATTTTCAATTTTAAAAAGAAACAAGAAAAAAGTATAAGTGGTGGAGGTCGATTTCTCTATATATATACAAATACTACCTTGAATTCCGTTGTGTACAACTTACCATTTTGATTCAACAAGCTAGCCTTATACTTTGTTAAAAACTAATTAAACTTCTACTCGAAATATCTTAACAATGGGGAAGCTTACAGACTTTCTCCACGAGAATTTCGTACCGATTATTCCACCTAAGCAGACCAAGATGGTTATAGACAAAAGAACAAACTTGGTGGTTGCTGCTTCAAATGAAAAGAAATTGAGCCAGAACTATGGTGATACTGCTAAGGCAAAGGATGCTAGTCCTTCAGGGTTAGATAATGATGCAGACGAAAAGGAATCCATCTACTCCACATCTACAGAGGATAATTATAATGTCTTGCATAGATCTTTGAGAGGGCGTCATGTTCAATTATTGGGTATTGGTGCTACAATCGGATCCGCTCTTTTTGTTGCCATAGGTAAGGCATTGGCAAAAGGTGGTCCCCTTTCACTTTTGCTAGCCTTCACGATTTGGTCAATACCCATTTTGTGCATAACCATCTCTACTGCAGAATATGTGACTTATTTACCGATCACCTCACCATTCGTAAGAATGGCAGGGAGATGTTGTGATAGTGCCTTAGAAGTCATGACGGCGTGGAATTTTTGGTTTCTTTGCTGTGCTCAGATCCCCTTCGAAGTTACCACTGTAAATTCCATTATCCATTTCTGGAGAGACGATTTCCTGCCCGCAATTCCATTGTGTATTCAGACAGTATTATATTTTGTGATAAATGTTTTCGGTGTAGCCATATATGGGGAAACAGAATTTTGGCTCTCTATTGGTAAGGTCATTTTGGCAAGTGGTTTAATTATTTTCACTTTTATTACTATGGTTGGTGGTAATCCAGAACATGATGTTTATGGATTTAGATATTGGAAAGATCCTGGTGTAATGAATACGTACTGGTCCACAGGAGACTTGGGCAGATTCCAAGGGTTTTTAGCATGTCTTATTCAAGCTTGTTTTACTTTTGCCGGACCAGAGTATATATCAAGTGTTGCGTCAGAGACTGTTAACCCCAGGAAAACTTTACCGCTGGCATTCAAACAAGTTTTCATTAGATTGTCAATATTTTTCCTCGGTGGAGCATTCTGCGTAGGAACTTTGGTAGCTTATAATGATCCTAAATTGGTAGAAACTTTAGGTGCTTCCGTCCCCGGTGCTGGTGGCTCTCCCTATGTCATTGCCATGCAAAATTTGAAAATCAAAGTGTTGCCCCATATTGTTAATGGGTTATTGGTTACATCTGCCTTTTCTGCAGGTAACTCTTACACGTATTGCTCATCTAGAACTCTTTACGGTGTGGCCCTAGATGGATATGCTCCAAGATTTCTCACTGCAACTACAAAGACTGGTATCCCTATTTATTGCATGTTGATTTCATTATGTTGGGCTCTATTATCATTCTTGCAACTAGGTGAAGGTGCATCCACAGTCTTAACATGGATTATTAATTTAATTACTCTGTGTCAGTTGATCAATTTTACTATCCTATGTGTTGTCTATGTCTTCTTTTATAGGGCACTTGAGGCTCAAAATATTAGTAGAGACACTTTGCCGTTTAAGGGTTGGTACCAACCATGGTTAGCTATTTTCGGAGGGGTTTGCTCATTCTGTATGATCTTCATAAGTAGTTATGAAGTTTTCTTACCAGGAAATTGGGATATCCAAACATTCTTGTTTCAATATTTGTTTATCTTCATTGATATAGCCATATTTGTTGGATACAAAGTCTTTAGACGTACAAAGTGGAAAGATCCAAAAGATGTTGATTTGGTTACAGGATTGAGGGAAGTTGAGCTTCACGAACAGAACTTCTACGAAGAAATGCAAAGAGAGAACAGATTAGACGACGAGGGAAAGATTATCATGAACTGGAGGCAGAAGATAGGGGCCACCCTCTTTGGATCTGAATTATAAATCTTTTACGAGAGTAAAATATAATGAACTAAAAGCAAAGATTCTAGTATGTAATTATTGGACAATAGTAGTAAGGTAAGTAGCACTTTTGTTTTGTTTTTATCGAACCCCTAATATGGATACAACTTTATTCTATATTTGTATCTTCTTTCGTTCTAATTTTTTTCTGTTTTCATAGATATCATAATGTCAATAGAGTACACTTGCTAAGGGTTTTGGGGGTGCGCTTTATCAACCTTTGTAAGCTTGCCCAACAAAAAGATACCTTCCATGCAACAGAAATGTTTAAAGTGAAATTTAAGGTAAATTCATAACAAATAAACTTTAAATGAAAAAAGAATCTCAGTATCGAGAATCTGTATTCCGTTCATAACCGATTCATATTCATGTTTGCATGCAAGCACTTTTCACTAGGGTTGCATTTTTTTAAAAATATCTTGAATTTTGCCTAGCATTTGAAGTGCTGGTTGTGAGTACTGGTCATTTTACCCAATACGTAAATGTGAGATTTTTCAGTAGAACGAGACGTGGGATTCGAATACTAAAATGTACTCCTTTGGGATCAAACATTAATAGAATGTTCAACGTGACTTTGCTTTCGAGAAAATGATGTTACACATTCCGTAGTAGGAAATGTACAGCAATCAAAGGATATCATATGACATATAATTTTGGTGTGGGTCTTGGATTACATCTATAGAAAGCTTCACGTGCACCATGACGCAATGATTACTCGACATGAACTTTTAGAAATATTCCTCGGTAACTCCGCTCCTTTCTTGCTTCGCGAGGGAGCTTAAGCCACGAGCTTGCTCTTGTCGGACCCGTATTGCATAGTATCTTCTATGCGTCGGTGCTCATACATATAACCGTATTGTACAGTATGAGAATCTTGTTGAAAAAAATTGTACAGGTGTAGAGGGCGCTACCAGCTTTCCGTTAGCAAGATAGGAGAGAGATATTTAGAACCTATGATATTCCTTTGATGTGTCTTTTCTTAAATTTAAACACTTCAATAGTTATGAACCAGCAACCCCGGTCCAAATAATGCGGCCTTTCCATATGTCTTGCCCCATGTTTTCCAATTCATAAATATGAGATCCCAAGCAAAAAACATTTTCAAATTAGTCCGGAGCGTGCAGATTGTTGCGTGACGTTTTATTTTCTTCTTGGCATAATCGAAGTTTATTTTTAGAAGGTTAATGAAAAAAGCCTTTAAATAGATGAATTTTAATTTTGTCCCTGCTGCAGTAACCTAATCGGGTCATTGGAAGAATGCAAGCTTAACCGAAAAGGAACTCTCCAATGACTATATAAACGGAGAGGGCCCATTGAAAGTTAACTAAAAATTCAGATATATTTATACTATATCAAACAAATACCCTTGATTAACACGAAATAATGCAATTCTTAACTACTTCCGCTATTTTAGCCCTCGCTGTTGCTGTCGCTGCTGACCAAACTTTCACTCTTACTGCTTCCGGTGATGGTGTAAGTGGACCAGTTACCTTCAATGGACAATACCTTGGTCTTAACAACGGTGCTGCAGCTGCCACTTTGACCCTTCAAGAACCTTCTGGTTATTTGACTGACGGTGGATCTTCTTACTTCCACCTTGCTTCTCCAGCTCCTTACTACATTGCACCAGGTACCGAAGGTGAAGCTTCCAAGGATTGGGGTTTCAATGGTAGTGCCTTCAGATTTGGTCCATCTATTGACAGTGAAGACTTCTACGCATGTCAGGCTGACTCTGGTTACTACATTTCCGCTATCAGATGTGATGGTGGTATTCAAGTTAGCTTAACCAATGGTGGTGCTGCTCCAGCTGAATCATCATCATCATCTGCTCCAGTTTCTTCAAGTGCTCCAGCACCAGCTTCATCTGCAGCTTCCACCAGCGTTCCAGCTTCTGACACTTCCGCTATTAGTAGTGCTCCAGTTTCCCACACCAGTTCTGCAACTGCCGTCACTACTTCTGCAGCTTCTTCAAATGGTACTGAAACCGTTACCAACCATTCTTTCACCACTTCCACAGTTTGTGATTCATGTACCCAAACACATGCTACCGTTACTTCAATTGCCGGCGGTAACAAATTAACCGTTGGTGTTGCCGGTATTGCTGCTGTTGCTGCCCTTATGATCTAGTCCGATCATAGTATCGTTTAATTAGTACATCGAAGTTATATTCTTCTCATTTGTTTCATTTTTTGGTCAAACTTACACCACATTTGTATAATATTCTAAATAAAAGTAAAAATTATTTGTTGAAAATCGTCCAACGTAGTTTGATGTGTACTTGTGTGCAACTAAAAAAATACTCTGTATTTATATATGCACATGTATATACAAATTGAGATTTGCTAACGGGTGCAATATCGTTCTTTCTTCGGTTCCATAATGCGACTTTCAGATTCTATTCTTCTTGTAGTCAGTGGCTTAAAGCTGTTCGTAGATTATGTTCCAAAGCCGATCCTGGTTTCATGCAACTCGCGGACAGTGTTTGGTGCGGCATCTTGCGGTGATTCGGGTATCACACACTGGTACATGCAGTTTATTCAGGCATATAAACGAGTACTACACTGATAGTTAGTGCTTTGGATCAGCATACAACACATATCTACAGTACAGGCGATGTTCAAATGAACAGTATCTATTTTGTTTGGCAGGGCCAGTGCTTTTCAACACTTCTGAGAGAAAAACACTTAATAGTTCGGCCATTTTCGAATCCCCTGGGCCAGTCCCCATGGTGTCCGACCCAGTCGCACTTTCGCGGCAAATGCCTATCCATTGAGAGTACGCTATTCAAGGGCCACAAGATCAGTTGAGCCGGGCAACTACTGCCGTCAAGCTAAATTGGTCCATGAAATATCTGAACTAATGCAAAGACTGAATAGAGAACAATGCAACCGCCATGAGATCTAATCGTCCTTGCAACTGGTTCTCAACACTGTATGAGATAAGTCCTCAGCGGAGTCTACGGAGCGGAGCATACGAAGTCTCGGAGCCCCTAAATTACCGCTGGCTGCGAAATCCGCACTGTCTATTTCTGAAACAAGTCCTAAACGAAGCAGAACATAAACACCAACACAGTCCGCCAATCTTAGCATTCCCCTTCTGTAATCAGCCCCTGGCCGTCTCAGAGCCACCTGGAGTTGGTTATCCTCGCTATTCACCTCTCTTCTCTTTCCTACTGCTCTTTTCTCCAACTACTTCTCCTCTTTTCGCTTGCCAGGCTGTGTCCTACAGTGTCGCAATTTATGTGATCAACTGCTTTCAATTTTATTTTTTCCCTTCCCTCCCACCTTCCTCACCCAAGGAACAAAAAATTTTTCGCCAAGTGTAGCGCTAAGAAAAATAAAAATTACAAAGTCAAAGTCACAGTCAAGGCATTGTTGACATAACATAGAAAGGGAAGAGAAGACGTAAGTCGCTGTATAGTAGAGTAATCTAAAGCGCCAAACACTCACTTACCACGGCACCAGAGACCATAGCTAGTTGCACGTCTCCAATGCCGTTTTTATCATTCATCTACGACTCCTTGGGTGATGGGAGCTCGTTCGCTGGTCTATTTAGCCGGGATGTGGTGAATCAGGCTTCCCAATTTACCTACCATCAGCAATTTGTGCAGCGAGTTCTTGCAATTGCATCGTCAACTTCGTCAATAGTGTTCTGCCTTATCGCAATATATTTATTTTTGTCTATAGATCCCCGGAGACTAGTTTTCAGGCACCACCTCATATGCTTTTTGATCTTTTATGATTTTGTGAAGGCCATTATCTTGTTAATCTACCCAACCAGAGTCTTGAGTTACAACACAGCCTACTACAGCAACAATTTTTGTCAAGTTGTAGGGTTTTTCACGGCGACCGCCATCGAAGGTGCAGACTTTGCCATCTTAGCCTTTGCTGTGCACACATTCCTTCTACTTTTCCATACCCAATTCTCCGTCAAATTGGAGAACGGGAGAACAGAGGGGGGGCTTTACATATACAGACTGTACGTTTATGTACTCTCCGTGTTAATCCCTTTGGTGCTTGCTAGTTTAGCGTACGTCAACGGGACCGGCTATAATCTGTATGTCTGTTGGTGTTCTTTGCCTCAGAAACCGGTGTGGTACAGACTTGTATTGAGTTGGCTCCCACGGTATTTGATCATTATCACGATTTTTACAGTGTACTGTATGATATATTTCCATGTTATCAAAGAATTCAAGTCTTTGAGTGGTGCCTTCTCCACAATGCATGCGACAAAGTCAAATAAAGAACGTGGAGATGACAGGCCAACATTCTTCCTGGCCTTAATGTATTCCATTCGGGCATTTAGGAACAATTATTTCCCGAAAATCGTGCTTCCAAACCAATACAATAAGAAAAATGGTGACAAATCTGGACTGAGACGTTCATCATCAACGCCCGACGAAGGGAGAACAGAAACATCTTCAGATGAAGAATTAAATATGAGTGAACTTCATGGTAAAAACTTAGAAAACTTCAGGAAGAGACAAAAAATTATTGAGAAACAAATGAAGTCAATCTTCATTTACCCCATCGCCTACATATTCCTCTGGTTGTTCCCCTTTATATTGTATGTGACGCAGATTAATTATGAAGAGGCAAACCATCCTATATATTGGCTTAATTGTATGGGTGCCTTTTTCCAGCCATTTAACGGATTTGTCGACTCTTTAGTGTTTTTCTACAGAGAGATCCCATGGGAGTACACCATTATGAAAAATTTTGAAAAGGAACATGGGGCTAAAATCGCAGCTGCAACGCACATGGCTACCGTACTTGACCTGGAATCCATGGCCACAAGTGCAAGATTGACTAAGCAATCCATCAGTATGAGTATGGCTGTAAATATTAACGAATACTCGCTATGGAGGCAGTATTTCCATATGTTGAAATTACCACTTTTCGAATTACCTACCGAAGAGAATATCAGCAAATTCCAAGCTAAGTTCTTGGACCAACTCCACAGAGGTTCTTCCTCAAGCAAGGATAATTCTGAATTTAACGGCGTTGCTGACGGTGCATTTGAACCTTCACCAAGAAGCTTGAATGTTGCTGGTTACGGGGCAGGATCCTCGGGGCTAGCAGCTGAAAGCCATGATTTTTCCAATATTCTTTCAGGGGACACAACCGAAAGAGAGTTCCGGTCTGCTTTAGAAGATTTTTCGTTGGATTTTTCACAGAAGAGAAATTCTTTTGCTTCAAACCAATCAAAGAGAATAAGTATTCTGAACAAATCTTCGAGATCGAGACAATTATCGATTGTTGATCCAAATATGACCAGGTTAGGCGAAATCTTGGGACCCCAAAACAATAATAATAATAATCATAATCATAATAATACTAACAATAATGCTAATAGCGATATAGATACTTCACTCCCCTATAATAATATCATCAAAGGTTTCCGTGGGGGGTCGGGTGGAGGTCTGGTGTCTGGTACACCTAAAAGATCTCAGTCTACCTCAAGAGCAGGAGATCTTTCATCTTCAGTTGCAGAAGAAAATGAAATGGATTTCTTAGAGTTCTTGAAAAAGGGTCCTAGTTAGTCTTAAACATTTAAATTTTAGTATAAAAGTTATATACATATAGAAGTAAGCAACCTGTAGTGCAACCGCTCCCCTACTAAACTCCGTAATAATGCGATGTCTGTCGAAAACCGACGCACATAAGTTTAATGGTAGCGCCGTGTCTCTACCTCACTCTGCAAAAGCACTTATTACATTCATCGAATATGAAGCATTGCCCTTGTCTGTCAACAAACATTTTTCTATATTACTAGCAAGGTATCGGTACAGCTAGTTCTTCAATTTCCAATTTGCCAAATGGAGATTGTTGTTTAACTTCAGCCAAGTCCCTCCACATTATTTTCATTGCGATGATGCGAGTCGGAGTTCGGGCATATTTTCCCACAGTGATGACATCACTAAACGAAATACTCAAGTTATAAAGATTCTATTGCTCCTTGAGTATTTCGTTTTATCTAGTCATTAATTGCAATGAGTGAGAAGAAATTCAAAGAGAGTGATGCTGGTGATGGTTCAAAGGCAACGGACCAGTATTTAACGGGAATGAAGTTGGCGTTAACTTTGGGTTCATGTGTGGCTTCGCTCTTTGTTGCTGCGTTAGACCAAACTATCGTCACAACCATTTTAACAGAGGTTGGAACTAAATTCAACGACTTTGAGAAGATTGGTTGGTTGACATCAGCGTTTTTACTTCCCATGGCATGTCTTGTGCCTTCATATGGTAAAATTTCTATTGCGTTTGGGAGAAAGTGGACATTGATTGCTGGTATTATAGTGTTTGAGATTGGATCTTTAATATCTGGGTTGGCTAATAGCATGGATATGCTAATTGGTGGAAGAGTCATTCAAGGTATTGGCGGTGGTGCAATTCAGTCCATGGTTATGATTATTCTTAGTGAATCCGTTCCTATATCTAAGCGGCCATTATCGATGACACTTATTGGTGTAACCTTTAGTGTAGCTTCAGTCCTAGGGCCATTTATAGGTGGAGCCTTCGCTACGCATGTGAGTTGGAGATGGTGCTTCTATATTAATTTACCTATTGGTGGAGTAGCAATTGTTTTCTTACTTTTCGGGTTCAATCCTCCAACACCAGTGGGAAACTTACGTTCAAAGTTGGCCAAGATTGACTACCTTGGTACTTTCCTTGTGGTGGCAGGAACCACCCTAGTATTATTGGCAATGACATTCGGAGGTTCAGACTTTGCTTGGAGATCTGCCGCTGTGATATGTTGCTTCGTTTTGGGGGGCTTATTGTTAGTATCGTTCATTATTTGGAATTTTAGGTTCTCACCAAACCCCATCATCTTGAAAGAGCTTGTCACTATACCACAAATCTTTACAGTCTTTATCACATCAAGTTTCAATTTTGCATTCTTTATGGCTCTAATTACATATTTGGCTATATACTTTCAAGTGGTTTTCAATGCGTCAGCATGGCAATCGGGGATTGATATGCTACCAATGGTTATCAGTGTAACAATATCATCAATACTAAATGGGATTTTTATGAGATTCACTAGATACGTTAAGATCACCTTTACTCTATCCAACGTATTGGGACCCATCGGTTGTGGAATTCTCTTGTTGCTCACAACATCATCACCTACAAGGGATAGAATTGGGTTGTTGATTCCTGTTGGGGTTTCTATTGGGTTGCAATTCCAAAGTGCCATGATGTCTGCTCAATTGAAAGCGCCATCTGAGGTGCAAGGTTCTCTTATTTTGTCCACAATTTTTATCAACTTTGGAAAATCAATGGGCGGTGCTATTGGATTAACGCTTGCACAATTGATATTTAACAGCACTGGAGCAAACTACCTTGAGAAGGCAATTGAGTCTGTGGATACGACGTCAGAGTCATCTCCATATTACGCCTTGGGCCAAACGCCTGCAAAATCGGTGATTTCAAATCCGGATATAATCAATCTGTTGCCAGATGCAGCAAAAGAATTGGTAATAGACCAATTCATGAAGGCAATTAAGAACGTCTTCTATTTTGCAATTGCATTATCTGCGGTTGCGTTGATTTCAGGGATCTTTTCTACGAACAAGAAACTTCCCAAATCCGAAGATATTGCCAAAAAGGGTGATGAAGATATAGAAAAGAAACATGAAATAGAAAATGACAATGACAATAACCCTTCTATGATAACTAGCTCCTCAGCTCCACATTCAGAAAATACCCATTCATCTACTAAGCAGTCGAGTGCTGATATTCATAGCTGAGCCAAAAGAAAACGAAATTTAATATAATATAAGATTAATATACAATTCTAATATACACGGAGTATTCTATTATACTGGCTATCCTGACACCCTCTCACCACTCACACACTCAGCTCAAGCTTTTTGCTCATCTCTGAAAGATAAAATTTCACATGGCTGTTGAGTTTGGCTAAGTTTAATTCCACTTCTCTCTCATCATCTTCCAATTCTTTCCTCTTCAATTTTATCTTCAATTTATATTCTTCAATGGTTGCGTTTCTAAGAGTTAAAGCAGCTTCAAACTCTTCCCTTTCTCGGTTCAACTCAGCAAGCTCATCTGTAAGCTCCTTTACTTTCGATTGATCCTGCTGTAACTTGGAATCTTGCTGTTTCTCTAGTCTTTCAATTAATGATTGTTGATTGGCCAACTTCTTCTCTATAAGATCAATTTGATTGGTAAGTTCGTTTGTTTCAAGTTGTAATTCCAGCTTATATTCATTTAGCTTTTCAAGTTTGCTTAATGTAGACTCCTCCCTCGTTAAGTCTTTCAATGTATCATCCAATTGATTGAAGATCGGCTTTATTTCCGATTCCACCTTCAAGAATGACTCTATGGTGAAGGAAAGGTTGCTATTCTGCTTCGCAAGTTGCGATATCAAGTCTCTGTGGTTGGATAAATCTTTCTTTAGGTCGGCTATAATAGTTTCGGTTTGCTTGACGTCTGTTTGGAGATACAGTCGTAATGTCGCCAATTCACGATCTGCTTCGTTGATAAGATAATCGCTGTCGTCGATCTTCTCGGTGAGTCTAAACTTCTCATTTTTGTACTTAGTTAACTCGTTGTTCAAATATTCTTGAGTCCTTTTCAATTTCTTCAACTCAGTAGTCAATTTGGTGTTGTAGGTTGTTATTTGGCGAAGTGAGGCCCTCTTCGATGCTGAATCATTGCTAGTATCTTGTTCCAACTTTCTCTTGAATTGATTTATCTTGCTTGTTAGGGAATCATTGTTAGCCTGAGCCTTCTTCATTCTAGTGAATTCTGCTTCACATTCCTTTTCCAACGGTTCTTGATCAACCGATTGTTCATTTCTGAACTTAATGTAGTTGATCAAGGCACTAAGGATCCTTCTAGTACGAGCAGGATCCGGTTTAAGGATATCAGACAACGTCAAGTCTCTTATCCCGACACCCACAAAGAATTGGAAGGCACACCGGTAAAGAATGACTAGCAAAAGCGAGTCCGTCGTATCTTCGTCTACATCTTCATTCGAGGTACTTCCATTTCCCTCTGCGAATGATTGTTCAGCATTCACGCTTCTTTCCTTCTTTTTTTCGTTAACCATGTTGGCAATCATGTCAGTGTTAACTCCCATAAATACTTCCAACGTTTCTTCCAAGATTTTTCTCATGTATTTGCTTGTTGGCTTTATCACATTCTCTTCTATAGCAGTGAATCCACAATCCTGTAACGATATGGAGATCTCTCGACTTTCAAGATACGGAAAATTGTCTCCCGGGAGGTAATGCGGTTCTGTCAGTGGCGCTGCTCCTCTACGATACAGCGCAGGAGTGGGCCGATATATGGAAGAGTATCGTGACATGAGTCAATGAAGTAGAGTCGAGTGAAGCGTATGTTGTTTTGCGCTGTCTTGTCTTGTTTATGTTTTTGAGTTAGATATTGATTTTGGCTATATGCAGGTCGCCAACATACGCGCATACGATGGGCTACAAGTGCTTGGTGATTAGTGGGAGCAGAGGGTATAATAAGAGCGCAAAACAGGAGAAAAAAGCACTTAAACCGGATGCGGTTGTATAGGTATGCCCCAAGTGTTTGCGTTTTGGTTTTCCAGGCGATTCAGTACATTATAGCGGTAAAAGTGGCACTACTATATCAGTCCCCACTCTCGTACTGTCTGGTTTTCATGTGGCCCTCTCGTATTTCTTAAGCATGCATGCCGCACGAAGTCGCAATGGCTGCAATTTCAACTGGTACGGTATACGCCTAGTTGTTGGAAGAGCTGTGCTGTCACATTCTTGACGTGGAATTGGTTTATTTGGTATCGGTGTATAGTATTTGGTATCTGGTATCTGGTACCTGGTATCTGGTATCTGGTATCTGGTATCTGGTATCTGGTATCTGGTATCTGGTATCTGGTATCTGGTATCTGGTATCTGGTAT